ACTCATTGATTATTTGCAAAGCCATTTTCCAAAGTACTAACCGATCTAATGAGAATTTTATTAATCCCCTGCAAACCGCAGGAACGATTACCGTTTCTGATTTATTAACGAATACTTTGATTTAATACCCGTCGCAGATAACCGGGATGTCAAATGTATTTATGCCCCGACAATAACTGTCATCCAAATCTCGAAGGCCATTATTATTCTATTATAAGCAGGAAACTTGGGGGAGAATACATGGGATGCAGTTTACAGGATAAACACTGTTCAAATTGACCGGTTATTGAGTGTTGTTTCCTGTTATAGGTTGATCGATAAATAGCTAATAGAATTCTAATGTAAAGCGACGTCGAAAACAAAACCTATATACGAAGTCTATTGATCAATGTTTGTTTATTACAAGGTTTGTATAAAACATGTTTGAAATTTAAAAGAATATTGCTTTTAACTTAAAAACACATCCAGTATCTTCTACCAATTAAGAAATTTGTAATTGCATTTTTAAATATCCATACATAAAAGTAAAACCATCGGTTTTGATACGGCATCGATCAAAAAGAGGGGCCCGATAATGAATCGGGAACTCGCCGGTTTACAATTATATTTTTTCGATTTCTTTTTCCTTTCATCTTCAAAACGAACCTCCCCGGTATCATTAATATCGGAATAATTGATTTCTATTCAAAAAAGAAGCGTAACATACACGGTCTAACGAAAGGGAATCGCGGAAACGAAAGATTCCCCTTTCTCCTGCAATAATCATTTCGCATCTACAGAATGATTCACACATTATGATTCGGGCATAATACACATATTATAGGGCATAATACATACTATATCGGGCGTAATAGATATAAGTGCAGGGCGTAATATAATATCTACAATTACATTTCTTAATTAAATCAGGAATCTATTGTGTCTGCATCCCGAAAGAGAAACATCGAGGGCAATAAACCTAGGATTCCCGAACCCCTGGTGGCGTCTCTTCCGACTCGTCGAATCGCCCGAACCCTCGACATTGTAATGAACTCTTCAATGCTCACCAGTGATTACGGAATTATTTGTAATCCCCCGTTGTACCCGTGCGAGTTTCATAGTGTTTTATTGCGAGTTGAACGCGTGTTATTAGGGGGTAGAAAGTGCGGAGCCCCCCGAGGGCGGCTCGATCGACTTTCGAGTTGCAATTGCAATTCAGCGCGCTGTTAGTAAGAATGATTGTGAGGGGAGTAGAAGTATGCCGAAGGAATCGATGACGCCTTACTGATTGATTAGAGATTTAATTGTCATTTATTTTGGGATATTTTCGGTTATTGAGTGCAATCTGGACACGTGCTGTAGCGAAACTGACCCACGTTTATTTCTGAATGTAAGATACCGGCAAAAACGAAACACCCTAGTCTAAATTTGCCGCAGGCTAATTATAGCTCGAATCCAACATGTTTCGGCAATAATTATATTTACATTTGTTTTTCTGCGGGAATCATCTCGTGATTAATATTTATTTTAGCGATTTCTCGTTAAATTTAGGGGGCCTTGATTTATTGCTATTGAAATGTTATTAACGTATAAATAAAATAATGTAATTAAGATAGATGCTTAGTATTTTATTAATCGAAGAAAGAAATTAAAGATAAATTTACTTAAAATTGATTTAATTAGCTTAAATAACAAAAACTATTTTTAACTCAATTGATTTTTTTTAATTTCTACTGTAATTTACCTGAATTTATGACGACCAAAATCCACACACCAATCGAAATTCTGGCCGAGGTCATATCGAAAAATTTCGGAAAATTCGTCAAAAAATCAAAAATTTTCAAATCCCCATTCGAATGTCCCCTCACATTATTTTTAACCGCACAAATTAGCACTCTACAGACAGTTTAAATTTAACGTCTATTTTAAACTCGAACACCTCGTGTATCGCAAATTCGCAAAATCTCTCAAATTTCAAAAAAAATAGTCTCGATTAATCATGAAGAAACTCGATTTCCAATTCGTGCAATCTATCGATTTTTTATCAATTTTTCTTTCGGAAATCTTTTCGCTCTCGATGCTCGCGAAAGTCGCGTATAAGGGGAAAAGTCGCAGCGCCCAGTGGATGGAGAAACGACGATCGGCGTCGGCGTCGCGTCGAAAACTGAACCGATGCCTGAACCTGAACGATGTCAGCCCAACTCCCGAATAAAACGGGAGTTCGAGAACTAACCTACAACAATTTACACATGCGCTCGAAATTAACAGGTGCCTTGTGGGTTTATCTCGGGAAACTTCGCCGTTTTTATTGCCGCGTCGCGACGCCTCCGGTACTAGGCGACGGTAAATAAATAATTAGATACATAAATAAATAACTTTAAATTGACTTATATACTGTTAAATATGGGGTCATATTTTTTAAATTATTGACTTGTAACAATCATAGATCAATTTAAAATAAGGAGTGAAAAAGAGGTATGCCGAAGGATTCGAGGTTCTACTGGAATATATCCGTTTTGTGTTCTATTTTATAGGTATCCAGTTTTAATATTTTTTAAATATATTTAAATTATAATTTAAAATATTTGTGTGGGCATTGGTTTTTGAAAAATCGAAATGCGAAGCAAGCGATGACCAAAGTTGGAATAGAGCATTTTAGAAAAGTGAATGTTTCGAAATTTTAACGTAAAATTAACGAAAAATTTGTAATAATTACTGTTCAGTTTGTTCAATCAAATTTTTAAACTAAATATTTTTTATTCAAATTAGTGCTCTATCTACAGAAAAACTAATTTAATACATAAATAACATTACCAGAACTCTTTAAATTTTTAAGGATTATTTTATTCAACCTATAATAGATGGCAGTAATATCGTTTATCGACAAAACAGTTACCTTTATTTCCATCTCCTTACACATGAAAATTCAGGTACTTTTTTTAAAAACCGGACCTGGATTTATGAATGTTTGTTAACTGAATATTTTAACTAGAATCACTAGATTATTTACGAAAAATATAGAAAACCATAAAACAGTTATTCACAAAACAAATAAAACAATATTGGGTACTTTGACAAGGCTATTACCAAAACCCATTATCATTTTTTTGGGCATACAAAAGCCATTCACATGTCAATAGACCCTCGCTTACAGGAAAAACATTCGATTACAGTATTTGTAATAATATGTGGAAACACCCTTGTCGTATTATCTAGGGCATATATAACGCACGAAAGGTTACCCATAACAACCCATCATGGTGTTTATAACAGCGCTGTTTGCCCAATATTTAACTTTTTTAACCCAGTTTTTAAGTAGCTCGGGAATCGAGCGCTTGGCATATTTATTAAACAATTCCATGTGGGTGCGTTTTAAGGTCACTCAGATAAGTTTTAATGCGATAATAAGAGATTTTGAGGCTTAGTTATGCGTTGATTTAGAGTTGGTTTTCTTCTGGCTAAGGTAAGATTTAATTTTATCCTCGTTTCCTTCGGAATACGCTTTTTTGCCAATTTTATTTTAAGCGAATTAGTAAATCAAAGTTTATTAGTATGAAACAAGTTACAAATATTTAAATTCATATAATACAAATAATTTCTGGTAGTTTCATAAAGATTGTGCAATTTTAGCTGGGTCACCCTGTATTTAGTTGCCATGTATTCAAGGGGTACATATAAATTAGATGGGTTGTTCACCGTGATTCTAGCAAAATTAATTTAGTTTTTATCCAGACAGAAAATAGAGAAGTACAAGTGAAATAAAGAATTGCAAATAAAATACAGGGTGAGTCGAAATAAACAGTATATTGTGTATTAAAAAAATTATGCACTCTTTCTCTAATTACCGCGCGATTTACGTTCTTTTTTATTTAAATTAGCCATTAACGTAATTGCTTAAATAATTTAAAAGTAATAAAAACTCACATGCACATGATAGTTTATATTATTCCGGTTTTTAGAAAATATAGGTCATAAGCAATGCGCTTGCGTCGGTTCGATCTGCCCTTTTTACTTTCACTTTCCGGGTCACAGTTGGCGGGGTAAGATCTGAAAATATGCATTTTGTTTTTTTTTTGTATTAAATTGGCCATATTTCTAAGCATTTTTTAGCGAAATTTAATCAACGCTTCAGTTAAAATTTAAATAATGCTTTAAGTGTTGTATTAAGGGCGGTTTTATCAATGTTAAAACTGCCTGATTTGGGCGTAACTTGAAATTAACTTTTAATAAATCAAATGTGAATGTAATTACATGATTTATCTACACAATTACTAAATTCTCCTTAATAATGATATCCAGATAGCATGTTAAATAAGTCGTAGATATGAATATATTTTTTCAACATTAAAAGGTAGCATTCAATTTAAGATAATAATCTCTATTGCCGTCAAATTGCGGTTATTTTAACTCCTTTGTTGGTCTTTACACTGGCTATTATAGTTGAATTATTTACGCAAAGGACAAAGGACATTGCTCCTGCAAATGTCCCAAGAACTCGAATATGCAATTGCAATGAAATATAGATCTAATCGGTTTTTTATCGATAATTGATTTAGTCCAGTGGTTTTTGTAATAAATGCAGAATATGTAAAATATGTTTATTGTATACAGTATGTCTCTAAAATCTCCTAACATGAACCAAATTTAGTTTTGGATGATAATAAATAGAAACAATAGTGAACAATATTATTCAATTTCTATTCTTCTAATTTATTAAAACAGTCGTATTTAACGCAAACAGGACGTATGCCGAAGGATTCGAGCGGCATATAAAAAAATTTCGCTTCAAAATAAAGTTTCTTGATTACCTGGTTCATATAATATCGAATTATGTATATCCATTCGCGCAGGTAACAATAAAGTTGCTTTTTGTACAGGAACGGATGAGGTTCGTACGGAAAGTCCCTGCGGGTATATTTTATTTATCATTTCCACTTTATCGCTTTATCAGAACCAGTACGGTATTCTTAACAAAACCGTACAATCCACGTTTTAACCAGAGTAGTTTGTTGTTATTGTTGCTGTTGTTTTGGAAAATAATTAATTCGTGAATTTTTTTGGTGTTTCTCATTGCTGAAGTAATGGGCATTGGTCTTAGCAGAGACAAAGTGGAGCCGGAGGTGAGATTAATTTTTTTATGCAAAAGTCTGATTTATAAATTAGCGGGTAATTTTATAATTATTGTGTGTAAAAAAATCAATTAAATTCCAGCTGAGAAACTTTCAAATGTCAGGATCAGAAGAGAGTGCAGGTGAAGAATCGAAATTCAAAAACCGATCGTCTACAGACGTTTGTTTTTTGATTGCATTACTTCTGTTTTTAACAACATTGGTAAGTCGAAATTATTCTAATTACTGCATGATAATTATTTTATTTATAATTTTCAATTTTCGAGAGGGTTAAAACAACTTATCCATTCATTTCTCTTTGTTTTTAGATATGTTTCTTGGGTTATTGCATGTTAAACGGGAGCATTTACCGTGTAATAAACGGTTATGATAACTGCGGAAACATTTGCGGAAAGTTAAATAACTTCAACGATAAAAAGGAAATTGGAGCGGAATGTTACGGAAAAAGCAAAATAAACGAACCGTAAGTTATTAGGTTTTTCACCCTGTATAACTCGTTCTATCCCATGATTTCTTCTTTTTGTAGATACCATATAGTGTTACGCCAAAATTCCACCAAAGAAATAAATAGAATGTGTATATCAAATTGCAACAAGTACGATGGATAGTAAGTACATTATTATTAACTTACAATGCGAAAAGAATAGCTGGAGACCCGTGAATAAGTAACCCAGCTATTTCGGTTGCACTGTAGGTATATTTATTTAAAACTAGAAAAAAATATAACATGCCTATAACATGCCCTAAACACCTCAAAATGAACGAACGATAATCAATCAATCCATCATGATTAATGCTCTTTCTATTGACGATCGAACGTACACCGCATGTATTTTTAATCAACCGCCTTTTGTGATGATGATAATATTTTTCATCAACATGAAATAAAACCATTACCGACCCCGAATAATTTTCTTTCCGATTTCGTACGGCGATATAGGGTTATTCAACTTTTCCGATTTTCCGCCGACTCACCGGGTGATTTTCTTTTGCAGCCGAAAGTTTTTCAACAGATGCATCCCCACAAAGACTCAAACCGTGGTCAATACCTTATTTTCCAAGACAGGATTGAAGAATTTCTTCACGGTAAGTCGGCTTGAATTTCCTTGGAAATTGATATTAAAGTTACCGGTTGTAATTTTAGGAAGTTTCGGAGGATTTTCAAATTTGCTGGACCGAAATTTGCTACCTCTGCCTCATCGCTTTAGGTAACTTGTCGATAATCATCATTAATATTCCACCTATAATTTCGGTTTTTTTTGCAGCTCTGTCTATTATACTGTTGATATTGTTCAGATATCTCGTCGGTTTAGTAGTGTGGATAGTACTTTTGGGCTCTGTGGCAGTCAGTATAATCGGCACTGTGGTTTTATGGTGTGTAAACAGACTTTACGGGCCACAATACGGAGCACTGTGGTACCCTTTTTTCTATTTTTTCAGGGTTCTCTGGAGGAATTCCAAGAGCAATCACGATAACACTCCTTCGTATCTCATACCTGATGTAGATACCGAAACAAGCCACACCTACTTGGTGTTCGCCATTTTGTCCACCATAGCCACCGTGATCATTTGCTTGATCATATTCGTGATGAGAAACCGCATCAAACTAGTCGTACAATTGTTCGAGGAATCCGGTAAAGCCATTGCGGCTATGCCTGTACTGCTCTTTGAACCAGTATTAGTAAGTATACCAAAGAATTCTTCATCTCCTTCAGCAAATACCAGCAAATAACCTCCTTATTCAGGATCATTTTTTCCTTCCAGACGTTTCTATTTTTGGCGATAACTGTTTCTCTTTGGTTCTACTTCTGCTTGTGGATAGAAAGCGCTGGAAGATTAACGGAAACCCAACCGAACCTCTACCAATACAAGAAAGATGGTTGGATGAAATTCACCAGATGGTACAACTTCTTCGCCATGTTGTGGATGGCCCAATTTGCCATCGGTTGTCAGCACATGATCATAGCCGGAGCAGTCGGAATATGGTACTTTAAAAGGTACATTCTACTTCAATCAGTTCTTCTCTAGTATATTCTTCTCCTGTAGCTTCTTCTCTAGTACAATCTTCTATAGTAGATCCTTCCCCAGTAGACCATTTTCCAATAGACTCTTCTTAATCAATACTCCAGTAAATGTGTCTCAATCAGTAGAGATTTCTCCAGTAAACACTTCACCAACAGCTTAGATGTCCTTTTAGTAACAGAATAAACTCCGTAATAATCTTCTACATTTTTAACATGTATTTTCTGCAGGAACAAATCGGCTCTGGGAACCCCGGTGCTTCAGAGCGCGGAGAATCTGATCAGATACCACATGGGATCGGTGGCGTTGGGATCGTTTCTGATAGCGCTGGTGCAATTCGCCCGGCTGCTCTTGAAATTCGTCGAGAAATATTTGAAAAAGCGGGAGGGAAAGTGCGCGGAATGCATGCTCAAGTGCTGCAATTGCTGTCTCTATTGCTTCGAGAAAATTCTGAAGTATATATCGAGGAACGCCTACATTCAAGTCGGTAATTGCGCTTTATTTATTAAACGATGAGGCTAATCGATGAGGATTGCTTCATTGATGATGATTTTTCATTTTCTGTTTATTGTAGCAACGCATGGTTATCCATTTTGTAAAGGGGGCCAACAGGCATTCAAGTTGCTCTCTTCCAATGTCCTTAGGGTGGCTGCTATTAATTCAGTGGGGGATTTCGTCCTGTTTTTGGGAAAAGTGGTCGTAGTGATAGCCACAGTGCTCATAGGGATTAAAATGTTGCAGGTATGTTTTTGTGTAAATTAAAAAATAATGTATTATGTAATATTATGTTTTAGTACAAAGATGGCCTTCAACATATGTGGGTACCCGTTACTTTGGCAGGATTATTCGCTTACTTCGTGGCCCATTGTTTCATGACTGTATATGAGGTGGGTTTAATTATCAATTATTTTAGCAGTAATTAAGACAATAGATGAATTTTAGATGGCTATTGATACAGTATTCCTGTGCTTTTGCGAGGATTGCGAGCATAACGACGGGGAATCGAGGCCTTATCACATGTCCAGGGGCCTGATGGAGTTCGTGGAAAATTCGAAACGTACTTTGGACAAGCGCAGTAAAAGACCAGACCAAACGGAGGCTGATAAAAATGTGCCCAGTATTAGCGGGGATATGATGAAGAATTTTTCTGGATAAAATCGAAATTGTTTGCTTTGAGTGGTTTTATGATTTTCGTGGACTTTTCGCGGATATTTTTATGAAAAAATTCGCGGATTTCTTCATGGGAAATCTTGTATATTTGTTATTTTTGATACTATTTATTTTTATATTATTCCCTATAAGATGCTCTCTATTTTTTCAGAAAAATCATTAAAATTAACGAAACTAATAAGCATGATTTTTGATGATTTCGAAATGATTTTTTTGTAGAATTTTACGGATTTTTTTAGTTTATAACTAAACTAACTAAACTGAAATTTTCAAAAACGACTCAAAAATAGAAAAAAGATCATAAAAAAATCTTTAGTTAAAATAAGGTTTCTAAACAAACCATTTTTATAAAATTTATACAAGTGTATTTTGATATTTTTACGATTTATTTATTTATTAGGTTTGCCTAAATAAAGCGTAGATAAGAAGAAGACTCCCAAAAAGAGAAGCACAAACGTGTATTTTCAATATAAATTGAACGCACAAGTTTATTTCAATATAAAAATTTACACACAGTCAAACTAACCAAAATATCCCTGTAATTTTGTTTAATTTGGGCTAGTTTTTCTGTGGAAAATAGTTTATTTAATTATTAATAAATTCAATTTAAGTATGTGTCAAAATGTATGTTCGTGTGTGTTACAAATTTGCACCTTTTTATACATTTTTTAATGATATTTTGTCTAGGTTTACCATGCCTATTGACCCTATTCTAATTCGAAAAGAAATAAATAAATAAAAAATATAATTCTTATAATTTACCTGTTGTAAAAGTAGACAACTCAACACACAGATACACGTCGTTTTGCTTAGAATGATCTGCACTCATTCTGTTATTCAGCGACAACATTTGACATATTTAAAATTTGATTGTACAAAAAAGAAGAATTAAGTAAATTTTTTTAGGTTAAAACATGTGTTAAACAGCGCTCGAACGTTATTGCGTTTTCCGATCGAAATGAGTTATCAATTTAGCGAAAACGGCAAGTATTTCGCCGGAATAGCCGCCGATGGAAAATTAAAAATATGGAACACCCTAACCAACACTTTCGAACAGGAATTTACGCCGGATTTCCATCTAGCCTCGCCATGTACATGTTTACAATTCGTCCAAACGAACTCCCTAAAATACAAGGCAAGTATACAACCTATTTACACTTAACCATTCAACATAATCTCCTTCGGATTTCCAGGAAGGTTCTCCGAAGAAGAAGAAACGAAGGGAATCAGAACCCAGCGAGAACCACCAGATCGCCATCGGAACCACTTCTGGAGTTCTATTGTTGTATTCAATAAACAAAGCTGGTTTAGAGTGTACTATAGAAAGTGGCGCGAATCAAACAATAAATTGTTTATCAACAGTCGATGATAATTTAATATATTCCGGGGGCTGACCGAAATATCGTCGTTTGGAACCTACAGAAGAGAAAAATGTTTACGTACGTAAATTTTATTAAATAATACATCCATACGATAAATCAATTTCTTCCTTAGAACATGGAAGGCGGGCAACGAGAAGATTTCATCCGTATTAGCCATTCCGGAAAGTGACCAATTACTAACAGCATCAAAGAACATCAAACTGTGGGACACGCAAACTAAGGAAGTGCTGCGAACGTTCGTCGGGCACAAATCCGAAGTCACTTGTCTACGTTTCGTTTGTCCCCGACCCTCCGGCGAATCCTATTTCCTATCCGGATCGAAGGTTGGCTGAATACCCCAGCGTGTATTTCCAGTAAATTTATATATTTTCGGTTATAGAACGATCGAGTGGTAAGTTGCTGGAGCTTAAGCGACGGTGCTTCGGAGAAAAACGCCATCGCGAACTTCCAAATGGAGGATGTTCTGCAGTCCGTTTCGATAAGTACAGGCAGCGATGGGGCTACTCACATGGCTGCTACTGTGAGAAGTGGAGCGATACACATCTATAGGCAAACTCTAAATGGGTATGTTTAATTATAGTTTGCGAAATACGAATGTTAATTGGAGTTTTTTGTAGTAAACCGGGGAAGCCGATCAAACCCAAAACCACAATTCAAGTGGTATCGGACACGGGACAAAGCAAAGAAATCGTAGCTCCTATAAAAGTCCTCGGAGCTTTCTACAAGGACACCGAAACGATTTGTTTGGGATACGGTTCCGAAATACTCCTCACCTTCGAGAACATCCTAATCGATACTAATAAGAAACTACAGTGCCTTGTAAGAGAACCCTCTCAGACCTCTACCAATCAAGACCAAGCCGCTAAAGTCGTGAAACCCGTCGTCGACGATACCGTCGAATACTTGACCTCGGAGACCTCCAAAGTAGCCGCTACGAAGAGGAAAATCGACGGGAACGTCGACGTGCCGATGGAAAAACAGCTGGAAAATCTGACGTTGGATCAAACGGACAACGCCAAAGCGCTTACGGCGGGCAGCGTGGCGCATTTACTCGTACAAGGCTTGCACAGCAAAGACAAGAAGATATTGCGCACGGTTTTGTACCAGAAGGACGAAGAAACGGTGAAGAACACCGTCAGGCGGTTGCCCATCACCGCTTTGGTTCCACTCGTTCGAGAACTTAGCAATTACGTTCAAGGGAAAACTCTATCGTAAGTTGTTTACTCGATAAATCTATGCTAAATGACTCTTCCTTTCCCTTCCTTTCCCTTCCTTTCCCTTCCTTTCCTTTCCCTTCCTTTCCCTTCCTTTCCCTTCCTTTCCCTTCCTTTCCCTTCCTTTCCCTTCCTTTCCCTTCCTTTCCCTTCCTTTCCCTTCCTTTCCCTTCCTTTCCCTTCCTTTCCCTTCCTTTCCCTTCCTTTCCCTTCCTTTCCCTTCCTTTCCCTTCCTTTCCCTTCCTATCCTTTCCCTTCCTTTCCCTTCCTTTCCCTTCCTTTCCCTTCCTTTCCCTTCCTTTCCCTTCCTTTCCCTTCCTTTCCCTTCCTGTCCCTTCTATTCCCTTCCTTTCCCTTCCTTTCCCTTCCTTTCCCTTCCTTTCCCTTCCTTTCCCTTCCTTTCCCTTCCTTTCCCTTCCTTTCCCTTCCTTTCCCTTCCTTTCCCTTCCTTTCCCTTCCTTTCCCTTCCTTTCCCTTCCTTTCCCTTCCTTTCCCTTCCTTTCCCTTCCTTTCCCTTCCTTTCCCTTCCTTTCCCTTCCTTTCCCTTCCTTTCCCTTCCTTTCCCTTCCTTTCCCTTCCTTTCCCTTCCTTTCCCTTCCTTTCCCTTCCTTTCCCTTCCTTTCCCTTCCTTTCCCTTCCTTTCCCTTCCTTTCCCTTCCTTTCCATTCCCTTACCTTCGTTTTTCTTTCTGTTACTCATTTGTATGATGTATTCACGCTAGATAATTCATTGCAGGAGTCAAGTGGGATGTTTGTGGTTGAGGCACATCCTGCAAACGCATTCGGGCGTCTTGATATCGAATCCTGAGCTGCCGGATTTGTTCGGTTCCTGCTTGGGGCATATAGAAAACCGGCTGTCCTTGTTTACGCCGTTGAGCACGTTGAAAGGTCGATTGGATTTGGTGTTGCCCCAAGTTAGCGGTGCTTTGAAGCAGGATTTCAGCGAAAACGAGCAGCCTCTTTTAATCTACAACGATAGAGGTGGGTTTCTTGATCGATTATTATGGTTTTCGGAAGGTGAAAGTTTCTGGTTTTGTTGTAGATTCGAGCGAATCGGAGGAAGAGGAAGACATGCAAATGGACGGGCAATCCGAAAGCGCGAGTGAGTGGGAAGAAGAGAGCGACATCGACGAGAATCATGTGAATGAAAAATCCGAATCGGAGGGCGAGGAGTCGGACGGATCGGTCGCGATGTCCACGTAACGGCCGTTTTACGAATATTTTTCTATGTTTAATTATGTATGTACTTGTTAAGTAAAAAATATATTGCAAAATATGCCCTACAATCGCCGGCTTTTTAGCTTTATCGATCCGATTGAGGCGCAAACGCGCTCCAATCGTCCTGTAAAATACACGAGGGCTTCGACGCCGAGTTGTATAAGCAAGATTTGAATTGGTCGAGTGTATTATCTTGGATTCTGAGCAATGGATCGCCTGGACCGATTCCCGCGACGTTGCCTATTCTTCTGATTATTCTGTGGAATACCGATTTGCTTCAGAACCGTTTAGCACGCTCCAGAACTAGTTAGAATTGTCTTGAACCATTTTGAATTGTCTACAACCGTTTAGAACGCTTCATAGTCATTTAGAACGCTCCATAGTCATTTATTACATTCTAGAACGTCCCAGAATCATTTAGAACTGTCTCGAGCCAACGATTTTGAATTTATAAGAAGAATAATGTAATTTTTCAACTGAAAATCGCGATCTTCCTTGGCCATTCCGAGAACTTTTCACCTTATCCCCGTATTACGACTATCGCTAGGTGAATTAAGAATCCTAGACTTGGCAACGCCGGCGTTCGCGCGGAGTTTCCCAAATGGAGCTCCGGAATCTCCAGCGCCGTTAATTAACTCGCGAAAAATGTTGTTGTTGTCGATATTGAGCAGTTTGTTCATCACCAACGGTTGCGTTTCGGGTAAGTACACTTTTGTCCGAGGTGTCTCTCGAATTGATCGCTTTTCCAGTGGCAAACGACTCATCGACGAAGGGCCGCAGGCCGCCCGATGAGGACTACTACCTCAACTACGACTACGAGGCGGAGAACGATTCGGCGACGGGCCCGCTGTTCCTGCCGAGCCCCGAGAACCTGCAGGCCCGGTACACCGTGGACGCGCTGCCCGACGTCGCCCTGCCCGAGGACTCGCTGGCCGATCCGGACCTGCGCGACCACGACCTCATCGACAACATCATGTACGTGTACTACGGGTCGCAGCCGCGCCGGCCGGGCACCTACGGCCCCGAGATCATCATCATCGGCTCGGTGATGAGCTGCTTCGCCCAGCTGCTGACCATCTTCTGCGTGCTGCTCAAGCGCAACCAGCGCGGCGAGAAGATGATGACCTACATTTTCTTCCAGATCTTGGGCACCTTTTGCATATCCAATTTGATCTTCATGCTAGGAGTTTACGTGAGTGGCACGAGATTCGCGAATTTATTCATCCAACTATTCGTTTTTTTTAGGCTACCAAAAGCGCCACAAAGTGTCTCATCATTTCCCTAATCTTGTATTTCCTGCATTTAATGACTTCAGTGTGGCTTTGCTTGTACTGCTTCTACATCTACAAAAGATTCTCCACCGGCGGTTTCATCAAAGAGCGCCATCTGAAGGTCAAGTACTTCAATATCGCCGCCTACGACATTCCAACCTTCCTAACACTGGTAAGCATTCATTCTCCACTCACCATCTATTCCATTCCTCCAGGTACCTGCATCACCATCATCTACTCCATTCTTCCAATAACCTGCATCATCATCTTCATCCACTCATTAGCTGCAATTTGCGATACATTTCCTTCCAGGCGACCTACTTCATAACGCCGCACAGCTACGAATCGCGGCGCTTCTGCTTCACCTCGGTGCAGAAGGGCATGATCCTGAACTACAGTATCGGTCAAAAAATAGTGGACACTTGTTTCTGGCTTTAGAAACACTCCATAAGATGGTAGAGATGTAATATTTTCGTTTCGTTCTTGTTCTGGTTTGTAGTTAATTCATTTTCTAATTGAACCACAAAAGGGCGTTTCGTTTAAATTCGTCAAAAAAATGTTAGAAGTTTAAAGGAAAATATATGTCAGAATTTGGGTGGTCATAAAATAGTGGACACTTTTAAAATCAACAAAAAAACAGGTAAAAATAACATTTTTTTAATATTTAGTGGCGTAACCTTTTGCCTTAATGACAGCCTCACATCTTCGAGGCATGGAATCCACCAAATTTTCTAAAATATTGAGTGGAATTCGTTCCCACTCTTCCTGAAGCACTTTCATAAGTTCGCCGGTTTTTGAAAATGTTCGAGCCCGAATTTGCCGATCCAAATGCTCCCACAGATGTTCTATCGGATTCAAATCCGGACTCTGCGATGGCCAGACGATTCTTCTCACCCCATTGACATGTATCCATTCCTTCACAAGCTTTGAGGCATGTTTAGGATCATTATCGTCCTGGAAAAGCCAGTCGTCCGCCATCTTTTCTTCGGCATATGGTAACATATGTTGCTTGAGAATGTTTTATACATATCGGCCTTCATAATGCCCTCAATCCTTATCAGTGGAACTACCCCATCTCTGCTGAAGCAACCTATATGCATATATAATGTTAGGATGACTAAAAATTTACATGTGACAAAATAAGGGAATTTACCCCAAACCATAACGCTTCCTCCACCGTGCTTAACCGTAGTTATTTGGTACTTGGGATTGTTGCGAGAGCCAATAGGTCTCCTAACATACCGTATGCCATCGCTAGAAAACAAATTAAATTTGCTTTCGTCACTCCACAAGACGCGACCCCCAGTCAGCCACTGACCAATCAAGGTGTTCTCTAGCAAATTTCAAGCGAGCTTGGACATTCTTTCTTGATATTAGGGGTTTTTCAGAAGGCTTAGCAGCGATAAGCCCAGTACGTCTAAAATTTACCAAATAAGTCTTTTAACCACCTGGAAATTAAAAATAATACCGAATAATCCGCTGAGCCGTTGAAGTGGAGATGGTAACTCCATAATTTTCAGCGGCTGTCCTTCGCACATCGGTGCTGTTTTTTCGGGGATCAGCTTTAATTTGACGAACTAATGTTCGACAAACACGTTCTCCAACTCTAAATGGTCGGCCACTTCCTTTTTTTCGTTCTGCCATTTCCGTACTCTTCCATTTTCTATGGATCGTTGAAACGCAGGATTTACTAACACCAAAGCGCGATGCCACCTCACGAACACTGGCATCTTCTTCAATTTCACGAACAAGCAATTTCTTACCATCAGCAGATAAAGTTTTCTACTCATGATCCACTTAACTTAAGGTGTCCACTATTTTATGACCACCCAAATTCAGACATATATTTTCATTTAGACTTCTAACATTTTCTTGACGAATTCAAACGAAACGCCCTTTTGTGGTTCAATTAGAAAATAAATTAACTACAAACCAGAACAAGAACGAAACGAAAATATTGCATCTCTACCATCTTATGGAGTGTTTCTAAAGCCAGAAACAAGTGTCCACTATTTTTTGACCGATACTGTACATGCTGCCAGTATCCGCGCTGATCGTCCTAACCACAGCTTTATCGCTGAGCGGCATCCGAAAGATCAACCTGGAGCTGTGCAAGCTGGAGCTGAACAGCTCGGCGGAGTCGCTGAACGCGCTCAGGAGCGAGCCGGACCCGTACCGCAGGGACGACGAGGAGGTGACCAGCCTCAGGGAGTCGAAGACCTGCCTGAAGCTGCTCTGCGCTGTGCAGACGGGCTACGACATCGTGTGGTTCGTGGTGGTGCTGGCGCTGGAGAACGTCCACGAGAGCAGCGGCATGGCCGTCATCTACGCCGTGCTATCCTCTCTATTGGTGCGTTGGATTCATCTATTAACTATTAATAGTGTAGTAATCGTTCCATTTGTTGTAGAATTGGTATATATTCATAAAGAGGAAAAGCCTGATGCCGACGCTGAGCGATCTGCCGGAGGACGTGGAGGAAATGGCGGTGCAGAAGGAGCCCACTCAGGTGATTGTAACGGCTTCTGCTAACGTGTCGAGGAGAGGCTCTTCGGATAGCGTCCCTTTGCTCAATTCCGATACCTGCACGGAGATGCGCGAGTTGAGATTGGATCACATCAGTACTATAACGACTTAAGGGTTTCTTGTGGATTATTATATTAATAATTGCTCCTGTAAGGATGGAATCCTTCGGGATATTTACCAGTTCTGGTTTTTTCTATTAGGTAATTTATATCTACTTGCTCTATAAGAGATGGGGACATCGGCCTATATCAGTATTATAGCTCTAATTGAATATGTAAAGGTGTTATTTAAAACTCTATCGAAGCGTTTAAGAACGTTACCGTTAATTAATAAAACTATCGGTAATTTGTTGGGAATTTTTTATTCAAATGATTAGATTGGAAACATTTAGGATTTCGGAAATAATTGTATAAAATTTATCTAAAAAAATCGAGCCTTGTATATGGCAACAAATATACTGTATCACAGAGGTAAGCGAATTTTCTGATATGTATCATTTTCATGACAAATTTTAATGATAATTATGCATGATATTATTGCAAGACAACCGGGAATTTAATATACTGGTTCTCTCGCAATTCGTTTAACTAGATTTAAAACGTAATAAATAAATTCAAATTGAAATACACCGATAATAGTCTTTCTATTAACAGTAACATATAAGTACATTTATTTTATTTGTTTAAAAAAACATGTTAATACTATGCGAATCATTTTGGCAAGATTATTTAGCGTCTCACAGACACAACTTTGAAAAATAGGAACCATACAAATACCATATAAACATCGGCTCCTCAATTATAAAAAAGAATTAAATATACATATAATACAGCGCTTGCCCCACTATTCAAAAGTTTTTTATAACCAAGTGGTTTTGTAATTCACCTCACTTTCATCTCGTTTAAGATCCAAATAGGCAATTCGGTAAAATACAATCGTCGGTTACAAAACCACTCGGTTATACAAAAAAAAACTTATAAATTCGGAGGTAAATTAGTAAAAAATCACTTATTTAATCCCGACGCTCTCCCAATCGGCGATCATCGTCAGATTCACGTTCTCGAACCGCCATTTCTGAGTCTTCGAAGATTCATCGCAAGCCCTCACGTACAGCCTCTTCTGACCCGGATCGCAATCGAGACACCTCGGATTACCGCCGTGCAAAAACCATTGCTTCTCCTGCGAAATCCAACGATTATTATCGAGGCAAAAAAAGTCTCAATTCTCCCGCTCCTCTTCCGATCTCAACGAGCTAGAGTTCGAGTTGAAAGCGATAGGATCGTACTTACCACGTCGTACTTCCAGTACTGGTTGCCTTTACTGCCGTGACACGGGTACAAAGTCACGTCGGCCTTATCGTTGGGATCCGAGACATCGAAGCAGAGAGATTTGCCCTTCACTCGGAGATCCTTGTGCCAGCTCAGCGTGAAATTCTGCTCGCCTTTACCCTTCCTTCCGGCGTCCGATAAGCACGGAGCCACCGCGACCGCTTGATCTCTTTCTCTAAACAACGAATCAACGCACAATTCCGGAGCGCCCAGGTTTCTGATTTCGCCGAAACCGAAATCGCCCGGTTCGACCGGCGGGTATTTGAGCGGCAGATCGAACGCCACGTTCTCCATGAACCATTTGAACGGTTTGCAGTGCAATTGGTCCCGGATGGCGCGTTGTTGGGTGAGATCGCCCGGATCGAGGTTTTTGTATTGGGGCCGGCGCATGTACAGGTACTGGGCGTATTCGTCCATCCATACTTCCGCCACTCGCTTATAATTCTGCAAACGAATGAGTAAGAGACGGGGAAATTAATATGAAGGTAGGGTGAAAAGTTCTACGCTTTAATCGTTTGGAACTGTCTGGGGCGATTTAGAACGTTCCAGAATTGTTTAGATCCCTCTAAAACCATTCAGAAACGTTCCAGAATCATTTAAAACGCAAGAAAGAATTTACAAGCAAATTTTTGTCAATTTTTAGAGTATTTTTTGAATTTTTGAACATTTCAACGCAAATTGTGGGTATTTTTTTGTTAAATTTTAGCATATTTCGACCAGAATCATTTAGGACTACCTAGAACCAATTAGAAACCTCCGATAATAAATTAGAACCGTCCAATTAGAACGCTCCAGAATCATTCAAAACTGTCTAGAACCTTTCAGAACGCTGCATAACCATTTAGAACGCTCCAAAATCATTTAGAACTATCTAAAACTATTTAGAACACTCCAGAATCGTTTAGAACGCTTCAGAATCAATTAGGACTATCTAAAACCATTTGTACCACTCCAAAATCATTTACAACTGTCCAGAACCATTTAGAACGCTCCAGAATCGTTTAGAACTGTCTAAAACCATTTAGAATTGTCTAGAACTAAACATTTCGATTTAATAAGAAGAATACCGTAATTTTTCAACTGAAAATCGCGGTCTCTCATTACCGACCCCAGAACTTTTCACCCTTTTTACCCTCACACTCTTACACAAGTATCATTAGTAAATGAACTAAAAACGATTTACCCGTCCGACGAAATCGCCCTTGCCCGGATTGGGAAACGGCGCGAACTTCCTGTAGATGTGGCCCACCCTCGAGCAGGGCGCGTCGTACATCTGGCCGCCGCACTGCCATATCTTGAAGCTCAACTCGTACTGCTCGCCGCCCCAAATGTCCAATCCCTCGTCGTAGCCGCCCAATTCCCAGAAGAATTTCGCGCTGATGGCGAACAGACCTCCGGCCATCACCGGACTCCTGCAACGCGAACACCAACAATATTAAGTAAGATGAGTGTGAGAAAGACAGAGGAGTATATGATCGTTGTTTGAAATCGTTTTAGGATCATTTCAAACTGTTCAAAATCATTTAGAACTCTTCATAGTCTTTTAGAACGATTTTAGAACTGATTAAGATTACTTACAACAGTTCAGAACGATCTTAAGGCCATTTGGAACATTTCAAAATCATTTAGAACGGTTCAGGACTATTTGGAACGGTTCGGAATAAACTAGAATCGTGCAGAATCGTTCAGGACGGTCTTTGAAACGTTTTAGAATTGATTATAATCATTTGAAGCAGTTCAGAAGGATCTTAAAACCAAAATACAAATACCATATCCACACAAAATATCCTTACAACACGATATTAAATAGGAATATAACATAAAAATTGCAACGTGCCATGTTTCATCAAAACAACACGACACATACCGATTAGATTCTAGAAAAATATACCCACTTGAAAGGTTCAGTAGGATGTTTGAGGTCCTCGGGCAGCAACGGCAGCCTTTTGTAGAAAAACTCCCAATCGAAGGCCCCTCTGGCGCCCTCGTCCTGCGCCCTATACTCGAAAGTCTCGTACTGGATAACGTCGATGAACGGGCAAACGCACGTCTTGTAATCCTGAGCGATGGGTTCTACCAGAAAATCATTAAAAAAATTAATAAATAAGGACTTTTAAGTGGGTTTACCTAGAAGAGGCGGTAGCCAATTAACGTTGGCTTCAGTGTGGGAGTCGAGGAAGACCAGGACATCGGCGGTGGCGGCCCGGGCGCCGGCCAATCTTGCCCTAATCAGTCCGCTCCTCTCCGGCAGATGGATCGCTCTGACTTTCGTTAAATTCGCCGCTAGGTAATCGTCCAGCGGTTTTTTGCTGAAAGCTAAAATTTATCGGATAATATACGTCCTAAACCTCTTAGTTTTCGAGCTACAGGGTTGTACAATTTTAGAAATTCCGAGTTTAATTTATACTACATACCTTTAGAACTGAAATCGTCGACCAGGATTACCTCTTTGAGTAGATGCGGTGGAGATCTTTTCACCACGCTAACCGCGGTTCGAAGCAGAGTCGTCCAGTGTTCGTTGTGAAAGGGAACAATCACGCTGACGGTCGGAAGATTCTTCAAATATTTCTTGGCTCGACAACTGCAACGAAATAGGCCGATATTTCCTCCGCGTTAGGGGGGAAAATTTAATGAATTTAAACGTACCCTTTGTGCCGTATGTCCGGTACGGATCTGTCTATTGCTATTTTATCGCTAAGGGCGGCGTTGAATCCGTTTACTTTGTACAAGGAATCGTAGTCGTGTTTTTCTTGTTCCGAGAGAAATTCCGGTTTTCCATGTTCACCGCGTCCTTTTGGAATGGACGAAAAGATATTATTCATAAGCGATCGTGATTCATTAACTACTCATTACAAACATAAACAAATAATCGAAATAATTTGTTGTACGAGTACCTATTGTTTTCAAATTCCTTATTTCTCATTGGGATTATAAATAGCAAAAAAAATAGAGTGCAAACACAAGTAAACTGAATAAATGAAGAGTAAAATGAAAAGTTCTCGGCCTGACAATGAAAAACCGCGATTTTCAATTGAAAAATTACATTATTCTTCATATTAGATAGAAATCATTAGTTCTAAATGATTCTGAGGCGTTCTAGATTATGCCAGACCAGTTCTAAATGGTTCTAAAGCGTTCTAAATGTTTCTGGAGCGTTCTACATGACTATGGTTCCAAACGGTTCTAGACAGTTCTAATTTATTCTGGAACGTTGTAGACAGTTCTAAATGATTCTAGCCGAGAACTTTTTACCTTACTCTTGTATTTATATTCACTTATCCTATCAAGCAATATTTTATCGCCTGATAACCTTGATATAATTCTAATCCATTTACACTCCTACAATCTTCTAAGCGACACTGAACGGTTTCCCTTTCATTTATAATACGATTCCGCAAAAAAAAATTCAAGAGATGTAATAAAATTATCCCATTACATAGTTATGTACTTCCGAGTGAACACAATTTCATTAATTAATTTGGATTGTTTGTAAAATTCAGCGGAGTGAAAGTAGAAGTGCATGTGAATGTTCTCATCAATTTGCTAGAGATGAGCAATTTATTCGGCGAATATTTGTTGGAAGAAAATTCGCAAAAAAATATTTAAACAGCGCTGTTAATTCCGAACGGATACAAATAATGGAGATAACATTTTTCGTGACAAAATAAAAATTTTATGATTCAGCTTATTGAAGAAAAATAAAGGTATTAATGCATGCACTGGTACCGCATTGAAATTGTTGGTAGCTGGTAGCAAAATATTTATGTAAATGCAGATATTTAAAGAATTTAAAAAAAACAAATATTTAGATGTACCTAAATGTTTTTTAAATATTTGAATTGACCTAAATTTTATAAACAACATAAGTTGCTTACCTAGTCTTTTTAGTTCTTTTTCTATTTGTTCATAATCGTGCCAGTCGATTTTCTCGTTATCTACTAGAATAACCTGGAATAAAAAATTAAAAATATGACTTAAAATTACCAAAATTAGAAATTCTACAAACTAACGCACTTTGCACGTTGTGTTCGTATCGAAATACAAGGGTAAAGTGAAAAGTTCTCGGCCCGACTCTGAAAAACCGCGATTTTCAATTAAAAAATTACATTGTTGTCCTTATTAAGTCGAAATATTCAGTTCTAGACAGTTCTAAATGATTCTGGAGTATTCTTAACGATTTTAGACAGTTCTAAATGATTCTGTGGAGCGTTCTAAATGACTGTGGAGCGTTTTAAATGGTTCTGAATGGTTCTGAAGCGTTCTAAATGAGTCTGGATTGTTTTAGACAGTTCTAAATGATTTAGGCTAAGAACTTTTCACCCTACCTTTGTATTCTCATAAAATACTCACCTCTCGGGGCGCAAGCGGCTCAATTCCGATACTACGAGCAAGTCCTAACGAATTTCTATCTCTTGTAAAATCCTTGCTCTTGAATATCCTGTATGTCAGCACAGTAAACACTACTGTAACCGAGGATAACAGAATGTACTTTAATAAAGTTTTTAAATTTCTTCTCATGTTGGACACCACAATAATTGCCACACAAGCATACCATTCGCACAGCACATCTAGCTCAGAGCCTATTATCAACTCATTGCTGATAAGATTGGGTATTTAGATTTTGTAGGTACTTCAAATAACGAAATTTATGACATGTATTATAACCTAACTTTGACGATTGATTTCGACGTATCGCTTAAACCGGTCCACCTCGAACCGACCTCAACCGTTAACTAATTAAATTAATAATGCGACCGCCTTGGTAAAAGCAAAAAATATGCATACTGTGCATAATAAATCGAAAATTGCACAACAACAACCGTCGACAATGAAAGTTTAGTGACGTATGACTTGTAGATGCATGACAGTGACAGTTACTATGGCAACGGCAGACAACTATACTGTTTTATCTAGTTGTCTTTTTTTATTTCGTTTGAAAAACAAAGACAACAATAGAAAGTTGTTACAATTTTGTACCCTTGAATTAGGCAACACTTTTTACACCAAGTAATCATTCTGTTATGCTGAATACAATCGTAAGTAAAAGATGAGTGAAAATATATCTTTTATTTATAAAAATATACACTATCTACGATTTTAATGTAGTAGCTATTAAACTGCTAATCAGAGGCGTCCTCAGTTTGGATTCATCGATGCATTTGACGAGTTCTTCGGGGGCCAAGGGGCTCCCGCCCGGTTTGTGCACACAACACAATTCATCGTCTTTAAGAACTATAGTAAAAACTCCACTGCACAGCGTTTCCTCTTCCAACGTCGGATCTTTCAATATAATTTTACTGGAAATTCATTAGTCATAGGTTACTTGAGATGTTTAGTACAAATACTTACTCTTCAAATACAGCGAATGTTGTAGAAACTGGCATACTGTGAAGTTTAATAGGTTTCTTTTCTTCCAAAAACACCTGCGTGCTTTCTAAAGCTGGATCGTACTCAACTAATGGTAATTTAACTACAAAATATACAAATTATTATCAAAAACGTCTGCTTATAGAGGTGTTATGTACCAGTTTTCAACGCCCCTAATAAACTAACAACAGCAGCATCTACAACGGCCCCATCGAAATCCAGACAAACGAAATCCACGAAAAGACACCAAGCCAACTTATCTCGAACAATGCACAGGTCTCTCAAGTCTATGCAATTGGAATTCGTTATAATCTCGGCTATGAGTTGGGTCAGAACTTGGGCTTGATCGCTCGGAGGGCCCGGCCGGAACTTTGCAGAGCAAAGCGGTGGGAGCTCTAAATTTGGAACGACGAATCCGCAATCGGGAGCGTCCGGTTTGGGTTTGCACAGTTCCTGAAATCCAGCAGGAGTTATTAAAAAGCCGGTAAATGGTTATGTGGGGATCTTACGGCTTTGATTCCGCAAACTACCGTGGTGTTTCCTACTTTAGCTATGGCAGATCCGTCTGCTGTGTTTATAGAACCGACGTTCAGAAGAATTGGTCTGAACGTGTTGAATTCCCTGCCGTCGGGCCTGATTCCTTGTGATAGGAATTCTCGGTAGTATTTAACAGGATGAAGAGTTCTACAAAATGAGTTAAGTTGAAACACAAAATACCGACGCGAGAGTTTATACACTTACTTATAACCGTCAGACATTGTTTATTAAATTATTTATATAATGTTTAAAGTTTAAACGAGCTTTTTAGAACAAACTTGTTGATTAACATTTAAAAATGCATTTAACTTAACCTTACTTTTCTTCTTGTCTGTTTTTGTTTTTTGTTAATGCTAAATGTCAATGTAGAAGGTGACAGTTAGATGGCCTCTACTAACACTAGGAACAAGTTAGAAATCTACAAACGAACGCACCTGATTTTTTTTACTGTCGGTTAACCTGTCAATTTAAAATTTGCGTAGATATTAAATTTAAATTAACAAAATATCATTTATTTAATCGTAATTAAAATGGGAAAACTTGGGATGTATGGATATAATTCTGAAGGCAATATCTAAAAAAATTATCCAATATATTAAACAAAAAAAACAATATATTAAATGATTGTCCCAAATATTCTCCCGCCCTAGGGTAATACAACTTTTATTTGAGCAATAGATTAAATATTCGTCACGCTAACGAATCATTTCTGTACCTGCAAAGGACCTTGATATACTTTCTTTGATTTAGGTACATACATCATTTACACTTAATTCCCAATTCAAAATTATTTAAATGTAATGAACTCTCGGGGAATACCAGATGTAATAATCCAGATATAATGAAGAAAATGAAACTTTCGAATAAACTTCGCTCTAATCTACATCCATATTTAATTAGCACAAAAGAAACAGGTTAATTTACTTGCATTTTGAGGGTCGACTGTTCCAAGGCTCGCGATTTGCGCGAAAATGCTTTCAGTATCGAAAATTTCAGTTTTCAGTCGGACTGTTTTCAGGAGCGCAGTCACGCACGCTATACAACCTAAACCTATTCATTTAATTGAAACACACGTGTTGGGATAGTTACAGTTCCATTTCAAGTGGGTTTTTATGAGGGTGGTGGATGGCGGTTGAAAAACATGTGGATTTTAAAGGATCCAGAAAAAGAGAGTGAGTTTCAACATTATTGTAGATGCACTGAATAAATAACAATAAATAAATGCAAACAACAATAACAATAAATAAAACAATAATCAACCTCTCTACCTTGTATCATTTTCTTGCTGAATACCTCAGGTATAATGAGATGCAACTTTTACCGCACAATTATCCTGTTTTGCAAGCTTTTTGTAGCACCAACTTTAGAGTCTAATTCAAACATCTAACAAATTTAAATTGCGTTTCAAATCGAAGTAATTGCTTGGTTTTTATTGCGGCAACTTTTGTAGCAATACCAAAAAAACCACGACGAGTCGATCGGGCGAAAGTTGTGTAAGGTCCTTTCGGCAGGAGTCGAGTCGACGCGTCTCCTGCTGTTACGACGACCCGCTGGCCTAGAATTCCAGATTTGATATCGCTACTTCAAATCTGCATTTTCGTCACTATTTTCTTTATAATCTCCACGGCAATTAACTCCCCTATTTTTCATTTCTACGATTTTCGTATTAACTAAAATCGTTAAAAACTAAATGAGCTGCCGTAAAAATAAATTACCTTACCCAATAGCGGGTTTATTAATAATTTACACGGCATTGAGGCTCGAAAATTTTTGTCCTTCGCCTTCACCTCCGCTTAATTTTCCTATTTCTAATAAGTAGATTTCGGAATTTATTCTTACTATGTGGGTATATCGATGAGTGTTGTTCCAACGCAAAACAATAAAGGGATTTAAACGGATTTGCGTGTCGAAATTAACCAGCTCTTTTATCATCAAAACCGATTCAATGCACACCACCTAACTCGCAATTGTGTTCGTTTAACTCCTGAAATTAAAATCTTTATCGCCTCATCGGTTTAATGTAATTGCGCGCTTTAACTCTAACAAACTTTCTATACAATTGAGCCTGAAATAAATATATATTTTTTCAGAATTAAAGATGTGTATAGCACAGAAACAGATATTTGGATACCTCCTGTACCGCCAGAGGTCGGTGTGGATGATCTATGGTTGTACCGCAGGAAAAGACCTGGTAAGTACCTACTCCTGCAAAAAATCGAGTAATATGTGCATATTAATTTCAAGATCACGCTTGGTTGATGGACAACATAAAAATCGAGGAAGGCTCTTTCCACCATTTGAAAAGCGAGTACACGAGGCGATTTAAAAATTTCTACGATGCTATCAAATCATCACTTAATGGAGTAAGTAATTTTCACTATATCTCCAACGACATTTTCGCAAGGCATGCTAGGTTTAATAGCTATATTTTGTCCAGTAGTTCTGGATTTCCCTATAAAAATTAAGCATAATTTCCAATAATTAGGAATTTTCAGAAAAATCATTCGTGCGACGAAGAAATCAAGGAGGAAATTCGATTAAAGGCGGAAAGACCGGCGGAATACAATGGATCTTTTAATAGAATCGACTCGCAAAGGTCGAACGATTTTCCAGGCGGTATAAAGAACATCGAAACTGCCAACAGGTAAAGTGTCGCCTGGAAAAAATATTAATTAAAACCCGGTTATTTGCGTAGCCTATTTTTAGTTGGTGCATTGTCGGAAAGAGGCGAGGGATAATTAATATTAAAAACATCGATTATCGATGGTAGATTTTCTGAATCCTAATGCATATCGCTTTAATTTAATCTAGCTAATGGACATATTTAATAAGAAAAGCTCGCATGTTGCCCAAACTAAATATCGTTCAATGCACATCATCCCAAAATTACATTAAGCATGGGTATACTTTGAGCGAGCACTCCTTCGATAATGACCGCTTCCATCAATTCGCCTAATGCAAATCATCCTAAAAATGTTTTCCTGAATGTTTTATCGATTTCTCATGAATTTACATCGAGTCGAGAATATTTGTTTTCGTAGTCCGGAATGCAAATAGGCATATCAGAAGCCATCCAGCTCTCGTATGGTTCAGTCACGGCACGTGTGCCCTCCTCAGGTCGTCGTAAATAAGTTTTTTTATCGAAAAGAATTATCCCGGGTTTTTATTCATCCGTGTCAAGGTGAGGTGGGATTTCCGTTTCGCTTTTATTCGCAATATACAGTACAGTATTTGTAATTTTCGGTCGGTTTTTTTTAAGGTCGAAATCCCTGGAAAGTTTGATTAAGTTTGGCGGTAGATCGCCCCGTAGAAGTTTATACAGAAGACCTACAAATCTCAAAATCGAAGGGGAATTTTATCATTTAACAGAATACGCCGATGAATTCGTTGAATACTTGTTAGCTAAAAGGGCTATATTGTGCAGAACACCGACCACGTTGAAATTAGGTAAATATTTCAACTGCTGTAATCAATCATCCTTTGTTTCTTATAGCTTTCAGAAATTTGTAAAAATAGAATTCTCCTAATTCGTATTTAGGTACAGGAGAGATGGAAACAAAGACTGAATCAATGGACCAATTCGTGCGATACGAACCCATGGAAAGGCCCAGTTTGTGCAAAAGATTCACTAACTTACATTTAGAAGGTGATTTGGAGATGGAAAAACCGGAAAACCGGGAAAAATTCGCTCCCTTCGTACTGCCTACTCGCCCACCACTCGTCAAGAAACCCACCAATCTTCACATACAAGGAGATTATTCTCTAATTCCCGAATACAGGTAACTATACCACAACTTCACAACAAATTTATATTTAATAATCGCTCAACCAGGCATCAATACGTCCAATACACAAACCCCGAACGAACTGAACCGATACTGCCTTCGCACAATTTGAAATCCGCCCGGCTCTTCGAAGGTCCTTCGGGGGAACCACACACTTTCGGCGGCAGGACCAGCCCGTTGATACCGTTCCTGCGCGATTCCTGCAACTACCGCGGTACTGAAGAGCCCAAATCGAGACGAAGCAATTCATCGAGCAGATACCACAGCACCATGACCTTAAATCGCGCCTCCTCGCAGCCCAATTTGACCAAATCGGCCGCGGGCGAGGGCAGGAAGAAAATCCGGAAAAACGCTTATTTGGAGTTCGAGGGTAGCTTAGAAAGGAAAGCGACTCCTAGAAGAGCTCAGCATGAGTACAATAATGTCGATTTACCCCGGGGAAGACCTCGAGTTAGGAAACCGGAGAGTCACTTCACTTCCGAAGGAGAGGTAATTGTTAATTTAACGCATCGGGTAGTTGTGATTGAATTGATTAATTTAGGTTAAATACGTTACGGAAAATCGAGATAAATGCCGAGAAAAGTCATCTGTTATCGATGATTTGTTCGGAAAGCAAGAGGACTATAGAGAGCCTGAGGGGCGGTTTGAATGCCAACCCGAATACAGAAAAGCCTATTTGGATTATTTAATCAGGGAAAAACCGCCGCAGGGTCAAAGAAGAAGAATATTAGAAATACCAGACATAAATATTAATGATAAAACCATAAACGAAGCTGAGCTATCCAGGTAAGATGCAGCAGGTTTGAGCTTTCTTCTTGATTCATTGCCCTTTGGTCATGATCCTTGGATCATAGTGTTGGTTTATTGTCCTAAAAATCAGCTGGATTTTGGGTTCACGAACCTTCCCAATATTCTGCACTTGAACTAAGCCCAGTTCTGATCCTTAAACGTTTCAGCTTAGTGGACAAACCAGCAAAACCTGAACCTACCTCAAAGGAAGAGAAACCTGCACCTTCGTCCCCGAAAATCGCCCAGCCTATAGCCCCTTCGCCCGAAACGGATGCTTCGAAATCTTCGAATCGCAGGAGAGGTTCAGGTAAAAGAGTTTTTCCTAGATCTTCGACACCGTCGCCGGCTCCTCCTGCGGATAATCGAAGTACTGCTTCTCCGAGGTCGGGGGGTAATTGGAGGAGGCACCAGTTCAAGGAAACCATTGGGGAGACCGCCGCGGGGAATGCTTGGAACTCTTTGGAAGCCGATCCTGCTTTTTTCGTGCTGGGCGATCGGGCGCACAGTCGCAGGACCGCCAAGAAGGATTTGTATAAGGAGCAAAGGTGGATGCCTTCGTGGCACAGCGGGGAATTTTAGTGCTTTTAACAGAAATAAATAGGTGTTAGAATCGTTGTGAATCGAGCTTGTTGTGTAATATGTAAGTAGACAAGATACTTCTTAACTGCCTTTAATTTAATATTCTCCAAATAGTTAACTACATCCTAAAATAACACTTACATATATATTTAAATTGTTACAAAACTATACAACAATCGTTTACTGTTTACTGAACAAATTAACGTTTTAATACATAATTTTATCACTCGTTAGCAAGCGTTTCTGAACGGTGTATTTCGTACACTCGATAATTAAAAAAAAACGTAGAAAATTTTTATAATATACAAAATCTATGTATCAATAAAACTACGAGTAAATCGAGCGAGATGATTTTGAGGAAAGACATTCGTTAAAATACTGATTTGGACTTAAGATTAAACGAAATTGAGCCACAATTTTACCACAATTACTCATACAAAGGGTTGAAAAATTAAGGGCACATACTAGAAAACTAGATATGCGCCTCCTATTACACTAAAACCCTGTTTTATGCGTTTTAAACATGCGAAATACATTACTATTGAACGTTAATACATAGATACTAATTTTATCTTTAATTCTTATCCCTAAATATTAGCATAAAAAATCGAAATACAAACGAGCATTGGTTTAAATATTAACTGCATTCAAAGTCAATTACATGACATCAAAGCTCACTTTGTAGAGCTTAGAGAAACCAAAAACTTTGAATGCAATTTAGCATGGCGTCGCCAATTTTACATATATTTCTCCATAACGAACTAATCAGCTGGTTATTACGAAATTATTAGAAATTATCTACATTCAAATCAATTCCGCTTGTGCTATTTAACGGGTAAACATATACATACAAGCCGTTCTTTTAACGAGGAAATTTAAAAATTATTGGTATAGACATTTTTATTTATATTTACATAAACACTCATTCTCCATTAGAAATATATGTAATTTAAACGCTGTAGTTTGGGAATACCCGCCTGGCGAGGATATGATGGACCTATATACAGGGTGTCTCAAATACGAAAGTTCGAAACCACCTGTATATATGATAATAAATTCGGCGATTATAGCCTATATGTTCCTTATAATTAGTAATCACAACGATGACAGACACACTTAACAGCTAAGGGTAAGTTTATAAGTAATTTTACAAAAAACTTTTTTTATTTTTTGGTAAATATTTTATATATCTATACATTGGTACGCAAGTCGCCTTGCCAAATTTAAACACAAATTTTTAGTGATAAATATTAATTGATATTCGAAGATATAAAAATAATGTTGAATTAAAAATTGGTCAATTTTTTTTTGGATTTTCACGTTACATTAGATATGATTAATTACCAGTATATAATATAATTTTCAAATTGTTTATAATATAATGGAGATCTTCTATTACATACAATAAAAAAAACGGATATTTTGATTAATTTGGGAGGGATTATAAATTTTCGAAGCTTCTTATAAATATTTTTCTATACAAATAAATTTAAATATTTTTTAACATCGTATTTAAAATTTACTAATCTAGCTCTATAAAAACGAGCAAAAAAAATCTTTCTGCAGACACACAATTAAACTTTTTATTTCCGCTATATCTATTCTTTTCTTCCTTTTAGGGAAATATGAAATATCGCAGTAAAGCGCAAATATCAAACACGAAAGTGTATACAGCATTTTCCCCGGAGACTATTTAAAAAGATTATTGTTGATGTCCGAGAATTGTTCAGGGAAAACGGAATGAAAAATCGGCCCTTCGTGCAAACTCGGTTAAAACGTGTTTAGCAGGATTTTCCGGCCATGTAAAGCATCCGACACGAACTAACCTCCGAAAATTCCTTATTCAATCGATTCGAAAGCCATGAAAAGAAAAACGAAAAAAAAATTCCTTTCGAAAGAAATTTAATTACCTTCTTTTTTGTATGAAGAGAAAAAGCGAAAAACTAAAGGTCGCAATTTAATTCGCCGAAATTACTCTTTAATTACGAATTTAATGAATAAAACAGGGGACATTAATAAAGCATTAAAGAAATTCCCTAGAAAAACAACGTTCCGAAAAGTAACTTCATTAGGACGGGAAAATGAAACTCCGTTTCAACGGAATGTTCATCGAACGATATTCGCGGGTCGCCCACAAAAGGAAACTTTCCGACGGGTTTTCACATGGAAATTCAAATACGTGTAAGGTAAGCGAAAATGCACAGAGACTTAAATGATAAAAACCCGCATAATATTAAAATTTACATATTCCCAGAAAAATCACATTCCTCCTCGACATGTGTCTTTGTTTCGTGAAAGATTACTCGGCGCAATTTCCTCACCAGAAACACAACTAGGTCAGCTATAGTACCGACCCGAGGAAAAGCAGATTATTCCAGGGATATATTCCTGCTGAAAACAGGAAATAGATGCCGTGCGAATAGATTCGCAAAGCAGAAAAGAACCTTTAATTCATCTCCTCCATTGCTGGATAAAATGCATGACAACAAAACGCGCGAAACATAATAAGCAAATAGATTTCTATTAATAAATATGTGATACTTTTTTTTTAACCAAACTCTTTAACTGACTATATATTTTAATGAAATGCTGGTTATACAATTAATTGGACGGATACTTCAGATGGCCGCGATTTTGTAAAATGCAATTAAAAAAAGTCTTTTGCTTCTTCAAAAACTCCTTTCGAGAAGAATTCACATAAATATCAGTACGGTTAATTGAAGCTCCATTACTTTTTTCGGATTAAATTCGGATCAAAGTACAATCCTGGTGGATCACTCATCGTAGAAGTTCATAATAAAATATCTAGTCAGTAGATTGGAATTCGAAAATACCTAGAAGCTTTAGGACATGGTGCACTCGTCGGTGGCGCTCTGCGCGTCCCTCATCTGCTGCTTGGCCTTCCTGGAAGCCCTCCGGATGAGCGACCTGGACCGCGGCTTGGCCAGGCTCTCCTTGGACTCGGACGGGCCGGCCTTCTCCTTGTCGACGGCCGGACTGGCCGCCCTCCTGCCGCCCTTGTTCGACACGTACGCGCTCGACCGCCTCTTCAGCCCGCCCGGCTCCTCCGGGTCGTGGGGCAGGATGCGCGACAGCGCCAGGAACGTGCGGAATATCTCCCTGATGTTGATGTCGTCTTTAGCCGAACATTCCAGCACCTTCACTCTGCAAAATTACACCAACAGATTATTCTACAACCTTCCACGATCTACAATAAATTTACCGAAGCTTCGGGAGTTCGCAGTACACCCATTCGGAGACGTCTTCGATGGGGATCTCGCGGTGCGTGGAGGTCAGGTCCAATTTATTGCCGGCTATCACGATCGGTATCTCCTGGAAGTCGCCCCGTTGCTCTCTGATCTCCTCGAAGCATTGCTTCACGCAGTCCAACGACGGCGCCGACGTCACGGCGTACACCAGCAGGAAAGCGTGAGCCGTGGCTATGCACAGTCTCCTCATCGCAGGAAACTGCATGTCTCCGGCCGTGTCCAGGATGTCCACCTAATGGAACAGCGACAGTTCTATGGGTATGTACCGGCTTTTGGAGAGAAGATAAGTACATAGAGGAATTGGTGAGTTTATGGGAGTAGAAAAGTAAAGGTAATGGGAAAATGAGGAAGGGAAAACAGTTAGAGCACTGACACCATAAGATCTGTATGGAATACAAGATAAAGAAGGAACCGAAGGTGCGAATATCCTCGTTGAAAAATCAGAAGATTAGAGAAATAGGGGGAAGGAGAGGAAGCTGTAAAAACGATTCTAAACCTGCAACGACTCACCTTCAGAGTCATATGACCCAAATCGTACTCCCTGTTGTACAAATCTTCGATTGTGCTCTTGTACTTGCTGTTGTAGGTGTTCAGCAGGAATCTCTTTACGATGGAACTCTTGCCGACGCCCGGCCCGCCTAAGATAACTAGGCGGATTCGTTCGTAATCTGACATTGTTGTGCGGTTATTATTCATTCACTGCAAACGGAACTTCGCTGATACAATCATTGAAACAATTATAGCCGAACTTACGTCTTTTTGTATTGGAAATGTCTGCGCTTTATTCCATAAGTGTGATTGGCAATGGATCGATCATCGATCGCTAGTATTGCGAGTGACAGCTCGAAGTCGGGCGAACCTATAGGTGGAAACGAGGTGTTTGAAAGAAAATTAATTAAGCGACCGTTCGATTTAGAAGCTCGGAATGGCGGCGTGTCATTAGTTGCGTTTAAACGGTTTTAGTTTCGGGGCGAAGTGGTTGAGAATTAAACTCGATGTCGTCGGTTTTGTTGGTAATTTCGTAGCGGCATTTTCTCGACTTCGCCTGCAACAAACAAGTTTTGATTTTTACTTAACGTCGCGATGGAAACATGTTCTGCTTCTGGTATACGAACGAGCGAAAAGGGAGGTAAACTGTTCTATTATTTGAGATGAAAGAAACACTACAGTAAACGGCGCTTCTACACAAATGCCAATGTCTCCGAATTTAATATTCACAACAAAAGGAAACTGCTCACAGAATAAGTAGGTATATATGGAATTGGCAAAGCCTCTCGTACAAATAAAAGTATCGAGGAATCACTGCATTATAACGAAATATAAACTAGTCAAATAGGAAACGGCAAACTCCCGATATTAATTCGTAATAACATTCGTTCGTTTGTGGACAAAACTTTCAGATTCCAATTCTAGTTCCTCCCATTAGGGACGCGACTCTTATTAGCTACAGTCATGCGGTTTGTATGCTCCTACACAAAGTTAATTAAAGATCAAAGCAAACATGAAATAACACTATTATCACAACTAAAACGAAGCATTGTATGTGTAGTTCGGTGTATTCGATAAAATAAAGTGAAGAAGAAGAAGATGGCCGAGAGCCGGGAGGAGAGTGTAATCCCTTCGACCACTTATGCGAAATTAAATAACCGCGGCGTTGCTTAATTAGCGTCTGATTGAATTAGGAGTGTAATTGGGAAGAGTGGATCCTCGTTCGGGTGCCGTCTTGCATTTGATTCGATTTCCTAAATTGCTCGTTACCAGGAATTATCAGGAAACTGTTTATTATTCCCGCGACCGCCATAGTCGAATGTTAACATGTTAATTAGCGCGATATGCGCTATGTTGCATGGTAATTTGTAGCCGATACAAAGCTTTTCTGGTGCATAAATGGAGACGGAAGGGATCAGGAGGCTATTATGTGTTTGTTTAGATGCAATATGTACCGAGGTAATATCGCAATATTGATATAATGTTGGAGTTTATTGCAATGGGGGTAATCGATTTAAGTATATCGGGATGGAAATGGTGGATGTTAATTAAAAAAGGGATGATTCACGAGTCGTTCGAAGCCGCAGAAACGCTTCAATTAGCATATTTAATCGGGTTTTTCCAGTGTTTATGTGCGAATGTAAAACTCATTTCCTTCGAGATTTCCACCACTCTCGATTCAGATGTAGAATAAATAATTTGGCGAAAATTGTCGAATCATTAAATGTAGCGCTAAATTAATTTCATATTACAAATTGATTATTATTAACATGTTGGCACAATTAAATTATGCAAAATTACTGCATAATTAAATTTTATGCACTATACACGAAATTTTATTCATTGTAGTCGAAATGCGTTGTAGTAATTAATTCAATTAACGCAATGTTAAAGTGTGTTGAAATTAAAATATTAACTCAAAGGACTCTCCCGAAAAACGAATTTTGTTTCAAATAATTAACAAATTTGGAAATCGAAGTTAATCGAACAATTTTCAGTTTCCTGGACCAGAGAGTTGTATAATTTGCGCGAAATACCGCATGGGAAAAGAGGAGCAATTAAAAGATTACACTAGGGTGAACAAAAACGGTCTTGAATTATCGGAAATAAACATCTCGCATCAGAAAATAAAATATTTTCAAAGTGTTCTTTTATTAAAGCGATTTTAATTGCGACGTCGAAAAGTCACAGGAATCATCAAAGTCAAAGAATTATCATCATTATTTATTTTATTTAATAGGCGAATGTAAATGTTCGTAATTTTAAGTAGGTAACATTACTCCAGTATTTTTTTTTATTATTTAACTAACCATTACAGTCGATAATTAATTTGTGCATATTATTAAATTAATTAATGTATTTCTACAAGCATGCATTTTAAAGCATTTTATACTAAATTTATCGTCCCGGAAATAATTGGAAAAAAACGGTTGATCGGACTCTATATTTTCATTTAGAGAAGTAATTCATATAGAAATTTCGTATTTTTAGATTCCCAACCATTATTTTATGAAAACACACGCTTTGATCAACGCCACATTTAATTAATTATTGTTAGATTACAACAGAAAATACCGGTATTTATTTGCTAAAAATTCACTATATTTGCACAAAGCGCTAAAAGGGCACCCGAATGAATTTTTCCACACAAAGAAGTTTCCTCTAAACGCAAAATAAACAACAGTGTTGTCAAATACACGCTAAATACGCTTCGGCTTGCGACCCTTTTTGTATCAAGAAAGTTTGTTTTCTATACACACGAGGGTTGAAACGCAAGACGAAGTATCTTCACCCACACATATGTTCCCTAAATAAGTATACAAGACAAGATGTTAGAAGGTGATTCTAGGGAGTATTTCTCGCAAAAAATCGTCATTGAATCAAAAGCATTGACGTTATTGAGTCAAGTATTGCATTGAGTCAATTATTGACGTCAATGAGGCAAGAATTCACATCATTGAGTCAAGCGAATCACAGTGCTATATTGTCACTTAATCAACCAATAAAAGCCCACAATTACACCTTTCCAGTATAGTTTCTAAATACTTTTTCTCTATAATCTTTTTACTGTAGCAATATTTAATATTTCCTATTTCGAATATTCCTGTTTGTTTTGAATTTTTAAGGCTCTCTCGACGCCCTCGCGAACTGAAACTTTTTTATGGATAACGGTAAAGAACTCGGTAAAATGGCAGGAATAAAATTTCAATTTTTGTACACCTTCGAGGACAATGGAAACGATTCCGACGTCTTTAAAAATTTCTTTGCAACTTTTTAAAAACTTCCACTCTCTTTAAAAACTCGTGTACCGAATTGTGTACGTACAATATTTTTCTAAAATGAATTTATTCGCATGCGTGATTTCAAATGGAATTTTCACAAAAGAATTTACGCCTAATTTAACGTGTGCTCCGTTTGCAGGTATGTTAATATTATTCCTGCTTAATTAGGCGTTGTTTTTGAACTCCTGTAAAGAAACTTCTTAAAATTCCCCGTTTTGAACCCATTTTTACGAATTCAACTGTAGTTTTTTAAAGAGGAATATCGATGAGACCAAAGGGCCGGGTCCGGTCCTGGAGCGCTTCGACCTCGCTTGCTTCGATGTGGGTTTTGCCCCTCTACGTTGGCTAGTGTATGCGCTGTGTGCGTTTTCTCGTTTCTCGACTGGCTGAAAAATCGATTGCTCCGATTTTAGTGTCGCCTTGTTGCTGGTTTCATTGCACTTTAGGCGTCTATTTTGTTATTAAATAATAATTAAACCGCTTTTTAATTTACACATTCGACTGAGTGGTTTATCTGTGCTTACTTGTGCGGTCCATAATGCCTGTATGACGATTATGGCGAAAATTAGAAGAATGTAAGTGTATAAGGAAATTAATTTTGTATTTACAAAGCGCATTATTGTAGGTTATGTCGGTGGTTTTCGTTAAATTTTTTGTATTGGAATTTATTGATATAGTTTATGAAATTCGAGCGCAATTTTTTATAATTTTAAATTAATTATTTTTGTAGCTCATGCATGAATTTAATTAGTAATAAATTAATTGGAAATGAAAAGTGCGTGTAACGATAATTGTTAATAAAATATGAATTTGAATTATTTTGTATTGAATTTGAATTTATATTATTATTATTATATTGATGCATTTAATTATACACTTCCTTATTTGTGCTAAAAAATTGTTATGCAATTAGTATGATTATAATTTAATTGTTAAATATCGATTATTCACAAATGATTGTTATTAGTAACATATTAAAACGTAAGAAAATAAATTATGCCAATTAATAAAAATTGTCCAAGTACTTAGCGCATTTGTATTTTTAATAACTTGTAAAATAGTTAGGTATAGTTCACTCAGATAATCTAGGAGCACTAAATTTTTATACTCCGTTCGTCATCAGTAGATAGTAATAGAACCATATTTTGTATAATAAAATAAAAAATAAATAGGTACTATTTTTAATCGAATATTCATTATATGTAAGTGTATATTTCATTATTAGTGTATATTTCCTTATTTTACAGATAACAAAAAAGAAGAAATGACTTCGTTAAATTCAACAGAAATCAAAAGCGAATCAGAAGAATTAGATACCAAAGAGAACATCGACATCGCGGATCAAAAAAACGCCATCAAAGAAGAATGCAAAGAAGAAATACCCGTAAAATCCGACGACGACAATTACGAAACATCATCCTCGGACGACGACGACGACGAAAAACACACAAAGCAAAAATCCGAGAAATTAAAATACCCCTGCACGCTCTGCTCCGCCTCCTTCGAGAAAACGGTGCTCCTAAAGCGCCATCTGCGCATGCACCCGGAGGACAAAAAGTACAAATGCAACGTCTGCAACCGCAGCTTCGGCCACTTCGGCCACTACAAGAGGCACATGGTCAGCCACACCAACGAGAGGAACTTCATATGCGAGATCTGCAGCAGCAGCTTCCGCCACGAGGACAACCTGAAGCGACACATATTGATCCACACGGGCGAGAAGAACTACAGGTGCGCTACCTGCGGCAAGGCCTTCACGCAAAGCTCCTCGTTGAAGCAGCATTACATCACTCACAATGGCGAGAAGAAATTCAAGTGCGAGACGTGCCATAAAAGCTTCAGCCGCTTGAACGCCTACAAGAAGCATCTGTTGATCCACACGGGCGAGAAGAAGTTCCAGTGCAACATCTGCGGCAAGGCGTTTTACGGGAAACGCGACGTTATTCGACACCGGGTGACTCACACCGGCGAAAAGAACTACATCTGTCCCATTTGCGGGCACAGCTTCGGGCACGAAAACTCGCTGAGAATGCATCTGTTGATACATTCCGGCAAAAGGAAGCACAAGTGCGCGATTTGCGACAAATCCTTCTTCACCAACGCCGCGCTCAAGTCGCACCAAATCAGCCACACCGGCGAGAAGAACTACAAATGCGAAATCTGCCACAACAACTTCGCCTATTTGAACACCTACAAGAAGCACATGCTGACGCACACCGGCGAGAAGAAGTACAAATGCCACATCTGCGAGACCGCCTTCACTCAGAGCTACTGTCTATCCAGGCACCTGAAGATCCACACGAGAGAAAACTCATCTGCGCCGAAGGTGCGCGAGCGGGAAAAGGCCGAAACGTTGGTGACTCGAGCCGGGGAGAAGAACTTTAAGTGCGAAATGTGCGGCAGTACTTACGCCCATCTGAAAAACTACAAGCGGCACTTGCTGGTGCACACCGAGAAGAAGTACAAGTGCAAGATCTGCGATAGAGGATTCACCAGGAGCTTTTGCCTCAAGAGACACTATAAGGTGCACGCGGAGAAGAAGGCTCAGAAACCGCCCACGCCGCCGCCCATAGAACCCCAATTAGAACCGCAAATAGAAGATAGAGAACTCGCCCAATTGGGGGTTCTTCAAATGCACGAAGGTGATTTCAAAATGGAAAACGTGGATGTTAAAGTGGATGTAAGAAATGAAAGTGTATCACAACATAATACCGATTGGTCGACGGATATAAACTCTAATACTCAAGATAGTTTCATGTTTACAATAGACAATTACGTATCTAACACCGACGGTGATGATAAAGATGATGTGCAATCGGATTCTCAAGAAATTCCTAGCGAAATAAAATCGGAAAACGAAGAAACAGTTAAACCCGACTTAGAAGTAGACATTAAGAAACTACTAAACTACGAATACGGCGGTAAAAAGAAATTCACCTGCACCTTATGCTTCCAAGTATTCGAAAAAACTGTAGACTTGAAGCGACACTTACGAACGCACCCGGAGAAGAAAAAATACAAATGCATCGGTTGCAACCAGAGCTTCGGCCACTACGGGCACTTCAAGCGGCACGTCCTCACCCACACCGGCATCAAAGACTTCATCTGCGAGATCTGCAGCAAAGGCTTCCGCCTGGAGGACACCCTCAAGAAGCACCTGCTCATCCACACCGGAGAAAAGAACTACAAGTGCCCCACCTGCGAGAAGACCTTCACGCAGAGCTCCACGCTGCGCCAGCACATCGTCACGCACACCGGCGAGAAGAAGTACAAATGCGGCACGTGCGGCAAGCAATTCGGCCAGGTGAGCAACTACAAGAAGCACCTGCTGATCCACACGGGCGTGAAGAAGTTCCGCTGCAACTTCTGCGACAAGGCCTTCTACGACACGGCCTGCCTGAAGCGCCACCGGCTGATCCACACCGGCGAGAAGAACTTCACGTGCAACGTGTGCCACCGGAGCTTCAGCAGGGAGAAGTGCTTGCGCAGCCACCAGGCCATCCACACCGGCGAGAAGAAATATAAATGCGCTTTCTGCGAGAAATGTTTCTACACCTACTCGGGGCTAAAGAGCCACGAGATCAACCACACCGGCGAGCAGAAGTACCAATGCGACACGTGCAGCAAGTGCTTCATTCACAAGAGCAACTTCAAGAAGCATTTGGCTATTCACGATGTCGATAAGAAATTCAAATGCATGGATTGTGATAAAGGATTTTATAGGAGCGATCATTTGAAGAAGCATACTATGCGAATGCACAGCAGGTAAATGTGATAAAGGTGCGGTAAAAGTGTCGTGTTGTATGTAATTTGTATGTAATGAGTACATTTTTATAATCGTAGACGAAATATTGTAAGGTACTCATCGACTTTAAATGCTGGTTTTTTGTTGCCAATTTTAGGCTCGATTTTAGTCTCGAATATTTTATTTAAATCCCTATTTTGTAAGTACAAAAATCGATTACCTGAATCCTGCATTTTTTTTTTCACCTCAAATTCGAAGAATGTCATTAGCTCGTCGACGGGTTCGTACTTGACATGTGAGTGAAAACCGCTTAACAAGTCGATAATTGTTAGAGAAATTAATTCCGCATGAAAACCGCAACATGTTTCTTGAGCGGTCGCGGTTATCGGCGTTGAAACCTCCAAAGGAACGTGGAAGTCCCGGAAAACGGAATCAAATTTCGGCGCCCGAGCGAGTTCCAGGGGGTATTAGAAGGAATTCGGGTTGCTGCCAATTGTAATCGATTAAATCGTCGCGATCCTAGTGCGTTGTAAATTCGAATAGCGGTTTAATTAGAATCTACAATTAGTAATTGGATCAGATTTAATCCACTAAAACTAAATTGTAAATTCGAGCACCTATTAATTTAGTATTCCTGCTGTTAAGTGGTTTTTTATTTCGTAAGTTAATTTAGTTTGTATCTAATTGCTCGAGGTATGCCAACAAACTGCGTTACTCAATATAATGTAGCATTGTTTTAATTTTTTATCGAATCACTCGGTAAAAATGAAGATAATTTAAATAGCAAGTTACATGGACAAGTGAGTATGGTTCATATAAGAATTTTCCCTTTTTTCCTTGACTCGACAACCGTTAAAAAAACCTCCATCATTTTCCATTGAAAATAGTATGAAATTTCGAGCTTAAACGGCTTCCACGTTTGGGGTCGTAATAAAAGTAATTTCGCGAGAAATTACACATTTTATGATCGAAAAACTGATTGAATTCAACTGTGTGTAGGTTGAATTATAGGTCTGTTACATAAAGGAGCTTTCGATGAAACGGAGTTATACCGTATATACATATAAATTTTATGGAAAATTTGGAAACCCCTCTAGAATTATTATCGTGAATAGAACAATAGTAAAGTATTTACCTTAGTAGCTTTATGAATCATTATTTGATGAATCGCGTGAGGATTTAAATGCTACAAACGTGAATAATTAGGTCAAATCTTTCAATAATAGTACTCAAAATAACTTAAGAACGAGAACATATTACACTCCAAGAATTATCCATGTTTTAACGGATTGTATTTTATTGCATTAGTCTCTGTTTAATTTAATTTAATCTCTGTTAAATCTGTTTTGTCTCCGGTTATTTTCTGTTTAGGCTATATTATCATTGGGCAATTTTGTCCTGGGTTATGTTAATAGTCTAAAGTTAACCCCCATATTAATTACCAAAGTAACTGTTTTTATTATGTGTAGGATCCAATGTTTTTGTTAGGTTTTACGTTAATATTTTTACCCTCTGCAGGGGATGTTAAATGTTAGTTAAACATAGAATAACAACCCGCGGGTGTTCAACTCGGAAAATGTACTCTACGGAAATAAATGATACCTACAGTTTTTTTTCCTTTATCGAGAACTTGTGTATGCCATTAGCGAGAGAACGTTGAGTAAAAAGGGTAATTTTCAAGCAAATGTTCTCGATAATGGATTAAGTTCTATTCTCATTTTTCGTTGATAAAAGCGATGGATTTTGAAGTGCCGAACGTATTTCAATCGAAACGTGATATATAAATACGTTTTCTATATTGCGATTAGAGTTGTTGTATAAAGTTTCACTTAATTACAGCATATATATGCGATATTAATGTAATTATAAGGTTGCTTGTTTGACTTCCATTACGGTATAGTAATTTTCGAAACGATTGAATTTAATTTAATCCATATATCAATCCAATTAAAAAATATTTGATGGCGTTTTACCACCGAATTTCGGATTATATTTTTCAATTCAGGTAGAGCTAGTTTGGAAATAAATTCGATTACATGTTACCACATTTACATAGAAATTTCTGATTTGAATTTAAAATCGACCAAGGGCGGCCGAACGAAAGGGAAGACGAAGAATCCTCGCATACCAATATTTCGAATTTCACGGTTTATTGTTTAAATTTAATTATGTCATGTTTATATAACCGAGAAAGGGTTCATTGCCAGTGTACCGAATATCTGAATTTTACTTTGATAAAAAAATCGCATGTTTATTTAATTCGAGATTTTTTTTTACCTATCCATAAAGTGCAGATAGGATACTTTTTAATATAATCCAGGCACATATATAATTCGGGCTTGTTTTAAAAATAAAACGTAAAGTTCGACGAAAATAAAAGGCAAAGTAAATTTAATATCTTGACTAAAAAAAATCGCAAACTCCACGTTCATGCAGCATGAATTCCTACCTGTACCTAAGTACAGAGGATTTTATCACTCTTTGTGAAAATTTAAACTTTACGCGACAGATGGATCGATTACAAAGTAAGTTTCAACTCGGATTACTAGTTTGTTTTATACGGATTTTCTAGTTTATTACTTAGCGATAACAAAGAGGAGATTCCCGTTTTACATTACCTTTTAATACCCCAACGAATACGTATTTAACTGTAACATATTTTCAACGTATCGGAGCTATTTTAATTGCATCAAGAATCATCCATACGCCGGCATGAAGTTTCCATTTAGTATCTGTTATATTGTTACTTGCGAGTTTGAGGGTTGCTGTTCCAATTCCATTATGTTCGCGTGTCGGGATAGCGCTTATTGAGATGTTTGAATTGTGTTTGAATTGCGAGAGCGGAACTTGTACAGCTCATAATTATTTTCAAAGGATCGTTATAGAGTTTGTACGGCACATCCCCTTATCAATGTCAAAATCGAGCCAAATACAACATTCGTTATACCTACAATACGTGGAATTACTTAGCTTGTAGTTTGCCTGTAAAATTTCGAAGGAGATCCAAAGATTAGAATCTTTAATAGAGTGGTTTATTGGTAAATAAATCGTTGAAAACGCGAGTGATTAGCTCGGTGATTGAATGAGGTTTGATAAAAATCGAATCAACAAGCTCGTAAAGCGAGTACCGGCCTAATTGACAATAAATATCAATAAATGCGTTTGTAATTGCGATTTTACGATTTATGTTCCTAATAACGGCGGATACGCGGAAATCAAAAACGGATTTTACGACGTAAAAATTCCGACTGTTGCGGCGGCATCGATCCAACGAAATTATCTTCGAACGTATAAATTTCGTTTGGTTGATAGAACATCCCTCTAGCGGCCGCGGGTCGGGTTAATTTTTGCCAAATAAACGGCTTTCGACCCGACTCAATTACAGCGCGTTTTCGGTCAATAAAACCGGAGGAAATGACCGAGATAATGAGGTTACTAATTGCACTCTTCTCGGACGAAAAAATCTCCCTCGGATCCGACAGTAAAATTTTCATTTCTCCCATAACAAAAAATCATATAATCCACCGCATTTATTAATAATTTTTAGTTGCAAAATTGCGATTTATTTTACGCTCTTTTTGCGATTATACAAAATAAAAACCGATATATTTTTTCGATGCACTAAAGGAGCGAATAACGAAATTTAATACCCCGTTTCCAGCGGGGGTTTATTAATAGAGAAAAACGGCGCGTTAGTCAGACGAACGATCAAAGTTGTCAAAGGTTAGGTACCTTGAAGGGCCGTTTCGCGGGCGAAGGGAGTTGCGAACATTATGTGATTATTATTAACACCTGAGTTAATGTGTAGACGATTTTCCGCGGCGCTGGATTTTGTTCCCGCGCGGTCGAGGCCAGAAATATTTCCTAAATAGAACAAAACTGAACCATTCGACATTCGAATAATGACGCCCCAGTAAGCACGTTAGATAGTTAAAATATCTAACATAATTATAATTTAATAAGCGGATTTTCAAATGGGACTTTTCGCTTTAATTTGCAAGGAATTTGTAGAGGAATTTAATTTGTAAAGGAAAGTAACTAAATACGATTTACCAATTTTTTTTTTATTAAAAACATAAAACTGTTAAGAACAGAATTTGAGTATTTGTTAAGAATATCTTTACTTTCTTCTATAAAAATTTTCTGCTAGTAATAATGGTCACCTATTGACGCAGGATCACTCCTATACTGTACCGGTACAAAGTCACATTTACCTACTACAACAATTAACCTCACTCAACAATGAAATCATTACATTGCACGTATTCTCCGTACAATAAACACATCAAAACGTGCAGTTATGTTAGTAATACTCAGTTTTTTGTACGCGTTGTATCCAGTTATCAGTGCATCGTTCGGAATACAATCCAGGATCATAGGAGGGGCGAATTGCGACCTGCGTTATCCAGAAATCAACCACAAATTCATGCTATCGTTGCGAACTTATAACAAAGAATTCGACTTCTACGAGCACTTCTGCGGCGGCACTTTACTCTCTTCTTACTGGATCCTAACAGCCGGGCATTGCTCCCAGCGCGAAGGCATCTACGCCGTCGAAGCCTTCAGAATAGGTAATTCAATCCAGCGATTTAATCGAGACAATTATAAAACATCCGAGCGCTTGTTTAGACGACATCGAATACACCGGAATCGCCACCGAGGTCTCGGCGAAGATTCCTCATCCGAAATTCGACAACTCCACCAATCGCCACGACATCGCTTTACTATTGCTAGCGACTCCTCTATATGAGAACGAAAATGTCCAGTTCGTGTCGCTTCCGAAATGCGAATCGCCCCGTCCGGATTTATCCAGAACTTTGATCGGGAACGATTGCTCGCGAGCGACAGTGATGGGCTGGGGCAGGATTTCCAGCGACACCGAGGAGCAATGGCTGCCGGCGAGATTGAAATGCGTGGATTTGAAGGTGGCGAGTTTGGAGGATTGCAGGGCAGCGCACGAAGTTCACAAGAGAAACAAGACGGTGTACGATGAGAATGTTTGCACGGAGGCCAGCACGACGGAGGATTTCTGGAAAGGGGACTCGGGGGGGCCCATGATGTGCGGGGACGTGCAGTACGGGATTGTATCCTGGGGATATGGTGCTCGTGGTTACCCTTCTGTTTATACGAGAGTCGATCGGTATTTGGGTTTCATTCGCGACAACGTTTGTAGGGCCGAAGGTGCTTGATATATCTCATCATTATGTAATGAATAGTTGCTACAGCATAATGAACATTGTTGGTGTATTTGAAATAAATAAACCTATCCTGTAAAGTGGATAAACTTTTTCATAAAGTCCAATTCCATTCTAGCCAGTAGATTTTTCGATTAGTTGCAACTTCGTGACCTGGAAAGCACGTTGTGTGAGTACAATACGTGCGGAAACACAATGAATTATCGGTTTTTTTTCGTTGTCCAGATACTATGATAAAGTTGCTTTACACAAAGTTAAGAGACGTTTTTAATTACCTGCACTCGATTCATCTAAGGCTATGAACCCCCGGTGCATTGACACCTTTTTCACCTAATTCTTGAAGATATACTTTAGCATGGAAACTGCTCGAATACTAATTTTTTAAGAAAGTCGAAGTTTGTTGGTTTAGAAAATAATCTTGTTGCTAAGAGTATCAATGTATTGATTAGAAGTGCATCTATTCGTATTAAATGCATTCTGGAATGCCGCCGGCGCGTTTGCTTTGCCGATAATGAGATTGTTTGAGACTTCCTTTCCCAATTAACGTAATTGATTGTTAATATGAAATTCCTGGGATGCGATTTAACGCGAATTTTTGCTATTAAACAGAAAGTTTACAAGGTTTTTCGAATTGTTGCCGCTTAATAAAGGCCGCGTCTTCAGTTTTCAAGACGTTGATTTATAAAGTTTCGTTCGATTGATCCCGTCTTTAATATCGCTAGTTTCGAAAAATACTTTTTCGCTGGAAATAATTGGTAGTCTTTGTTCCAGGAAATGCGAGTGTAAGATAAAATAAATGGCGAAACACCTGTATGACAAAGCGTTCGTTTTTAATTAAAGCGCCTGATCATTTAATCGAATCGAAAATACTGAAATATTATACCTTGTTTGTATCTATATTCGAATCCTTTGTTTAAAAACTGGATCAAATAAAATACCTATATTTGCCGTGGAATTATTGAAGGTTACATTGCCGTTCCTGATTTCCTGAATGCGATTCTGGATATAAAAATCAATAATGTAAATGCCGGCATAAATATCGAGTGAGATTAAAAATCGAGATAAAGTAGATAACTTTCAAAATGTTATATCGATTTTATTATTATTTGAACTAACAGCTCCTGTTCTATTGGAAAGAAATAGCAATCTTTCCGACTCCTAACGGATGTAGGTAAGTAGCAATCTATATTGACGAAGTACATTGACCAATCACTTCACCTGAAGATTCAATTAAGTTATCTTCAGTTTGCTCGCATAATGGAAGAGGAAACTTTTCCAATAAACGCTCGGAAAACTTGTTTCCCTACCTTTTGTTACCATGTTTATATTACCTACATTGTTATGGTTGGTTATCTAAAAAATATTTGATTAGTTGCACGCTTTACTTTTATTATAAAAGTATTCCTTAATTGTGTTTTCTTCTCGTTTCAATTTAATTTGATTATGCTTATTTCCACCCAATTTGCATATGTTTAGGAATTTAAATGGCTGCTTAATTTATTCATAGTAGTTCCAGAACAGCGCAAAACTAAACTGGCTGTAAATTTAGGCAATTAAACTTACCAAAAATATGAAAAGGTACTCTCCGTACAATTCTGGGATCTCGTTTTATTCATTTCAACAGGAAACTAGGCGAAAGCTGGAACTCTTTAAGAATGTGGCGTACGCTACAATTCGTTGAATATTGAATGAATGTGGGTCAGCTTTCCGCATAATTTCCACATTCGTATGCCGCATTTGCTTCCCATACAACTTTTAAGTCGAAATCGGTATAGTTTTCAGTTGAAAGAAAGGATTATATGAGGAAAAAATGAATCAGCGTTCCACACATCATTCAAACTTTCGCCTGTACGTAATTCTATTTCGACCCGAATCCCCCCAGTAATTATCCTCCATAATCTCCTAAACAGCGTACGAAAATTGCGGTTTAATGCCAGGTTTAACGTCCGCCCTTATTTATTATGTATTCCTGCTGTAATAAAACATCGAACATGCTTCGATGGTACTTGGTTTACACAGTAAATTCTCGTGGTGTGATTAATATTATTGAATTTGTTAGGTCCCGAGTGGTTTGCAGATATCTCTGCAATCGTTCTTAATCCGGGGGGCTAGAAGAGAGCAAAGTCCTCGAGTCGTTGCCATCACGTTTGAAACAAATTAAATTACACTTCTTTTCTGTGATTTGCTTCGGCAAAGAGGGATCCTCTTTTTTACTTTTTAATCATCGCGTCGCAAATAGGAATTATTCGTTATAAACGCGAAATGTTAGATTAGAAAGCTATTAAGCACAAAGGGCTTTACAGCGGTGTTTCAATGCGGGTTTTGAATATGAAAAACGTATACCGAATTTTTTTATTCGATTTACTAATCCTGCAGAGTTTTGCAAATGTGCGCTAATTACACTGCGAATTTTAGCGAGGGTAAAAAATTTGTTAATCTTCGAACAATTTTTTACTTCGATTTACTATCGAATAATGGAGAGTGATGGGAGTTTTAAAAATTTATATTTTCCTGTTGTCGACAACCCTTTCAGGGGCATAGATTAAATTTTAAATTGATTTACTCGCCGAAAAGTTGCAAAAACAAGGCTAAAAAAAACCTGATACATTATTTACCTTAATCCTTGCAACTGCTATTTTTATCCCGAACAGCATCCGCTAAGGAAATTAATTCTTGCGATTTTTCCGGGTTTGTTTATCGAACAAAACGCACTGTTCTGTGGCGGATTTGTCCGTTTAATATTTAGCATAAGCGAATTTATTCAGCATGCTGGGTTATAGAATGAAAAGGAAATCTGTTTTTGATGGCTTACACGTGAATGTTTTACCAGGTAAAATGTGACTGTCGCATTAATGCAAAGTACTGCTACGTATTGCATCGAGATTATTAAATGGAAAATAATCATTGTTTCTGGCACAAAAATAAATAACTAGTTTACTTTTTTAATTGAATTAAAAATTCTAGATAATTCCTGCAAATCCGGCTCTGGATTTAGCGAATTCAAATCCCTACACTTTTGAAAAGTTCGTATATAATATAATTCGTGTATAAAGCTTATTAAGGCATCAATCAGCAGAAGGATTCTTGGGAAATTAAAGCTAGCAGGATTTGTGAAAGAAAAATTCGATAAACTGAAATAAGTAAGATATTAAAACGAATGGTTTCTGGTATTTCCCAGTCTTTTATTTTGATAAGATATTTAAGCGCTTTCATTCTTAACTTGTGGCTTTCCATCATTTTTATGAGAGCCTTTCCTTGTAGAAAGTTAAGCCGGAATCATATCAAGAAAATATTCAATATGTCATTCTGTCTGTCTCCAAAAAGATAAAAGAAATTGCTCCTATTATCTTAATTAACAGAAAATGATCGCTTTTCAAAAAAATTGCAAAAAATTGCTTATTAAAAAAAGTATTTTCATATGAAAATAGATTTTTATTCTCTGGAAAATTGTTACATTATTTGTTCTGTGCGTTTTCAGAAAACTATTTCGTTTAAAGAAATGAATGTAAATACCAAAAATACTACAGGCGTATTTCGTATTTACATTTCGTAAATATGTATGAAATATGTATTTCCAATAGAAAAATTCGTAGAGAAAATATTCATTATTAATTGGAACGAAATGGTGAATAAAAATGGCGTTTTTATCTCTCGTCAAACCCAAACATTCTAATTTAGCGGAAAATTAACGCAAATACTTGCATTATTTAATATGCTAAACTACGTTATTTGAATATAAATGAGTAAATTGGAAATTTCGAGATTAGACAAACAATTTCAGTTCTTATTAATTTATGCAGAGTGATTAACCTCACCATGCCGGATGAATATTGATGAGAAAAGAATTTGGGTAGGTGTATTTCCGTTGTGATAAAATTCCTGAATTAGTTTAAGTTCCATTAATAAAATCGTTCGAATAAAATTCCGAAATGAAATATTAAGTTTAATTTCGTTGATGGGTTTCAACAAATTTGTATGGAATTGCCAGTACTTTCGGGTTAAATTCCACGTTACAAATCCTATACACTGTACCGATATAATAATTTAATTTAGGTCAAACAAACATAAATAATCAGTGTTTTAACAATCCAGAACTTCAGTTGTTAAAATACACACGTTTAATGCTAAATTAGTTTGAATAAATAGCCAATTTTTAACTTCTAGGTAAATTCCATTATCATTCAAATTTATGTAAATTTACAAACTTTAAGTGGTCAGAAATAACGTGTCTATCAATCAACTACGACTTCGCAACCTATTTAATCTTGCACCAGTTACAAACTACGTTTATGTGCTCTGACAAGATCATTTCCGAATTCCTGAGCTTTCCGCGTCATTTAATGCGATCTCGCCTGTTCTGAGCGCCCCGTTTTCCACGGAAAACGCGCCTCGAAAACACGCCACTCACTATACACATTTTTCCGTGTTTTTATTTATTCTTCCCTCGGTAAAATGCGAACGGGTAAATAGTAGGTACCTTTTTTATTTTAGCGTTCTTTGATGGAACAGAAAATCACTTTTGAGCGAGAAGCTGCGAGAGAAAAGCCCGAGATAATTATTTACGAAATTGTTGATTCCTTATTCTCCATATTTACGGTGCGTTGTGATTGCTGAAGGATGCTTTTAAACAAATGTAAACGAGATAATATTTGCGATTGCAGGGACCCGTTTTGTTTCTGCTGGGGAATAAAATAAAAACCGTATTTCCTCCCGAAGGGATTGCTTTATTAATACTCGAAGAACGACAGTTATCAAACAAACTTTGATACTTTGATGTCTCTTGGTTACATAAAAATATAAGAGATCCTCGCAACCTTTTATTGTACAAGCTTATTGAAACAGATATTCGTTTGAATGATTCGTAAGCGAGCGAAAGAACCTATGTATATAAATAGAAGCACCAAATGTATCTACCAATATTAATCAAAATAATAAAAAAACACGCTGTGTTTATACACAGGATGAATTAATATTTCGTGTGTATTTAATGATCTACTCATCTGGCGCAAAACTGTAAAGTTTTATTAAATATTACAATGTAAAATTCAACCCGATTCCTATAATGTCCCTTTGTCATCTGGGACGATCATGCCTGAGAGTATGTTGAATGAATTAAATCCTGGTGAAATTACAGATTTGTGCCAAAGTTTCCTAGTTAGTAACATCGAACAAGGGGGTGCATACAATTCGAATGCGTCAGACATCAAGCCAATTTCAATTTCCATTGATTGTCTAATGCTAACCTACTCGGTTATGTTCTCACACTACCTAGCAACCAGTAGAAAAATATGTAACATATCCCGGTTATATTTATTCAATTGGAGTACGACCCTGTATATGTATTTACCTGGTGCGTTTAGAGTATCTCTAGTGGATCATTGAGAATAAAATACTCCTTTTGTTAGCGGCTTTGAGTAACCTGTCGACGGCTTAGGTGAAATTATCACATTTCGTCCCATCCTCGGGATATCGGATAAATTCCGGGGCACAAAAGGAATCCACTCACGTCGCGTACGGTCGACCGTTTGAATTTTTATCGAACCTTTCTTTGTTCTAACTCTATTATCCTTATGGCATTACGCGCTGCTAATATTGTTTGCCCGGTCTGTGGGGATTTGTTTTCGTTTGGTTGCAATTACGCCGTATTGTATTTTATTTCGACTTTTTTGAATAACACGGAATGTTTGGTTTACTATTACGTTGGAGCCGGTGGTTGGTAAACACATGAAACAATTTATTAACGTGCATATACTGATTGATTATTTTGTGTAAATTTGAAATTTAGATTCTTCCAAATTATCTGTTGAAACTATTTTAATTATGTGTATTTTAATTTAGTTGCAATGTAAATGTTTGTAGTTTATACCGGAAAGTATCTCTCGTATGCAGGGAAAGTAAACAATAAAATTCAGGGATTTCGATGATTTAAAATTGTAGACAAATCATTTAAAAATTAAAAACAATTAAAAATTTACTTACTAAAATGTTGATGGAAATTCGGAAGAGTATCTGCAAAAAATAAAAAAAATGTATTCATAACGTTTCCAAAGTATATGAGATTTTGTTTGGACTTATTCATAAAATTTTCATCTCTGAAACGATTCGATTTAAATGAAAATTTGAGGAATATTTAATATAATTTAGTTATTTATTAAAGAAGCAGCTATTGGACAGATGTGAAAAGGAAGATTGATTATACCTTTTGTTAAAGGATATTTTTTTTTTGTATTCGAGCACAAAGTAAAAAAGAATACAAGTCAGGTTTTCGGCGTGGTAGAAAAAAATTGCTCATATTATAAAATATTCCCTTTGGTATAATCAAAGATTTTATTTCATTTTTTGTTGCACTTGCGTGTAAAGCGGGATTTGGCAGATTTTACAGCTATTTTTATTTTGTATTTACTTCCTAGTTTATTAGTGTTTTATAGCCGGATTTCCAAGTCCAATGAAGAAGCATTAAATAGTCGTAATGTTTTTTTCAGTATATATATAAGCGAATTCGTCTGGAACAATCGTTTTATATTTTTTCCCTCGAGAAAGTTGAGATAAATGCGTTGTTTTATAAAGATTTATAGCGGAAAGTTTCTCGACTAACTTCAAATATAATATAAATTTCAAGTGCTTCACATCGCAAATTCACCCCAAGTATTTTTTCAGCAACGCCTCAAAAGGTCCAATCATTTTTCAACTAACGGGCAAAATCGAAATTATTGGTTGATAAATGTACCTACCTACCTAAGAAAAAAACTCAATTTTAACTTTAACTTTAACCGGAATATATAAATCCACCCGAAAAGGTCTAATCCTTAAAAGGCCATTAATTATTTTCCCCGCGCTGTACCTATCAACTGGAGTATTAAACTTTTCAAAGCAAGTTTCAAAGGGGATACAATTCTAATATGACATGAGCTAGAGGAATATTGAGCGGGAAGGGCCTTTTAGCCCTTACGGATATCTTGTTATCAACACGGTCACCCTTTAATACATCTAATAGTTTTCTGTTCTTCTCCTTTCACCTTATATCCTTTCATATATAATTTTTCCTACTTTTTTTTATACTTCGGTATTTAAACTTAGGAATAATAATTTATTAGGTCTTCTGAATGCACGGGGAAAATTTTCGAATAGTTCATAAAGTCGTTATAATTTTATTTTAAAAGGTACCTCTTGTTGGATAGCATCTCGGAAACTTCAATTCTATTATGAAGTGTTCCTTTGCGAAACAGGAAGGAATTCCGGCGAAATTTTAAGCCAGTAAAATCGCAATCAAAATTTAATCCTTTAAAAGGCTAAAATTCAAAACATTTCCTTCTCCGTCAAGGACGTTGATAATCGCTTTCATATTCGAATTGAACATTTCTCGACAATTCGAGATAAAAATCGACCTTTTCCTCGGCGACTTTGTGCCCCAAACGTTGCGGAAAAAATGTATTACAATTTACTTTTCAACAATATCATTGTATCCCTACCAAACGGTCGACATCAAAGAATAAAATGTTTGTAGTTTTCCCGATTACAAGGGAGTTATTAAATTTGTTTGTGCGTTTGAAATGTTCACCGAAAGAATGGAAAATTCATAAATTCGCCATGCAATTCTACCGTGTAGAGTTTAATAAACAATAATCCCGCGATATATGAATGAAAATCCATCAGGACACCAACGTATTCGTGTATACAACAGTGTTAAATAAAATTAATACGAGGCGACAACAGCGGTTTAGGCGCTCTTCCGTGACGCTGCGCCCCAACGATCATCTCCGTATATGAAATCGCGAACAACCCTACTCTGAAATTGCTCTACTTCGGGTAAATACACCGCTTATAATATAGGGTGATTCCTTTAAAAACCCGCTCTGAAGAAGAGCTTAAAATTTTTATACTAAGCTGCTATCCTGAGAAGATAAAAGACTTCAAAGTTGAGTTTTAAATATCGAAAAAAAATATATATATAACGAAGAAGAAGGAGTAGAAGTATCAATTCATGGTTGAAAGAGGTTAATTGGAGTATTTTAGAAGAGTTGACTGTTGTTGAAGTTGAACCTTATATGGTGAATATAAATGATTATTAGGTACTTTATTTTAAGAATCCTAAAATATTTTTTGGTCGTTAATGTTACCTAAAATCTTTGGAAATTCATTAGCTGTGAAGTTACACCAAATTCAAACTCCCCTTTGAAGGCCTTTAACTTCTTAGATGTTCAACTTAACATAAAGTATCTTTAGATTTCCCTCTACTTTCAACTACTCAGCTCTTACATTAAGCGAATCGCCTTGTATTTAAAACAAAAATTCCTAATAGAAAACCGCACTCTGAACAATTTAATTCTCTATAATACGACATAAAACCCTTTTAATTCACAAAAATTAAAGTTCAAAACAACCCCGAAACATAACCGCCACAATCGAATCGAATTAAATTCGCCAAAACTTGCGCGAATTCATTTCGCGTGCTTAATGAGAACGAAAAAGTTTACCTGGAACCGGGAAAGTTCAATTCGCGAGAGTGCACATAGAAGAAGGCTGCATCAGATTGAAGTGGAAAGCTCGAGGGAAACGGCTGTGTTGCTCCAAGCTCGACGAAAGCACGACTGACTGTCGGAAAAGCGGAAAAGCGCGCTCTCTAGAGTTGCGACCCGCCCGCTAAACGGAGTTTGATTAGCAATTGGGAACGGGAGTTGGAAGTTCATTTGATAATTACCTTTCGACGCGGCTACTTAATTGAAATAAATAGCGATTTTGTCGTACGAAAAGATGAAGAAAACGATTAAATAGTAGTTTACATTTTAATTATCCTTCGCTTTTGTTAGTTTAGTAATTTAATATAAAATAGAGAATACATAATTAACTGCATTTTAATTACACATTGTTCCATTAAATAAGTAGGTAGAAAAACATAAATAACGGTTATGAAAATAGGTTTTTCCACACCTCTACCGTTACCGTTTATCATCATCAAGTATTTCGCGAGTTTTCCGGCAAAAGCAGTTTTCCTTCGTGTATTTCAATTCGAACATTCGAAGCATCGAATTAACTGTATATTTTAATGTACTGAGCAATTGGGGTTGTGGAGAACGTATTTTTTAATTTCGGCTCTAACGAGACGTCTCGAGGAGAGTGCCGGAAAATATTTTCCGATTTTCGCCGAGTTAATGAGAAAGCGAACCGAGCGAAAAATTCCATCGCCCTTAATTGGGTATTTTGAAAAGTGTAAACCGAAATTTGACGCGAAATTCATTCGTTATCGGGTGTTTAATTAGACAAAAAAATATTCTAGTCGGTTATTAATTTAATACAACAAGAAGCCAATTACTTGCATTTTGAATTAATTCAAACTCGATTACGCAACTCTTTACTGGGATTTAATTACATTTGAAACCCTAAATTCCGTCGAAATTAAAAAGGTAGACGCGCTAACGAGACGATTTGTTAACGTCTCGAGAGGATACCTTTGATATCGATACAATCATTGTGTATAATTAAAAATCCTTTTGTAAATAGTAAATTAATAATTAATTTCTATTTTCGTTTTGTGCTAAATTTAACGCAACAAAACTTTGCACGAATATGCTGTATTTCAAGCAAATAATTTACCTGTGCACGAAAGTGCAAACTTCTAATGATCGGGAAACATTGCTTAATTGAAATATTAATACCGTAACATTAGAATAAAATTATGTACGTTTCCAATCAATCTAACTTTGAAAATGTTCTTCTAATTTAAAGTTCTAGCGGGTTGACAACGGTATTTTGTGTCACTTCAACTTCACTCTGCTGCACAATTCGAAAGTTATGTACTGCATTTTAGTATACATAAGTACGGATGAATGGGATTTAATAATAACGTTTACGAATAAGTATTCTTGCAGCTTACGAGGAATTTCAAAGGCAAAATTCGGAAAATCACGAAGATGACGTATTTTTGAAACCGCCCGTGGTAAACAAGGAATTATTTTTTAATCCCAACTGCGTTATAGGGATTATTTTCGATTATCTTTTGGAACAAACGGGAATACCGAAAGAACTGAAAAGTAAATAACCACACGATTTATTTTTCCAACCTGAGCTTTGTGTTTATGTTACAACGCACCTGAATTATTGCAGATAAAATAGATTTACGCGACGAGAACGGGATTTCTATGGAATTAAACCGACACCCTCCTCATAACAACGGCTTGGAGATTTTTATATTCAAGAAAAAATATAATTTGGTGTTAATTACAGGTGTTTGATGATTTAATAAACCAGAAGCATCTTATTCGCAACGCTCCTTTCCAGATGATCAAGAAATTCTACCTTTAATAGCTGATAATTTACCCAGAGATGCTCCTGAGAAAGTAACACCCGAAAAAGCTGTCCCTGATAAAAATTAACCAAAACCATACTGAAATCAAAATCGAAATTATCTTCAACGCATTTTATATTTCGTCTAATAAAAGTTCACTCTACCCTACTCAGTTTTGCACAAAATAACATCAGTACACCGTAAAGAAAATGCATCCTGTTAGCGATCCTTAGACAGAAAAAAAAACTCATCAAAAAGCAACAAAATAAGTATACAGCGGATATATTATTCAATAGTTTAATATCTAATCGGCGTCCACGAGCCCGAGTGTTCGTCTCTCCTGTAATAACGGGGACGATTGTCTCTGAAGACGGTCACAGCAGGAAACTGGTTTTCTTGGATATATTTCAACGCCGCTCTTATCTGGAACGACATTGATTAGGTGAAAAATATTTGAAAATATTCGAAAAGTTTACCTGCATGACGAAATGCGGCGGTTGCACTTCCGGGCAGGTAGATAAATGCTGCAAAATAAAATCATCCGTTTGTTCTAGCCACAAATCGACGCCTCGCAGCGGCTCGTAATTGAAAGGGCCTATTCTCAGCAGGCCCAAAACACTGTCGTAGATATCCAGCACCTAATAAATTACAAAAAATTAGTAACAATTCCGTTAATTTCATTGTCTTTATACCTGTGGTACGCCGGTGAGGTATCGGGCGCACCTCAAGGAATGATCGGGGCCTTTATCTGGAAATGTGGCCGGAAAAATTTCGCCGGTTTTCACGTTCACCCCGACGCCGTAGATGATGGGCCAGGGGATTCCCCCTCTGATGGTCGTGTTCAATTCACCGGTGCAGGCTAGAGTCAGATCGATTTCTATCGGATGCTTGTGGAATGAATCTGAAACCGAAGTGTTAATTGGTTAAATAGATGGATTTTTGTTGCCTTTTTGTGCGGAGTTCGTTTGGAAAATAATAGAATAGAATCATCGATTTGTGGGTTCCCTTGTAATCATTAGTCCTTGGTTATATAGACGCTTAATCAATCCCGGACTGTTATTAAATTTTAATTAGATCATTAGAGAATAAATCCTGCCAAAATATCATTTTCCCCAATCGTAAGTTAACACAATTATTTCCATCAATAAAACGAGAATTATGTGACATACCACAACACTTTCAACACGCGTTTTTCTTCTAATGGAATAAATTAAAAATATAATTACCGTATTTAGTAAATTCTGAAAAACTCACTTATAACATTAAAAAATATTTCATCGGAATAGTGACGGGGATCGTTGAATCCTCCTATTAGTTGCAATTCTATGCGCCCTTCGGGATAACCTAAAGCCAGTTCCTGGACTCTCTGGACCATCGTGCAAACGGCTTCGTCGGTCCCAGATCCGTCCAAATGCGCCATTGCCACCGCACCTGACCCTAAAAAACAGCCTCATATAAATATTTATAATAAAAAAATCATATTCCTTAACATAGAATTGCTGTAGAATTATGCCGGATGAATCCTGGACTATACTAGAACCATTTAAAACTGTTCAGGGCTATTTAGAACCATTTTAGAAATGACTAGGACAATTTAAAATAGTTTCAAATTCAGTAAAATATTCTAATAAAACACGCATAATATTCACATATAAAGCACCTTTAGAGAACCAGATATGCAAAAAACGAGCTCATAAGAATACAATCAACCTGATTAATTGAAAATATCTCGCCGTAATATGCGAGTCGGGTATGCGAGACAGCGAAAAAAACCTTTAATAGGTTATTATATGCACCTGATATATGCTCCGCGGAGCATGGGATTCAGCATTTGCGGAAGTAAGTTAATTTCGTATCTGCAAAAATTATTAATTGGATATTTGACCCCGACGAGACACACCTAGTAAAGTACATACGGAATGTGTTAGATCGAGAAGAAGGAAATTATGTAAATTGGAATTTCTGATTTTAATCGATTCGATAACTATTGAAAATTATATTTTTGATAATGTATCGAAATGTATAGAGTCTTAACGAACCTTTCGTAGTCTCTTCAGTACCAATTTTGCAATGTTTTTACTGCAGGTGTGGGCGGATAAAAATCGAATAAAAACAGTTCGATAATATTGTTTTTTTTTCGATACAAAATCTCGACGTTGGTGCATTAACGATTTCGTTGCACGTACTTGGCTCGACGGAGAAATTACAGACGCAGGTGTTACGAAATCCTCTAATGATAGACCAGCGGTGAGCGCAATGTAAAGAAATTACAATAAAATTTAATAGCAATTTCATTTCGCATGCCAATATAATAATGATAAGAAAATGGAATGTCCAATCGGGTGTTTTTTCTTACGTGCCGAACGGAGATTTGCAACTACTAATTTTCCTCGCCGGTACTCTGTAATTATTAGAGGTGTAACCGCACATTAAGGTTTTGAAAAACTTTATCGTTGAATTATCGATATTTTTATTTGGACATCGGTATGTCTCGCGAAGGTCTTGACAAAATTTAATTGAGATGTTACTTTGCAATTCTCTTGAAACTTCTTTTCCCACAAAATTCATCTGCATCAGAGAAAGGCTCGTATATGTATAAAAAATTAAATCGATTCTTCTATTTTAAATTGCAAATTCGTCGAATTTATCCGCATTTTATGGCGCAAATAAATTTCGTTTCGTTATTATAACAAACTTGTCACCGAAAACCGACTGTGGGAATTGGAAAATAACGGAAAGCTATAGATTTGTTATTTTGGAAGTATAATGAACTTTATCGAAATGAGGCTACTACGAAGATGTAGTAAATTTGAATTCGATTAATAAAATATCCATTTAAAGGTACCTATGGTTTTAAATATACATTAATTTAAAATTTATTTTTGGATTAGTATCATCGCAATTAAAATTAACAGGACTGTATTTGCTACTTTAAGTGCTCACTTACCAGAATGACGAACGACTACAATCAAGCAGGTGGTAACATCATCTGCCCCAAGAATGCTCACATTCTCTTCAAAAAAAAAAAACATTAAAATCAACAATCGTAAAACATTTGGGCATAAATGATTTCCATAAAAATAAATGAACACTTACTATCATGCGGTACAGTAGCGGCCAATTCTCTTTGTTGCACATACAGCAATCCTACGGTGCCTATAATTTTATTAGGAACATTCAACAGTTGCGCAGCAGTCTCTCTGTATATAGGGTGAGTGTGATACAATGACCTGGAATCCGGCGGGCAGTCTTCCTGCAGGACGCCGTTTAACACCAGAACCATCGTAGTTCTAAAATAAAACATAATAATAGCAATTACAATTTTGGGAAATTTTCTAATGGAACCACAACGACCAATTGAATTGATTGCTTGGATACATAGAAAGTATTTAAAACACAAAACGAATTTCGATGTTAACGGGAAACAATTTGTTAATTTTAACGTAGAATATTCATCAAAACGTCGAATTCTATTGATAACTAACGCCTAGTATACATTTTTTTCCTAAGAGTTTCTCTTAAATCGCAATTCATCATTGTGTCTAGCATAATTGGTTTTTTAAATTCCACAACTCTATTATTCCTATACGACAAAACGAGTATATCTAGAGGAAAATTAATGGCGTTAATTAACATTTGACAACCCTATAATACAAGAAATTTCCATCCAGACGCCTCACGAAACATAACTATCTGTAAATATGAAGCACCAAGTAAAATCCACCCTAGCATCTCCGAGTATAAAACGGGTAAATGGTCCATCAATCCGGGCCTGAATGCGTTCCTCAATTTAAATCCGCAATAAATCGCGGTCCGGAGTCCGGAGTGCGTTCGTTCATAAACCATAATCCACCTGAGAAATATCGCGGGACGGGTCCGCATCGCCGGACACTCCATTTATCAATACCGACGGGCACGAATAAATTAACATTGTCTTAGAATGAACGGCGGGATTAAATGGCATTAAGTGATTTATCATAAAACGCCGGGAGAAAATCCAATATCCGCCTTTTATGCGGCTCGTCAATGTATCACTGGTCGCAGGAGATGCTAAAGCCATTTGCCAACTTCCTGGTGTGTGGATATTCCCTATTACTACATGCAGTAATAGTTCTATGATTTATAATTAATGATATTATTATGTACCTTATGTACCTTATGTACCATCTATGAAATTTATTAATAAAAATATTGTGCGTTACCTGCAACAATAATGTAATTTATGGCGGTTTTGTAGAGACCAGTTTTTGAATGGGTTTATTTTTTTTCTCGATTCTTAATGGTCTAACATTTATTTTACTTAAGTGGAACGGAGGAAAAATTGTCCCGTTAAGTCGAATTCCTTTTAACAAAAAAGCTATTTTCGACTTCCCGCTTATCTGGGAAGCCGGTTGGTCGTTTTAATTACTGAGTAATGCAGTTTTTCTGATTTAGATTTTTAGTATTTCGAAGAATTCTTGCCAGCTTTAAACGTTTATTATATTTTTTTTAAACAACGTTCGATAACGATATTATTAATAGACATAATCTAATTTACGCTTACACAATAACTTTATTAGACGTTGATTTTATAATTTAAGATAAATGTACAAAATGGAACAATCGCTTTGTCTCATAAATCAGATAAATCGGATGAAATCGTTACAAACTGGATCAATCGCTCTTCATGGTATTTTCGTATTATCATAAATTATTAATCGGTAAAAACGTAATCAAATAATATTGATTTCAACAAGAAAATTAGCTATTCTAGAGAAACAACTGTTGTTTATTTCCTTCTGTGCCATTGACATTGTTTGTTACAATAATAATCTTGCGTTACATATACTTTTTATGACTGATACTTCCTGGCACCGCTGTCAATTTATAATCTCGAATTGTCTGGAAAAAATTCTAAAACTGGCACAAACGTTTTATAAAAACAGTTATTATATGATGTAATTAAACACCTATTAAACGGAAGAAAGGGCAGTTTCCCGCGGAAATACAAAAACGTATACTAAATTAAAATACCGGGATTTTAATTTTAAGAAATCGTAAGGAACTTTAAATGATTGATAAGAACAAAACGACTTACCAAGTTATTCTGAACGGAGCTACTGACAGACTAAAAAGCAATAATTTCTCGGATAAGTTATCAGCTATCACTTGCTTGTGTATTTCTCCGATTCAGGGTATATTCTCTTTAAATGAAAAGTGTAATGTTGTTATTATGAATTATTACGAACATGAAATCAACAAGTGACGTTCGCTTTTATCAGATTTTTCTTAATTGCAGAATATTAAATCCAAGTAATTTTAGCACCTAATACTATGTGAAGTATACAAAGAGTGTCACGATCAGGGCCCATTAGAAAAGCAACATTAATTAAAATTTGAAATGCTGTGTACAAGTACTTGTAAATATGCTCTATTTAATGAAAATATTTTCAACTCGTTTTGTTTCCTCGAAATGTTTCATTTCGGGATGTTAAAAGGAAGGTGCTAGGCTTTATAAATTTATTCCTGAGGGAGCTCCATTAACCGAGTTATTCTAGGATATATGAATTGCTAATAATGGTCCATTGAAAGGACCCGCTTTATTTCCTCTAGATTACATACGGTCGATTTTATAAAGGGACATAGAGGATACTTTAACTTTAAAGCGTCCTCTAAGTAACTTAAAGGAAAAGTGCTGATTTTACAAAATAACCTAAATTTTAAGTAGGTATTCCAATTAAAGTTTGTAACGCCAAAAGTTATACACTTTCTGATGCCAGTTTTGGGAGATGAGTAATTTCGAAACTTCAGTTAAAGTTCTTCTGATGAAGTAGAATTTTTTGTATTAGAAGACCAAAAGTCTATAGGAAAAGAAGAGATTGTTTTCAAAAATGGTTTTCATCTGAAAAAACTAATATTTTTGAATCTCTTAAATAGGCCAGCATCGTGACACTCACTGTATATAAAAACTATGATTGTTAACTAACCAGGTTCATTTCTTGTGCTCGCAAATGTTAATTCGATTAAACCAATATTCCCAAATTTGACTAATGTAAACGCAAAATTGAAAACAATGGCGAATTTACATGAATACTGTCGCTCATGAAATATGCATGCACACACACATTTCGTCGTAAAAATCCGAATCGCCTAGAAAAGTCGTATAAAAAATATTCTTGGCGCTTAATAGATTACTCATCCTAATCTTTTAATTAACAATTACTAACGGTGAGTTTAAATTACGTTACCAGTACGAATACAATTCACCAGGCGACGAAATGGACGTATTAATAAATGTAGCAATAATCGTTAATCAGCGGCGGTCATATTAATAATTTTACCAATCGTAAATAAATTTACAGAAAAAATTCATACGAACTCGACTCAAATATTTCACTACATTAAAACAATAAGCGAACATTATAATTACAATAGTATCAATATAGTTGTATTTACACCTCCTATAAAAATATAATATGGGAACGATACGCTCGTGTTAATTGACGCCCAGCATGTGCATTGTATAACCAATTAAAAAACACCGAGCTCGATTCACGCCTTGTACATCAAACGCAACTCTTGTGACTGTTTAAAAGACTTGGAGATGAATTCACAAACAATGCTGTCATCGCTTAGAATTTCGTATCTCCCATCAACTCGCGAGGGTTGTTGAATTAACATCAACCGGGTAATTAAATGCTTCCATCATCTGCTCGCTTAATCACTTAACAATGCGTTTTTTTGTTAATACATGTAGCACCTGTAAAAAGCGACGTTATCTGTGGCGAAGTTCCCGAAAAATGCATAGCAAAAGCGCATAAGTAAACGGTGTTTTATTCGCGACGAAAACGGGAATGCCTGAAATCGATTTTAATCGGAATACGCGACAAAATTCGTGACGCGTTTGTCCGTATCGCGATAAACGAGAGCGATAAATTTTTATTCGATTCATATCGTGTTTATAGGACTCTCCTTTTGAGAATGCACTACGGTAAATGGTATTACGGCCTTATTTTTTATTCTTCTTCTTCTTCGGCTCGTTTCGTAGAAGAAATGCGAAGCAATACCGTTGTTGTTGTTGTTGTTGTTTGCTGAGAATTATGGTATTTTGCTGATCTGACTTACTTACGGACCCGGCGATCTGCTTAAATATGGCAATTAACCCCGAGGATTCAGCGTAAAATACCACGCTTGAATGATTTTAAACATAAATATAAATAAGAAATAAACCAATTTTGAAAATTACTAAATATTATATTTTCCTATATACCTACATATATCTATTCAAATTAATTTTAATTACTACGTTCAAAATCCACAAACAGAAAATCAAGATCTATACATCACCATAAATGTGAACTATTAAAAAACGATTTACGCTGCAATCAATCTATTAATCGTATTTTTCCACGTTAATTGATCTCAAACGAGTCCTCGTTAGATAAACAATATCAATCTAACTCTCTACAAAACACCAGCTCTACTAAATTTAAATTCCTCCACTAAAACGTGCACGATACTCACCGATTACGCGCCAAAGAAGAGAACGAAAACTAATAAACTCCGATTAAATATTCGAATGAATCCATAACCATCCAACATTGAAGTTCAACGAATCTCTCGTGTACTATATGAAAGCGGGCGACCGCGTGTCGAGTGTCTACGCGTCGACCGTACGGACGTCGTGCCTTAGCAGAGTTTCTACCAGAACTGAATTACGACTAGAAGACATTAAACTCGGACGAAGTGGAGGAGGCCTGGTCTGGTCACTTTTGTCCTGCTGCAGCACATGGTTCGATCTCCAATCGGATTCGAACGGAACGGGACCGTCGCCGATATATTATAATAGTAATAAGTAATAACGATTGTAAAGTAAGCGGTTGAAATCGGTGTCTAATGTTCGCTAAGTTTCTTTCCTTCGGGTAGAAATTGGGTGCGGGATTAACTAACTGGAAAGCTATTAATTTGAATATTATAAATAATAGTTTTACTGAAAGGATGCCAATTTTCTCGTTTCCCTTACAGGATGGTTCTGTTTTCTTTGTATCATTTTTATAATGGAAAGTAAAAGGTATTTTTTATAATATACCTAATGTTAATCAATATGAAACAACAGCTCACCTTAATACCCCTTCATTTTGTATCGATTTTTTATAAATAATACAATTGTGATAGAAGATGAATGAAGAAATTAGAAAATTGTTCATATTGTAATAGTAAGTTGTAGATTTAAAAGATAAATAAAGGTAAGAGAGCTTGTTTTATACTCTGTTTTAATTACCAATAACGAGTAATAAACGAATACAAATCTTTAAAGATTATATTCTTAATTTGTGTAAATTGTAAATTTCCAATAGTTTGTATATTTTTACAACAAATCTTATATTTATCAAATTAAATAAATCAACTCTTCTACTCGTAAAATAATATGCCTTAAAAAACGTTATCAACATGTTTATCATGAATTCCAGCAATAAAACGAAATTTCCCAGAGAATATCTAATTTAACAGGCCAGAACTAAATACATCTGAGCAAGATGAATGTCACAATTTCGGTATCTTATCGGCAGCGTCGAATGAAACGATGGTCAAATATCAGAATTTATCAGTAGCCCATGATTAATGGCCCAATCTTTTCGGGCGGTTCCGTAAGCGTTACAAATATCCCAGGGCCGTGAATGATCGCATTTACCGAGCGGCAACTTTTGAAAACTATTATTCCCCTATCGCCTGTTTTATTACTCAGAGCGAGATAAAAAAAAAGTAGAGACTCTTAGAGCACGTCGGTTTAACGAACTTCATTACTAATATTTCACATTTATTTTCGCTTTTCGAACGGTAAACTCTCCGGGATGGTAAAAATCCTCCGGAGCGCGGAGTTTCGCGACCGTAGTAAATAAGATCTCGGCCGTATTGGCCGTCACGAGTCCGGCTAGGCGTGATCGTCGACGGGAAAAATCTTTGGCAAATTCACCACGAACCATAACTGTTCGGTGTAAAGTGAATTATACTAATTAGCGTTCGGAATTGCGCGATATTTCGAATTAAAGTAAGTAGTGTATCTGCCCGACCGGAGCGCCTTTACAGGGTCCGTCTGTTTATTGTCTGTATAGAAGAAGAAACACCGTTTCAACACTACTACAATGTTGCTCGATTAATTGTTATTATCACTGGGATCCCAAACAAGGCGATGGAATGAAATCTAACACAAACTACCTGCGAATGAATTTTTTTCTCGCGTAATGTTTTCGAAAGATTATTACGGCTGTCGTTAACGTTACAAAGAAGTCCAATTAGTTAGAAAGTTAATCGGCAGGTTTAGATAACTAATGCTTCGGGTGTGAATGTACATAATAATAAGATTTGCATATGTACGTTTTGTTAATCACTCTATAAACTTTTCGTTCGATTTAGGTGTAAAACATTTCCGTAAAACTACAAGATATTGTAAACATGCTATTTAATACGCACTTATAGTTGTAGATTTTACTACAAAGTTCCCAAATCAATAAAGATATCTTCGTTGGTAGTTTTTGCGCGGTGAAGGTGGAAATGGAAATGGAAACAAAGCCTTTCCGTTCGAAGGCGACTATTTTGCATAACAACAAATAAATACTTAACAAATGTGTTTTTTTTACCATACGTTATATCGATAATGCTGATGTTTATCATCAATGAACGTCCCTGATTATTATCAATCACAAATACATGCGGAGTCATAGCCCATTGAATTGTAAATTGTTGTAACAATAACCACCGCACAAGTCGTCTGCATATTTGAGGTTCGTTAATAAGCTATTCTTATGCGATTGGTCGTAGAATGGACGATTTTGATACCTATTTACCCGAGAATAAGCGCACAATACTTTTTTAAAATACGTGAAACTCGTATTTTTCGAGCAACGGGATCCCAACGGGGGGCGAATTAATATTTTTTAATTTGATCTATAGCATTCAAAACGCATAAAAACATTAATAAAGATTTAATGGTCATTAGAAACGCGGATAGTTTCGTACTGTAAACAGTAGCACGGTTTATCGATAATTGTTTAACGATTATAATATTCATATTGGGCGATTGATGGTGGCATTTATGAATTAATCTCTCCCTGTCGAAATTTTGGTAGTTAATTCTAACTAACGGTAAAGCTTATGAAAAATGCGCCGCGATTATCGGGACTGTTTCTCTATTAGTTTAATTAAATTTTAATTTATGCACAGGCATATTTAATGATTTTTTCTTTGGCGGAAATTATAATTTATCGTCGTATAAAAGAGAATTAATTAAGAAAAAAAAGTCTTCGCTAGAAATTTCCTCGCACGCATCCTCGTGTAAAATATTTCCAGAACGCGTAGGCGTATAGTAAGAATTATTGTAAGATTGATGTTTCGTTCGTAATTGAAAGTACTTTTCGGTGTAATAGATCGATATTAATGGGTAATAATTACTAATTTATCGAATTGCGAAGAGGATGTATCGGCTCAAATCTCTTCTGTACTGTTGCGATATCACGACCGGGCTTAATTGGGGATTAATCAAAATTTCCAGTATTTCACATTATCGGTTTTAATGGCGAAAAAACCGCCCGTCTCGAGGAAATTTATAGCGCAGATATTCTTCTAATTATTTCTATTTTATAAATTTTAAATTTACCCGAGAAACCAACGAAGCGTGCAAACGGTTTATAACCATGCACCAGGAATTCTCTAACAAGGCGCAGAGTTTATCGAAAAACTTTTTAATCAAACCAATTCGTCCATTTCGCATTAATAAGAAATCTAATATTGAAATCATTCATCAGTACCTACACGAATAAAAATATTTTAGTTAACAAAATTAATGAAACTACACACGGAATAAACACACTTGTAAAATACACCCATACAATTCCATCGGTATGTAATTAGCGATTAAATCCGCGACTTTCATATAAATTGTTTATGCTAATTAGAAAAATACACGTTGAATTTATAGCCAGAACCTACAAACATACAAACTCATAAGTGAAAACTTCTTATCTTATTATTAACGCGAAATTAAAGTTTTTTTTTCCCTATCGGGCTTCTATTCAATTAAAAGAGCGACATCGCGAATACACGAGCGCATAATTTCAGTCCATAAACAAGCGAACGGTTTCCTGGTTACTCTTCGAGTACTCACGTTTCGATTTCCTTTGCAGGATCGTGCACGACGCTCTACTCTAACGGTTAGTTCGCACCTTTTAGGACGGTTAAAGGAAGGAATGGGTTACGAATTTTCAGGAATTTTCATGGTAAGAAATAACGTTTATTTAGTAGGTTATAAAAATAATATACTACAGTATCCTCCTTATTGCTGATATATCTGAAATCGAGGTAATCTCCTGGTAATCTCTTCCACGTTGCAGTACTCCCTTGGGCATTGATTTGGAGCTTTCTGGAGCAGTATAATCTGTATCTAGTATGTAAAGCATATTAAATTCTGGAGCAGTATAATGTTCTGGTATGTAAAGCATATTAGAAAAATGAGTCCTTGCTTGATGAACAATTTGATGCAGTACTGCTGAGATGAAGAGGAATCTCGATGTAAGTAATAACTTTTATTTAGTAGGTAATAAAAATAATATATATAGTATTATCTCCTTATTGCTAATATCTGAAATCGGGGTGTCTGAGTTCTTCTTTCCCTTCTGAAAATGTATGGCTACCTAGGAAATTTGTTGGTTCGAATTCTTGGTAATCTTTTCCACGTTTCAGTACTCCCTTGGGCTGTGATTTGGGGCTTGCTGGAGGAGTGTAATCCGGTTCTGGTATGTAAGGCATATTAGAAAAAGGAGTCGTTGGTTGATGGACGATTTGCTGTGGTGTTATTGTCCTTTTATTCGGTACAGTAGGCGATGGTATCTTCCGAGGCGGTGTTCTTCTACCTCCAGATTTTCCTGCATAAATTACCCTTAACAAAGCATCTTCGTTAAATAAATTCTACCTACCTATTTTAGCTAGCCTTTCGCCATTCGGTTGTATGTTCCTTTCGAAAGAGTAATTGGGCGTATTTATGTATGTTACACTGCTTCTGTTGCTGTTACTCAAAGGGTTTTGGTTACTGACGTTAGTGAAACTAAAGTCGTTGGATCTGGGGCTGAAGATGCTGTTATTATCGGGCTCGAAAGCTTCGTTTTGGAATGATTTATCGATTTCAACTTGATCGTACATGCTGAACGGACGATTCCTAAAAATCCTTATAGTAGTACAGCCTTACAGTATATGTAATAAAATGTTTACCCTGTTTCGAAGGCGTTTATGATATTTCTTTGCATCAAAGACGGGCGAGTCTAAAATTTTAGTACACATTAACATTTCTAATTCACGTTTTAATAAGTTACTTACAGTTGATTTGTATTTGTAGAAAGCAATACTTAAAATAATGGAAATTGTTAGATTTACAATCCACAATATATAGCCCCTTGCTGCTATCGACATGACGATGCCGATAGATGTGAGGAAATCTTTCGAATCTCCATCCTAATAAATTATTTACAATCATATCTAATAATATTTTATGTGGCTTAATACTTACATATGCAGATGCTGTGAAATACAACTGGAAAAAACCAATATTAGGAATAATCATAGATTAATTTAGAATCTTACTCGTGCTATTTTCTCTGTAGTTGATTCATCTGTGGTTGATTCTTCTGTGTTAAATTGCTCGTTATTCAAATCGTCTATATCAAATTCTCCCAGGAGGTTCGGGTCAGAAACAGGCTTCTTTAACAATAAAAAATAAATAAATTCAATCATTATTCGATCATAAAATACTTACAATTGTTGAAGTTGAAGATGCGAATAAATCTTGTGCAGTATGCAGGTCTGAGGCTAATACACTCGTAAAGGTAATATCAATAGCGCATAGTAATAACGTTAGAGCTGACCAGGCTAATACGATTTGCAAAATTCTGTTCCATTTGTTGCGAATCGTCGCTAGAAAAATATTACAATCGATAAACAAAACTATATTTTTATTATCTTTGATATTTAAATTAGTTTGTTAAGTAGGTAACAATTTATTATCGTGATCTACTTTATTAGTATTTATAGTGATTCAAGCGAACAAATATGACATCATCTATTTAAGTGGATGTTTCCTAATTAATTTACAATAGAATTATTAATTTTCTGATAAAATTCACACTCACCCCAAAACAAGTAAACCGACATCAAGAACCATACTAAACTTAATACGAGATAAAAGTACATAATAATATTAAACACATGGGGACTTATTATTAATTCCTTATTCGTGCCATCTTTGGAACCTTAAAGAAATTATATTTAAATAGCGAATTTAATTAATAAAGTATCTATTAATAAGCCAGATAACACTTAACTTACTCAAGTATAGGTAGTATATGATAAATCCGTACGAGCTTGCATCAATGGAAGAACTTAATTCGATAGCATCATTATAGTAAAGTATTGATATCAATGAGAGTATTAACCATGCAGCGGATTGTATCTAAAAAAAAACGACAGGAAATTGATGGATTATGCAAAAAAATATTTTTTAATTATGTATCTATGGTTATTTTTCTTTATGGTATTGGTTTATAAGAGTTTAGAAAAATACGATGATTGTAGGAATTCTTGTGGATTTATGGTGGATTAGTGAAAAAAGGAAATAATTAGATTTATCTAATTGTTAGCGTAGATATTGATGCGATAAAGGTATTAAATTTGTCGGGATAATCCCTTCTCGTCTGCATACAATATTTTTTACTAAGGCGTTAAGCCAATTTTTATCTGTTTACAATTAGACGTATTAAAAAATTTCGAATAAATACGAACATTAATTGTCAACTTATTAGTAGAATAAATACAATTTTCAACATTATTACATTTATATTAACTCCAGAATCCCCCCAAAAAAACCTTGAATATTAAATAATTCGCAGTATTTTAATCGAATTGAATATCAGTAAAAATAAATCGGATAAAAACTATCAATATTATATAATTGATTTTTGAAACTTACCGTGCCTATCAAAGCCGCTGGTAAACTCAAACATTTAATAGTCTTTTCAGCGTCGCCCAAATCATATCCAGCCATTATTCTTTCACGACCGCCTACACAACATATCGCCTTGTTTTTGCACCTCAGAAATCCGTTTTATTTCTAGTGCTGATAAGGTGATAATGGTACACAGAACAATATTGGGTTGCGCAAATAATCCTCCGTACGATTTATTATCAGATAAGAATCTCTTGTGATTAATAGAAGGTACACAAGTGTACTATTCTCCGATAGGTTCTGGATGTTATTATTAATTAGAATTTTTATTTAATTAATTCAATTTTTTGGCTTTTTAGCTATTATCAAATCTTTTTTGTTTTTTTTTAACTTTAACACTTCAATACCCTGTAACTTCTTTACTAAGGACTTAGAAATAAAGTAGGTAAGTCAAGTCCCATGGCGTTCCAGATAGTTCTAAATGATTCTGGAGCAATTCTGGAGTGTTCTAAACAGCTCCAAAAGGCTCTGGAGCGGTCTAAATGATTCGAGACAGTTTTAAATTACTCTGGAGCGTTCTAAATGATTCTGGAGCGTTCTAAATGAAGAGAACTTTTCACCCCGCCCTCCTATATGAAGTACTTAAACATTTGTAGATATGGTTTTATTGGAATAATAGAATTTACAAGATATGCCTATACTAAAATACTTTATACACAACAAAACATATTATATTACTTTTAGTTAAACCAATTAATAAACAATTGCCAATTTATCGGCAATTATTCTTTGAGACATATTAACATCGAATTTAGAGGGAACCGGTCCAGCCCTGCGTGCTTCTAATACCGCAAAAAATAACCTAGAATATGGGAATGTAATTATCGATTTTGGCCCTGTGCTTCTGAGCCACGCACTCCGCGATCCAAACGATGTTCCTGCACTCCTGCTCCTTCAGCTTCAGATAGGAGTAGAACACCCCGAAGTGGAACTGTTGCATGAACGCGTTGATGTTCAGGCGCACCTCGTGCTCGAAGAATTTATCCTCCAGCGTCTTATCGCCCGGATTGTTCCCGGCGCCTTCGAACAATTTGGAATACTCTGCATAATACTCGGCTACGGCTTTGACTTGCTCGTAATCCTCGGCTCTAGCCAGAGCAGCCAAACCGTCGGGCTGGAGTTTACCACAACGAGGGTACAATTTGGCGCGATCGTCTTTGCTCAGCTCCGTTCCGAAAGAGTTGATGGTGATGATAATAGCGCGCCTGTCGGCTTCGAAGGCGAGGATTTCGCACATGCTGTCGGCGGTGGTGCCGCCGATGTCCTTGCAGAAGGTGTGGAAGGCTTCGAGATAGGCCTTGTACAGGGTGTTTCTGATGATTTCAATGTTCATTTCGTCCAAATCTTGCTCGCTGATGCAGTCGACGAAGAAAGGGGCCAGTGGAGTGTCTACTAGCACGGCGTTGTAGAGTTCCGCTGGAGTGGCTGCGACGTGGATGGCCTCCATTTGCTCGAAGCTGCCGAGAGGGTGGCATTTCGGAATCAACTCGCCTGTTCGTTAACACAATTAGTACAAATCGTTTCGAGTATTATTAATTACCTATGGGTCTTTGATGTAAAGTTCCGGTGATTAAAAGTATTATGTTGTCGATCATGTAGCTGTAGGTTATGAAGTCCAGGAAAGTGGACAGGGGTTCTACGGCTTGGTTGCGCATATGCTGGAACTCGATTACGAGTTTTTCCCTCAATTTGGAATCGATGGTGGATACTGACAATGGGGAGGGCTCGTTGGCCAGGAACGTGCCGTAATCGGTGCCTTGTAAATGCAGTTTCAAATCTGTAAAAATATTATCGTTTACGGAAGGTTTAATTGGGTTTCGTTGGGCTTACCTTCGAGGGTTTCGCATTGCACTAAATTGAGGTAATCGGATTGTTTTAGTATGCCGCATTTGAAACCGCGGCATAAACCTTCCAAATAACCGTTGTCGATGTTGAAAAGACACCCCTTCATGATCGAAAATCGATGTTTTAAATCTTATTAAAAACTCACGAGATGAAAACACCTCGCCCGATTGTCATATGATAAATGTCACTGTCATTAGTGTCAGTGTCAACTGAATGTCAGGTGAATGCTGCGTTGCCATGTTTAAAAGTTGTTCTTTTTATGGTGGCTTTCTCACATGACAAAATGTATTAAAGAAAAGATGTATTACTGAAACTACAAAAATACAAGAATACAAACAATACGCTATTGAAAGTCTACTTTTTCTTTTCTCACTCATGTCACTAGCTGAGTGATGCTTTCGGTAGAGGCGTTCTGTCACATTGTAAGCAAAATGGCAACATTGACATTAGTTGTCAATTCAGGTGTATTCTATGTTGCATATGTAGTAGGTAAATATTTCCTAAAATTCTCTGTATTGAATCTACCCATTTTTTAAAATTTTTATCTGCAATTGAAAAAACTTCGTAGAATAATATATTTATTGTCAAAACATTTTTACAAAATTAGTACTTAAGTCAACAATAAGTTAAATATATTTTTTAAAAACATAGTCTCATTTGGCACATAATTTTATATATACACAGTATACTTTAAGTAAACTTTATCGAAAACGTTCAACATTATCGTTAAAATATTTTAAATCCCTATTTACAAGTACGTTGAATTAAAACCTAGGAGTACCGTATAAAAATTTAATACTTTCAATTTCTTTCCTATCTACAGATACATCTGAAAAATATCGTTCGATTTGATTCCAATTTTAATTTGCACACGTTGAATGCCTTGCGTGTGCAATTTGAACATATTAAACATTCAATTTTCATTTATTTAACAGCCACAAAATATAGCACAAAGTAACATTTAATTGTTCACTAAAAAAAAACTTTTACTTATTGTCATTCATACAAATTCATTGTTCCGTCTTTTACAGTAAAATCGCCGGTTTTTCTCAGTGATCAATTAAACCGAATCCTTCAATCATTCGAAACGACCCACCATCGTCTTCACCCAACTAGTAGAGGACCCGCTCGTAGTAGTACTACTAACAATTTCTGTTTCCTCCTTAATCTCGCTCTTCATCACGAACTCCCTCTTCACCGTGACCTTGCTCTTGAGACTCAAAGTATCGGGTTTATGGGGCACCGGCGGCGGCGCCTTGTTAGGCCTCCTCACCACCGGCCTCTTCGCCAGATGGGGCTTCGGAGACGGCGTCGTTTTACCTTCGGAACTGCTAAACGAGTCTTGCTTTGCCACCTGTAAAAACAAATCGATAACAAATCGAAGTAAGGAATTGATAGATAAAATTTACCAGTTTCCCTGTAGCGTCTTTCACGTATTCCTCCTTCAAGGAGTCGTCGAGCAGGCTCTCGTAGTAGCTGTCGGAATTTTGACTAGAATTGAAGCTCTGACTAGCGTCGGTAGTACTGCCGTTCAACCTCTTATCTAACTCGTTAAGTACGTCTTTTTCGTTTATCGACAAATCGAGCTCTTCCGGCCGCTCCAGCTCTTCGGTCTTGTCCTCGGACAACGAGAGATCGATTTGACTGCAACTCGCCGAACCTGCACCAAAAATATCCCATTAAAGCAGAGAGTAAACAGTACAGAATTCAGTGGAATGGATGGATGAGGAATTTAGCTGAAGCAGATAGACAAGTAGTACTTACCGCAGAAGAGCTTTTGCGGATCCTCGTAATCCGGATGGGCGATCTTCTCGCCCATGCCTTTCGATCCCTGCTTGCGCAGAGGGTACTTGTTGGTGCGTTGCTCCTCCGACATGATGTGGCGGATCCTCTGCAGTATGCTGAACCTGATGGCGCTCTTTCGGTAGATCTTGTGATCGGGATGTTCGTCGTCATCTAATCGAGAAGAAAGATCACTGAAATTCAACGAATTGATGATGAATTAGATGTTTGAGAGGAATGTGTGTAGTACTCGTACTTGTCTTGTTGTTCTTCGATATCGGTGTCGGGGTTCTCTTTCAACGACGTGTCGATTATCGATTTGTTCAAGGTGCTGTCGGTGGTTTTGCGGTCGGGTTGATCGTGCAATTGGAACGATCTGGGCAAGGAATCCGCCTTGGTGGGTAGCTTGACCTTTTCCTCGCACCAAGTCGACGCCGGTTCGTTGTCGTTGGCGGCGATTTTCCTGCTGGTTTGTCGGTAGTAGGCCTTGTGGAAGTTCCGGTTCTGCAGCAGGATGTCGGACACGATCTTCTCGAGGTTGCTCTTCACGCTGTCGTCAGTCTTTTCTTCTTTGAACGGTTCCGCGGATCCGTCGGCGTCGTCCTCTTGGAGGTCCTCCAGCGACTCGTCGGGGCAGTGTTCGGAGTCCGAGAGATCGGTGTAGAACGTCGCGCTGTGAGTTTCCTTGATCTTCTTCGATTTGGTGGGTTTGACGGGGTTGTATTGGGGCACCATGCTCGGCTCGGATTTCCTGCGCCAGTTCGTTAAAGTCGGAAACGTTCGGTCTTGCGATGTTGCTCTTCGACCGTCTCGGGATTTCCTCGCTCGACTGCGCCTTTCCAGGTAATGGGGAGCCGAGTTTTGCTTCAGAGGAGACCATTTGTCGCCGTTCGTGTCATCTGAAAGAGTGCTATAATTGAATGGTGGAAATACAAATTAACGTAACTCCAAACGTAACAAAATATTAATTACACGAGCAAACTGGATTTCTATTTAATGATCGATGGGTGTGATTAAGCGAAGTTATCATCAGCGTTCAAAACTGTACGAACCGATTTAAATTTTTTCGTGGATAATTACGATCTCCTCGAAACGAACAGAGATCTCATACTTTCGGATACATTCAAACCGTTAAAAAAATTTACCAATCTTGGAGCGCTTTCTGAAAATAAACTAAATTTTAATTCGAAACGATTTTCTTCGGTGGTGCATTTCGCGCCTCTAATCGGAATTATCGCTAGTTTATTGTGGATTTCCTGCTTACCGGTTTCGTTGGGATCTTGGCCCAGTTGCAGGACGAGCTGGCGCGCGTGATTCGGTATGACGGCCGTGTAATTTTCCAATATCACTCGCTTGATTTGCAGCGTCCACTCTCGTTTGTGCTGCGGCGATCTGGCTTTGAGGGTCGATTGTAAACGGGGATTGTCGAAGGGGATGACTTGGAACGATAGAGGTTCGCCTCGGACTTGTTCTACTAACATCAAATTCGACGTCTGTAAAGGAAATTGTGTTATTAAGTTAGCAGGAAATCGGGAATTTTCGAAAGTTTGTAGTTTTCGAGATGTTATTAATTGTAGAGTATGTCGATGAAAGATCGCGGTTATCTTGAAGTCTAATTGAGATAAACGCGAATTGAAGGTGTTATTTTGTAGTAAAAACGTTTCTCTACAATTTTTGGAGAATCGAAAATTTTTGGAAATCGTCTAATTTTCGAGTTATTTTGAACTTTCTATGGTTTGTACCTAAATTATTAATTTTAGTGCAAGTCGATAAAAAATCGCAATTATCTGAAAAAGTAATCAAGATAATAACACCCCATTTGTTTTATTTTGTACTAAAAACGTTTCTCTACAATTTTTAAAGAATCCAACATGTTTGGAAATCGTCTAATTTTCGAGATGTTTTAAATTTTCTATCGTTTGTATCTAAATTATTAATTTTAGTGCAAGTCGATAAAAAAATCGCAATTATCTAAAAAAGTAATCAAGATAATAATACCCCGTTTATTTTATTTTGTACTAAAAACGTTTCTCTACAATTTTTGAAGAATCCAAAATTTTATAAAATCACCTAATTTTCGAGATATTTCGCGTTTTTTATGTATTGCACAGAAACTACTAATTTTAGTGCAATTTTATGAAAAATCGCAAATATCTAAAAAACGAATCAAGATAGAAACACCCCTTTTGTTTTATTTTATAATAAAAACATTTCTCTACAATTTTTGAAGACTCCCAAAAACCTTTAATTCCCAAGCTAATTATAATTCCTTGTCATAAAATCGTCAAAAAAAATCTTCATTTCACGCTTCATTTTCATTTAAAAATCTCTCATATTTACACAAAAACCACCTACCATTATATGGCTTTTGTGCGCCAGCGCTCCGCCCTGCTTGTTTTTGGCCAGCAACAGCACTTTCTCGAAGAGGAACACGTGTCTTCTCCCCCTGGCACCTACCACCCTGAACGTTCCTTCGGCTATCAATTCCCCTAGGGCAGTCAAATCCGGTCCGTTCCAACCGTACAGCTGCGATTGGATCTCTTGAACTCTCACAGCATCTTCGTATTTTCGCTTCATATTGTTTATATCCGAAGCTATGCCGGTCATCGTCGCTAGAGCTAAATCTACGGCGGGTTTGTGGATTTCATCGCACAATTTAGACAGTCTCTAAAAAATATTTAATCGTTTTAACGAGATATTAGTCGGGGTATTAAGTACGTTATTTACTTGTAGTAGTAGGTGATACTTGAGTATCCTTTGAACGGGTTTGAGTAGGTAAGAGCCGAGCGGTAGAGCGTGTCCCAAGGAGTTTTGTTTCTCGCGAAACAACGCCGCCATTGCATCGTCTCTCGTCAATTTCCCGATCACTTCCATCGTCAGCGGGTAGTTTTGGCAGTATTTGTTGTAGACGGAAAACCCGGAATCGTGGCGCAAAAAGCAATTCGCTGTGTTCGTCGACTCGCCTTCGGCCCGCTGCAATTCCTCCAAGAAGGATCTAGAAACAGGATTTTAGAACCCAACGAAGCAACGACGAATTGGCTACAAACCTGTTGAATTTATAAATATCCTCCAAATTGCTGAACAGATGCGATAGGTGCTCGGCCAGCGGACACTCGGGATCCGCTCTCCAAGGCGCCAGGTAGCCCTGCGAACAAAAAAAAACGAACGAAATATTATAGAGAACTCGATGAAAGAGGTTGCAGTTGCGACACGTTTTATGCAAGAGACGGGCGCTTATTAGATTTGCAAATGCGAGCCGGAGCCGCGTTTGTGTGTATATTTAAATTATGAGCTGTGGTATCTGGTTATTTCCTTCGGATTTTTATTCAGCTTGCTCTTGGGTGTTTAACCTCGCGACGTGTCGTTGAAGGATTTTTAATGAAGAACTGGTAAGGAATGCCAAAGAGAGGTTTATAATTTTGCGCAGTACGATCCTGGATTAGTGGGATAATGGGGAAATTATTTCGGCAACTGTATGGCGAAGTGGCTAAATGGATGGTTAATTAATGCATTAATTAAGCGAGTTTGTTGGAGCCGGCGCCGCTTTATCTAATGTCTTGTTCGGAAATAATAAATAAAACTCTTTATAATTATAATATGTGGAAGTGGATAAAGTGGATAAACGATTGAAAGAAACCACACAAGATGATTAAAATGTATATACACTAATGAATCAGTCTTATCTAATTTTATAACAAAAATTAATGGTAAATTAAGCGCTTTATGGACTATTATTTTTTCGGCCGTCTCAGAATATTTCAATAATAACAACGTAGATGAATTTATTAATGAAAATGAGTATTTCCTCGAGTCTTCATGAATGGCTAACGAGATGCTTATATGTCATTAAATCGTTCGTTTCTTACGAATACCCATTACGTTAACATAAGTGGGTGTACCACTTAAAAGTAAACTAGTCTTAATGTGCACCAACTGCAGTTTACCATGCAAATTAAACCCATGTGGAATGGGTAGTTCGCTTGCCATGTAGGCTGATGCCCCGGGACACAATATCCCTTTGTAGAAACGTTCCAAATGTTTTCGTGTAATTACAAAGTGATACGAAAATTGATTAACAATAAACCCACATGCACTTGCACTTGTCTGTGAGTATGTCGCAAGAATTGACGCATTTTTATGGAAATAAATAAGTCATACTTTACCACAGAATTATCAGTGTAGGTTGATTAAAATTCTGCAAAAGTTGTTACTCAATTTTCCACTTTGAGTAAGTGAATTTTTAATTTCAATTTAAAGAAAAAATTCAAATTCTGTTTCATTAGAAACGATCTATTTATAACAAGGAGTTTCTAATCTTCCTGAGCACGAAGGTCAAGATCCGAAGTAATGTAAATTTATCGTTTGTTTTCGTAACGAGTACAGGAAAATTCTTCGATAATATTTGATGTATTTGATGTATTTATGTTCTGTTTTTTATGTTTTTCAACGAATAGACCTCACACGCGTTAAATAACAGCCAAAAATAGACCGCGATATACATACACGTTCATATATTAATGAATTTTTAATTCAGCTTCCATTCATGCTTATTTCCATACGTGCCTGGGTGGATTTCAAATGCAACATCTACATATTAAAGCCTGAAACCTGTTGCCTACTATCGAGATTCTAAAACCCATATAACATATTGTCCATTGTATACGAAAAGCCATTATGTAAACAAACTGGATTTCCTGTTGTCCATAAAGTTATCTCGTAACCTGCTCGAGATAATCAACGATTCATAATTTTCAACGGTGAATTATCTGTAACTAGGAAGGATAATGGCGTTTGCACGTGGTCATTTCGCTCGAAATGTGTATTGAAACTTTACTATAGAGGCTGTAAAGTGTTGTAAAAGTTAATAAAACCCGGTGAATAAACTTCCTCTTGTTAATTTTTTATCTCGAAGCGCCGAGAACGGGTAAATTTGTTTGCTTTTTACATCTCGTCTTCGCCTGTTTGTTTTTTCATTAGCCATACATTGTTAATTAACCAAGCTGTTTCCAGGTTATTGTCCAACAAGAAAACAATATAGGCATTTTCAAGGGATAAAACGAAGTTTCAAATTTATTCAAAACTCGATTCAAGCGTTTAATATTAAAATTATCAATCGCTACGGCGAAGGAAACAATATGCAAATGTTGCGTTATTTTTTTCAATTCGCAAAATCGCTCCATTGTATCGACGAAATATTTGTATTATTGCTCATTACTTATGAATATTTATTAGTTATTGTTGACTGTGTTAATTTAGTAAATACCGCTAGTCGCATTGCAACCTGGTGAAAATACCCACAAAAATAATCACCGAGAAATATAAATTAAAATCGTACCTCGATTACTTCCTTCAAATCCCGCACGTAAACCGTTTCAGTTTCCAAAACTTCCCGGAGCACTCTGGACTCCGGACTAATCGTGGGCTGTTCCTGCTCAGCTATACCACTATCAGCCGAACCTGAAATAAAATATCAACTATTAATTACACTATGTGACTCTGGAGAGTTCTAGATGGTTCTAGACAGTTGTGAATCATTCTGGACAGTTCCAAATGGTTCTTGACAATTCTGATTCGTCCTGAAGCAATCTAAATGACTCTGGACAGTTCTAAATTGTTCTAATCAGTTCTAATTCGTTCAGAAGCGTTCTTAGTCATTCTAGGACAATTCTAAATGGTTCTTGATAATGCTGATTCGCTCTGAAGTAATCTAAATGATTTTGGACAATTCTGATTCGTCCTGAAGCGAGTACATGAAAGAAGTAATATTATTATTTATGTTAAAAAATCGTGTAACACAGCATTATTTTTAGTGTTACTTAAATAACATATTCCGCATAATAATCTTGTCGGTGCACGTCCAATTGTCCAATCAACGTATCAGCTTTATGCAAATCCACAAAATCGACCTCTGGCTATTCACGTTAACCGTAGTTTCCTCACGATTCGTCGCCGATTAGAATAGAAAATGCGACGGAGAATGGAATAGAAAGTGCTCACCTTGGCTGCCCGTGGGTTCCGGATCGCTATCCAGGCTTTCCGCCGAAGCCAAGTAAGCGGATCCGGGCTGATTGTGGCCGCTGCTGCCGCTGGAAGAGCAGGAACCCAGGCTGGTTAGAGACACCGGTCTGGATACTTCCGAGGAGGCGGTGCTGCTTTCGCTCGGCACCTGAAAATTAATTAATTCATTTTAAATTAATTTACGCGGTAAATCGAAGAAAACTAGAGCGTATTTTTCGTTTGGTAATAGATAAAAAACCGATGGGGAGTGGAGATAATCCAAAAATGTCAACCAAACCATTGTGTTGCGATTAATAATCGTATAATCGTAAATAGAAAGCTTGTGGCATTTCGAAGATAATTAAAATTGCGACATCGGACAGAAATATTTCCCGGGATGGTTTTCTCGTCAAACGTCCGGACAAGTTGATATTTCGATATCTAGTTCGTGCACGTTAGCAATAAATAACGAGAAGAAGATGTAAGTAGTTTCGAATTGATCGAATAGCTCAATTTGTCTCGTTTTAACAGGTGTAAGACTAAGATTGCGTTGTATAATATTTAACAATAAGAGGAAGAAAAATACCGGCGGGTACTGGGTAATTTCGTTGGAAATTATACGGGATGATATCGAAGTGAAAGTGCTATTCAAAGTAAAAATATATAGCAACTTTCAAAAAAATTGGTGTGTGCAATTTTATGTAAAATACGAATTCGTTTAATAATATAAATAATCGAACCGTAACTGATTAATAATAGCTTTTTTATTCGTTACATCCAAAGAGAAAAGAGAATTGTCGAATAATTTCCCTTTATACTGAAATATTAATTTTATACTTAACATATCTCCTACTATAAGTAGAAATTCATGGTGTTTTGATAAGAATTTCGAACAAAACTCGAGAGCAAAGCAAACCCACGCGAAGTGCATGGCAACTATAACATATGTGCACATTTATATAGATATGTGAAAAAAAAATTCACACTGTTTCGAACGGCATTTTAGATAAATGATAAGGACGCGTCCGGAGACTAGTGAGGTTTTTGTCCTCATCGCTATACGGAGATAAATTAAATAGTCGCGTTGTTTGTCTACATGTTACAACGCAAATAGACAAAACATGTTGTTATATTATTCCTCCGGCAAATTTAATATCGATTCGTTTACCAGATAGCATCCAGGCGCCTCTATTGATTTATTACGCCTATAAACAAACCGATTTGTTTCACTTTAGATAAGAGAAAACCCCGTTTCTACGCCACTGGTGCGATCGCACTTGAACGCATACTGCACAGGTTGAATGCAGGAAGAGCTTTTTTTCGTGTTGTCTGGTACATAAAGTTACGCAACAATGATTTCTAGTAGTCAACTGTGAATTTACACTGTATAGTAACAAATCAAGATCATTTGGTTTATTAATTATTTATTAGTGAAATGTTTCCTTGAGATTATGCGTTTGTAATTTTGCGATGAGTAGGTAAAGGTCGCTTGAAATTCGGGCGAACCTCACTCAAACAAATCAAGGTGTTTATCATATCTGTACTTGGAATTTTAACGGATTATTATCGTGCATTAGAAAAATAAATCGGATTTTGAACATAGCGAACGTTTAAATATTTTCTTTTGTACGTCCCATTCAAACAATAGCTAATTTAAAAGCCTTAAATCTCGAATTTTACGGCCATTGTTGTGCCGAAACTAGGTATACCCGTTTTGTTTTTCGGACGTGAATAAATTATTCCCCATCGGTAAAATAAAAGACTCGGAACTGTCGACTGTCATGTCGAATTCTGGAGAACTGTGAGGGTTAACAAGCGACAGGTAGAAATCGGTGATTTGTCAATTAGAAACAGGTTCTTCTTCGGATGGAAGCCGTTCGAAAACTACGCAGTTTCAAATTAAAATTTTATGGTATATACAAAACGACGAAGAAAATGAAAAACGAAACCCCCTCGTACACGACCAACTGAGTTGTGTCATTAAGATATTCGTGAGATAATAGCGAAACGCGCGTCGTCTGTTACTTGGAAAGAGAATAAGAAGAAACCCGACGACAAATAAAAAAAATAAACCGGGGAAACGGTAGCGATAAAACCATCTGGATATATGGCGATTAAAAATGTCCGGCGAGGAAACTGCGGTGTCGCGAAAAAAATGGAGTTTGCATAGAGTAATTATACTCCGTTCGGCATTAGTGCAACCTAGTGTTACTGTCTCCTGATAGCGAACAGACAATAAAAAGTATAGTTGAAGTCGTTTTTTTATATTATCACAGATTTGCAGCCTTGGTTCTCGTTCAGGAGAATCCAGAAGAAAAGAATAAGTGGATGAGCAGGTGAGTTTACAAACAGGATATACGTAGGTGTGTTTTCTGTTTTCATTAATAATTAATCGAGGTAAGATAAGCTCGAATAACACGATTTTAGTTTTATAAAATGAAGATTAACCCGACTTGTTGAAAACCTGACACATTTAACCGAGTTTATTGCTTGTTTAAACGGATCAAAATTTCAAACAATCTCTCCAGAAACTCCAACAATCGAATCAACTTTGTATGTATACTCAATTATGTAAAATTCCGACGAAACATTTATAAAAACGAATCGAAAATAAAGAACTATTGTTCGTCAAATGTAAAACTAATCGACTAATTACAACATTCCAACGTTACGTAATCGAACAGTATAACAAAAACTATGCGCGTTATCTACCTGTAAATATTTTCCTAGATTTTTCCTGCCCACCGGCGTCCTGGAGGCGATGCCTTGCACCGAATGCAAATAACTCCCCAGCGGCTTCGGATCGTAACTATCACAGTCTTCGGTTTGATCACTTTCACTAACACCGTTCGCGCTATCGTTTTCGTCCCTCGCACCGTCCGAATGGTACAAAAACTGCCTCACGCCGTTCGGTTTCTTCTCCTTAACGTCGTTGTCTTCGAGGATCCTGTTCAGGAAGTCCTTCCTGCCGTTGGGGCCGTGCAAATAGGACATGTTCCTCGGCTGGCCGATCACCAGCTCGGCGTCCGGCAGATTCGACAGCATCTTCTGCACGTTACTGGATATAGTGGACTCCAAATTCTCGCTGCTTTTATCCGGCGATCTGAACGATCGATATGAGCCGGACGATCGTTTGTTCCTGCTGATTTCCTGCTCGGGCACGTTGGAGAGCACTTTTTGCACGTACGGCGACAGGTTGGCGAAATTGCTGATTTGGTGGGCGCGCTTCGGGGTTTTCTCTTTAACGTTGCTTCCTAGTATGGCGTCGAATGTGCCCATAATACTGGGCATCAAGTCCGGCGAGGGGCCTGCAAGCACACAATAAAAAGAAACGTTTAACTGGCTGTAAATGTGTTAGCATAAAGAACGAATCGATACTGACATTGTTCCGTTGTTTATAGCGAAAGAGAACGAAACACCGCGACAGGTATGTGGTAACAATAAAGTCGACCGATATGGTATGACTCAAGGTGATTCGGTGGGGCCGGCTAGTAACCTTGCGAAACGCCTGGGAACCTATACTTGTACACATACGAACAATTTTTGCGATGATGATGATGATGATGAAAATGATTGGAATAATTTATTGTTGTATCGCCGATGATCATTGATATCGTCAATTGTGTTTAAATATATTTTTTACCGGGAGTTTAAGAGGGTATTTTAATCTGGATAGGTACATTGGGTGCAAGAATATTTCAGATTAAGGGATTAAAGGGATTACAAAGGGATTATTTGATTCCTGTAATTCCTGTAATTCCTGTAATTCCTGTAATTCCTGTAATGTGCCCTTTTGTGCCCAATATACAACAGTTCATTTCTTGCATACAAAGTAGATATTAGTAAAAACAAAACCGTATAAAGATTACTAGCGAAAATCGTTATCATTGTGGGTCAAATATAACTGTAATACGTTCTAATTAGATCCATAAAAGCAAAAATATTTATTTTACATTCATATTACGTACTCCGATAGGAGCGATTCGGGTTATAACCCAGAGAGCGAGATATTTCGGTAATTAATTTCGAATGATTGTACAACGGTAATTAGTGATGTAATAACGACTTACTGTTGTTTCTGCTTAATTTCGCGTCGTCGAAACCGGTTTTTAAATCAATCTTCGCCGAAACACGCGCGTTTTACTATAACATTTAAATCGGGTAATTACTAATTAGCGACTTGGTTGTCAGGAGAAGAATTTTATAATTGCGTTTTTTAGTTAAATATGCGAACTGTGACACACTTTCCAGCAGTATAGAGAGATAATGAAATTATTTTATTACATTTTCGGCAACACAATTTACTTACACTACGCGCTATAGTACACTTAGGGAGCTATTAAATTCTGGATAACTAGCTGTAAATAAATTGGATATTGCTAGTTTTAACCGCACAATGGAACAAATTGAAGCGAATGCCTGACTCACAGGAAGTTATATAATTGGAAAACACTCGTATTTTATTACTTATGTCTAGATTTGATTGCTACCGTTAAATGCATGATTGTTTCTAACACTTAAGTTTTCGCAGAAAATTTTTGTTGTACCGTTTAAAACCGTATGAATTAACTGGTGTATCTGATTCATTAATTTAACAGCGAGATACATTCAACGAGCCGCTTCTGTATTCCGATCATCATCATTACAGTCGAATTTCTAATTTTGAAACGGATTTATTAGATTTCTTAATGTGATTTGATGAGAAAAAGTCGGTCGGGATGTTAAAGGAAAATAAATTGGATTTTAAAGTGGCTGAAAAAAGTTTGATAGTGGAACGTAAAAGGGCATGGGCGTTGGAAATTGACGAAACTAATCGGTATTTTATTTCTAGCCGAATCTATAATGGTATCGAAATGATTTATTACACCCATGATTTATACAGTGCGCTCAATTAGTGCACCTATGGAAGATTGTTTTTCAAACCGAAAGGATTGAATAATTAGAGAAAACCGCTAGTTTCGTAATAATAAATCGTAAAAGGGAAAAAATCGCACGTAAATTTCATGATTTAATCGTTTTAAATCCCAATTACTCCCATATCAGCGAAACAAGCTCGTTCGTTACGTCGAGAAAGTCGTCGTTTTTCTCGAGTTTCCACATCTAAAATTCGTCCAGACGAACATTTTCTATTTCTCTTATTTTATACGGCGACAGCCGTCATTGAAATTCAAACGTGCTACCGCAATTTATGTCCATACGAGCATTTATGTTTACTTCATATTATCAACATACTTGGATAATTATATCTCGAACCGTGCATAATTTATGGGCGCAACTATCAGGAAAATGTATTTTTGTTGCACATTTCAATACAGGTGGAAGAAAAATAAGTACATATGATGAATGCATTTACAAGAAATACGGCGTAATTTAGAAGAAATTGTAACATTTGTGGAGTTTCGAATAGAATTTTCGGTAACCGTTGGAATTAGAAGTTAATGAACAATTTCTAGATGCCTATCGCCTAAACGATGTTTGAGAATGCAAATAAAACACCAAAAGAGGGAATTATAGTCGATTTTATCGTCGGTAATTTAAAAAGTCTTTAACATTTCGGCTCATTAAGTCGCGTAGAATTTCGTGGGTGTTGACCTCATTCGGAAATTAATCGAATTATACATAGTTAATAGGCCTAATTCAACGACTCACAAGTGTTTAGTAATGTAATTTTTCGGTCGATAGAGGCTCGAGGAAATTTACTTATTGTTTACCGGTTTCAAATAAATAATATACCAGGTGGCGGAAGAAAAATAAACAACAAACCGAATATTTTTCGTGGAACGTGTGTTGGCAAATAAAATCCAATGAATCACCCGGTTTCATCAATAAAACGTCAACACGACGTCTTATCGGATTTTTATTCGTCATAAAGTAGTAATTTCGAATCAAACGATCGCTATAAAGAATGCTTATTGTATTTCGATACGCGATTAGCGTTATTTTACGTTTTATTACGCTTTTCGAACCGTCGAAAAGTGTCGTATAATAGCCCGGTTGTTTTCTTTCACTATTAACTATCACATTCGTTTATACAGTAATGCTTTATCTCATCTATCCTTCGGATACTGTAGACTCTGTTTCAATTTAGAAGGTCGTGTACCTCGTGAAGATTGAAGACCTAATGCATGCGGCTTTACTTAAAAATAGACTATATCTTTATGATTGTAAGTAAACACGAACATTACATTTAAAATGGATGGACCCTTTTTAATAGAGCAATAAGTAATAGATATTCCATGAAGTCTGATGTTGCATTGAAAGTCCACTGCATGAATGTTATCGGCAAACATAACTATAAAAATCGTTTAAATTAGGTTTGCTCTTTAAACTGCAAGGTTAAATCGATAAAAACCAACGCAACTCCAATGAATATTAATAGTAATGTAGTAATTTTTTCATTCATTTGCATTTTAGTTTAAAAACACCAAGACGTCTGGAGGCAAGATGAATTAATGAGGAACGTGGATAAAAATAGTAAATCAACTAAGTATAGTTATAGTAAGAAATAGTAAGAATCAAAAGAAGCTTCTAACAATCTGGAGCTGTTCTAAGCTGTTTCAAATTCTGCAGCAACCGATTCGAAATTGCGAAATAGCAAGTTGCAAAATTCCGAGCAAACAATTCGAAATCTAGGCAATTTACCTTTGGCATCTTTGTATCCGTTTTTGCTGAACATTTCGTCACTTTTGCATAACACCATTACGGATCAATCAATCGCGACCGGCTCGCCATCGCATTATCTAAAATCGAATCGGAAATCGCGAGAATATCTGCAAGATAATCCGAAGATACACCGTTGAATCTACCGCGCTGCGTAGGTAGACCAATGTGAACTGAAGTTGGTTTGGTCGAAAGACCTCAACATGAAACCAAACGATTCCAATGAGTTGCCTGCGATGTTGCCGATGTCGCTCGAATTTAACCTAGTCTTGTTTAAAACACCAGGAAGTCGCGAGTTTCTAAAGGCTTGGTATACGATTTGGGGTTGATAAATAACGCTGGATTAGCAATAACTAAATTTCGTAGTAAATTAAGTAATGAAATTCGGTATATTATCGGCAACGATGTCGGTTTATTCGGGGGAATATGTTCAGTTCGGTAGCAGGAGCAACGTTCGCTGTTCTTAACTTAAGTCGAACGGAACAGACAGGCGCGTTTCTCGCAGATGAGTCACATTTTGAGATAATTTCCATCGGGTCCGATTAAACGAAACATGAATGCGCGCTGCAAGAGCCCGTTATCTCGATCTTGCGGGCGGAGGGAATTCGATAACGCGCGGTTTGGTAACCATTAGAATCATTTTCCGGGATTCGATTGACGCAAGAAACATGATGCGCAAGAAACCCATCATTCATTAACAAATAATTAAAAATATTAATAATTCCTTTAGCTTGAAATTACAATAAGTGTGAGAGGAAGCGAACAGGTCATCCAATTAACAACAAAAACGCCAATAAATAATATTCTGTAAGGAAGTTCGTGTAGTACGAATTTCATGGTAAGTGCGGTGAAAGCATGTATGTCGATTAAGAGCTTAATAATTTTATTAAATTTCGTGTAAGGGAATAAGTAGGTAGGTGTAATCAATCGATATCGTCGTTAATGTATCGATGTTCATTAGAAATTAAGCAATTTTGTGAAAGTGTATTGAGTGCACTCATTAAAGGAGCAGTCTAATTTTTTTGCATTCGAGATTAATTATTACTACCTAATAACTAAGAATAAGCGAATAATTTTGAACTATCGGGTAGTTAAATATTTGTATTTATAATAGATAAGGAAGTAACCAAATAGTACAAAATGATATGGAATTAAAAACAAGCATTTTCTTACTTATTTGTTATTACTCTTACTTGAGCTTTCTTAGATAGCTTACGACCATATACAGTTCAATGGTAAAGCTAAATATAAGTCCTGCAATAGCAATTTTTTTACATAACAATAACCTTTAAATCGCCGCGTTAGTTCATTTATATTGAAAAATCATTCGTAATGCGTGGGAAACTTAAAGGATGAGAAGATGGCCTTACATGCATCAGTAAAATGTCCTTCAATGGCTCATGATGAATCGTGTTCGGAATACAATCATACCTTCTATTAGCAATAACTACTATTAATTCGCGGGGAAAAATCACTACCAGGTTTGAATTTTTTGTAGTTATTTTAGCTTATGATAGATTTTTTGAATAGCTTATTCTTGGAAATTATTTCGCAAAATTAATCATTCTTTATTGCTTCCATAAACTTATAATATAATAACAGAAATAAATAAATCTTTATACAAATATTACGGGCTTAAAATATTCCGAGAAACATCGTCTAGTGCATTTTTCGTTTAATAATCTTGACTGTCATCCTTTTTTTCGAGTTTAAACACACAATATTACCTTTTGTTCAGCATGCAAATTTAACGGCAGGTTATTTTTACACCTTTACCCCGAATTCCTCTACAATTTCATTTTGATAATGTCGTAAAACACGAGCATGGCAGCTCCGCCGGTGCTGAGCGCGATGTTCGTAAAGGCCCCTTTGTAGAAGGCCAAAGGTCCCTCTTGCTTGGCGATTTTCACCCAACAATCCAACGTGCTTTTGTACACAACCTGGCGTTTCGGCAAACCGACTTGCATCATCAATCTCCTCCTGACCGTATCGAAAGGATAGGCCAGCAGCATGGCCAATACGCTGGACGTTTGAGCGGCGATCATCGTGTTAATCAACGTTTTCGACCTGAAGGCGCCCTTGCTGGTATCGTAAAACCCGAAATAAACCGAACGATAAACGAACACTCCCGTTATAGACGAGAGAAATCCTTTGTACAATATCAACACCCCGTCGGAGCGGACCGTTTTGCAAACGAATTTCACTTGCTCGAAGAATTTACCTTTTTCGCTACCGAAATTCGTGGCCAATCGAGTCGTGGCGAAATCCAGCGGATGCATGAAGGTTGTTACCGTTAAACCCGCTAACCCGCCGGCAGCTAAATTAGCGCCGAAATACGTCCAAAAATCCCTATCCCTGTCCAATTGCCCGGAGAATCTCTCCTCGTAGAAATCCTTAAAGCCGAAATTGAACGTGGCGCCCACCACGCTCCTCGGCAGATTCGTCGACGTTCCTCGCCATAGACTGAAGAAACTCTCCTCTCTGGTGACACGCACCAGGGTATCGATCATGCCCTTGTAGGAGTTCTGCGGCGACACCTGCCTGGAGACGGCCTGCAGCTGCAGGATGAGCTTGACCCGTTGCACCGGCGCCAAAACGACGGCCACCACCGCCGATGATACGCCGGCGGCGAGGAAACTTTGCGAGAACGTTTTTATCAATGAGAATTCTTTATTTTCAGACATTTAGGTTATTCTTCTTGTTGCTGAATTTGGCGTTTTGGGGAATTTGTTGGTCTTGTACTCGTTTGAACATCGATGTCAATGTACTGATAACTGCAAAGTTGTATGCAATTTGGTCTTGGGTGTAACAAAGACAATTTCCTAGTATAAGTTTTCTAACTCTAACAACTGTTATTTTAATAAATCGTAAGAGTAGTTAAAGGTGGTAACATGGTTAAATTATTTTGGCAATACTGGTATAACTGCAACTGTCAAAATGACTTTCGCGAAGTTTCTATTGTAATGCACCATAAATTCCCAATAAGTATCTAACCATAATTCCGATAGATTTCCTGCCAACAGCGAAATTGCCAATTTAGTGTTTACAATGCGGACGTATGACGGATTTAGGAAAAAAATTTGAAGATTGGACGCACGTTTCGCCGAAGCAAATAAGAGATGAATTTCTCACAGCCGGCACCTCATCGGCATTGGTGACGTTCATCGAGGCGCCGATGGACCGCGTGAAGCTGCTGTTGCAAATCCAGCCGGGCACTGACAAGCAGCGCTACAAGGGCATCGTGGCGACGTTCCTGCGCATACCGCGTGAACACGGATTCCGGACCTACTGGCGGGGATCGCTCGCGAAGATGACCAAAGCTTTTCCCAACGCAGCCTTCAATTTCACGTTCAACAGCATAGGGCACAGGATGTTCGTCGAAGGCCTGGATAGAGAGAAGCATTTCTGGTCGTATTTCTTCCGGAATTTGGGCGTTGGAGGATTAGCAGGGGCCAGTGCGCTCACTATTTTATTTCCCATCGAATTCACCATCACTCGAACGGGTGCTGATGTTTCGAAGCAATTCACGGGTCCCGTGGACTGCGTTATTAAAACTCTTAAAGCCGAAGGTCCTTTCGGCGTCTACAGAGGATATATGGCGTCGATACAAGGCGTTCTTATTTACCGCTCCACGTACTTCGGTTTGTACGATACATTTAAATATTTATTCACCGATACTACTAAGGCATATTCGATATCTTTATCGTTTCTGATCGCTTCTTCCACCACCACGCTCGCCGCCTTTTTGGCGTATCCTTTCGATACGGTGAGAAGACGGATGATAATGCAAGCTGTCGTAGGAAAGGCGAATATCAAGTACAAAAATTTGCCGCATTGTTGGAAGACGATCTACAAGGAAGAAGGAATTCGGGGTTTTTATAAAGGATCGTTGGCGAATATGATTCTGGGATTCGGCGCTGCGGTTCTTCTCGTTGTCTTTGACGTGGCCAAGCAACGTTTCAAAGTGTAATGTGAGATGAACATTTGTTGTAAATTGGACGCGCATTAAAATGTATTTTCTTAATTACCTTAATCTTTTTCTTAACGGCCATTTCGGGCGGATCTGTTCCAACGGATAACGGCACAACTGAGCGAGATACACTTCATAATCTACACGCTAATTATCTTTATTATCTCGTAAAAATCGTGATAAACGGCTCGGCACTCGACCCACTTGATAACCAGCTTATATTGTAAATATTGAGCAAAGGCGCGTCAGCAATTCCGAAAATTTAAATTGTGATTGCGAATTATTATCATAAACAGCAGTTTTCGAGTAAATAAAAATCCACACAATCGACCCGTAGCCGAGGAATTCTCTTAATAAAATATTCTCGAAAAACCGGCACGAAATGCATTTATCACCGGCGCATAATGAACCATATGGTTCCAGTAATGGGCCCAATGTCAACCGCTCCTTTTATTATAACATATCTCTCTGGAGATTGTGTGTCGTAACCGGCAACAAATCGATATAATGAGGCGAGAAAAAAGAGGCACAAGCAGATTCAAATTGCGCGCCTTATAGCCTCGGGACACAGACTTTACGTCTGTTGGATACCGTCCTCGTTTAATCTCTATTCCGGTAGAAAGGGCTAGAAATTCCAAATAGAAAACTTGTAACAGTAATTTTAATATCGACGATTTTAATGATATACTTAATACAGTAGTAACTACCGCTTTTATTAGATGATTACTTAGCTTTGGTGCATCGAGTGTTGCGTGTTTACAGGAGTTTTTATTGTTATTTCAAGTGAATTACCTACATACATACGCGCCGTTAAGAATATCCATTCAAAGCGAAATTAGTAGTACTAGTATTTTTATCAATAGGATGAATCCAATTAGCGAATTAATGAATCTCAAGCTCAAAGATCAAGGCGTTTCACCGAGCAGGTCAGGCCGCGTTCGTGTCAAATTATTTGGCACAAATGCAAGCTCAACGAGCACGTGAACTCATTGACATAATAGTGTTAATGTGTAATTATAGCAATACCCCTATGCTTTAAATTATTTGTATATTTCAATCAATCGATTATTGTCTTGTGTTCTATAATAAATCTATAATAAGCACTTTTAAGCGACACACATATTTAACTGAAAACCCACCGTGGGTAAATCGGCTGCTTTAATTGCTGCGGGACGGCGCTTGATAAGCAAGATTAAGTTTTTTTTTTGGGTGAGATTTAACGTATGATTTACGAGAGGCCGCGGGGCGCTCGGCGATGTGGATACTTTTTAAGCGAGATTTATGCGAACAAAATCGCTGGCGATCGCTGTAATTAGAGGATTTATTATGTAAGCTAATGCACCGTCGTAAATTCCCGATAAAATATGCAGGTATTATCGTAAACACTTTTAGAGACGAAATCCAGCAGGCGAATTAATTTAATATCTAATTAATAAATTCAATTAACCGCGCAGCACAATGGAAATAACCACAAGCGAGTACATAATTCATAATACACCTATGCTCGGCTCCCACAATTATTTGTATATAAATTTTCCGGTGTACGATATCGAAAAATCCGAGCGTCACCTCCGATGATATATAAATCCTTAATCAAAAGCTATACTTTACTCCTTTTATGCACCGAAAAAAAATCCTCTTCATGAATAAATGCCTCTTTTATGAACACAACCACGCACATTGCTCGGTGCACGATAAGAAATGCGTGTGTGAAGAGCTTGTGTGTGGCCCAAACACTTTGTCTATGAATGAACGAACGATATATATATTTTCATTGAAAAACATTGTTGTAAAGTGGGTTAATAAAATCCTTTATGGAGCATTAAAGGCGTATGAAATACATGTGGTGTGAATTTATATAAATATACAGGATGGGTTAACCTGCAATCAATTTGTTTTGGAATAATATCGATTGAATGCGAAGATAAGATGAAGAGATGGCATTTATAGATCGTTTTTCGTGTGCCCCAATAATATTAAAAGCGTTTGTTGATTGTCGATGGCGTCAGGTCGGATATATTCGAAATATGTGATGAAAGTTTCGATACGAAAGAAATAATTAATTGAAATATACAAGTGGGCGGACGTCGGACAGAAATGGCTACTTAAAGATCGCTGGGAGAATTTTTCCTTCAACTAGATCGTCTTTCGATTTCACTGTTAGGCGAGATTCCGATGCGTTTACGAATGAAATAAGTAAAATGCGCGAGCGCGGTTGACCCATTGCAGAAGAATGAAAATGCAAATTCCGTCCGTAGGATGACTTACTATTTCGTGTTTGATGGGTGAAGTTGTAGTCGATGAATTTTTTCGCAAAATCGTAATATAATAAATTTCGCATCGTCACGCTAGACTGCCAAAAAATCCAATGTAATTACCCAAAAGGGCACTCCTGTTGAATCGCAATTGTATGGCCCCCTCGATGTTGACGCATAATAATCACTCGAATTAACAGACCAATAAATAACGCGTCTCGTTTTAGTAATAGTATCAGTTTTGATGACCTGTCAAGGGTTTAGTTCGTTGCTAAATACGTCTAATTGTCGCAGGATATTGCATTAAAGTGGGTGGTTTATTCACGTTTCTAATAAGCTCGATAGTAGGCGTATCCTGACAGGGTAAAAATGGATTAAAACGGCGTGAAATTTATGTAATTCTACGTTATTTATGTCGACATAACGTAATATATTTGAATTATAGAAATACACATGTATAGCGTGGTATCATTTGCAATTTCTTTACTTAAAATATTTACTACTGAATTATCTTAAAAATAATCGATATTCACGAGTTTAAAATGATTTGTATAGGTCCATAAATTGGTCCATTTTAGTTTATTAAATTGATTCTAGCTACTTCCTATTTTCATCCCTAATTGAAACCCTCTCAGACTGAGACTTTTCACTCCTAATTTTTCAAATTACAAGAGTAACCTTGTGACAACTCGTTTGAAAGATATTTTCATTCTCTACTAATCATTCTCTACTTGTTTTTCTATTTCGTTATCTAGCTACAAATATAATGGCATTAGTAGTAAAAGCCTGTACACGATTCACGCTGTATACTGTAAAGAAGTCATTATTTCTAATTATTCAAAGGGAGAAAATGAATTTTTCTGGTAAAACAGCTAAAATGTACCCATTAAGCGGGCTTGTGTACACGTCGTTGTCTCTATATGGAGATGAAACCCACGAGAGTTTCGTTAAAATCTGCATTCGGCATCTAAAAGACGGAACGTCCAGACACGATGAGGTTCGACCGTAGAAACGCTTTAGGAAGAATCCTAGGATGGCTTATCTCGACTAATTTGTGGACGGTTTCACTTTCGAGCCGTTATAAAAGCCGATTCCATATGTTCACGATCAAACCCGACATATGGTCGACCGATTAAGGGTAATCTGAAGGTTTTTCTGCATTACTAAAACATACGCTTCATTTTCTCGCTACATAACAAACGGTACAGTAATTTTTTTAGTTCGACGAAAATCGATCTCTTCCTGTTACATAGCTACAGGGTGCTCGATAAGCCGGGCGATCGTTTTAGATAGCTGTAACGCGGTCGCCTCAAAGAATGACTGTTATTTTCTAAAAGTGAAGCATCGCAGATATACGAGACTAGCGTTTCGAAGCCGTTTACATAACTGTGAAACTCGCGAATGCCGAATAAACGCATCGCGAATAATTGCTATGCCCAATAGGTGGTACTGATGACCGATAACAATTCCACAGCGTTGAGTAATCCTCTCTGATTCAAGAAATTCCATAAAATCGCAAAAATAATATCTATACAGGGTGCTATATGTACTTATTTTAATGAGTAATCCTTGGGCTAATTTTGAGGCTTGTTATTCATGACCAAAACTCCATTTAACAACCATTTTGATACGGATAAAAAACAGTAAAAACTAAATAATTTCGTTATAGGCTAAATACTCTGTTTGTTGTATTTGCTGGTAACAACGAACCTAATCTATTTTAGCTGGCGATTACTCTTACTTTCAATCATCGAATGCAACTCGCGTGGGAGGTTCGGTTCGATTTTCTTCCCCTCCAAGTTTCGATAATAAATAGCCTCGTGTATATTTAGAGAAAATAATAATGCACTCGCGTGCAACGTGCTATACATGGAAATATTCCGGTGTGGAAATAGGTTCCGGATCGAATGGATCTTCGGGGAAAGGAATCGAATGCGACAAGTGAAATGCGCGATGTTTCGATCAAAAAATATCCGTTTTATTATTACAAACCGTAACGAATGCTATTCTTGCGATGGCTTTTTGATTTATGGATATTTCACGCCCACGCGCCTATAGAAGTTTTCCATTTCAGTAATAACTTTCGAGCAACAATGGCTTTGTTTGATTCGCGGATTTTATTGCGAATGGTAAGTAAAAATTAGAAATCTTTTGTTGGGAAAAAAAGCCCTTACTTGCGAGCTGCACTTTAGTGCAGGTATAGAATGTTAGGGTGAGGTCTTATTTAATTAACCGAGGGAAACGAAACGCCTACTGTTTATGTATTGGGGATGAAACAGGAAAATAAATATAGGGTGAAGTCTTCCCTAAGTAAACGTTGAATTTATGGTCTCGATTTAGGGTGTGTTGGGGTAGTAGTAGTTCGTGCAACTATACACAGAACTATTTTTTTTTGTGAAATAATCCCGGGATGTACACAATTTTTAATTATCTACAGTGTCGCGACTGGTCTACATTTCGTCGGCTATCCGGTATAAATAGCGCCGAGCTATCGGCTCTTTGTGATCGTTAAAAACGCACGCTCCTTTAAGATAGAACTATACACAGCCCGTTTTGCATTTATGCAAATTAGCAGCGAGAGTGATTTTATCACTTATTATTGGCCACTCGATTTTATGTACCCACCTTAAGCGAGCCATTTTTTCCCGATCGGCCGGATCCAGTTCGTCGATTAAACACGCAGCTCGCCTCAGAAACCACTCCGAGTCACTAACCTAACCCAACATCATCATTACTACGCCATTTAATACAAAAAAATTCATCAACACGAGTAAATAAAGCCGATAAAACATCTGCGCATGTAACCATCGCGTACCCAGCTATTTCCAACGATCCGTACATTTATATAATATACAAAAACTAAAAGTAAACCAAATTTTTAATCGTAAAAACTGAACCTAACATTACTTCCTCGAGCATCCACAGCACTCACAGTAGCCCTTTCATTTCTCGCAGAAGAGCGGGAACCTCATGCAGGGATCCTCGTCCTGGCCGGGCACGGTGAAGCAGCAGCCGGGCAGGAAGCAGGGCGGCATCGGCGGGCACGGGGGCGGCTTCCGCCTGGGACAAATGGGCACCGGCCCGCTGGGGATGAAGGTGTAGGGGGGCGTCGGGGCGCCTTCGCAGAAGCACTGGGTGCCGGGCGGTACGCAGCAGGCCGTCGAGCCGCAGGGGCCGCAGGGTACGATGGGCGGGAAGGGCCAGGGCAGGCTGCAGGGCGGGCAGGACGCGTAGACCATGGTGGTTTTTTATTTTTGCGGAGAGTAACGTTGGAATTTTTGTGGGTATCGACGGGGAATTTTGATGGTTTTAATGACGTTTAAATAGAGGCAAAATAGGATAGATGTCTAGGATAATAACAAGGATGTAGTGCACTTACTTTTACTTTTAATTGTTTGCGTTTTTTCAGCGAGAAAACTTTTGCAGAGATGGTTTTTGCGATGTCATATGCAAAGATGTAGAAGGGGCTTAAATCAAAATTCATTTATTGATATTTTTTTGCTGGAATTTGACATTATTTGTTCAGAAAATACTCTGTAAACTATTTGAATAATACTGTAGGAAACTAAGGAAATAGAATTAAAGTAGGTACAGATATCATTAAAATTTAGGATGTTTCTGGACTTTCCAATATAGCGTTTTGAAAAAATCCGCTTTCACCTGCATTATTAGATAAATAATTATTGGTGATTAAAATTGCATAACTTGAAGTCAATTATAAGCGTAATTCAGAGCGCCGTATCAATATCGACCATTATTTTCCTTTCCCATACAAAAATAAGTAAAGAAATATTTTTTTCTCTTAGATTCTTCAACTTATTTTATTCTTTTTTCTCTCTAAAAGTATCTGGATCTCTGAGACTTGTATAAAATACATTTGAAACTGGATGAATCATCCGAGTTGTCCTAGGACTCTGGAATGATTCACTGGGAAAACGGAAAGTGGAAAAACGCCTGTTGCCCGCGCAATGTGGGTCGGGAAAATCGATAAACCCTCCACAACCCAGTTGAAAAACGCATTGTGCCACATCACAAAGAAAGATTAGATAATAAAGAACCTAATCCGCGTGGAAGAATAGCAGATTGCAATAGTATCGCAATGCAAAAATCGAGGACAATATTATAAGTAAGATATCAAAAGGCGATAAAAACGAAAGAAAGCAAACAATGAAGATTAGAATGTGAGAATCGGAATGCTCCGATTCGAACGTTTCATTTAATTCGCGATATTGTAGAAATTACGCGTTGTATAATCAATTAGAAATCGCATTAAAATCGAATTTGCGTTTTTAATCGACAATACCGCAACGGCAATTTTCCGCCAATTAACCGGCGATTTGTCTGAAAATAAATCGCTGATGGTACATAAACTTGGGGAGTGGATATTTTTGAACAAAACGAACACGTTCTAATACTGCCTTTGTGCCGGTATAGGTACAAACTTCTATGCAATATAGTTTATATACGGCAGATAGTTTATATGGCACAGAGTATAGTCGTTTTTACGACCCCCTGTTTAACAATTCGATATTTACGATCTACCCAATACAATGGCCGGTACGTGACTTTAAGACCATCCGACCTATAGGACCGTAAACCGATTTTTTCGCGGGTATCAGGTGAACTTTTCCGCTCGACAACAAACTCACTATCGGGCTCCAATTCTACGAACAGATTCTCGAAAACAAGCCGTTTAATTTTCGGCATAAAAAGAACTCCAGGAATTGGCATTTGGGTATTAGATGAAATTGTGTTGAGAATTCTATACCATTATAATTTTTCGCTAATTAATCTTCAAGAACGCGGTTGTAAATTGGGCGCAATTATAGATTTTAATCCTACAAGTAAGTGTTTCTACTCTTTCCTGCTTCCTTCTGCCGTTTTCTGATCTTTTCTGCTCTGTTCTGCTCTGTTCTGCTCTCTTCTGATCTCTTCTGCGCTCTTCTGCTCTCTTCTGCTCTGTTTTGATCTGTTTTGCTCTGTTCTGCTCTCTTCTCAAAAACCCTTTCAATCCCTCCGGTAATAAATATATTTCTGCGCCCAATTTACCATGCACAGCAGTTCTCCAAAACGAGGTAAGTAGGTACTACTTATTCCAATGCAAGGCGACAATCTGTAGTTATACAAGCACTCGCATGCACGTCTACTGTATTTCATATTTTTTTAATGAGCCCTATATGCATATACCTAAGTACCGAATTGTCGACAGTAGACGAGCGTGTGGGCTGAACGTCCGCCGATTGTTTGTCAGTTTGTCACGAGCATGTGTGCTGATGGTACCTTCGAATCTGGGGTACTAACAACCGACGGTAAGCACTTACTAGGTACCGACGTGGGCGATTTTGTTATTATGCATTTCCTTCTTTCATTTCGTCGCCCGGTAATTACCAACTGTTATTGTTGTTGAGAGGTAGTACCTACAGTCGGTGATTCGAATTTTGTCGAATTATAATGAGAGATGAATTGTATTTAATATCCAGTTTTTGGGTGGTAAAAGGGAGCCATTTCTAGGTAAGGCGCTTTACTTGGAAGGCGTTATTTATGGAACACCCTGTATTTGGTAAATAAAATACGATTATAAATGGTACGAAATACAACCGGGCACTATTGTGAGATAACAATAGCGTATGTCAGTATAATAAAAACGAAATTTATATGGCCCACACGCAGACCAGTACAAAACTAAATCCACTATACATGTGACATTCGAATCGAAATTTTTGTTATTCTCTAATCAGTATTTTTAAACTAAAAAAAATATTGTTGCCAACAGAATATTTAGAAAACTCATTCGGTTTCAAAGTGGGTCAATAATCCTAAACATCGTCCAAATAATATTTACCTTCGACTCGAGTCCCGTACATTGTTGAAGCCTCCGAATTCGATTCTTGTAAATGCCCACGCTCTCTTACATAACACATACAATAACAGACGGGAGGGTGTTTTGTACCGTTAGTCGAGATTACCGAGAATAACTAACGGGTTTTTTTGATTTAAACGATCGAAATAATATCGCTAAATTCGATTAGCTGCGCGCATCGCGGTCTATATAAACTGATGACTTAGAAGCTAGAGAGTACCATCGCAGGACAGGAGACATTGTTACGCGCTGCCTAATAAGGCCTAGACAGCATCCTTTATCGGTACCGGCTTTTTATTGGCAACGTAAATAAAACCGTCGATGGGAAGAAGGAGTTTTTGCCTTAAGACGGGCTCCGCTCAGAGGGCAATGATACCCGAGAGAATCGTACGATACTTCGAACGCTAAGCACCCAGGAAGTGGCCAGAATTCGAAAATTACGAGGAATAACGCGAAATAATGAAAGTGTAAAAATTCCTCGGCTCTGTGGAAACCTTCTGTTTTTTTACGCTTCGGATTATGTGGGTTAGGTTAAGTCGATTGGATTCCTAATATCTTATTACCGGTACGCGTAAGTGTAAAAGGAACTTTTACAAAACGGATCGCTCGATACGCGATATTCGAGCGTAATTCTATAAGTTAATTGTTCTAAAAATTAGCAATTTAGAATGCTAATTCATTCATATACACGGTGGCAGAAAAACCAAAAATACTATGTACTATTTTCTCATACCTTCCGCTTCCTCGCTACCTCTCTTTCGCTCTCTAACCATCCGGTTAAACAGTTACAATTCTCCTTTTTCAGCGCCCGGGACTTTTTATACGCGTCTATTGACCTTTTAACGTTAACACTTAGTTCTGTTGACGTTATTATCTAGTTAAGTCGGTGTGAAATGAATTGTGAAATTATCGTCCTTGATTTCGCTCTCGGGTTCGCCGGTTTAATCGACGTTTAACATCGAGATATCGCCATTACATTAGATCAATGCGATCGATGTGCAAACAAATCCGCTCAATTTCGACGCGATTATACGTTAATTTAGCGAAGGAAAAAATACTGTTAGAAATCCCATTTCGAATGAACCGGTTGAAAACTAATAAAATATTACCGCGGTAATAATAAAGTCGAGGCGAGATTACTGCTATTGGGTGCTACCGCAAGATTTTATTGCGAGTCATAGGAACTATTTCCGATTGAATTTCTGTTATTATAGTACGTAAAAGTGGCCGATTGTGGGATACTTTTGGCTTAAATATATCTTAGGAATTTTGGGTTTTAAATCAAATATCTATGTATAAGCTTGTTGTGCTGGATTAAATTGCGTTTGAAAAGCTCCAAAAACGATTTCAATTAAAGTAATTACTACATATTTGCAGAGAAAAGGTCAATTTACTATAATGTAATAAAGAAATATGGTATTAAAAGTGTCTAAATAACTTTTAGGAAATGAAAAATTGAAGTTGCAGAAGTACAAATACTTCTACTCCCCTTTCCCCCAGCCAATTTTCCTTTAGTTTTTGCATTTCAAAGAAAACATTTTAGAAAACCGTGCTATTTAATCCCAAAAATAAACCACTTATTTTGACTAATTGTGTGGTCAACTAAACCCGTTAATACACATTTATTTATCTAATAAACAATCATTTATTGTATTTACAAAACCATAAAGCACTCCTTTGAAACATAAACGAAAAATCCACGTAAAACAATCTTGCAGTATTTACGAATAGTAAAGCAGATGTGCGATTGTCCTAGCTTTTATTACTCTATTTTATATACCTACAGCTCATTTTTCGATATTATGTAATAATTTCCATTTTTTTTTAATGCTGGCCGCGATCCAAGACGATCCTAACTCGAGAAAAATGAGTTTATTTTCACAAAGTTCACGTTATTTCTGTCAACTATTATTCTAGATGCGTCCTAATATTTCGTTGTGCCAATGACAAAAACGCGAAAATATAGATATTTAACTAATACGTTAAATATTCAAAATTCGGGAAAATTAAAACTTACTTGAATTTTAAAACTTCTTTATAATTAAGAGGCATTTCTGGTGGATTGCGAACTTACCTGAAACAAAAAAAATACAATTTTTTAAATTTTAAAAATTTACCGAATACTTAAATTTTAAATGTTTAACAATTTAGTCACTCCAACATCCACGTATTACTCGAATTACTTCATATTTTTTTCTATAACATCTACATAATAGGGTGTCCCGAAATTCGCTTTCTGCAAGTTTATTTATTAAAAAAAGAAAGTTTCCTTCATACCGCACACACCTAACTTATAATATTGACACTACTGACCGGATAATACGATCGAACGTGACATTTTTCCCTTATTCGTATTATTCGAAAATGCTAAATCGCCGATTTATATTCAAACAATAAAGCCGCATTTCCTATTTTTTTAGAACGCTACGCGGCGCGTATGACAATTATTTACGGATGCGTTTTTTCGAAAATCCGGCATACTCGAAGAAGAAGAAATAAGAAATCGAATCGGAAGATAATTCGAACGAAAAAAAAAGCCCGATCTCGGTCTCTCGGATGTCGCTGCACATGCAGCAAAGGACTAAAAATAGCCGCGAGTTGTCGTTGAGAAGCTCTCTCAGGGGCGTTTCGGATATTATTTTTAGCCACTAGAAATGAATTGTGGTTCGATAGAAAAACCGAATCTATCGGAATCTAAACAGTTTACATAATTTAACGTTGTTTTTATCGCATGCCACATAAATACGTCTCATTCAAATCGATAATAAACCAACGAGATTTACAAGCGAATACAGAAGAAGTGCATTTCGAAAACTATTTAGATAGGAATAATCGAGCAATCAGCCAAGTTTCCATAAACGTACATTAAACATTATATCGAAGAATATTCAGCAATGGTACATGCAGGTATATACTGCATGCGGCGTAATCAAATGATACTTGTGTTTATTATTAGAAATCCATATATAGAAGCGTATTGAAATGCATGTCATAACATCGCTGCAGGATGATTATTTTTGAATTAGGTACAGGAGATTCCACGAAGTTTTGCTTCGATTTAAGCCGAACTGGTTTTATGAAAACGCATTAAAATGCGTTTCTTAGCGATACTTTGAAGTCACAAATTTAAACAAAATGTATTTTTTTTAACTATAAAGAGAGACATCAGAGCTGCAGTAATTTCTAATAGACTACAATTAAATTATTTAACGTATAGGACTATCGGAATAATGGTGATAAATTCGATTAAATGTAAGCTTTAAGCTTTTTTTATCTCTTATAACTACCAGTATAGTTTAGAGACAGGAAGAATGACCATCAATTTACAGATAATTAAATCGATTTAATACCAAACAGCTTAATTACGAGCTATATTATTTAGAGAAATTACATTTCAAGCCCCATTAAGTTTCATGGTACATTTTATTTTTTTCAAAGACTTTGTAATAATACCGAGTAAATAAAATGCTCATATAAAATAAGGACATTGTTAAATAATCTTACCATTTCTTAACCCTTTTTTTAACTCTTTGGAATATTTTTTACACGCACTGACTCACAGGAACCCGTTCGAAGTACTCGACAGATTGGAAGCAAATGGGGTTTTTACTATTCGAAATATTAGTAAGGCGAAAAATAGGAAAATATGTGGACATAATAATTGAAATTATAATCGTTATTTTCGTTCTAATTTGCTTCGATAGATTAATCACTTGAAAAACCTGTCTATGTGGATCATTTAACGCACGTTCAACAGGTCCGTATTTTCCTCATATAACCAATTATATAACTCGGATATATTCTGAATTAAATAATTATTTTACTATTCATTGTAATGTGCTCTTATTACATTAAAAACATGACTAGAAAAAAACATTTACAAGACTCTATAGCGAAATTACGTAGCAAAACATAATAATCCAAATCGTGTAAATTTCAAATATTCGCCTTTTTTCGTGCCAAATTTTCATAATACAGCGATGAGAATATCGTATGACACACCAGTTGTTAAGCACGATCATGGCAAAAATCTACATGCATTCGAAATGCTTCAAGAGATTAATAATTACAAATCAACAAATCATTTGACAATGGTATTCCTACAAAACAAATAAGTGTGTACTGCATTGGACACCCTGTATATTACGAGGGAAAGTTGATAAGTAAGTCGAAAAATGCGCTATGTGGTTACCCCAATTGAAAATGATGAATAATATTCCTCCTTCTCGGGTGCAAAAATCGCCTATACAATCATATACGAAGGATTTTTTGAGAATTTTAATTAATATCTATCGTCTGCAGTTCGAGTTATTGTATTCAAATCAATCCCGGCTGGCTGACTCGGCGCTAAAGATTAATTGATTGAATATCGAAAGGCTATTATTAAAGGTAATTCCCTTACGAAAAACGCTTATAATGCTATTTGTAATTCTCCTCGATGGGAATGGGTACATTCGTTTCGTTAATTAATATTTTTGCTATGTATGTTAGATTGAACTAAATTTAAAACCGTTTACGACAGCATTTCTTCGTTTTCTCCCTAAATAACGTATGTAAAAAGCGATTTTATGAGACCGTAAAACTAAAGCAAATGACATTAGGTGCCAAGTGACATTTAGGTAATAATAAATTAAAATTTAAAAATAAGTCGAGTTTTTTTTTAACTTTCTTAACGACCAACTTTCGGTCCAAAAATAGGTAAAAGACTTTTAACCAGTTTTAACCAATTTAATTAGACACTAACGAACGAATCCCACGGATGATTTCATTCGAGAATCTTCTAATAATTTAATTACAACCCGGCAATCGTTCAAATATAATCATTACAGCAGAGGCGATATCGATCTGGCTTTGCGCAAGATGCATAAAATTTCTTTTCCACCCGCCTACGCGCCAGCACGTGCACTCGAACTTTTCCTACCTGGCGCTTGGATTTAATGAATTAAAAAATATCGGTAAACTCCACCTTCGGTCGTAAAATCAGCATTTAGATGCCGGTTGTAAAATTACAATAATATCAACAGCGGCGCATCGGGCCACGAAAAAAATAACGCAAAAACCGAAATTAAACAACAGCAAAGCTGGAGAAGAATTAAAAATATTCGATTTTTGGAACATATAAGTGGTAAATAAATCGGTTCCTACGCCGCTGGTTGAATCAAAATTCACATATAGACGAGCAATAAAATTAAAATAATATCGAGTAATAAAACAGTAATTTCGATCTAACGAAACGACTACTAAATATTCATTTAGACGTGCATTTAAATAATCATTTCAATATTTAAAAATCGAATTCTTCCATATATTAATTGAATTGTCGTTGCATACGTCGATGTCTGGCCATTATTTTTTTTATTTTATTAACAATAAGATTTGCCCCGTCTGATTTATGCTAATAAATCCGAGATTATTAATACCCCTGTCAATTTTTAAGGCCCGACCTCAACATTCGTTTATTCGACGCGATTATTAAGATTGATATTCATTTAGGATCCCTTCAAATAGCATAAAGAAATCGCAGAATATTGTCTGCACGATATATGGCCGAGATTTTTTCTACAATATCAAATGGTCTCTACCTTAGTGTAACTTAAACCAGCTTTCTCGTGTGTCGATATAGGATGGAAATTAAGTTTTGATGCACCGACAATAGATATTCAAATAAAATTGCACATTTTTCTTTAATCAAATTACGGTTTGCTGATACGATTTAGTTATGCATGAGGCGATAAACTGTACTGTACACCGTGTAATATATTCGCGAAAAAATCCACGTTAGGACTGCGGTAGGTTGATTAGCCACGGTCGCCATAACCCGTACAGAATCGATACATTTTTAATCCGGATTTAATTTTCATTACATTCTCAAAACAACTTAATTCGCGCGTTCGAACAAATCGAATTGTTTTTCTTAGAAACCTTAACTAGTCAATCAGACGGAAAGAGTATTCGCAAATCGAACGCTGACATCTGCTCGGCATTGTTTTTGTTTATAGTTGTACATTAGCATGTCTACCAGTAAAATAGATTGAGAAATCGGTCTAATTCGCAACGGGACGAAATCCAATCCCATAACTCGTAAATCATCAATCCATATAGCGGTAAACAATAACACTAAACACCGATAGCCCTGTATATCATCTCGTTCTAGCGCAATTTGTAGGTGTGACACTGCGATATTGGAACCATAATGTAGCAGGATCTCGATTTATCATCTAATTTCATTGTTCAAGTAGAAATGTATCGGATAAACGAAGCAAAATCGGTGCAAAACTTCACAGCATCCTCCGGGAAATTTGCCCCGTTTCGCCCGAAACGTTTACGGTATATTAAACATTTTTTCTTTCGCGTAAACACGTGAATACAGCTCGTCGAATCTGGGCCGGTATATGCACGATAAACGTATAAATATTTAAATAAAAAGAACTAATTACGGGCGCAAACAACGAACGGGACCGAGTAAATATGGCGAATGGTGTCAGAACAGCGAAAATATTAATTATAATAAAGTTTACATTTTTAATAAAGTGGAGGACAATTTTTGTTGATAAAAAATTCTGTCGTGTAAATTTAGTAAATTAGTAAACAATGGTAATGCCTGGAAACGGAAATGGGTGTAAAAAAGCCGCTTTTTAACTTCAATTATGTATTCTTGACACTCTCCTCTTCGAGTAAGATTGATTAGGGGAGGACAAAATTTCCTGTCGTTGAATTTACAATTAAATTCCACCACATAAAACCTACATAAATTACATTGGTAAAATAGTTAGTAGAGTATAATACAACTAGTTTTTATAGATACAGCTAGTAGAGTACTAGTTAATGCAGATAGTAGAAACAGGTGTAGAAAGAACCCAAATCTGGTAATATTTTTAGCAACTCGCCTTATAGTTGCAGTGAACAACTAATTATACAAACCATCATGTATCATCGAGCCTAAAACCTTTTAATCCCGAGACATCCGTTCGTTAATGGCGAATCGGCGACTCCGCTTCATCTGGGAGCCCGAAAGACGAGAAATCGAAAAAGAAAGAAAACGGTGTCGCTAAAAATAAACCGCGGGCGCATATTCGTTATGCAACCGATACATTCGAGTTCCCTGGAGTGAAGTTCAAGAGGATTTTTTTTACTCCATAGACGCGATAAAATCGATAAAAATGAGGAAACTTGTGTACACGTCTCGGTGGTTTCTTAGAAGCAATAGTGATAAGAGATGAGTTTCGTTGGGCGAGCTAATAGCTAATAGCAGGGAGTTATATGCACGTGGGAGATAAAGGTTTAGAAACATGTGCATGTGTGTGTGTGTATCTGGTTTTTTTTTATTTAAATGAAGTTCAAATTTAATTTGGGTACTAAAAGATAGGTTGTGAGGGACAAAACAGAATATTTTTGTCAATACCAAGGGGTAAAATAGAGTATTTTAGGGGAGAAATAAGGGACATACTTGGACTAATTAATGGCAAAATAAAATATGTATATCAAGAGCATGGGGTAAAAGGGAATATTTTAAGGATAGTTAAAGTGTTAATAATAAGGAGCGAAATAGATTATTTAAGGAGAAACTAGGGACAAAATTGAATATTTTAATTAACAATATCTAATATTTTAAGGGCAGATAGTTTAGGCAATTAAGAAATAAAACAGAATATGTTAATAGGATAATAAAGGGCAAATAGGATAGCCAAATAAGAAGTAAAATGTAATAATTTAAGAAGCAAATAAATGGCAAATAGTTCAGGCAAATAAGAGGTAAAATAGATTATTTTAAGGGGCAAATAAGTGGACAAATAGAACATTTTATGTTCGGTCAAATTTAATAGTTTGGCTTCTCGTTAATTAAATAATAAATTGTCAAAACCCTGCTCATTATGTATGCACATAGATACATCAACAAAACCATTCATGAATTATAACTGTCAAGCGATAACACGTTATAAACAAGTAAATAATGAGTGAATTAAAAACTAGAAACAATCGCGCTCATCATTTACGGGCTGCTAAATAAAAATAAACAATTTTTATTCCATCGCATCGAGTTCGAAAATAGAACTGGAGTGGGCGTAGCGCATTTTCCTTTTTTTTTTCAGGCACCGATACAGCGACTTTTTCGCGAGATTGTAAAAAGAAATCCGACAACTCGTTTATCTCGCATTTGTACGTGATGAAATAAATGCAATACACACGGAGTGCAATGACGAGAACAGAACTGCAATAATTTATAACATGTTTTGGAGTGATTGTTTCTTTGTTCAGCACGTTCGTTTTGTATGAGTAAGCATTCTACTATTGTGTTCTATATTAAGGCTTAGCGTGCGGTTTTTAAATTGCCGAAAGGCCAAAAGGGCGAAAAATTTAAATTAACATAAAATGCGAGCGCGGCAACTTCCTTTAAACCAAGAAGTTTTTACTACTAAAAAGCATTACATAACGGTATGAAGAAGATTAGTAAAAAGTACCAATTCGAAATCCAAACAATGCCAAGGCAAAACCAATTAGGCGTACACATAATTCCGACTAAAACTAATTATCTCTCGGATAATAATTTCCTACATCCATATGCAAAACGCCGGCCCGAGGCAATTTAAATAATATGTATTTAAAGTTTGTCTCATCTCTCATCGCAGCAAATACGGCACTCATTGTTAAATGAATCCAATCTTTTGTACCATTCAATTCGCATTACTTATTGCATTGCATAACCCTCGAAAATTAACTCATTAAAACAATATTTAAACAACGATAACAACGTTTGTAAATAACAATTTATAAATCACGCAAATTCCTAGCATATGAATAGCGCATTAATTGCAGCATTTAATAGAACAATTTTTGGGAAAATTCGATTATCCGGCTTACCGAAAAAATCCTCCCAGGTGTCCTCCGTGAATTCGGTCTCCACCATATTTAATCGAGAGTGGATATCCCGAAGAGCCGCCGAAACGGGTCACATTTCACTGAAAAATTACGATTTCTGCGGGAATATCGCGCCCGAAACTCGGTCAAAACGCGCTTTAAACAGACGGTGTTTCGGCTCCGCCGCGACGCGACGAAGAATCGAGAATGGGGAAAACGAAATTGCCTTCCGAGAACGTGGTGCAGTCGATGGTCGAGCCGCGGCGTTGCCGCACCGGAGCGAATATCGGGGGTTTAGGGATTTTGTGATGTACCAACGGTGGATTTTTAATAGAGTTAATCGAAATTAAATTGTTAAGGTAAGGTTTAGATTCGAGGGTATTTGGGGAGGAATATGCTGTGTCCTGGATAAAGGATGAAAACATTATTGGGGATAACTATAATTTTGTAGGAAATACGATAAGAGATGGTTAAATGAGGACAAATGAGTTATTCAATTGGGAGGACATTAACCTGGTGAAAACAAATTTGTATTTATCTTCGTTTTTTAGTTTCTCGATTAATTTTGAATTTTCGATATTTTGATATTTATGTAGTTTTTCCCTTTTTTTTAATGCTAGAAAAAATCTGAAAGCACTTGTTGATTGTCATTACTCATTACGATTGCAAATTCCAATGATAGTGAAATCAAAAAAGTAATAATTTCTAGGTAATTATTTTTTTTTTCAAACAAAAACATACATTATACAGCAGGAATAAATAGAAACGACGACAAAATAACGAATAATAACATGCGAGATAACGCGGAAGATTCGAAAACAATTCGCGCACGAAATCAAAATTTGCGCGAAATTCGCGGCGTTGCCAGATGTAACTTTCGATTTCCGAGAGTTTCAGATTTTCTCTGAGTAAGTAAAACAAAGGGGATTGTAAATATAAAGTCGATTACCTCATTAATTTCTAATCCGATAAGGGTAGAAATGATTTAATTCGATTCCTGTATGATTTCTTTATTCTCTAGATAAAAATTTTGAATACCTGTCACCTGTCACCTGTCATATTTTAAACTCACCTTTTTCTACTTTTGTTAAAGGCCACCATCTTTAAAAACATCAGAACAAGAAGAAGTAAACAGTCAAAAGTGTCAAACACATAACCTATCTTAATGAAACCGAATAAAAGCTATCGGCAAAAATGACGAATAAACTAAATAAGTACGAAAAAATCGAGTTTCTGGGCGAAGGGCAATTCGCCACGGTATACAAAGCCCGAGATGTGGACACCGACAACATAGTAGCAGTGAAAAAAATCAAACTGGGCAGCCGACAGGAGGCCCAAGACGGAATAAATCGCACGGCCCTCAGAGAAATCAAACTCCTACAAGAACTCCACCACCTAAACATAATAGGTCTACTGGACGTATTCGGGCACATGTCCAACGTCTCGTTGGTGTTTGATTTCATGGACACCGATTTGGAGGTGATAATAAAAGACAACACCATCATCCTCACTACCGCCAACATCAAATCGTACATATTGCAAACGTTGCAAGGACTCGAGTACCTCCATTTGAACTGGATATTACACAGAGACTTGAAGCCCAATAACCTGCTGGTAAACGCCAACGGGGTGCTGAAAGTGGGCGATTTCGGTCTAGCCAAATTGTACGGCTCCCCGAACCGAATCAACACCCATCAAGTGGTAACCAGATGGTACAGACCTCCGGAGTTGCTGTTTGGAGCCAAGCAGTACGGTACTTGCATCGATATGTGGGCGGTCGGGTGCATTTTGGCCGAGTTGTTGCTCAGAGTTCCCCTTTTCCCCGGTGTTTCGGATTTGGATCAATTAACGAAGATATTTGGAGGTATGCATACACGAATCATCGCGATAATTAAGTGAATAATGCATCTTATTTCAGTATTTGGAAACCCTACTGAGGAGAACTGGCCGGGCGTGAGAGGCCTATCGGACTACGTAGACTTCAAACCATTCACTCCGATCCCATTGAAAAGCATCTTTACTGCTGCAGGAGACGATTTGCTCGATTTAATCGAAGGGCTTTTGGTGTTGAGCCCGATCGGAAGGAGAAATTGCACGGAATCTCTCAAGATGGCGTTCTTTTCCAACAAACCCGCCCCGACAGCCGGTCCTAAACTCCCGTTACCCCAAAGCTTACGGAAGGCACGTGAAGCCCAAAAACCGACATTAAAGAGGAAGCTGTTGGATAAAATGGAAGGAGACATTTTGGCGAAGCGTTTAGTGTTTTAATTCGAACGTACACATTACATTTATTCGATTTCTTCGGTATCGACCGTCTCCAGTCGTTTCTCCCATTCTTCGCTGCGATCGGGATGCTTCAATCCCAGCAATTCCAGTATCGACGAAGCCTTATCGGAGTCGTAAGTGGTGTAATTGTGGGTGACTTTTACTTGTTTGTTCGGGAACAATGGTAAACTGGAATTCTCTAAATTCGGTTTACCCTCTTCAGTGAGCGCTAGATTTCCGAAATTCGCCGGGATTATGCCCGTTATGGAAACGCCGCTGACGTTCGTTTGTACAGGAATCGGGATGTTGGATAAATCTACGAAGGTGTCGTTGCTGTCCGGATCGAAGAACGATAAGTCGATTTGCTCGTGACTGAAATATAACTTGTAATTAATATACTCGTTTATAAAGCTTTAAATATATTGTGCTTACGTTTTATTATCGAAGTCTGTGTCGTTTCCAGCGTCTGTTAACACTCCTATTTCGTATATAACTGTTCTTATGATGAATCTGTAACGAAATGTTGTTTATTAGTGTATGTTTTGTTGGGTGTAATGAGGATTACTTACAGGTCTTTGGTGGAATTGGTGGCGTTGTCGTGTATTTCTGCAACTTCCAGGGGCTCCACTTCTAAAATTTCTTCTTCGAGAGAAGGATCGAATTTTTGTACAGGCACGGAGAGCCCGCTTTGCGACAAAAGCCCTACAAGCACCAGCAAAACTGTTCGGTACATTTTTCGAGAGCGCTTCTGCGACGTAGATATTTAAATTTTTCCTTTTTATAACGAAGGTTTTACGCGGTAATTTAATTTGCACCGATTTGTTATATTGGTGATAATTCGTTGGTAAAATTCTGCTGATTTTTTTTCCAACTTTGCTCGTATAGGACGCAAATCAGGGGAATTCTCGGGATATACGATTTGATTATCGTATTTTCGATAAATTAACATAATGTTTAGGTCATCATGGAATATTGTACAAATAATCAATTTTGAACTATTCATTTTGCTTGTAGTTTTAATGAATTTTACTTGTTTTATTGATTTCCTGATATTATAGGAATGCTTGCAAAAATCTGATAACATATCCAGGGCCAGTTAGTTTTTTTTTGGTATAAAATTGAACTTTATCTTATCTACGATTTCGATATTGCCAGTCCTCGAATATACCGTCAGTAATTCATCCGGATTTACTCGTATCTATCGCATAAAATTAGAATTTATCGAATGTTTTCAAAAAATCCGAAATGCTCAAAAGTGTTTTGATCGTTTTATGGACCATAGTGAGTAATATCGATCCAATCTACAAAACAAACAATTCAACACGACGATTGTTATTGAAGTTCTCAGAAATTTACCCATTAATTAACACATTCTCGTTAATTCCAGATCCAAACGACAGCTCACATCGCGTTCTCTCTGGGCAGCTTCTTCATTTGCCGATTCGACCACACTAATTACCTAGTGGTCGTCTATTACATCACCTATTTATACGGTAAAAAAAACCCCGAAATTCATTCACGTTCGATTAATTCATTTACGATCAGATTACGATAAATGCGGCAGAGTTCGAGTGACCAATTCGACCGGCCCCTTCGGTTTCTTAGCAGGAAGAAATGACGTCTGCGACTGCGCAGCAAGCGAACCCAGCTTGTATAATATAACCCATACTATCGCCGAGAAAGCCCAATTTCCGAGATACGCCTCTCGATACTTCAGGACGCAAGTCTATCTGCTGCTGTTCGTTATTATCGACGTTTTCTGGCTGCTCAGCTCTTTGTTATTATTGGGTAAGTTATTCTTTAACTATTTAGTAGTAGCTGTAGATGTGCGCGTCATGCTCTCGCGTCTACAGCTATCCCGTCCGGTCTGTATATGCCTTACTTATTGCCTAATTTATTAAAATAAGGAGTGTTGTTTCAGTGGGAATCTGTTGTCGAGTAAAGAGGAATTTTGCTACAGTATTCTACTTGCCCTGGTTGATTACTGCAGGTCTTGCAGTGTTATTGGACGTTACGGCATCCGTGCATTTCGGTCTAGATTTTCTGGATATATACGTAATTCGAATGGTTTCGTTACTTTAATAACTTTAATCATTTTAATGTATTTTGCAGAATTATACGTCCTGGTTGCGATTTATAGGCGTCGAAAATTACATGGATTTCAAGGAATTTAATAAAGCGCCTAGCTCCGTGTATATACCAGCGGCTAGTACGGTCGTTTTGGTGACAGTTTGGTCCAGATTTGTCGCTTTTTGGATACTGAATATCGTGAATTTCTTCACCATATCCAACGAGTTTACAATCGCCTACAAAAAAAGAAAAAACAGTAAGCTATACATGTAACAACAATGAAGTAATGCAATAATATTTTTCTAATACAGTAAAGCAAACGAATGAAGAAAGCATCCGTAACAGAATAGGCGCTTGGAATTCGTTTTACGATTCGATATCGATGAAGAGCCCGAGCGCTAGTTCGGCAGATTTGCACGGAATGTCCGCCGATTCGGGCATGGTTCTTGCAAGACCGAATTTGAATCGAACCGATCGAGCCAGCACCGATATGGAAATTTGTACGAGTTTGCCGAGCTCGACGGCGATCATAGAAGATCCTCATGTAATTTTTTGATTAACCCAAACGTGAATGTGTAATTACATTATGGGTTTTACAGGTAGCATCTTACATCAAACGCTCGAGGGCCGTTTTAAGCCGATCAACTAATCAAAACAGCTTGGATATGGAATTGTGTTCGAGTTTGGAAAACTCGAGGGTGATTATAGAAAATCCGCATGTAAAATTTGAGGGAACGCCATCAATGGGAACATTTTATTAATATCTTGGATTTTACAGATGGAGACTACTTCGTACATCAAGTACGACGGTGTGGATTTCATTGATTGATGTGTCTTAAATTGATTAGAACAAATAATTAACGCGAAGAAGCTTCGTTAATTAATTTCTTGGCTGTAACCGTTGAGGTCTCGATGTTTTTTTACTCGTACCATTGTGATTAGATTAGTATTTATTATTATTTTGTAGTTATGTAAAAGTATATATTTTTAATGCGAAATATTTTAAAATTTTTGATCCAAAAACTCCTTCGTTTTATCCCATTTTATCCTAATAATATAAATTTTGGTGAATTTTCGAATTTAAAAATCAACAGTTCAACCACCTACCGATAGATGTCCTCGCAAATTTGACGTTGACATGGAACAATTCTAGTTTCTGAATTACTCGTTCCACGTTACTTGTCTTGTCATTAATGACATTATTGACAGTTGTCGAAGTTGAAACAAAAATCGGTTTCTTTTAAAATTTATAATTCTACCCAATTTTTGTGTACTACTCGCTAACAAGTAAGTACGTTTGATTAAATACCGCATTAATTATTCAAAACGGCCAATTTCAGATGGAGCCGATGCACGTGGGCAGCGTTCCCTCCAGTCCCGCCTCGCCGGGCATCAATCCTAACTTCCTTCCCGGTTTCCTAATGGGAGGCGACCACTCCAATCCGGGCAGCTCCCCCGGAAGGAACCGCAAACCGTCCTCCTCGGAACCCAGAAGTTTGCGCCAGAAATTGTTCGATCAAAGCGCTACTACTGATACACCTACATCCCATCGATACCCCGCCGTAGCCCAAGAGAAAACCGGCCCGCCCAGCACGGGCCTGTTCGACACGCTAGACTACAAAAACAAAACCAAACACCAGCAAAGCAGCCCCGTCAACAGCACCGCTTTGTATGAATCGTACGGCAACAACTCCATGTGCATCGACGACAACATTTCCCGGATAACGGACACCCCGTACAAGAAAGACTTCACCGATAGGATCGATTCTTACTGGGTAACCGCCTTTGGGTTCCCTCCTAGCGCTCTAACGCTAGTCCTATCGGAACTATCGAATTGTGGCCCCATAGCCGACAGGAAGGTTCCTTCGCAAGGTAATTGGGTGCACGTCAAATTCAACAACCCCAACGAAGTGTCCCGAGCCCTATCTCTCAACTGCAAGCTGCTCAACGGCACGACGATGATCGGTGTGGTGTTGCACCACGAAAGAGACCACGAGAACAAAGAAAACGATACCCTGATGTGCTCGTACACGTCTCCTACTAGAGTTAGATCGTTAAGGCACTCGTTTGTGTCTCCTGGTGCTGTTAATACGACCCAGGGGTTGCCACAGAAGTCTACCGGAGTGGTTACTAAAGTGATGGAATATGTTTTCGGGTGGTGATTGGATTGCAATCGTATCGTACTGAATAAATTAACAGCGTTCGATGGAGCGAATGTTGCCGGTAATAATAATGTAAATAATTTTAATTTTGTCGTATTGTAGGTCTTTTTGGGTTTTTATTAAACTATTGCTTAAAGTTGTTAAGTGTATATTGAATAGGAATTGTAGTTTTTTAAAGAGACGCCTTATAAATATATTACTATTGTGTATATTGTTGTGAGCTTTATAGTTGGAGAAATAGTATATTTCCGATTATATATTATTAATTTTTTGTATCCAATGAAAATGTCTTAAATGTCATTTATTACTAATAAGTTCCTTCTTTCAATTTAATTATTAATTATATATATTTAATTTGCTATTTTATTTATTCTTTTTGCAACTCAACGAGAAGTTCAATAAAAGGAAAAAAATATATATAATAAAATGACTGAATAGGTACGACAACAGAGGCCATTTACTTGTCACTTTTGAAAAGGAACCACAAACAACTCATATAAGAGGCCACGTCTAAATACTATTTTCTGTAGTAACTCCAGATGTCGCTAAAGTCGTTTAACAATTTTGACAACAGTAAAGTGAAAGAAAACAGAAAACAACGTTTTAATATTCCCAAAATAACATAATTATTGTTTATTATTGATTAATACCACAGAATAATTTATACTACATTTGCAGGTAAGTTTAAGTTTCTTACTTACAGGCCATATAATGCTAAGAATAACCTAATTAAAACTATTCCGTTTATTTATATTGTTCATTTGGCATTGTAGAATGACGAGACACGCTAGAAATTGCACAGCAGGCGCAGTTTACACTTACCACGAGAAGAAAAAGGACGCCAAGGCCTCCGGATACGGTACCAACGCCCAAAGGCTCGGAAAGGATTCGGTGAAAAATTTCGATTGTTGTTCCTTGTCTTTGCAGCCTTGCAGAAAACCAGTCATCACGTAAGTTAAATATCCAACTATTTTCCCACTATTTGAGACAATAATGACGATTTTCCAGTAAAGACGGCTATCTATTCGATAAAGAAGTCATTCTGGAATACATACTGAAGAAGAAAAGCGAGTATGCTCGCAAATTGAAAGAGTACGAAAAGCTTTCGAAACTGGAAGAAGAGAAACAAACGCAAAAACATACTCAGGAAACCGAAGAAAAGATTTCGGCTTTCCATAACAATGAAAACAACATTGTCAGTAAATCTTTGATTGTAAGAAACGAAGGTAATATTATTTAACACAATTTAACTCTGGAAGAATATCAAAAGCAATACGCTTCTTATTTACAGAACAACCTGCACAATCTTCTTCTATATCGAACATGGCGTTGGGAAGAGATAAAGAATTACCTAGTTTTTGGATCCCGTCGAAAACTCCCAGTGCTGAGAAACCCGAACTAAAAAAACCAGTAAGATTTACCTATTCAATCCACCTATTTATTTCCTCCGTTTAAATCCTACTGATAGAATCTTGTTTCTAGGATCCCATCGTGTACTGCCCTATATCTAACAAACCCCTCAAAGCGAAAGATTTAATCGACGTGAAATTCACTCCGGTGAAGAATGACCCCGAAGAGAAAAAGAAATCAATTCACACAAGAGAGAATAGGTACATGTGCGCAGTCACTCACGATATTCTGAGCAATTCCACCACCTGCGTAGTACTCAAACCGACGTAAGTTTAACGTTTAATCGCCCTGTATACATTGATTTCTATAAGGGTATAGATTGATGTTTTTTTAGTGGTGATGTCGTTACGATGGAATGTGTCGAGAAGATAATCAAGAAAGATTGGATGCATCCCCTTAGTGGTAAGAAATTATCGAGGAAGGATTTAATTATCATGCAAAGGGTGAGTGGTTTTGTGATTTGATTTGGTAGAGTGGAAAGTTTCAAAATTAATGAGGGTTTTATTTTAGGGAGGTACCGGTTACGCGTCGACAAATGAGAAATTGAACGCCAAACAGGAAAGACCGGCGTTACAGGCTTAATTTAATTTATATAATAAAGCAATTACAGATATTTTTGTACTTATTTCATAATTTACAACTTTTTCTAAATGTACGAGTTTTCTAATGACCGAACGATTTAAAAGTAAGAGGCTGTTGTGTAAAACGAAAAAGAAGAACTGCCATTTTTAGCTTAGTCGGTGTTGTCAAGTGCATTGAAAAAGCACAAGATTTAAAAAAAGATAACCATAAAAATTCAAACTCTTAAAATCTGTAAGAATTTTGGACACCTTCTAGACTACTACAAGTTTTTTGTACATGATTGATAAATATAATTGTCCCTAGAATGTCATTACAGATTTACGTACATTTATTAAGAGGTACATCTAAGTTCCAAGATTTTTAAACAGTCGACTTGACAACGTTGCGTTTTGGTTTAGTTTCTGGCTTGTCGTTCTTCCTCAGTTCAACAAATCAGTATGGATTTTTGAAGCCGATATGTTGGAGTAATAATGGTCGGTACTCTTTTCGAATACGCGATTTGCTTGAATTCAATTTTATCAACAATTGTGAGGAATTCGGTGTACATAATTAGTGCACGGTGCATCATCCAGAAGCCTCTGATTTGATTGTATTGTAGGTGCCTTTTGACAGTGACAGTTCGTTCTCAGAAAGGTAGCGTATCGATTTCGGATTTTGCATTATTTTTATTTATAAATTTTATATTTCACTGAAATTTTGACGTAAATTTGAATTACGTTATCGCCGAGTTTGCGTTCATACTGTTTGTAATTGTAACGTTGACTGAACATTTATATTTTAATTGGGTTAATTGTTGGGGAAAAAGTAAAAGTTTATTGTGCAATGAATTTGTAGCATAAGATTTATGTAAGAGCTTATTTTAACTTTTTAAGGTAAAGTATGGTTTGTTCTAACAGTACATATGGATATTATATTATTTAACATCGAATTACCATCAACAATACCAGAGGTGTCAAATTTGACGTTAAGTGTCATTATTGATTTTTTTTTGAAAAATCAAATTAGCGTTGATATTACAATTATGACAATTGTTAAATCTGACATTTCCATTATATTTTACCTAACCTTTTTTCGGAATTACTCAACATTCAGGATACACTCGAGCGTTTCGCAATTTTTTTACTATGTGTAATAAATGTATTAACCGCTAAAAATAAACCAAGCCGCCTATGCGACCTTCGATTTTTATTTAAGCGCGAAAGTTCCTATCTTTTCCATCTACCTTATCAATTAATTTTGGTCGAAATGTATTTGTGGGTATCCTGTTTGTTTTGCAGTAATATTATGTGCAACAACCGTGATTATAAAACTTCATAAACATGCTTATATTGATGAGGTATATCTGATTTTATAGATGGATAATTTCTCTATTTTGCTCTAATTTATAATGAGATTTTCTCCAATTGTGGCGCCGCTGGTCGGGAAACTGGCCCACAACAGTTATTTATAAAATAACGTAGATTGTACATATACAGAGAGAGAGAGAGACGGGGAGATCCGGGCGAATTCCTATTTTTAACCGACATTCCGAAATAACCACAGTAAATTTCTAACATTTTTTTCGCTATCTCCTTACAGAACTGCCAACCGACAATATAAATTCGCCAACGAAATCAAGACGGTTCCCGTCACAGCACGCTTGATGCACGTCGAATAAACAAACCCCGAACGAACGAAACAGCAAAAAAAACAAGTGAAATCGAGTAGTCCAGGCGTCATGGCACACCCGACATGGATTTAGCGGAAGTGGTTGAGGATCTGATCTGCACGTTCGACGGTACATCAGACACCACCATGGACACCCTAGCGATGTTCGTCTTCGGCTGGACGCTCTTCGCCCTGTTCGCCCTCTGGCTGGGCCGGCTCGTCTACGACAAGCTGCGCCGTCGCGGCGCCCCCGCCCCCTCCGCCGCCGCCAAGCCGCCCACCGTCGTCGAGGAGGCGGCCAAGAAGGCGGCGCAGGTGAACGCGGCGCCGGCGGTGCGGAGCGCCGCGCCCGGCCCCACGCCGCCGGTGCGGAAGCGGCTGAGCCGCCAGAGCCCGGCGCCGGACGCGCGGAACCGCCGCCCGCGGTACGTGCCGGCGCCGCAGTGCACGGGGCCCGATAACGTGTGCGTGTTGTGGGTGAACGACGTGCTGCAGTGGCTGTACAACGACTTTGTCGTAGTCAACGAGCTGGCGGGCGTGTGGATCGAGGCCTTGAACGGGTATACCAAAAAGGCGGGGGATGAGGTGAGTGTTTTGCGTACTGAATTTTGCTCTGATAAGAACCTGTTGATAAATTGAAACTCGGCGTTTTTTTATGGTAGTGGGGATTGTTGCAAATTAAATTAACACTGACAATAGCAGCGCCCCCTGTCGAGAGTCACATCATCCGCAACACCTCCTATGCAGGAGTTTCTTGACCTGTTATACGCGACCGTGATTTTATTTTTATATTAAATGTCATTCTGAAATGTCAAATTAAATTTAATGCAAACTTCAAACTTATGTCATTTGATGATTTCTGTTTTCTATCAAATCTTAAATAATTTGCATTTTTAAACATTTCAATTCTTGTGTACACATACACATTATTGTGTCTGTTTTGTCATATTTTCTCACAACTAATCTGCGGGTAAATTGACATTTTAATATCAAATTGTTGTATCGATTGTGTCAAATAGCCCAAGCAGATGAGGCCTCTAAAGAATGAAAACAAAAAAATTGGAATTGTGGAAAAATAATAAATTAGGAAAATTAGATGAAATCTAATTGAAATACGTGTATTAATTATCTCTTCGTCAGTTATTCATTTAAGTTTTTTATGTGTTTTAGCAAGGAATCGGCGTGGATTTAATCAGAATATTACCAGAAACACATCCGCCCGTTTTATCCAACATTTTCGCCGAAGCGGATTCTAAAGACGATGTCGTAAGTTTCTATACTATATAATGCAAATATTCAATTAAAATTCAATGCACACCTTGGTTCATTTTAGTTTGCAATATGGTCATTTCTATTAGTTGAACAAAGAAAGATTATTAAAATGACAGTTATCTCTTTCTCTTTCCTTTATAAGTGTCTAATGGAAGTTGTCTTTATCGCACCCATAGCCTATATTGAAAACTAAAATGAATCAAGCTGTATAAAAGATGATAGTTCAAGATGAAGGATATGAAAGGATATATATGTTCGAGATATTTAACATTTTGCCGACTCTTTTGTAATAAAATAATACGAAAAAAAATGATATTATACCAAAAACAAGATAAAAAACCCCATATTTTGAATTGGTAATCAACACCTGGCGCTAAAGGTTAATTTGAAAACATTTTAGGCGACTTTTGATCGTAATTAATTCCTATAATTTTCATTCGACCTCGATTGAATCCATTACGAAATACCTATTTATAATAGTTGCGAAATCGCCCTTCAATTATCTAACCGTAAAATTCACTCTGCTTTTTATTATAAATTTTCGTTTAATTGCAATTAAAATCGATCACGGTCGAACAATTTATTTTAATACAAACGATAATAAATCGCCAATCGACGTCAGGGCGACTGACTGTATATATTTTTAATTTTTAGGCGTAGGCAGACTGTTAAATTATTCATAAATTGATATCATCTTTGAATTAATAACACTCCGAAAAATACTTAAATATCTCACTAGACATTACTTGATGTACTTTTCAGAGAAGTTAATTGTAGTTAAATGAAACATCTTGTATACATTACACAAATAATCCACTACTTCTCCAGCTAATTATTTCATTCTTTCGCAGACTATAACGTGCGATTGCGAAGCCACCTTGGCGTTTCAGCTGAAGAGCACCAGACAGAAGGCCGAGAGGACCGAAACGTCGCACTATCGCGTCGACGTGAACAGATTTAGGGCCAGATTGAACGTGTTCTGCGTGTCCGAAAAGCTAAGGGCCAACGTCAAATGCGACGGATGGCCGGAGATCAAGATCGCCTTGGCGCCCGTCGGCAACATAAAAAACATCAATTTGGACGAATCCCAGCTGCAGGAGGTCATCATGTGAGTAAAATACGAGAGCGGGATGAAAAGGTCTCGCCCTAAAATCGTTTAGAACTGTTTAGATGAATCTAGAACGCTCCAGAATCATTTAGAACCATTTAGAACGATCCAGAATCAATTAGGACTTTCTAGAACCAAAGATTTCGACTTAATAAAAAGAATAACGTAATTTTTCAACTGAAAATCTCGATCTTTTATCGTCGGGCCGAGAACTTTTCACCTTACCCTTATAGATATAATCAAAGCAACTTGATTTTTGTTTGTTGCTAACTTGACAGTTATTAATGTCACTGGGAGTTTACTTTATGTATGTATTATATTAAAAGATTGTAAATGTGTGATTATTCATTTCAGCGAAATACTAACGGATGCGATACGAAACGCCGAAGTGAATTTGAATTTGTCCCAATATCCGACGTGTCCCAAATTAATACGACATGTTCCTACGTTGGGACAAATCTTACCACTACATTACGATAGCATGGTGAGTTTGTTAGATTAGCATTTTTATACTTTATCTTGCCTACAATCGGGTCGTTTAATGCATCGAAAATAACCAAAAAAATCCTCCATATTAAGACTCAATATTCTCGCTAATCTAATTCAACGGGTGTCTTCTTTTTTTAAAGGGCAACGCCGCCGGTCCCAATTTCACGTCGACGCCGGAAAAAAGGGCGATGGGCGATCGTCGGTTGCTCGTCAAGATCGTGCGCGCCGCCCAATTGGGCTCGTCGCAGGGCTGCTCGGAGCCCTACTGCGTGGTGGAGATGGACGAGCCGCCGCAGCGCAACCAAACGGCCGTGCACAAATCCGCCGGGGATTCCCCGCAATGGGACGAACACTTTTTGTTGTGAGTCCAAGTCGAATTTTCGCATGTCCGTAATTAGTATAGCGTAATTAGTCTAGGATCTTAACCCTTTGCATTTGAGGGATCATATTAAAGATAGTTCAGTATGTTTAAATTGCTTCGAAATTACTGGTGATTACTCGAGTGCAAAGGGTTCGTTTATCGGATTTGCGTCTAATTTATTCTTTTTCTTTTTATCGACAGCGATCTGTCTCCGAGTACGGCCGAATTGCTGTTCGAGATCTACGATCGCTCGGCCGCGCCTCGTCCGAAATTTCTCGGTTTAGGCATCGTCGGGATCGAAGAGTTGTTGGTGACGCCATCGCAAAGACAGACGATTTCGTTGCAGAGCCGACCGTACGAGAGCGATCCGGTTTCGGGCACTCTTACCGTCGAGGTATACAGCCACAAATCTCCTCTTTAGGATGCTAAAGTTTGGCCTCTTATAGAGCTGGTTTATGGTCGATAATTGTTGGTTAAACTAAACGTACAGCGCGTTTTCAACGTTAAATATTGTTTATCGATTCTTAATGGCTCATTTTTTTTTCCAGTTCATGTTTATAGAGGGCGCCGATGTGCCCAATCTCGGAGGCGGACAACAGCCCTACAAAATTAAAGAATCGATCAGGACTCCGTCTCCGCATAGAAATAAAAATACTACGACTACAGCTGCTGCTACTACTACTTCAACGTTCCATAATGGTTAGTATTTGCGTCGCAATTGGCTTTATAAATCGATGCTATAAAAGTTTATTGACGTCAGAAGGGCTTCATTTTGTTGGTTTAAGCAATCCTTGGTATTTTAGTAGCCTTGATATTTGGATGAATTTTCAGATGTCGTTACGAATGGTAACCATTTAGGTGATATATACAGAGACTTAGATAGGAATAAGCAATCGTCGAATGTCGATACTCTGGTTATTCATAGTGTACAAAGGGTAAGTTAATAATTATTGCTAATGTAAGTAAATGAATTAATTATATTTATATCTTCTTTCAGCAACCTTCCCAAAGGCTAGTGAAGGTGAGTTATCCGCTTCGATGTAACTTAATGTAGAGTTTTCGATGATGCAAATTAACTTAGGGGCTCGATTTAAAACGAATGTATTCACTTTTTTTTATTTGTTAAGGTAAATTTACTTACTCGTTTTCGATCTCCCCGGCTTCTTTAACCGTTTTGGTTTTACGTGTGCATTTTTTTACAATTTTTTCTATGCTACTAACGTTCAGGTGGAGCTCAGCAACGGCGCTTGGAAAGAAGTGGACACGATCGAAGTGAATTCGGACGAAAAGACGGAAGAAACTAAAGAAAAAGATAACCGAAACGGTACCGGAAACGGCGAGTCGCAGGTTCGGGTGATTTTTCTAACTTTCTAATACGTCTTCTTCTGTCACACGGCCTCTTGCTTTACGTCGCATCCGGCCAGCTTACAAATACGCCGTTTTTTCTCGCCTTAACTCTTTTCCAACCTACTTTCGCACGTTATTAAAGTTTTTTTTGTAGCCTCGAGACCTCCCATCGCCCGCCTCAAACAGACAAGACGAATCGCCTGGGAACGACGTAAATTCCGGCGAATTCCGAGGCAGATCTCGCCGACGCCGGGACTTCTTCGGCACGATCAAACGGCGATTGGGCAAATCGATGAACCGATCGAAATCCGTCGGGCCGGATAACAACGGCCTCGGAGGCCGCGACGATTCGATGAACAGATCCGTATCGGCCGATAGAGGTCGCAACGACGAAAGTAAATATCCCCAAACGAGCTTTTAAATTCGTGATTTAACAGGCGGTGATTGCAGGTCGATTGAGCGTCCCCGGCGGACAACAACGTCATTCGGACGAGACGTCGCGACGCTCGAGCCTGTCGGAGGCGTCGGGCATGAGCAGCGCCTCTACGAGGACCTATTTGAACGAGGCCAGCACGTTGGTGTTGGAGACGATCGAGAACGGCGTCAAGAAACATTATCTGGTGCCCATGTCGTTGGCGCGGCGCTCGAAGTGGCGTAAAAAGGGCGCCAAGTTGCATGTGTTTAGCGATCACACGTTCGTTGCCAAGCATTTACAAGGGTAAGGGAACGTTATTTAGCTGATTAATAATACTTATCTCGTTATCAAATCTATTAACAGTAGCATTTCATCGATTTGACGGTCTTCTGCCTAACGGGTATCCAGTTAACTTTTAGTATGGAACACTCTATTTCTAAACGAAATATTGCGATGTATATTTTTGATGTTTTTTTTTTCTAGGGGGACTGTGTGTCAAGTGTGCGGCAAAACGATAGCTAGACGTTTCGGAAAGCAGGGTTACGAGTGTAGAGATTGCCTAATCAAATGCCACAAGCACTGTCACGTTAAAGTGAATGACAGTTGTCCGACGTCGACCATTCACAACGTGGAATTGTAAGTATATTTTCCAATTATTTACTTGACTTGAGGAAATATACCTATATTAGGCCCCTGATAAAATGTCCCATATTCAGCCTCATTTTAACCTTAAACACGGCTTTAAAGTTGTGTTTCTAAATTGACAGCTGTACATTGTTGCTATGGAGTAACCAAGGAGATTCTTTCAAATTGACAGTTTTACATTGTTATTATGAAGTAACTAGGGACTTTGTTTACGTTAAAGTGACAGCCATGTTTAAGTTAAAAGTGGGGCGCTGAATACGGGCATTATCTCGAAGTTTATTAAGTCATTGCTCAGAGTCTCATTGAACTATTAGAATCCTTGATTTACCATACATATTTTTATTGTCTCGTGAATTTTGTAATTGTTCAGTTGTTGTGTCGATTATGAAGAACTCATTTTTTTTTTTAATTATTTAATCGGAAATTGTTGTCTAATAATATTTGTTTTTTTGGATCTATGCTGCCCGTTTTGAGCGAATAATGGTAAGATAAATCGTGTGTGCTTGTTTGTTTCCAATTTCCATACCTGTTTTTATGTATTAATGTTTTCATGGCAAATAATATACCATGCTTTAATAAAGAAAAATTGTAAAAATGTATGGGAAATTATTATGAACTTTTTCACAGGTTTCCGCTGCCCTACAACAACTTCTTCTCCTTCTAGACTGTTCAGTGTTCGAGCTACTCGAAGAATTAAAAATATACTAAAAACGATGCGCAGTATGGGAAATTTGTTTGTTGTTTGCTTGTAATTACTTAATTGTTTACTAAACTTTTACTAAATATCTTTTTAACTGTATGTCACAAAAAATAGAATTTCCTTTACTGTGAAATTATTACATTTTAAGCACAAATTTTGTATCTTCTACAGCTTTAATTATTGCAATTTGAATCTCTGATGGTTATGTTTGTTTTATGACGCAATTTCATCTTGTTTTTTCGTCGAATATTTTTTTAAATTTTTGTTTTTTTATGCATATATTTATGACAAATTTAAATGTGTATAAATTCGTTGGAGTTTCTTGGATTCGAACGAATTATATGCATGCTATTGAGAATTTTATTTATTTGTAAATATATTTTTTTCGAAATGTTTATGCACTTGTGGTTGTGTCGATAAAATACGTGAATGTTTATAAGAATTTTTATTTTTATCGTGAAAAATATGTACATATATATATCAAATTTTATTTTTCTTCTGATTAAGTGCCTCTTTTCAAAGGAAAAAAATATATAAAAAAACTGAACGCTTTTTGTTATTAATAAACGAAATAAGCCAAATTTATGTCAATTTTCTCACTTACTTTTGAAAATATGCTAAATTTTAAATCAACGCTTTACTATTGTAATTCTCAATTAATTATTTTTCTTATTATTATTTTTTACTTAATATGTCGATTTATTGTCAATTACAAGTTTTACCAAAAAACACTGTTTTATAATGTAAAACTGTTTAAAAGTGTAACATACGAAAAACATAAGTTTTTCATCCTGAATTAGTCCTAGATTAGTCCAGACAAAATGAAAAATTAGCGTAAATGCAACAAATATTTAATTTATAAGTATTTATTTACAATATACAATATTCCTTTTTTTGGTATGGAAAAATATCTTAACGAGGAAAATTTTATTCACCTGAAAAAGTACATTCGATGCACTTTTTTTGCATAAATCGCATTTTTGAATAGGTGAACAAAATATAACAAACAATTAACGATTAGGAAGTATATTTACAATTTCAAAGACGACCAAAAAGGCAATAGGAAAGATTTCCCACTAAAAATAACAGTCCTACAATGTATGTCATATATCAAGCTCAATATATTTCTCACAATTGAAAATCACAGCTAAGTGCTCAGAAAGTTTGAATATAGGAATTCGTAAAATGTGCTGCGGTAATTCTCAAATTTATAAAGCATTTCATTATGTAAAATACCTAATAAAAAGCCTACCTAATTCGAAGAAACGATTTCGAGAGAATATAGCGTTGTAAATAATTATCCTACGTTTGGGTTATCAAACGCGATAAACAAGCACCAGATAATTATTTTGTGCATACATGTTAATTATTTTCTTTTTAAATAATTATAATGAATTAAGTATACTGTATAGGAAGTATAATGCAGTGTTTTGACACTTTAGTTATGGTTTTTTTTCTCGTAAAAATTGTCTGCAGTTTTTTCTGTTTTCGTCTGTAATTTCCCGACAAATTGAAAATTATTCGATTAGAGGACGGATTCCGATTAAAGTTTAAATAAAAAGTAAAATATTCGAGAATGTTGATTGGCACGCGCAAAATTAATTGATCTAATAGTAATAAAAAATATATATTTTAGCAATAAAATTAAACAAAAAAAATGTATCTAAAACCTATATAAATACGCGTAATGTCGTTAAATTCCAACACTAGTTATATATTATCTACGTTTTTTTAAAACCGACTAGAATTTTTTGTTGTTTTTTTCTTACTAATATAAAAAACCGGTCAACAATTTTCTAAATTATCAATAGAATCAATAGGGATTATCACGATATCGAGTTTATCCAATTTTATATAATTTTCAAAATACTCAAAATCAATCGAACGTAATCACTTAATAGCGAACAGTTTTACCGAAAAAAAAATAGAACGTCATTACCCCTATTAACACTGGTTAAAGTTGGTCATTTATATTTTATACATAAAAAATAGGAATAATTATATTAAGCGTTTCTCTTCGTACATTTTTCTCTAAAATACGCCTTAAATAAGTCTTAAAAAAATTGAGCTTCATAGAAAAAAAGGTCTCGCTTGTAACAATTATAAAACACAGTAAATTTCAGACAAAATAAGAGGAGAAGGAGCCACTCCCCTTCCTCTCCCGCTCGCGTAGCATGTCAAATGTCATACGTCAATATTGTCGCGCGTCGAAGACTCCATAATAAAATAAACCCCCAGTACTTACTCAGTTGGTCGGCCTTTTCACCGTCTGTTTATCAGCCACCGGTACAGGCGTAGCAGGAGTAACAGGCGTAGCGGGAGTAGCGGGTACAAGAGGCGTAGCGGGTGTAGCGGGAGTAGCGGGTACAAGAGGCGTAGCGGGTGTAGCAGGAGTTCCGGGCGTCGCTAATGTTGCAAGAGTAGCCGCAGGAACGGCGGCGGCGGCGGCGGCTGCGGCGCTCGCTTGGCCGGCAGGCTTCACGGGCAGCTTCAGCTTCAATGGGTTGCGCAGCTTCTTCAGCATGTATTCGATGCGGACCGCCTCCTGCTTGAGCAAATTGTATTGGTCGATGTTGAGGCCGACCCGCTTCGATTTCTTGTGCATCGCCAGCAGCTGTTGGCGGTTTCGCACGTCCTGCAGGATGTACTCCTGCAACGGATAGATAAATCGACCGTTAAGTAGAGTTTTACTCGTTTTTTTTTACCACAACCGATATCAGCTTGGCAGTTGAAAATCGCATCAGATGCAGTAAAACAAATTTCGTTGTGGTCCATCCAACTGCCAAGCTACATTGGACGGTTTATAGATATAACAGCTACATATTATATTAACCTCTTTGGTGAGTACAAAGTAAGCGTAGCAGGCCATGGCGGTACCGTAGGTGACGAAATAGGTGACAGGTTCCATAATGTCCCAAGAGTACTCCCACCACGTCAATCTGGCCAATATCCCGAATTGTACCGACATCAAACCCAATCCGGTCCACGACAACCAATCGGACCTTCGAAGGGCGCTCATTTCGATTTCTTGCTTTATCTGGAAAACAAACCAAACGTAGCATACCATAGAATATTTGCTTGGAATGATGATTTTGATAAAATTACCGTTTCTAAAGGCATCAGTTCCTGTTTGATGGACTCCAATTGGGCGACCAGTTCCTTTTCTTTCGTCAATTGGTGCTCCTGCACGTGCATCGCCTCGTACAATTGGCTTACGATGTTTTTCACGTCGTTAAGTCTGTAAAAATAGAGACGTTTTAAGACGGTTTTCCATCAATCGGACAAAACCTAAACTCATGCCGAAGAATATGAAAATTGAAACTTTTCGAATGATGACCACTCTACGATGTCTCACCAGACATTTACGTTCCTTTTTCAATACAACCCCTCCACTCGTATAGACAGTAAAGGATCGACAGTTCATCGAGAGACATCGTAAACATCTCTATTATACCTTTGTATTTCCTCTCCGGTGACTCTTTCGTGCTTGGGCGAACAAACATCGTAGGTCAAATCGTTGATGACCAACACGAAATCCTCGTCCAACAGCGTTTCGATGGTATTCGAGGCGGCTATGCGCGTGCCCTGCATCGTCCTGCAGATGGCCCTGTCGATGCCGCGGTCCTCCTTGCGCAGCATCTCCAGGAAATCCCCGACGGTGTTCGTCAGCGGCTTCAAAGTGAACTTGCACCGTTCCCGGCGGCTGGGCAACGGCACCGTCAGCTGGGGCAGCCCCTTGTGGTACTCCACCGTCACTTCTGCGCAATCAATCAAAATTAATATTAAAATGCATACACCTTGCTCCATTTCCGATTGCAACATGGTCATTTCTATGAGTGGAACAAAGAAAAATTAATAAAATAACAGTTGTCCGAGTGAAAATTTGAAATGACACAAATGTCACTCTTTCCTTTTCCTTTGTAAGTGTCTAATGGAAGTTGTCTTTATCGCACCCATGGCTTATATAACCTATATTGCGATCAAAAATGGAGCAACCTGTATAAACAAAAAGAGGAAAATTGTTATTGTTTTTTACCGTTATACTCGTCCGATTTGTCGGCGATGCCGTCGCGTTGGATTTTTCGTTTGTGATGCGTGAAAACGTTGAGCAATTGAAAATTCGAGTAACTGTACAATTTGCAAGTGAACATTATTCGAATGCGAGAGCTTTTGAAACAATATTTTTCGTGTCCCGTGAAATCGTCGAATGGCAATCGATCCATCGAACACCCGATGTTAATTGTATTTTACATCGGCTGCACTTTGATATTCGCTGCCATTAAAACGTGTTTCAACTGTATTATTCACATATTAATTTAACCGAGTACACGAGTTTTCCACTTCCGATTTATCGGTTATACAACCGATGTTTATTATTTGAATTGTAAATTAACTGATTGTTTTTTTTGTATCGACTACGCATAAATATGAAAGTAATGAAATGATCGCGTGACGCCGAAAAATCAACGAAATTTCCAACCCTATGATGATAAAATTCATTTCCATTTAAGGCGTGTAAGTGCGTGTGTACGCTGTATGTAAACGTAACGGTAATATATTCGTTTATAATTCCCTTATTAAATAAATTTACTCGATATACTAATAGAGATTTTCAATTTTCGGTCGAAAAAAAAAAAGTAGCTGCGTTAACAGGAAAAAGTTTTCGAATTTCACATGTCACATGTTAAAGTGTCAAAATCGCGTCAAATTCTCGTCGATTTAACAATCGAGTGTGCCAAATTGTACAATTGAAAATAGACGAGCTTCGCCGAAAGAGAAAATTAAAAATAAATCGTCCGTTTGCTCGCGTTTCGTACTCGGAACATTGCATACATGCATCGATTTTGCAAAAATAGATTTTTCGAAGCTTTAAAATATTTGGCAACCCGGACTATCTGTAATATAAAAAACACGCCCCAGAATAGACAAATTTGACTCAATACTTACTATAATCTTATCTCAGATTTTTTTTTATTTAGCTGTCGATAAAATGACATTTACATCTGTCTAAACTGTCACATTTAGACCTGTCAAAATAGCTCATAAAAATTAGACTTACCACCCGACTCGCAGTCCGAATCAGATTCGCTATCTGAGGAAGATGATGATGATGACGAGGAAGATGAGGAAGAAACACTCTGATTGATTTTTTCACTTTCACGATTCGTATTCAACACTAAATTCGATGTGAAATGTGTCCTAAAATGTCGCACAGTTTTTACGTACACCGTCTGGAACAATTAACAATTTTAATTTAACTATCTCTATTCAATCTCTCTAGTTCAAATAGAAATTTGAGATATTCTCTATAAATTTAAAACCATTCGTCGAATTGGCAATTTTGAAGTCAATTACGACACCTGTCAGTTTTGACAGGCACCGCCAACTACGATTATAATTGCAAAATGTAGAGAAGGAAATACTGGTAAAAAATAGGAATTATTATAGGAAATTTAAAATTAAAATTCTATGAAATAAAAATAGTTAAAAGTATTTTTAATTTTCATTAACATTTCATTTTCATTATTAAGGTATAAGTATTGTGGTTTTACTGATGTTTTATAATTGCTATGACATTGCTTTTAAAAATATAGCGATAAAATTTTTTATATCCTGTTAGTGATAAAGGCTAAATAATTGCCAGAATATGATTTACATAGGTTTTGCTATCGAAAAACCCAAAAAATATTAAGAACAAAAACTACGAAAAAAATTAATTGTTATCGCTCGATCCAATTCCCGGCAAACCGAGAGATAACGAGAAAATAGCCTATTTTTAAAACGTTACAACTGTACTACAATAAATTTTAAACGGTGCGGTAGAAAAATAAAAAAATTCGCCAATACAAAAATAAAAATCTCGCATTCCGAAAAAACACGTTTGAGTAGATATAAAATTAGAATTTGCTCACTCCTACACCGCAAAGAAACGAATATAAACTTATCAGTACATAAATAAAGTTTTAACTTATAACAATTTACTTAATTGATTAATTAGAACAAATTGACAATCACCGCAACAACTATACATAACCTCAAATCAGAAAAAAAATATAAACAAACAAAACAATAATACCATTGTAACAATCATAATTACCCGGTTAATTGCCACGTTTAAATTAATCGGTCGATTTGTCTCGCTCACTCAACTCAATAAACAGGTGTCTTTTTTTCCCTTTCATCCTGCGGGATTTATAGAGGTAAATTTGCCAGCAATTTTTCCCATTTTATAGGCACTTACGCTCAAATTTTTCCATCGGAAATTAAATCAAATTTGTACTTACTTTGTTTATCGATACTGATGTTACTAAATTGCATTTAGAAATCGCGAAAATATCGGTATTTAGGATGAGACGAGCGCGACACAACACCCTCGGTAACGCCATTTTGGCCAAAACTGACTTCTTCTTCTTTTTCTTATTGGTTTTTGAATAATTAAACCCTCAACCGCCAGAGCTATTCAATCAATTATTTAAAAAAACATTGACAGACATAATTAACAATTAATAAAGAAGAAGTGAGGTTATGTTAGCAAATATTTAAAAAAGTATTGATAAAATCAGCGAAAATTAACAACGTTGCGTTATTATTCGACAATAAATCGTTATCCTTTTTTATCCATTTGCTATAATAATGGTTAATTCAAAAAAGAACGTATGTGTAGTTGTTTTAGGCGACGTAGGGCGAAGCCCTAGGATGCAATACCATTCGCTATCGCTCGCTGAAATGGGACACACTGTAGATATAATCGGTTACGGCGAAACCGAGCCGTTAAATGCAATCAAAACCTCCGAATCGATTTATTACCACTTTCTACTTGCACCTCCGAGGATACCGCAGAAACTCCTTAATTACGCCTTCAAAAGTATATGGCAGGCGTTGAATTTGATTTTCCTGCTATTTATCGCCAGGAAACCCGACGTACTTATAGTGCAAAACCCTCCGGCAGTTCCAACGTTGTTAGTTTGTTGGCTGTTTTGTTTAGTCGTACGGTGTAAATTCATCATCGATTGGCACAATTACGCTCATTCTTTGATGGCTTTGAGCGTCTCTAAAGACAGCTTATTGACTCGCATTACCCAGCGAATCGAGGTATTCGCCGGGAGGCGAGCCGATCATAACTTTTGCGTAACGAATGCAATGAAAGAAGATTTATACAAAACGTGGCAAATAAAGGCTACTACTCTGCACGATAAGCCTCCTGAGATTTTCAGGCCGATTGATTTGAAAGAAAAACACGCTTTTTTAAAGAAATTAGGAAAGATGTACCCGCAACTTCTCTCAGACGATGGTTCTACGGTCTTCACGAGTGAAGTTAACGATGAAATTACATATAAAACTGAACGACCTGGTTTGTTAGTTTCCAGCACAAGTTGGACTGAAGATGAAGATTTTAGCGTACTATTTTCATCTCTTCAAGGTACTCCTACTCGTTTTAAGTTCTACACGTGTACAATATAGTATATTTTAGCTTACGAAAACCACATCGTAGAAGGGAATTCCAGGAAACTGCCGGAGCTGGTTTGCTGCATAACGGGACGAGGCCACTTAAAAGAGTACTATTGCCAGAAGATAAGCGAGCAGAATTGGCAACACGTGGCGGTTCTGACGCCCTGGCTGGAACCGGCCGATTACCCTTCGATATTGGCCTCCGCTGATTTGGGCGTGTGTCTGCACACCAGCTCCAGCGGATTGGATCTACCGATGAAAGTGGTCGATATGTTCGGTTGCGCTTTGCCCGTTTGCGCCTACGACTTCAAATGGTAATATCTGCGAAGCTTGTCAATCAATCGGACGAATTTTCAGTTATTTAAATCAATTGCAGTTTGGACGAGCTGGTGAAACACGGGGTTAATAGTTATAGATTCAACTCGTCCGAAGAGCTGTCCAAATTGTTGCTGGACTGGTTCCAGAATTTCCCCAACGACGAAATTCAAATGGAGACTGCCAGGAAATTCAAGACCGAGCTAGAAGCATTCCAGAATTTGAGGTGGCGTGAAAATTGGTCCCGGATCGCCGCGCCCGTTTTTAATTGAGCTATTTTTTACTGCCTAATCGATGATATTTTTATAATTAAAGATTATAATAATTAAAAATTGCTGAATCCGGTTCTGTTCTTTTTAACGAAACATGCTATACATCTCTTTCTAACTTGCTATAATCTCATAAGCACTTACTCTACACCTGTTCTTGTGCACCTGTTAGGCGAATTGACAGGTGAAGTTTGATTCTGTTGTTTACAGTTAAATTCGAATTGTTTGTTTATTTAAAAACCAACAAATAACATAATTTAAACCAAAAATTACTCGAAAGTAATTTAATTTTTAAATAAAGTGAATTATAGTGATTTTATATACAGCGAATTGCATAAAATACGCTTTAATAAGTTACAATGTCGTTGCCCCGGCAACAGTTTGATGTACATTTAATAACAACAATGAAAACGTGTGAAAATTTGAACATCACGAACAAGAATAGCGAATTAATAATGCATTAAATCGCCTTTCCATTCAAAGAATGAACGCATTTTCAACCAGCAACAATGAGATACATACCGAAATGGGTGGATAAGATCCAAGACAGCGAAAAATGCGGACAGAGGTACCTAAATAACAATTAATATATTTCATAACATCCCACTTTTACCCTTTGTTTCCAGTATATACGATTTGTGTTTCAATCCGGACGGATCCCAATTGATAGTAGCAGGCGGCAACCACGTACTGGTGTACGATACGACCAACGGATCCTTAGTGCAGCTCCTGAAGGGCCACAAAGACAAAGTCCATTCGGTTTGTTACGCCAGAAACGGCGAAAAATTCGCCAGCGGAGGCGCCGACAAGTCCGTGATAATATGGTCGAGTAAGCTCGAAGGTTTGCTGAAATACAGCCACGGGGATTCCGTGCAATGCATGGCCTTCAACCCCTTATCGCACCAGCTAGCTTCTTGCGCGCTGTCGGACTTCGCCTTCTGGAGTTCGGAGCAGAAGGCGGTACAAAAGCACAAGATAAACGTAAAATACACGCTAATTAAATCCCTTCGTTTTATATAATTTCTTATCGAATTGTAGGCGAGGATAAATAGTTGTTCGTGGACCAACGACGGGCAATATCTAGCGCTGGGACTGAGCAACGGGGTGATCTCCATACGAAATAAACTCGGCGAGGAGAAGAGCAAAATCGAGCGGACGAGTAACTCGCCCGTTTGGGCTATAGCTTGGTGTACGAATAGAGAAGATCAAACTGATACTTTGTGCGTTACCGATTGGAATAAAAACCTGTCGTTTTACACGCTGGGCGGCAAATTGGTGGGGAAAGAAAGGAATTTGGGCTACGAAGCGTTGAGAGTAAGGTATTTCCCGCACGGCGATTTCATCCTCATAGGAGGCCTCAATATGGCTTGTACGATGTACACCAAGGAAGGGATTAAATTGGGTACGATTGGAGACGCGCAGGATTCTTGGGTGTGGTGTTGCGATGCTCATCCCAGCGGGAATTTTGTTGTAAGTCATCGAATCTTTAACTAAACGTTGTATTAAATACATAATTTTAGGCTGTAGGTTGTGAAGACGGTACGGTTGCTTATTATCAACTGGTATTTAACATGGTACACGGCCTCTACAAGGAACGATACGCGTTCAGAGAAAACATGACCGACATAATAATCCAGCATTTGATTACCGAACAAAAAGTGCGAATCAAATGCAGAGATCTCATCAAGAAGATAGCCATTTACACCGATCGTTTAGCTGTAAGTAAATCATTCCACGTAACTTCCAAATAAAATACAAGATGGCTCCTTTTTTGTAGGTTCAATTACCCGAAAGGGTCGTGATATACGAGCTATATTCGAAAGACTCCAACGACATGCACTACAGAGCCAAAGAAAAAATCACGAGAAAACTGGATTGTAGCCTGTTAGTGGTGTGCTCGGCGCACCTCGTCATATGCCAGGAGAAGACCCTTCAGAGCATGCTATTCACCGGCGAAAGGGAGCAAACGTGGACCTTCGACGCCCCCATACGGTACATCAAAAACGTCGGAGGCCCTCCGGGCAAAGAAGGCCTCGTACTGGGTTTGAAAAACGGCCAAGTGTGGGAGGTGCATTTGGATAACATGCATCCTCTATTGAAGGTTTTAAATTGTGTGTGTTTTAATTGTGTAGGTATTAAATTGCGTTTCGTAGGTGACTGTAAACGAAGGTATAAGATGCTTGGATTTGAGCCAAAGAAAACAGAAATTAGCGGTGGTGGACGATTCGGGAATGTGCCAAATATTCAATTTTCGCACCGGTGAATTGCTGTTTCAAGAAGCCAGCGCCAACAGCATAGCCTTCAACAACTTGTACGAAGACATGCTGGCGTTCTCGGGCGACAACACTCTATCGATCAAAGTGATGGACTTTCCCGCTCACACTCAAACCATGGGCGGCTTCGTGGTGGGCCTGGCCGGCTCGAAGGTCTTCTGCCTCAACGGCTTCAGCATGAACACGATGGAATTGCCGCTGAGCACACCGATGTACCAGTACATCGACAAGCGCATGTACGACGAGGCCTACAGGGTGGCCTGCTTGGGCGTCACCCAAGGCGATTGGGAGGAACTCGGCCGCGCCGCCCTCGAGCACTTGGAATTCGAAACGGCCCGCTTGGCGTTCGTCAAACTTCAAGATTTCAACAGTTTGGAGCTGATCGAGGACCTGCGCGAGCTGCGCAAGCTCGGCAACTATCCGAAGGAGGTGATGCTGGGCGATATATTCGCGCACAAGGGTAAATTGAAGGAGGCGGCGAAATTGTACCAGCGCGGCGGGCACGAGTACAAATCGCTGACGATGTACACCGATTTGAGGATGTTCGACGAAGCTCAGGAGTATTTGGGATCGAACGATAACACCGAATTGATCAGAAGGAAAGCCGATTGGGCGAGGAACATCAACGAACACAAAGCCGCCGCTGATATGTATCTATCGGTCGGAGATAACGCTTCAGCCGTGGAAATATTCGCCGAAAACGGGTAAAATTTACTCGTACTAAAGCGCTGTGGTTGTTACTCGACGCGATTCGTTTTTCAGGTGGACCGATCAGCTGGTGGATCTATCGAGAAAAGTGGAAAAATCGGAGAGAAACACCCTATTGACGATAGCCAAGCATCTGAAGCGCTTGGACAATTCCTCTGCGGCGGCGGAAATCTATCGCAGGCTGGGCGACGACGAGGCCGTGTTGCGGTTGCACGTCGAAGCGCAGGAATGGCGACAGGCCTTCGCCTTGGTGAGAAACCAGCCAAGATACGACGCGCTGGTGTACGTGCCGTACGCCCGTTGGCTGGCCGAGAACGACAGATTCGTCGAGGCCCAAAGGGCCTTTCACAAAGCGGGCAGGTCCCAGGAGGCTTTCAAGGTGTTTATGCAATTGACCGATAACGCCGTGAGCGAATGCAGGTAACGACTATAATCAGGTAAAAACGTACAAACAAGTAGATAAAAAATAGTAGGGGGACTCGATTCATGTAACTACAGATCTAGATCCTGATAGTTCAGCTTTTCTAATAGGCAATTCCAAAACTCGTTGTTCTATATCATTCTGGACAGTTTAGAATCACTCTGTATAGTTCTTAACCAATCTACACAGTTCTAAAGAATTCTAGACAGTTGAATTTGTTTCTGGACAAGTTCTAATTCATTCTAGATGGTTCTAAATCATTCTGGACAGTCCTAAATCATTCTGGACAGTCCTAAATCATTCTAGAGAGTTTTAAATCATTCTGCACAGTCCTAAATTATTTTGAACAGGTCTAAGTCATTCTGGACATTTGTAAATAATTCTAGACAGTTTTAAATCGTTTTGAACAGTTCTTCTTAATCATTCTAGACAGCTTTAAATCGTTTTGAACAACTCTTAATCATTCTGGACAGTTTTAACTCGCTCTAGACAGTTGTAAATCATTATGGACAGTTCTAAAATCATTCTGGATGGTTCTAAATTATTCTAAACAATTCTAAATCTGGTCACTACTTCCCTCTTGTGTCTACATCGCTTGAGCTGTCTTTTGCTTACAAAAATTTAGGTTCTTTTAAGACTATCGCTCCTGATAGCGAACGGAGTATAATGGCGCATTATTCTCCATTAATTCTCCATTATTCTCCATCATTATTCTATATCAAATCGTTTTAGATACCACGACGCGAGCTATTACTATTGGATCATATCGAGGCAGTATTTGGACATGTCGAAGGAGGCGAGCAGCAAAAGCGAGCAGTATTTGAAATGCTTCGAAACGAACGAGAAACTCGCCGAAATTTACTACGCTTACAATACCGTACATAAATATTTGGAGGAACCATTCACTTCGTACATGCCTGAAGCCCTATTCAACATAGCCAGGTTTCTGATGACGGAAGTGACGGGTAGAAAGCAATGCGTCAAAGGAGTGTCTACGTTCGCTATTCTCTATACGTTATCGAAACAGGTAAATTTACACATTTAATTTAATATTTCATGATAACAAAGATTATACAGTCCTTAGATTGCTTTAGGACGAATCAGAATTGCCGAGAGAGCATTTAGGCCATTTTTTATTGAACCACCCCGTACAATAATAACTATTATCGTTTCAGGCGAAGAAATTGGGCGCGAACAAACTGGCCAAGCAACTACTAGACAAAATCCAGAACCTCCGGATACCGCGCAAGTTCCAAGAGCAAGTTGAAATAGCGGCGGTATCGGCGCGGGCGAAGCCCCACAGCGATCCCGAGGAGCTGTTGCCGATGTGCTATCGCTGTTCGACCTACAATCCGCTGTCTTCGGCTACGAATAGTTGCGTGAATTGCGGCGAGCGATTCGTCTATTCGTTCGTCAGTTTCGAGCTGCTACCGCTGGTGGAATTCCGACTGGACGAGGATATTACCGACGAAGAAGCGGCGAGATTGATCGAAACGCCTAGTGTGGATAAGAAGGAGGCCAATTGGGAGGAGAACATATCGGAGAACCAGCAAACGCTGCGATTGGAGGCGGAAAATCCGGCCGGACCGGACCCGTTTACGTGGAAACCCGGAGCATCAGGATCTTCTGCGGACGGGGACGGTTTCGTGCCGGTGATTGTAGGTAGAGAAACGTTGTTGGGTTTGGATTGTTCGAGCGTGTTGATTTGCAAATGGCCGGCGCCGTTGCGGTGCAGGTACTATAGGAATTTGCTGCCCGAAATGTTGATTAGCATGTGCGAGTTTTGCTTTAAATGTTTCCACGTGGACGATTTCGAGTTGCAGGTACTGCAAAACGGGCGTTGTCCGTTTTGCAGGAATTCGAATACCGTCGATACCGCTGCCGTAGCGGATGCTGTAGATGATTTCGTGTTGTAATTGCGCATTTTTTTGTTTACGGAAATGACGTGATGGGTGACTAGGAGTTTTTTGGGACACCCTGTATTTTAGGTAAATCTACGCTTAGTTGAGCGAATTTTGAATTGTAGGATTAATTATTTCTATTATGTTGTTCTTACCTTACTTTAATGAAACTTGTTAGATCTCATATTACAATTCCGTCCGATCGATTACGTTTAATTCTGTCCAGTTTTTCTGTCCCTTTTCCTTCGTTCTTACCTTAAAAATAATAAAAGAAACGTTTTTTAAGCGGATATTTATTTCATTTAAGGGGAAGGGAAGGGAAGGACAGGGAGGAAGCAGGAGATAACCAATTAGAACTGAAATTAGAACTGAACATGTAATCCCACTAAAAACTAAATAAAAATACAAACTTACGCGTTGAAAAACTCCCCGCTCTTTCCACCGCTTTTCCTCACCAACCGCACCTCGGCTATCACGATGCCCTTATCGACGGCCTTGCACATGTCATAGACGGTGAGCGCCGCGACGCTCGCCGCCGTCAGCGCCTCCATCTCGACGCCCGTCTTGCCCTCGCACCGGACGCTCGCCCGGATCTCGACCGCCTCGCGAGGCTCGTCCACGCGACAGCTCACCGCCACCGCCGTCAGGGGGATGTTGTGGCACAAAGGGATGAGCTCGGAGGTGCGCTTGGCCGCCGCGACGCCGGCGATTTCGGCTACTTTGAGCACGTCGCCCTTCTTCGTACCGCCGTTCGATTGGATGAGCTCGGCGAGCTGGCGTCCTACTTTGACGGAGGCCGTCGCGACGGCTTCTCGGACGGTCGGGGATTTACCGGTGACGTCCACCATGAGCGGGGAGCCTTTGGGGTCCAAATGGGTGAAGCCGTGAGACGAGTAGAGACGGAGAATGAGGGGACGATAAACCGTTGTGTAGAAAGGATTCATTTTGGCGTCTGCAATAAAATAAACTGTATACACAGAGTGTTTTACTATTATTAAGAGTATAGGTTTGTCAAATCTTCTTCTATTCGTCGAACGTCAAACGTATTCGAATTCAAATTTCAAGTGCGAATTATGTCTAAATGCATAGGAAATCCATCAAATTCCACGATTGTTGCTCCGGACATACGTTATTACGTGCGAAACGACCCGATTCCGGCACTAACAGGATCGATTTGTACCGAACGTGCAGATCCAGAACGAAGAAACCGTCGATAGAGAGCCAATTCTGCGCCGGCAACAACGAAATAAAATGCAAACCACCTGCGAGAAGAAGGCCCCCCAGCACCCAGTACATCTGCTGCAGCAATCCCTGCAAATCCGTCGAAGCGGTGTGTCCCAAAGCCAACGCGGCTACTTCGAATTCGCCGATATTTCGCAGCACGTCTACGGCTTACGATTTGAAAGAAACGCGCAACGAGGGCTGCGGACCACAAAAAACAGTCCCAAATTGCTGCTTCTATTGCTGCAAACCATCGGCCAGCCAAAATTCTACGGTATCCTGTTATTCTTGTTCTGTATCGTCACCTTGTCCATCGACTTCTTCACCGTACAGCATCAAACCGTGCCAGAAGGTTTCTTCTACGAGTCAACAAGCATGCCCGTATTGTTGCATGCCGTGTAAATTGAAGAGTAGTAGTTCAACCTGCAGTCCTTGTTCCCCGCCACCTTGCCCGAAGAAACCCTGCAAAAAATGCTATCCGCCTTGCCAGAAGAATCCATGTTTGCCGGCATGTCCGTATTGTTCACCACCGTGTAAATCAAAGCCATGCAATCAATGCTCGGCTCCGTGCGACATGAAAAAATGCTATCCACCTTGCCAGAAGAATCCTCCTTCGCCGGAATGTCCGTATTGTTGCCCAACACCGCGTAGATCAAAGCCCAGCAATCCTTGCAATACGAAAATATGCTATCCACGTATCAAAAAGTGTCCTTCTTCATCCGAATGCCCGTATTGTTCACCACCGCGTAAAACAAAGCCCTGCAATCCTTCCTCAGCACCGTGTGACATAAAATGCTATCCACCTTGCAGGAAGAAAGCTCCTTGTCCACATTGCTCAACACCTTGTCAAAAGAAACCCTGCACTCCTTGTTCATCACCATCAAAAACAAAACCTTGTTCATGCATTTTCACGTCTCAGAGAAAGGTCTACAGTCCACCCTGTAAGTCGAAGACTTCTCCACCGTGTAGAATGAAGACCTGGTGTCCAACACCTAGCAAACTGAAAATTAGACCTTCACCCTGCAGGTTGAAGAGTCCTTGCGAATCGGACACGTCTTGCTTGCCCACGTGTACCCGAAAACTCTGTTATCCTTGCAAGACTAGCGATCCTTGTTGGCGAGCTCCGTGCTGTTGCGATTCCAACACTAGAAGGCTTTCTTCCAAGCCTTCGAGGGTAGAATTCTGTTACATGTGCAACACGAGGATCGGCCAGCAGGATAAATGTTGCCAATCGAAGTCCACTTCGACTTCAACGAGCTCACATAGGACCAAAACGTGCGATAGGGTAAACGTCAGCAGTAGAGGAAAGTGTTGTAGGTTTAAGTGTGCCGGTGAAACGAAAAAGAAGAAGATGAATTATTACCAATGCGTCGATATGGAGGTGACACCCAGGAAGGGTTGTTGTCGAGGCGATAAGATGCAAAAATGCAAGAGTAGTAAAGGTCGCGCGGAGACCAAATGTTGCAAAACGAAATGCAATGGATCTTGCGAGGAGCTTTGCATGCCCAGAATCAGGATAGGATGTAATCCGGAGTTGATAGAAATCGGAGGTAGCAGGAACAATCCGACCATCTTATTGGGCAGATAAGTGTGTATGTAATATATACCCATTTCGAAAACGAATCGTTTTTTTCAATTTTCATATTTATTATACTAACAAAATCAAAAACACAATTGGCTATAAAATTAATTCTCAACAACTAGTACGACGGATGTTGTCGCCGAATTGGATCGTCACGTCGTGTATGGCCCGGGCCACCTGGTACAAATTCCACTGGCCGATGGCGCCGACGCACATCCGTCCCGACGACAGCATGTACACGTGGTGCTTCATCATCATGTACTCCACCTGCTTGGCCGACAGACCGGTGTACGAGTAGCAGCCCACCTGCTCGACCAGGTGCTCCCAGTAGCCGGGCGTTTGCATGCTATCGAGCACCTCCTTCAGCTGCAGGCGCACCCTCTTCATGCGCGACGCCATCTCCTTGATGCTGTTCAACCATTGGTTATACAAGGATTTGTTGTTGCAAATGTACGCGATTATTCTGGCGCTCCTTCGAGGATTATCAAACGTTAGTAATGCTCGCTACTGGTAGTAAAGGATGAAGAGCTTGGGGAAGCTTTGCATCTCCATGCTGTTCATCATTCAAGGGTCCCGTTCTCGTTGAGATCACTACAAATCTCATAGTGAATGAGGCCCTTTACCTGAAGGAGAGTGTATGGTGTATAATACTACAATGATTACCTGATGGGAGGCGCTAGATACATGGAATTGATGAGAGCGGCCATTCGCGACCTAATAATCGGTATCAAATCCGTATCCTTGACGGTGATGGTCAAATTGCCGATGCGTTCGCTGTACATGCCGAAGATCTTCGAGAAACCCTGCGAACAGAAAAACTCCACGTCCAATTCGGCGAACTTCCTCACCGAGTAGGCGTCCTTGTTGACGTCGCCGGTGGCCAATCCTTGGTAGCCGCAATCGAAGAACGGGAATATCCTCTTGTTGGCGAACAAACTCGCCAGCTCGTCCCATTCGAGCTCGTCGGGATCGAATCCGGTCGGATTGTGACCGCACATCTGCAACACGATCACCGAATCCTCGTCGGCGTTCCGCAGGTCCTCCATCATACCTTTAAAGTCCAACTTGAGGTTCTTGGCGTCCAAATAACGAAAAGTTTTCATCGTCTTGAAGCCGGCGCAGCGGAAGATCCGCTCGTAGTTCTCGTAGCTCGGATCCGATATGTAGAAGGTCTCTTTGCCCATGTACCTAGCCAAGAACTCGGCGCCGATCCTCAGCCCGCCGATCGACGAGTAACATTGCACTCCCATGTACTTGTTCTTGATGATGGCCTGCGATTTGTTGCCTAGCAGTAGCGTGACGGCGGCGTTCGAGAACGATTCCATTCCAAGCGGCGTCGCGATCACGTTTTCGATGGATTCGTCCATGTGGATGATTTTATCGGCGTATTTAACCGCCGGCATAACGTAGGGATCGCCTTCTTCCGTTCTATAACCGCCGATGCTCAACAAAACCTTGTTCTCGCACGGGTCCTCCACGAACCTGTCTCTGAGGTAGAATATTTGAACGGGTTTCGCTATTGGGATATTATCGAAAACGGACATATTTTATATTTACAAATGACGTTTCTGTCACGTCGCTTCACAGTTTCGTAGGCATGTCTTTTTTCGATAACATCCCGACCGCCCATCCGGTGGAAATATACTATCTAAGAGAGACCTTCACGCAGGACCCCTTCAATAAAAAGGTATTGCTAACTCTAGGGAATTACAGAACGGACGAAGGGGAACCGTACGTTTTACCAGTAGTAAAACACGCCGAACGAGTCTACCACAAAGACGAATCCCTCAACCTCGAATACCTCACGCCGCTGGGCATGGAGTCCTTCACCAACGCCGCCGTTACTCTGCTGCTGGGCAACACATCGCCGGCCATCATCAAAAACAAATACATCGGCGTGCAGAGCTACGGGTCGACGGGCGCGCTGCGCATCGGCGCCGAATACCTGGTCAGGCACACGGCCAAAGACACCTTCTACACGTCGAATCCCGGCTACGAGAACCACGACAGGATCTTCGCGTGCGCCGGCTTCAAGACGTGGCGCTGCTACCGCTACTTGGACACCAAGACCATCAAGCTGGACTTCAAGGGCATGCTGGAGGACCTGCGCAACGCCGAGGACAATTCGGTGATCGTGCTGCAGGTGTGCGGCCACAATCCCACCGGCATCGATCCCACCGAGTCCCAATGGGACGAGGTGGCCCAGTTGTTCGTCTCCAAGAGGATATTTCCGTTCTTCGATTGCACCTATCAAGGTCTGGCCAGCGGCGATGTGAACACAGACGCCTACGTGGTGAGGAAGTTCGCCGAATTGAACGTGGAATTTTTCTGTGCGCAGAGTTTCTCGAAGATCTTCGGCATGTACAACGAACGCATCGGTAATTTGACTATTACCGTGAAGGATCCCGAATTGATACCGGCCATTAATTCGCAATTCGCCTTTGATATTCGCGCGATGTACTCCTCTCCTACGGGCAGGTAATAAAGGGTGTATTCTACACCTATATGTAGAGGTCACAAAGATCACAAAAAAATGTATCCTGTGACCTCTTGTGAAGCACCAGTTTAACGCCCTTTCTATGTTGTTAAAGGAGCGCCAGGATCATAGCTCACATCTGCAACAACGCCCCCTTGTACCAGCAGTGGCTGGGGAACCTGAAGGACATGGCGTTGCGCATCAAGAAGGCGCGGATGCAGCTGAAGGAGATGCTGGATAATATGGAAACGCCGGGTGTGTGGGAGCATTTGGTGGACCAGGTGGGCATGTTCAGTTACACGGGGCTGACGCCCGAGCAGGTGGAGTATATGGCGAGGAAGCATCACGTGTACGCTTTGACTTCGAGCAGGATTTGCATGGCGGCCATTTGTTCGAATAATTTGTATCAAGTCGCTATGGCTATAAATGATTGCGTTAGGAAATTCCCTAAAATCAATTGATTAATGTGATTGATTGATTCGATTCGATTGTATGTAGATTGTGTTGGTGTAAGGCCGCCTTAGAAAATTGAGTTACATTGTGAAATGTGATTTTATAATCTATCTTCACCCCTAACATAACCTCGTTTAATACTAGAAAATAATATACAAAATTAATTAAAAAATGGTCAAATTTGTGTATTATTTTATGTAAAATTAAGTTATGTAAATTGTAAATGATATTTAATAAAACACATCAGTGTATTGTAAAGTTTTTTTTAATCATCTGATTAACGAAAGTTAGTAAAATAATTTTCCCACTCACCTCTTCTATAGAAGATTTAATTTATGTGTAAAAGCTTAGTAATTTCGTCTTAAAACTTCGTAACAAATCCAAAAGAAAACAAATAAACACGTAGATAAAAAATTTCGAGATTCGAATTTTTTTTGACATATGACATTTGTAGTGGTGCCAACATATAAATAACAAATACACCAAACTTGCTATGGAAAGATAACTAAAAGAGAATAATCATTTAAAAAATAAATATATTTATCCTTATTTTCCGACTAGTACTTAAATAATTGGAGTGTCCTCATTGCGATTCGCATCTCAATATTTTTCACGTTGCACTGAATAACATTCAAAAAGTAGTCTACAAAAAGAAGAAGAATAATATGTCATACAATTCGCAATTAACCGCGAAATTCAAATTAATAAAAATATAATTTTCTAATAAGGATCAAAAATCGAGTCAATTTCATATTTTTATTAACATGAATAAATTATTCTTTAAAAATGTCAAATTAGTGTATTGTACACAAAGTAAGAAAAAGCTATTACTACTGCGAAGAGAAATGTAATTTTACTTAATGTAAATACATGAAAATTGAGAATGAAATTTCGAGAGGACTCTTTAAAAACCATCTAAAACATAACGAGGCGTTTGAAAAAAAAATGGAGATTAATTCAATCCAACATCAAGTCCTGATCGCTTTAATGCTTCAACATTAACTAGTAATTCTTGTAATGTTTCAATCGATACAACGCCACCACAGATTTCCTATTGCCCAAAGCGACGAATCCGCTATTAGGCGAAAAATTCAACACGTTAACATTGCCCATTTTCGTCTCGAAATTCGGAAAATTACTAAACACCGTACCCGAACCCAAATGGAACAACTTCACCGAATTCTGCATTTCCGCCGAACAAAACCCGAGCAGCTCAGACGAAGCGTTGAACTTCAAATCCTTAACGCCCGTAGTTAAGTTTAAAATACTCTTCCTAGGTTTAGGTATGTTCGCCTTGAGCACGTCTTCCATCCCGTACAAATTCACCACCCCTTGAGCCGACCCTGTCGCCAGGAATTGATTCGAGGACGAAATCGAAAGAGCCGTCCCCTGCAAACACCCTTCGTCCATGAATTTGTGTTTTATTCTCAGAGAATTCATGTCCCACACGGTGATTTCTCCTGTATCGCTGTGACCGAATAGAAGATCCCCTAAAATGCAAAATAATTTAAATATAACGACCCGGTAGATTGTAAATCATAAATTACCCATCGGATTAAAAGTTAGAGCAGTTACTTCCGAGTCTTGTTTGAGAGTGGTTATCCTCTCCTTCGAAGCAGCCGCTAACAAATGCACTTCTCCCCATTTACCTGCTATAGCTACGTATTGCGAATCGGGGGACACTACGAAATTCTTGCACTGCGTAAGACCTTGCGGGAGGTTATACCTAATGGGTTTTGCAGCCAATAGATCATAGCTGAACATGTGTGAGTGCCTCGAGCCAAGCAAAGCTTCGTTGCCGTTTTGCAGGAATTTAGCGCACAGTATGGGGTAATGCTGGAAAGCTATACTGTGGAGTTTGTTGTTCCTTCTACCGTCTACAGCGAACAGTGAAGCTATAGCTCCGTTTCCGGCTACTAGAGCTACGCTCGAACTGGGGTGGAACTCGACGGAATTTACATATGGGCCTTCGGAGTAGGTTTCGCAGTTCAAATCTTTGACTTTCTTGAATTCTAACACGCTAGGGGGTAAATGTGAGGTTACCGTTTTCGATATAAACCCGCAGCTTCTGAGCACTTCGTCGTCTGAGTCGGATTCTGTTCGTTTGCGTTTGTCCAACGATGCCCATTTCGGCGTGCCTAAAACCGATTGGAATTTGTGTCTCAGCAAATTGGAATACTTGTTGCTCCTAGAATTGATTCCCCCTGAAGGTAGTTTGCGTCTTTGGCTGTCTAAAGCTTGGCCGACGTCTATGCCGTCGTCATCTTCATCGGTCCAAGCTGGTTTTCTTACGGATTCGTTTTCATCGCTGTCGTCCTCGCCGACGCCCGAATCGATGTTGGAATTCGACGGGCCCGCCTCGTTTTCGGCCTCTTCTAAGCACTGCAGGAAATTGGACGGGCCCCCGAACAGGATTTGGGATAGCTGCTCCTCTTCCTTTCGGGCTTGCTCGTCGAACGGGCGGAATTTCGCTTTGGGGACGTCGATTTGGAATTCGACGTCGTCCGCTTGGCTTTTTTCGTGTTTTCGCTTCCTGTTTTGCTTGATTTTGGACATATTTTTCGTAGAATGCAGGTTTTTAAAAGGAATGTACGGAAATATGGCTGACTGACATGACAAATGACAACGTCAAATGTCATATCATCTTCTATTTTTATCAAATTTTGTCCTACACTACTCAAGCTATTCAGCTTCATTTATTTTACTAGTTTCTTGGTAAATGGATAGATATAAAAAACAAATTGCATTAATGTATAGATAACAAGAAATAAAAGTCGGTTAATTGTTTACGTTTTGTATAAAACTGCATATAATTTATGAATCAACTATTTGTACAATTTAAACAATACACTTGAATCTTACAGTTCGGCTTATAAACAAAATATACAAATGATCAATGTAACTCGATGTTTGTGCTTGAAATTGTACAGTGTCGGGATAATTATTAAAAAATTAAAAACGTGAACGGCATTATTTATTTCTCCTAATTAGAAAAATGGTCTGGAGAGCTTCCCTTTCGCGAATTTCATTACTTATATTCATTTTATTTATTCACATTTATATTCTGTGTATCATGTAACATGAACAACAAATGGCCCGTGCTATTAATACTTGTCATAAAAAAATATACACAACGCTTTACTTAATTTGTAATAAAAACACATCGAGATATAAAAAAATAAAATTATTATACACATATAATTATATAAAAGTCAATAAAATTCTTTAAGTAATTCAAATTTATACTGGAGTGTCGCCGCGTTAACCAGTTATAATAAATTATTTTAATTACTTTAAAAATACAATTATTTAAAAAATAGAAAACAAATAGTTAAGTACAGAAATACAAAAGTTTAAAACTACGAAATAAAATGACATAATTAAAACAAATTAAAATAAATCATCTTTAGGTTTTCGACTTTTGTAAAATTTTCATCGGTATAGTAATCTTTAAAAAAAGTAGGAAGCGGATTTTTAAATATTTGTATGTTTAAAAGTATTTAAGAATATTAAAATGCAGAGAATCAAATGTAATATCAGTACAAAATTCAATCCAATTGTATAAATTTACAGCTCGTTTTTCGTGTTAAATTGTGGAATAACTTTGATGAAATTAAAACATTTTTTTTGTATTGATACTACAATTTCGCTGTCTAAAAAAACTTTCAATAAAAATGAAGCTGAATTTTGCAATAAAAATTAAAATTAATGGCTTTCACATATCTAATAAAATTGCACGCAAGCCATTTGCCCTGTACAATATCTATATATATTTTATGATTTGATTTATAAAGCACAGCCAAAAATCGGAAAAAATCGGGTTTATTCGAGTTGATTAATTTTCTGTTAATAACACGTGTGTAATTTAGTGAACAATATCAACAGGTGCGTTCGATTTATATCCCTTTAATGAATAAATGAATTAAAATTTCGCAAATTCACCAGATTCTACTTCCAGCATTTTTGGCGAGCCATACATTTAATCAATTAATTTTTGCTAATAACGACTTTCTACCTATTAAAAAACTCGTCAACATGACTTATTTATCATTTTAAATGAAATTTATATAAATTAGTACAATAGTGTGTTTGTATATTCACAATAATAATAATAATAATATTACCATAACTTACAATATGTACAAAAATATGATTACAGGTCTGTGGCCATAATTGACTTTGTACACTGAAATATCACATACAGGGTGTTCCCGAATTCGCGAACGGAATCCTCGATTTTAATGTTTAAACTTGTCCGAGAGTATTTGAGGGGTGGGTGATTGCGAAAGAAACAGTCATTAGGAAATGGTCGTCTCTACTATAACTACATACAGACATACAGAAATAACGTAAAAAAAATAAATAACAAATATATCCGCGAAGAAAAAAATATCAACTTTGATTATAACAAACAAAAATTTGGGCGCCGGTCTAGTATGCGGTCTACCCAAGTTTATTTTATACAAATAAGTATAAAGTATAACTGACCCTTCATTAAGCAAAAAAAAAATTACTGCTATTGTATTATTATTCATTAATATTCAATTTACCGGAAAATGGGGAAGTACCTACCAGTATTTATTTAACCGTTAATATAGCTATCTTCATTACCTAAAAAAGAAAAGATTTTGTTATTATTATAACATTAGTGAGCTAATAATTTTTAAACGCCTAATCATAAAAACATAAAAACAATTACACAGGGTGAGTTTTTTTCAATGCTTACCACAGGAATCTCGGAAACTGTAGGAGATAGAAAAAAGTTCAAATGGACTAATATTTGCAGTTTTGTGAGACATGTTCACAATCAGTTTCAGTTTTACAAAATATGACACCTGTCAAAGAATTAAAAATACCTGGGCGACGAAATATGCAGGAATACTGGACCGGCACCAAAATTTCTTTTATTAATCAATAAATATTCAAACACGGGATACTTCTCTATCTCTCTCAATAAATAAATCTATCACAACCATTTCGGTTTTTCCTGACTCTTTCCTTAGTTTCCGAATCGACAAATCAAACACTAAAACGAGCTCTAGAACTCCAAAACGGGGCCCCCATCGTATGCGTTTCTTACCATACACACATTCGCTAAAATCGGCTCAACAATGTGGATTTAAACAGGTGAATATATATATCATTCTACTGTACAAAACCTCTTATCATTACACTAAAAAAAAAAAAATTGCCTCACTGGTCACCTCTACGTATCCAATCAATATTACAATATATTACACAATTTCGACATAAATTAATTTACACGATTATCATCTAACCTCGCAGTCTTTGGGCAACGCCGGCGGCGGCCGCTCCGCCCCCTCGCCGGGGAGCTCGGCCGGCCCCGGCGCGGCCTGTACCGTCCTATCGATCGCGGGCGCCGGCGGCGGAGGAGGAGGAGGCGGCGGCTGGCCGGGCTGCAGGCGCTCCTCCTTCTGGTCGGCGGGCGCGTTTCGCACGGGGGGCGGTTTCATCACGTACCCGGAACCCTCCTGGCACCGAGACAGTTTCAATTTGATCGGGGTCAGTTTCAACGGCGGCGCTTCGCTATCCCCTAACGAATCCTTCGAATTCGTTTCGACGACATCTTTACTCGCCGCCGCCGCCGCCGCCTCGACGGCGACGAGTTTATCTTTATCCGATTCGCCGCCGCTCGTCCGTTTCTCACTATCACCGTCACCGTCACATTTTCTATTATCGTTCCTGTTGCCGAACCGGATGATCAGCTTCGTCGGATTCTCGCCCGTCTTCGTGATTATCTGCACGTCCGTTTTCGGTTTCTTCTTTTTCTTCTTTTCGCTCTTGTCGCGCTTCTTGTGCTTGATCTTCAGGTCTTTGAGCATCTGCTTGCGGAACTTCATGCTGATTCGCTTCATTTCCTCCACCTGGAAAACGATCGACGTGAATACGGCGTTGCGAAATCAACGAAATTTCTATCTAATGTATCGGAAATTTAAAGGTTCTTTCTTCTACTCTGAATCTTCTCTATTCTAATCTACTCTACTTTACGAATACTCTATGAGGACGTTCTTCTACTTTCCTCTACTCTGAATCTACTCTATTTTACTCTACTTTACGAATACTCTATGAATACGTTCTTCTACTTTACTCTACTCTGAATCTACTCTATTTTACTTTACTTTACGAATACTATACACTCTATGGATACTCAACAAATACTCTATTCTGAATCAACACTCTCTATCCGCACTCACCGAAGGTTTATTCTGCGTGGCGGCCAGCCGTTTCTTGGGCGGCCTGACGCGATCCCTCTTATCGACGCTGTTATCGACGTGCTGCACCGCCGCCCCCACGATGCTGTTCATGCTATTGCCGATTTTGATCTTCAGCTTCGGCGTGACGAGCGGCGGCGGCGGCGGCGCCGCGACGGGCGCCGGCCTCACCGGCCTGCCGCGGCGCTTCGTCGACGACGACAGCGCATCGATGGCGGCGGCGCCGGTGCTGCGCCGCCTCTCCGCGTAGCCGTCGTTCTCGTTGGGCGGCAGATCGAGGTGGCGCAGTTCGCGCGCCGACGGCCGCGATTTGGCGTCCTTGCGATGGTGCTTGGCGTCGATGAGATCGTCCGAATCGGTGCGGTAGTCCCGATAGTCTTCCTTCGTCGGTATCGATGTCATCGAGGCGACGGCTTTCGGTATGGTGATGATGGTTCGACTAATGGGCGGCGCCGTGGGCGGTATGAAACCTGAATTGTACGATATCGGAAAATTAATTTACTATAATGCTAGGTGGCCGTTTTGAGAGAAAAACTCTCGAGAGCGGCGCTCGAGAGTTGTTCTCGCCAGTAGACAATGTTGTGAGAGTAACATCGTTTTTGGTACCTATCGAAAGTAACTAAAAAAATTCAAATTAAATCAGTATTCTGAGAGTGCTCTCCGAGAATAAAGGTGTATAAATAAATAGTGAGAGACCAGCCACATATCTATCGTTTATTTAATTTCCCTAGTTCCTTTACTACTCTTGAAGGGAATATTCGAATATGTATTTGTTAAAAATTACAAGGTTTTAAAGTTAAAAATAAAAAGGAGGTTCTTTTGATATTGGGCAATAACTGCTTAACTCTTTTTCGTGAAAAGTAGTATAGAATATCTTTGTTTGGTGACTAATTCTGTATTGTGCATTTTTTTAAATTATCAATCCCTCTCAGAGGTTTCGGGAGGTCCAACCTCCTTCAAGTTCTAATTTTTTTCGCCTATATTAAGTTTACCTAATTTTCGAATCCAAACTAGATTTATCGGCTTATTTTTCATAATTTTAGACTAATAAAAGTAACTTAATATGTTAAAAAGGTGCTACCGTGCCAAAAATGTTCCAAACTGTAGTTCATAAAACTCCCAGCACAAACCTAGTGGACATGGTTCTGAGAGTACTTTCGGACACTCTCAGAGAGTAAAAATTCGCGAGTTTGCTCTCAAATGGACAGGAAGCACAATAAATAAAACGGTCAAATTCCCTCGTACGCTACCTGTATTACTAGCCGGATCGTCCATGTTCATGTCCTGCGTCCAATACTGTCGCAGCAGCTCCTTCTTCCGCATCCGCCTCAAACTGGACGGGCCGCCGCCGCCGCCTCCCGCGGAGGCGTTCACGCCGCCTGGCACGCTGTTCAGCATCGCGTTGTTCGCTACAGAATTCGCGGTGACCGGCACTTCCAAGGCGGGCGCCGGCAACGGCGGCAGCGGCGCCACCGTCGACGTGTAATTGGCGATGGGGCCCTTGATTTTCACCTTGAGCTGATTGCGGGAATCCGACAGCGAGACTTTGATGTTGCCGCCGGCCGATTCCGCAGGAGGCGGCGCCTCGGCGGGTTTCTTCGCCGTCAACGCCGAGTGCAATTCCTTCTCGAAGTCCTCGTCGATTTCTTGCACCTAAAACAATTCATTTTTGATGTTAATTAGATTTAGAAACTTACGGCCTCCGCCGAGTCGGTTGTTCAGCTGGCCAACTTTGAGACGGTATAAGAGAGAGATGGGTACTCGCCTGCGTTTCGGCGGTGCCGCTGGCGAAAGCGCTGAGAAGGTTCTGTTCGTTGTACGTCTGCTGATCGAAATTGGAATTGTACGTTCGCATGTCGACGGGTCCGGGCAACGGTGGTGTCACGTCGGGGAAGGTCTGTTGGGTTCTGTCGCTGTTCGCGGTCGTCCGAGAGGCGTTGGAGTCTTCGATGGGACTGGGCGGTCGCAAATCGCGCAGATCCGCGTTGAAACTGCGACCTATTCGAAAAAAAAAAAAAAAAAAAAAAAAAAAAGATTAATATCGATATTAGCGTTCGAGGAGTAGACTCACTTTTCTGCGACGGGCTGGAGAATTTAGGCGAACGCGGCGAGTCTCTCGTCGACGCATACGATTCGAACTTCCTTTCGTGCACGTCCACAGACTTCCGCCTTTCTCGCATCGATTTCAAATCGGTCATGTTGTCCATCGAAATGTCATCTTCGAAATCGAAATCGTACACCGTCCCTACCAATTTATTGTGTATAGTACCGGCGCCCATGAAATCGAAATCGTTGTGATGATTACCCCTAAAAACGATAAATTCACGTAAATTCACATTACAATTCACAATCGAATCCATTACCGTCCTCTGCCTCGTCCCCGGCCTCTCCCTCGCACCGTTCCCGATCCTCTGTTACCGCCGGACTTTCCGGATCCCCTTTTGCTCTCGCCGCGGCCCCTGCCCGGACCGCCGTGCTTCACGGCCACCTCCTGCCGAGGGCTCTTACCCGGCGATTTGGCTGGAGATTTGTTCGTCAATTGCGAACTGACCCTCGCCGAGGTCCTCGTAGGTTTGCTCGGCGACTTCTTGCCCGCCGAACTGTTCGATTTCAGCGACGTACTGGGCGACGGCAGGGCGCTATTGGCCGTCGGAGTGCTATTGCTCAACACCGGAGACGGTACCACCTGCAACGTTAACGATTAGTGTACATTCATAAAAAAAAAGTATTCAACTACTACGCTTATATCACGACTTGGCAACACCGCGCGTTGGTTTGATGTAGCTTTCGCAAGGATTGGATGTATAGTTACTTCGAGCGGTGTTGCCGGATTGTATAGAAACTTATCCTACCTCGTCTGAGAGTGTTGTTATTTCAGCGGGAGGTTGTTGTTGTTGTTGTTGTTGTTGTTGTTCTCCAATGGGTTGCTGTAAGATGCGTTCGTCCAATTGTTGTTCCAATTGTGGTTCAATGGGTTTGGGCGGAAGGGGAGCGGGCAAATTGACCATGGCGGCGGTGAACGCCATATTTTGCTGGGAGGTGGTGAAAGCGGCGGTGCAAATCGACAGAGGGGCATTGCCCATCGGATCATCGATCGATTTCGCCGCGGGCGGTACGGAATGGGTGGTGGGAGCGGCGGGAAAGGGGGCGCCGAAAGAGGACGGATAGCCTGTAGGCGGAAACGGAAGTTGAGCATTGATAACGGGCGGTGGGAACAAACTGACGGGATAACAGGAACCGTCCGGCGTCGCGTAGGCGTTGAAGTCCATCGGATTGGGCGGATAGAGCGGCGGCGGCGGAGGCGCTTGCGATGCAATGTAGGAGGCCATGTCGAGGGCGGCGTGGTTCACCAATCGCACGTCGGGCGGTACTCGTTGAGTACCGTCCTCTTCCTCTCTCCGGGATTCCGAGCTGGTAGACGATCCCGAACTCGATGAGGACCTGTATAATATAACACGCGTATTATTTTACAAATCAAAGGCAATATCGTCGGCCTGACGAAAGACATTATTATTCTTATTAAGCCGAATTCTTTAGTTCTAAACAGTTCTAATTGATTCTAGAGCGCTCTAAATGGTTCTGAATCTTTTTCAATGGTTCTCTACATTTTTAAATGATTCTAGAACCGGTTTAAATGGTTCTAGACAATTCTAAACGATTCAGGAGTGTCCTAAATAGTTCTAGACATTTCTAAATTATTCTGGATCTTTCTAGATGGTCCTAGACAGTTTTAAATGATTCTAGCCGAGAAGTTTTCACCGTACGCTAGTAAATTGTACATGTCACGAGCAGATATCGAAGATTTGATGGGGCATATCTAAATGAGCTTCTGATAGCTTCTGATTCTTGCTTCGGCTTCTGATCGTAACATAGGTACATAATAAAAAAAATAATTACCGTCTATTGGGCATAAGTTCGCAGTCGGCCCATTTGGCCTGCGGATGGATGTGCCCGTAGGGCATGGGACTGTTCATGCAATCCATGGAAGAGGGATCGATCAGCGGCGTCTGGGATATCTTGCGATCGATGCGATCGGGCAACAGAGGCGATTGGGATTTGAGCGCTTCCTCCTGCAGCCGGGCCTCCAACTGCGCGGGCAGCGAGTTCGCGAGCTTCTTCGTCGGATGGTGCTCGTCCGCTTTGGAGAACTGACTCGAATTGTCGGCGGACGAGTTGTTGATGGGGTATTGGTCGATGAATGGCGGATCCGCTGGCGGGTTGTGGTAGGTTTTCGTGGGATCGTAGGCGTCGCTGGGCGGCACCCAACGCTCGTCTCCTTGCACGGGCGCCGTGTGGTTGTTGTGGCTCTCCGATTGCAGGGGGATGTCTTTGGCGCCCTCCGAAGGAGCGTTGTTGGCGACGAACGACAAATTCGGCTGGTTGTTGGGGTAATAATCTTGCTGCGGAGCGATTTTGTGAACGTCGGAATTCATTTTAATTTCGGGCGTGTTTTTAGGTAAATCGGGTAGTAAAATGTCGGATTCGCCGCTGGTGGTGGGTTCGTCGGTGCCGGATTTTTTCGACAAACGCATTTTAAGTTTCTCGACTAGATTCAACGTTTCTCTGGCGTCTTCTTTAGTGTCTTCTCTCGATATGTTGTTGGCGTTGCTGCAGGTGTTGAATAAGGGTTTCAGTAAATCGTCGTATTTGTCGTCGAAATTTACCAAATCCAAAAAATCCGAGTCTTTCACTTGGTCGCGAGGCGAGAATTGCATGGCGGATCGATTGTGTAACACTTGATTGCTCAAACCGATGGGTTTTAAGGAGTTTTTCTTGTCGACTTCGAACTCGTTTAGAAGCGATTTCGGAATGTCCGGTGCCACGTGGAAGGTTTCTTGCAGATCGGTTTGTCGTATAAACAGATCTTTGGCTTTGTGCGTTTGCAGGTGATCGTCTACTATTTTATCGGCTAAGGTTATTTCGTCCGAAGCTTTAGTTTGTTTGGGAATCGCCGGTTTTTTAACGTCGTTTTCTTTAGTTTCGCTGGATAGCAATCGATTGGCGAAGATGTCGTCGATGGTCCGATGATTTTTCCCCGCCGGTTTTCGGTTCGTTTGCTTCTTATCGTCGATTTTCCTCTCGATTTGCTCTTTGAATTCCTTATTGGGCGATTTGATTAGCGAATCCTTCGCCGATTTGCTCGATTTGTCCGGCAACTCGACCTTCGGCTTGTCCGTCGACGAGCTCCTTTGCGGCGATTCGCGCACGATTTTGTTGTTTTTATCCGGTATGGTTAATTTCTCGGGAGCGATGATCGGCCTGTCGGTTTTAGAATGATTGTCGAACGCTTTCGTGAGATCCTTTTTGATTTTATCCGAGTTATCCGATTTGAGCGCCTTGTCTTTTTCTTTGTCGGGCGTACCGAACAGCCGTTCGAACATCGACGCTTTACTCCTATTCGAATTAGTCGGTTCTTTATTAACCGGTTTATCTAAATGCTCTTTCTGGAAGTTACTGAGTGACCAATTGTCTTCTAGCTTTTTATTCGCTTCCCTGACCGCAGCTGGTAGTTTGAGCTGCTCCGTCTTTTTCTGGTTTCTGTGAACGTCTTCGACGTTAGATTTTCCCTTTCGCTTGGCCGGTTCTCCTTCCACACGGACACGTTGGCCATCAGACATATCTCGATGCCCGACATCAGCATCTCCGATCCGATCACCAGAGTGGGATGTTCTCGGACGGCCGCGGCCTCTTCCTCGTCGGGCCGGTTGTTCCTCTCTCTTAGGAGTCGACGCGAGTTTCCTCTTGCCCGGTGCTGGTGGTTCGATGGCGGCGGCTCGCGATGGAGAGTCTCGGGACGAGGAATGGGATTTCTTCGATGAGGAAGAAGAGGGACTAGAATCGCTGGAACTTGAGGAACCAGAGGTCGCCGCTGGCCTGGGTCCCTTGTCAAGAAAGGGCCAGTCGCCGGCGGAAGACCGCTTGGACACCTCGCGGGGCGAACTCTCCGATCGCGGTGCTGGCAACTTTTGCCCTTGTTGTTGGTCCTCGCTGTCCGAGCTCGAGCTGCTCGACGAATCCGACGAGCTGCTCGACGAGGAAGACGAATTGCTGCTGGAATTCGTGGAAGACTTGCGTTTCTGTTCCGGTAATTTGGCTGGTTTCGACGGCTCGCTAGACTCCTTTTTGTGACACTTTTTATTTTCTACCTCCTTCTTCGCCAACTTGTTATCCTTCTCGAGGAGTTCGTGCGATTGAGCATCGGCTGGCTGAACGGCCGGTTTGCCCAGGCCGCTTTTTATGTGCTCGGCCGCTTTTTTGGCCGCTTGTCTTTGCGGGACGTACAATAATTCTTGCAGTTCGGTTTTCTCGTCTCGATCGAAATCGAAAACTTCTATCGATTGCTTCGAGTCTTTCTTCTTATCTTTTACTACTTCTTTTTCTTTCGCCGGCACCTCTTCCTTTATTGCTTCTTTCTCTTTGTCTTTATCTTTATCTTTATCTTTAGCTGGTCTTCCTACTTTACCTAATTTTTGTTTGTTCTTTTCTTCGGGGGGCTTGACGGGCGGCTCTTCGGCCTCCTTCGTTCGAGAAACCGTCGTGGTTTTCAAATTTTCAGTGGCCTTTTTAGCTGCTTGTCGTTGAGGTACAATGAGATCAGAAGGTACGCAAGAATCCTTCTTCTTAGCGTCTTTGTCGTGCTTCTTTTTACCGTCCTCTTTGCCGCCCTTCGACGGTTTATGCGAGAACTCCTTCACGGCCGCTTTGGTGCGCAATTTGCTCTGCGAATCGTTCGTCGAATTGTCGTTTCTGGCCGATTCGTCGGAGCTATCGGTGTCCGAATAAATCGACGACATGGACTTCGCGATTTTCTGATTGTCTTCGTCCTTGTGCGAGGATCTGATCGGCATCAGCTCGTCGCTATCGCTGCACGAATCGCCCAATTCTCTCGCCATCTGGCTCAATCGCGATCGGCTGCTCGAATCCTTCTTCGCATTCGATTTGATATCGTCCTCGCTGCTGCTGTCGTTCAGTTTGGAATATTTCTCGAAGTTCTTCTTCCGCCGCCTCTCCGCTATTTTGCTCACATTGTTCAGTTTATTGGTGGTTTTCTTTTTAGGAGAAACATTATCATCATCGGTATCCGTATGCAGCCTATTTTCTTTGTCGTCTTTAGGCCTCTCGTCGCTACTGCTCGCTTCCGACATGCTGCTACCGTACAAACTGGCGCTTCTGCGTTTCGAATAGTTCCCGTTGTACATCTTCTTGTACGGGTTGTTCTTGACGTCCTTGAAGAGCCCGTTGATTTCGTCGCCCGAATGCGCCGGCGATTTACCAGCTATTCGGGCGAGCAACGTTTCGAAATCGTCGGTGTGATCCTCAGCGTCGTTGTGCGAATACAACCGATCGTATATCGACGGGCCGTGATTGGCCTCTATTACGGCTTCGATAACTGAGGTGGGCAGCGAGCCGGTGGAGTTCAATACGGCCGCTTGCTTGTGGAAAGTCTGTTCTCTCATGCGAAAGAACGTCCTAGAGAGCTTTTCTCGTCTGCTGACCATGTAACACAGATTCCTGACCCTCTCCAAGTCCTGTCGTAGTTGCACAAACATTTTCATTTTTTCCAAATCGGCCTGTTCTCGCTTGTGCGACAGCACGTCGACGTCTTCGGATTTCGGCGGCAACAGCGGCTTGTTGTAACCCGCTTTCCGCTTCAATTTCCAGTAATTGTAAATGTATTGCAACGAATCGTTTTCGATATTAAAATGTATCGAAACGTCTTTGACAGCGACGTGCTTGAAAAATTCCGCTTCGATCTCCTGCAATCGCACCGCCCTCGCTTGGTTCTTCTCTTCCGAAGTCATATCTTTGCGTTTCTTTCGCTTCACGTCGTCGTCTTCGGAACCCGAACAGACGCTCTTCTCCTTTTTGCTCGATTTGCTGTGTTTTTCGCAGTATGAGCGCAATTTTACGCCGTCGTCGGCGTTCTCGTCTTCGATGATCGCCCGCATTTCCAAGCCGTGCTTGAAGGCGCACGTCACGTGATACGCGGTTTTGCAAGTCTTTACCGAGCACTGTATGCACGCCCCGACGCGCTCTCTGCACAACACGCAGATCAAGGCCCACCGGCTCTGCGGTATGCTCGACACCTTCGTGATCGGTTCCATCTTTTCCACGCATCCTGTCAAAACACATTAGATTATTAATTAATACGAACGAATCTGATAAACTATAGATTATATACGTTTGATAAGAACGTTTAGTGACTATTATAGATATGAATTCAACTGAGAAAAACATACCGATGCTAACTTCGGGTATCCACAGAGCACAAGAAACGTGGGCCCACTTTTGTCCCGTTCGAAGGCATTTCATGGCGCCGCCTTTGTTGGGACACAGCACGCATTCCGGCCTCTTGCCGATGTTGCACGTGCAACACAACCATTGCCCTTCGGGTATTCGAGTTATGCCGTAACAAGCCTGATGTACGCATATATTGCAACTATCACAAAACACCATTTCGTTGCCTTCTTCGGAGTCGGGCGATCGACAAACGTCGCAAATGACGTTCTCGTCGTATTCTATACCTACAAAAAATATATATAAATAACCGTAGACTTCTTACTGTTTGATTTCTACTCGATTCGTTTGATGATAGAGTTTATAATTCACTAATTATTGTAGTAGACGTACCTAAACCCTCTTCGTTTCTGAGTATAGATTGGATTTTATCCCAACAACATAACTCTAATCGCTCGATGACTCGCTCCAATTGTTCCTCGGAGAAGGGCCCCAGGCCGCTGGCGGCCCGTTCGGCGTTGAATATTTTCAACCAGGCAACGTCGCACTCGTCGAGATCATACGAACAGGCCGCTTCGGATTTTGTCGGAGCGTGGGATAGTACGTGATCGTCCGGCTTGAAATTATCGTCTTTCGTGATCCGAATGTATTTTTTAGGTCTACAAAACAGAACGATTAGTCGAGAATCGAGCGAGGAGACAGGAGGCGTACAATTTGAAATCGGTTTGAAGCTTGAACCTCGTCGAGCTCGATTTGACGGTGACCAACGGTTCGGGTAACGAATCCGGATTGACCGGAACCTGCACGCCCCTTTCCCATTCCTGTTTCCATTGATCGACGATAACCCAATATTCATCGTTGGCCAATGGTTCCGAATCGGGCAGTTTCATAGCTATTAAATACAAAAAGGTTTTAGTACGTGTAAAGTGTACGAAACAATCGGATCTTTACTAGAATATACGAACAAAAACTAGTAGAATTGGGTTTTGTTGGGTGTTTATTTCGTCAAAATCTGATTGTATGAGTGCGGGAACTCACCCGAAATAAGATCTTTGCGGAATAGCTCAGCGGGCGCTTCGGTTGTGGTGCGATTATAAATACTTTTTAGATCGTTGGAACGTGGAGGTTGCCAGACGGCTCCGGCTCCACCGGATACTCCTCCGGTATTTCCAGATCCGATGCTAGAGGTTGTTGAAGCGATATTGGCCAAGGTGGCCGTTTCTTCTTCTTCCGCCGTCGTACGCTAAAAACCATGTGAATTAGTAAAAGTATTATAAATCGTACGATAAAACTTACTTTACGCCTTTTAGCAGGTACTGAGCCATCTTCAGAACGATTAGGCCTCTTTGCTCTATGTGACATTGCACTTAGTTTGTGCAGGCAGGATTAATCCCGGTGCACTGCCTACAAATAAGAATGTTCGTTAAGGCTCGATCGGATTTTTACTTACGATTTATTGTTTACATGGCGAGTTGTACGTTTCGATTTTCGATCTGGGATGCAATATAATGTCTTCATTTCGTATTAAAAGTTATGGTAAAATTTCAACTTACTACATAGCTTTCCAAGACTTGCACAAACGGTAAGCACATAATCAGGTCTGAAAGAAGAAAACCTTTGTTAACAATAACATTCTAATGTGCTGTATTGAAGCTATGAAATAATGTAAAGACGTTGTTTATGCAGCATTGCAATTAAAAGTAAAAAAAGTAAGGTTTTCATTATAGCCTTTGGCTATCATCTAGTGAATGGACTTGGTCTGTTTGCGAGTAGCTCCGTATATTGTATAGCATGCAAATAAAGTAGATTGCATGCCATATCAACAATAATAGCTGTTATTCTAAGGGAAATTGTTGAAATTTCTAGTGACAAACAGCAGAGGTGTCTCCCATGTCTACTTTGTAAACATTTCACTTGAGCCAGCACTTGCACGCACAATGTTTTACACTTTTCGAATGAATAAATCTACGGAAAATTCGCTCGTTTCATTACCATTTCAAAAGAATTTCTCATGCTTTCGATTGATTTTTTACAGAATTTTCATTAAATCGACTCCATTAGACTCCATTTGGTAAGCCTAACAACATTGACAATACAGAGGGCGCCACTCTCGCCTAAAAGTCGACACAACAGTAAACTATCTGTCTTTCTTTCTTCGCTATTTCATAATTTTTACACCGTTTGCATGAAATTAATCAATAAAATTTATTCCATATCTCAAAAAATGCTTCGAATAATTCCCTTTCGTCCCTGCGAAATAATTACCATCGCATATTCTGCGGCTTTTTTGCTCCAAGGAAAGTGGGAAATTCATTATAGTCCTATCTCTTTTTAAAATTTATTTGTCCCAATTCACATATTTTTTAGTCGCAGTAACGGGTTGTCGGAATATGAAAGTGAATTGTTGGATTATTTTTAAAGCGAAATATCCATTTCGATTTACGAAAACGTAAAGTGCAATTTATTCGAGAGAAAAAAAAACAAAAAATTTTGGCGCCATGCTAAGTGAAAAAACTGGTATGAGAAAGTCACGTGACTAGATAAATGCAAAAATAAAAATAGTTGGCCAATAAAACAAGGGATAAGTACTTTGACATCGATTGTACGCATTATAATTATTGTTACTTTTGTTTTCGTTTCGTATTATCTTCGTAGATGGGAATTTAAGAAACAAAATCAATAATGGGTAATTCGTTACGCCCTTTTCAACTTCAACGCAAAAATATTCCAAAATTAAATCAATGGTTTCATAATAGTTTTCATTTTGTATTTAATGGCATAAGTGCATTTTATAACTTATATTTTTGTTGTTATCAAAAGTTATTTCTATTTGTCTTCATTTGTTTTGAAAAATGATATTTTGAAAGATGACATTTATGATTGACATTTAATAGAAGAAATATTTTCCCTAAAAAAAAGGAAGAGTTGATATTATCAAATTAACTAAAAAATATTTGCAACGAATTATAATAAAAAGCTTCTTCAATACTGAAAATTGCGAATTTTGTCAATATAAATGATGAAACAACAAATAATGATCAACGAACTACTATCCAGGTAAGAGACCACTAAATGACATTAGATTTGACTTGACAGCTGACAAATAATTTGTATTTGTAGGTTAAAAACTTATTTGAATTGTGTTTGTTTGGGCAAATACGAAATAAAAGAAAATAAGACCATGGATGATGTAATTTTGAGCAATATTTTTTGTTTTATCGATATAGCAATATCTTGTTTCAGTTGAAGACAAAAATTGATCAAGCCTGCAGAGTAGCAGAAGAGTTTACGAAACTGTATTATGAAACTGTGGACAAAAGGCGACATGTGTGTATATTTCTTCTGATGTAGAATTACTTATATTACCATTCACTGTAACTTTTAAACTAAAAACTCCATTGGTTAGATAGTGTAGTACTAAACTGTAATTTTTTTATCCTCAGCTCCTATCGAGGTTGTATCTGGACACTGGATTATTATCTTGGAATGGCAACGGTGTGACTGGGAATGAAAATATACTGAAATTTGTTATCGAATTACCAACTTCAGAACATACGATTAACACTTTGGATGCCCAGCCTGTTTTAGGTAAAACATACTCCTCCTGCTAGGCGCGTTGGTAGAAAACTAATTTGAATTATAATAATTTCAGAATCAGCAGTCAATGGACAGCTAACGTTTGTTATACAAGTTACAGGTACTGTCAAGTACCAGGATAAGACTCCGAAAACTTTCCAACAAAATTTTATAATCACAGCACACGGAGACAAATGGAAGATTGTCAGCGATTGCTTTAGACTTCAAGAACCTCTCACCGCAAATACTTAACATAATCCTTAATATGATGTTTGTAAATAAAAACCTAAAATTACATCAATAATATATTTGAATTTTATAATAAACGAGTACAAAATCCTAGATTAAAATGGTAAAAAAGCAAATATACAAGATATTCGGGAAGTAAAAATGAATATATCAACCACCAACAAATTCATTTTTAAACTAAATATCTCGCAATTATTTTTTGTAACTTGAAAAATTGTGTAAAAACGGGGATTACACGCCCAACTAAATAACAATAATTTCTCTCAAACACTCCGCATTAAATATTTTAATGTAAACTTAGGCAGCTTTCGGTTACAATTAAACAATGTTTAAAGTGTCTGCTCTAAATTATTTAACTTTTAAAGCCAAGTTCAAAATTTCAGTTTCCAAAACAACTACTAAAATTTTCAAATCGATTATAAATAATGCCAATAGTTTGTACAAAAGTGAGCAACAATAGACGAAACAACTAAAATCATCAGTCTTAAGGGTTTTGATGATAACATGGACACTGAATCGGTCTTTGAGGAATGCATACAACTAAAAAATTCTCTTCTCTTTACATTAAAAACGTTAAATAGATAGTCTAAGAGAATAAAAAAGGATTATCAAAAAGTGCGAATTTATTCACGGGACCAGTAAATACTTTGTGCCCTCACTTATCAAATTTTAAATTCCGTTACACATGTATATTTTTTAGAATATTAAATGACTTTTACATGACTTGCATATAATCATAATAATGAACGACATCTTATAATATCCAAAAAAAACCATCAAATCTTAAACAGTATTTTCACAATAAAAAAGCAGTCAAAGTCATTTCTGGATTTGTTTTCAACAAATATACATCCAGAAATCCACGATACACATCTAAAGTTACATTTCGCCTCGTTTCTTTCAACACAACGTAAAAAAAATCGATACATCTCCGGTTCTTGTCACGGAACCAATAAATTACTACAATCGATAAAAAAATAAACTATCCCAGATCTCTCGCGAACTAATTTCCCAGTTGAAATTCCATCCGCGTATTCATACAACTAAACCACAAACAATTCCGCGACAAAATTAACTATTAAATAAAACATCAACAATTATAAATAAATTTTACGCGTTATGTTCATCGGAATTCAAATGATTAACGTTGTCTAAATCGTGCATTCCATCCGCTACGCCCTCGTCGTTGTCGTTGGGGTGCGAAGGCGCCGGCGCGTCCCCAAGCGGATGAATTTGTGGAGGCCCCAAAGGGTTACCTCTAGAATCCAATTCAAGCGCCGGATCGGCGGTGGCCTCGGCCAAATTGGTCACGCTCTTCGATTTCACGCACTGGAAATCCACGTGACGACTCTTCGCCTCCTCTTTCTCCCAAGACATGTGGATGAACGGTCGCTGTACGTAGTTGTAAATCACCTCCGATCGACCGCCCGGTCGCTTTTTCACTTTCTCTTTATACGTGGGGTACCCTTAAAGATAAAACAATATACGCAAATGTAACATTCTAATAAATAACTGTATGTTTACCTTCGATTCCGAGCCGGATTTTCTTCAGGCCTCGATCTTTCAGCACCTGCTTGGCCACGTCTCGGTTCTCGATGTACTTGAAGAACCTGTACATGGCGGTACTGTTGACCGTTTGACTGTACTCCTCGCCCATTTGCGGCGGGTACTCCTCGTCCCAATCCACGGAATCGTCGTCGAGCAACACTACAATGTGGCATTCGCGGTCTCCCCGTTGCGCCGAATTCACCATCAACGGCAAGATGAGCTCTTCGAGGAACACCTCGAACTGGCATCGGGCTCCTTCGTTCGACAATTCATGCAACAGACCGCCTAGATGCGTAATTCGAATCAATACCCGGACAATATAACTCCATTTTGTACTTACGTAGATTTTGGCATTTGACGGTATTGGCATCAAACGGTACCAGCAAATAGTCGCAGGCTTCTCTGAGTTCTTGCACGGAAACGGACGGGGGGCATTTGATAAGCCCGCCTTTGTAGTACTCCAAGATGGCTCTGAACACTGATGCTGATATTCCATCGGCCACTTCGTATTCGCCTCGTTCGTTCGTGTGCGTGAATTCCAACGATGAACTGAACATTCTGCCGAGCATAGTGTTAGGATGTGCTGTGAATATTGCCGGATCCACCACGAAACGGGTGCTGTCCACTACGAGAGTTACACGATCCTCCGTGGTCGTCGGGGCCCCTTGGAGATTCAAACCGCTTATGCAGAGGGATTTGGAGCAAGTTGGCTGTAGCACCGTTCTAGATCTACAAATTAATAAGCTATTATCTACTAATTTTTCTAAATTTGTTTTTCTGATACTAGTATATTAGTACTCGAATAACATTTTGCGACATCGCTGCTAATTGTCCGGTAATCTTTTGTTGTTCAAAATAAACACAAACATTTTAAGCTAAGATAAAAAAATATATTCGAGCATCATCTTAATGAGCTCCATTATAACGTTATCATAGCCGAATAAACGCGAGTAATAATTTTTTTATGTTATTAAATTAATAACCAATTGCCAGGTTAATAACAGCTTCGATAAAATCGTACGCTATTTTGATAGGAGATAATTTATAAAAATATTTTTTTGGGGCACGATACACTTAATAAACCGCAAATGGACACGAAATTTCGATCGATTTTTGATAAATAACCGTTCACTATCGTGTCGCAAAATATTTACTTACCGAAATAATCTGATAAGTTTATCAAAACGTGATTTAATTCCGAAAATACCTTATCGCAATTCCTTATGTTATCAATGCAATTAAGTACGAATTTGAAGATAATTTAACCTTATTTCGGAAATACTTTCGCATGTACATTGTTCTCAATTATTTCGAGGAATCGAGAATACCGCTGGGAAATTCCGTTTTTTATGTACTACTTAAAAAAGAGGTTCCAATTATAATTGCATCAACGAGAAGAATACAAATACAAAGGAAATTACAGTAACAATTGCAAACAAAGAGTTCTTCTATCCGCAACCTGTAACACGAATACAATACACTTGTGCCTCAAATACTAACCTTCTAATATGCATTTTTGATTATTCTACAGATAAATCAACACGAAAAATAATAAAATCAATAGTTCATTGACGCAAAACACCTTTTGCCATAAACCAAAAAAAAATCCCAGACAACCGTGAATGCCAAAGAGAATGGATCAATGAACTTTGTTATTTTTACATTCTAAAATATCATTCGAAAAATGCTAAAAGACGTACCTCAGACGATTTTTGAAGACTCTCCTTCTTCTGTCGTCGGTGTAATCTTCTGTATCGCTGCTCGTATCATTATTTGGATAAGAATGTCGATCGTTGGCCCCGGCCATCTCGACGTGTGGAAGTATGCACTTGATGAATATGCACAAATAATCACTGCAGATTTCTCTGGAAGCGATCCAGATCATAAATGCCCCTTCTACATTAAGGATAAATCCGTAATTTCGAATTTGAAAATATTTTGGACAATCACTCGGCTACTTTATAACTTTCTGACATTTCTTTATCATTTTGACATTTTGACGTTAATTTGACAGATGACAGCTGATAGGCAGTTTTTTTTATGAATTACTGTTTTAATAATGGATCAATATATAATTTTGTATTTAATTTAAACAATTAATCGTTTAAGAAATTGGTAAATGTACAGAAATTACACATATTTTCAATCTATTTTACTGTATAATGTACTTCTTTTTTTTTTAATCTGACCAGTTTAGCCAACCTACATTTAGTGGATACCAATTTCCCCTGGAACATATTTTTCAAATTTTCTCGATTTTCTCGAAACTGATCGTATATTTCCAAACCAAGTGATGCCTAAAACAATCATATTTGTTTACATTTTCACGCGAATTCATCTTTTTTAATAAACTGTTTGCATTTATCGAAAACCAAATTTTTGTTTTGATCCTAGAACTAAACCAGTCGTGTTGAAAGGTGGGGGAGCCGAGCCTATATATTCAGACAAACATTGATTTTCTTCACAGAATAATTGTGAAATTGTGTTTGAAAAAAGTGATTTTTCGAGAACTTGAATCTTTTGAAGATTTCGATAATATTTGAGGAAGCAGTAATAGAGATAACAGGTATGTAGAATGTACAAATTTTATGTATTTTGTTGGTTAATTTTTTCTCCTATTTCGTCGATTTCGTCATGCAATTCAACTGCATGACGTGGCCATTTTGTTTAATCGATATTCGAAATTTATAAATTAGGTATTTTATGATGAAACTAACATCATAGCTAAAATATACTTTCACATCGTTAATAACTGTTATTTTGTGTAAAATAACGAAGGATTTTATGAGAAATTCCCAATTTCGCAGCTGATTTAACGGTATTGATCGACGACCTCCTGACGTCACCTCCTTTGTTCTCCATTTACGTTTTATTTATCTAGTTTATGCGTTTTATTACTATTTTTAAGCTTATCCGCTATTATTTTACGAATTATTTTCGTCTGTTTACTCATTTCTGTGAAATAAATTGGATATTTTTATCCAAATACCTAAAGTGTTTTGAATCATTATCCTTTGTTTTTTTTTAATTTTTTATGTTGACTCATTCATTAGGCAAATTTGACACATTAAAATATCAGCTGATATTTAACTAAATAAATTCACATCTTTTTTCAAATTCTCAGTGAACAAGGTTGGTTAAATTTAATTCTCTTTTTATAGAATGCAGATCTTCGTGAAAACCTTGACTGGGAAAACCATTACTCTTGAAGTTGAACCTTCTGACACCATCGAGAATGTCAAAGCTAAGATCCAGGACAAGGAGGGAATTCCCCCAGACCAACAACGATTGATCTTCGCTGGAAAGCAACTTGAAGATGGTCGCACTCTTTCTGACTACAACATCCAGAAGGAATCTACTCTTCACTTGGTACTTAGACTTCGTGGTGGTATGCAGATCTTCGTTAAAACTTTAACTGGCAAGACCATTACTCTTGAAGTTGAACCTTCTGATACTATCGAGAATGTCAAAGCTAAGATCCAGGACAAGGAAGGAATTCCACCAGACCAACAAAGATTGATCTTCGCCGGTAAACAATTGGAAGATGGTCGTACTCTTTCTGACTACAACATCCAGAAGGAATCTACTCTTCACTTGGTACTTAGACTTCGTGGTGGTATGCAGATCTTCGTTAAAACTTTAACTGGAAAAACAATCACTCTTGAAGTCGAGCCATCCGACACCATTGAAAATGTCAAAGCTAAGATCCAGGACAAGGAAGGAATTCCACCAGACCAACAAAGATTGATCTTCGCCGGTAAACAATTGGAAGATGGTCGTACTCTTTCTGACTACAACATCCAGAAGGAATCTACTCTTCACTTGGTACTTAGACTTCGTGGTGGTATGCAGATCTTCGTTAAAACTTTAACTGGAAAAACAATCACTCTTGAAGTCGAGCCATCCGACACCATTGAAAATGTCAAAGCTAAGATCCAGGACAAGGAAGGTATCCCACCAGACCAACAGAGATTGATCTTCGCCGGTAAACAATTGGAAGATGGTCGTACTCTTTCTGACTACAACATCCAGAAAGAATCTACTCTTCACTTGGTACTTAGACTTCGTGGTGGTATGCAGATATTCGTTAAAACTTTAACTGGAAAGACCATCACCTTGGAAGTCGAGCCATCCGACACCATTGAAAATGTCAAAGCTAAGATCCAGGACAAGGAAGGTATCCCACCAGACCAACAGAGATTGATCTTTGCAGGAAAACAACTAGAAGATGGTCGTACTCTTTCTGATTACAACATCCAAAAGGAATCTACCCTTCACTTGGTACTTAGACTTCGTGGTGGAATGCAGATCTTTGTAAAAACTCTTACTGGAAAGACCATTACTCTTGAAGTTGAACCTTCCGACACCATCGAGAATGTCAAAGCTAAAATCCAGGACAAAGAGGGAATTCCTCCAGACCAACAAAGATTGATCTTTGCAGGAAAACAGTTGGAAGATGGTCGTACTCTTTCTGATTACAACATCCAGAAGGAATCTACTCTTCACTTGGTATTGAGACTTCGTGGTGGTATGCAGATCTTCGTTAAAACTTTAACTGGAAAAACTATTACTCTTGAAGTCGAGCCATCCGACACCATTGAAAATGTCAAAGCTAAGATCCAAGACAAGGAAGGTATCCCACCAGACCAACAAAGATTGATCTTCGCCGGCAAACAATTGGAAGATGGTCGTACTCTTTCTGACTACAACATCCAGAAGGAATCTACTCTTCACTTGGTTTTGAGACTTCGTGGTGGTATGCAAATTTTTGTTAAAACTTTAACTGGAAAGACCATCACCTTGGAAGTCGAGCCATCCGACACTATTGAAAATGTCAAAGCTAAAATCCAGGACAAGGAAGGAATTCCCCCAGACCAACAGAGATTGATCTTCGCTGGAAAACAACTAGAAGATGGTCGCACTCTTTCTGATTACAACATCCAGAAAGAATCTACTCTTCACTTGGTACTTAGACTTCGTGGTGGTATGCAGATCTTCGTTAAAACTTTAACTGGCAAGACCATTACTCTTGAAGTTGAACCTTCTGACACCATCGAGAATGTCAAAGCTAAAATCCAGGACAAGGAGGGAATTCCCCCAGACCAACAGAGATTGATCTTCGCCGGTAAACAATTGGAAGATGGTCGTACTCTTTCTGATTACAACATCCAGAAGGAATCTACCCTTCACTTGGTACTTAGACTTCGTGGTGGAATGCAGATCTTCGTTAAAACTCTCACTGGCAAGACCATTACTCTTGAAGTTGAACCTTCTGACACCATCGAGAATGTCAAAGCTAAAATCCAGGACAAGGAGGGAATTCCCCCAGACCAACAAAGATTGATCTTCGCCGGTAAACAATTGGAAGATGGTCGTACTCTTTCTGACTACAACATCCAGAAGGAATCTACTCTTCACTTGGTACTTAGACTTCGTGGTGGAATGCAGATCTTCGTTAAAACTCTCACTGGCAAGACCATTACTCTTGAAGTTGAACCTTCTGACACCATCGAGAATGTCAAAGCTAAAATCCAGGACAAAGAGGGAATTCCTCCAGACCAACAAAGATTGATCTTTGCAGGAAAGCAGTTGGAAGATGGTCGTACTCTTTCTGATTACAACATCCAGAAGGAATCTACTCTTCACTTGGTTTTGAGACTTCGTGGTGGTATGCAAATTTTTGTTAAAACTTTAACTGGAAAGACCATCACCTTGGAAGTCGAGCCATCCGACACTATTGAAAATGTCAAAGCTAAAATCCAGGACAAGGAGGGAATTCCTCCAGACCAACAGAGATTGATCTTCGCTGGAAAACAACTAGAAGATGGTCGTACTCTTTCTGATTACAACATCCAGAAGGAATCTACCCTTCACTTGGTACTTAGACTTCGTGGTGGAATGCAGATCTTCGTTAAAACTCTCACTGGCAAGACCATTACTCTTGAAGTTGAACCTTCTGACACCATTGAAAATGTCAAAGCTAAGATCCAGGACAAGGAAGGTATCCCACCAGACCAACAAAGATTGATCTTCGCCGGTAAACAATTGGAAGATGGTCGTACTCTTTCTGACTACAACATCCAGAAAGAATCTACTCTTCACTTGGTACTCCGTCTTAGAGGAGGACAGTAATTTGCCATTTTTTCATTATTCATTTATTACAGTGATTTACAAGGCTGATTAATTTCAATAATGCTTCAGATTTGTTAATAAAAATGAATAAATTGCATACTTCAACTTACCAATTTGTATTTTATTTAGTTCTACATAAATTCTTACCTAGTTGGCTGTAGTACTTACAAGTAAAGTATATTAAATAAATTGTCGAATGAAAAATGTTCAACAGGCATATTTGTAAAATATTAAATCAAATTAATTTTAATTCTACATACGTTTTCTTAGTATATGATGAGTTTATCGACTTCTCTCCAAAACTAAGTTTTCCAGTTCCTTAAGGCTTAATTAGTAAAGGGCTATTTATAATTTTATTTGAAAATTGGTCTCAATTTTTCTCATCTAGTTCCTCTCTTGGCCTACAGCCTAGGCCTCCTAAGCTTTGGTCTTTCTGAGCCTACTAGTATTCTGGGATTCCTGGGCTTACTTTGCTTCTGGGGCACCTATGCATAGCCCTCTTGGTTATAGATTAATTAAAAAACATCTCAATCAGGATGAAATAAAACGCTTCGTTCAATATCATGTGTCATTTATTATTCTAACTGCAATAAATAAACGTATGTATTTACAGAAAACACACAATGTCGACACATGTTATATTCAATGAAAATCGAAATAATCTTATCGTGATATGTATGTATAATCAAACACCTATATCAAAATGTCCACATGAAAGATTTTTAATTTATGTATCGTACATTAACAGTGAAACATTCCTATCGATTAAAAGGAATAACGAACAAAACTGCAAGAGTATTTCTTCGCACAAACAAGGATAATAGAGGAGTCGCGTGAAATGTGATTGTTTAATTTTAAAGCCGAATGCTTAATCAATTCTCATTATTTCCTCCATTTTTTTTCATATACGCACTAGTGCTGTACGGTTGCAACAAGGACAACTTCCATTAGTTTCATATCTTTTATTCCTTTGATAAAAAAAGAGTGATATTGTGTTATTGCAACTCTAAGTCACTCTAACCATTGTTATTTTAATCACCTTTCTTTGTTCAACTCATAGAATTGACCATTTTGCAAACAAATTTGCACTTACTCATATATAATAAAATAAGAAGAAAGTGTAGATTTACCCAATCCTGCCCAGGAATAACTAATTACAATTTTAATTGCAGCTATTCTTTATACTCTTAACATTTACGCAGTACTTTCAGAGAACGGTTGAACAAGAAGGGCCCAATAAGAATATATCGTGTGCAATACGAATTTTCATTTAATTTCTTTTAGTATTTATCGGATAAATACATTTTTAGTGAGTATTCTAACAACCATTACACATTCTACACATTTATTGTCAGTATAATAAAGAGACCTATACAGGAAAGAAACCGTTAAGAATATAAAGAAAAGCCGAAATTAACAATTCACATTTCCGACTTTCGGGCGTGCCTAGACGTTTTGCAAAAAGAGAAGCCTTTTCGATAAAAAGTGCAACGTAGATTCGATTTTATTAGTTCATTTTCGAAATAATTTATTACTAATAGAAACACTAAAATGCTTTCGCTATAAGCACATTAATAGTTCGCGCACTTGATTGTCTCGTGCCTTAATTTGAAATAAAAATATCAACAGGGTGTTCTTGAACTTATGGCACTAAATTCTATGGGTGGTAGTTGCATAATTTGAGACCGATTCGTAGATTTCATTTTTTTAAAATGTATAATAAACAAAATAGAGCCATTAGAAATAAATGCAAAGAGCGAATACAACCCTGGCCTGAATAATCAGCTGATCGTTATCAGTAAGCGCAAATTTCCCCCTCCGCCCTCCAGCTTTCGAAAAACGTTATCGATGCCGATTCTTTTCTAGTACCAATTGTATTGTTTTGTTTGTAATACCGCGGTTAAATAGATTTTTGTGATTAGACTTTAGTGATTTATTTAATTGTGTTAGTTCTTAGTGTTCTTAGATTTGTTAATTCTTGTTCGTTATAGTGATGTTCTGAAATAATTCGGCAGCTTTCAACAACAAAATAGGTGAGCTAATATGTATTCCTTTCGAGTTTTAAGCTTTTTTTCTTCTATTGTTTGAAAAACCCGATTTACTTTTACAATTTATTCATGATTCTAAAAATTTAGAAACCATATGGAATAAATAAGTAATAAACAGATTCAAGTAAGATATCACTCTTAATTTATAAATATTTATAATTTATAAATATTTTTTATATTTCAAATTTTGTTTATTATAATTAAAAAAAAATGAAATCTGTGAATCGGTCTCAAATTAAGCAAACTACCATCCCTAGAATTTTGTGTCATAAGTTCGAGAACACCCTGTATTTCGCCGGTTTCTCTTCGTTTAATCGCGGAAACGAATCGAATTCAATGGTTTCTTGAGATTTAGAGCATTGTTACACCGTGCAATATATTGTATATTGCAGCAATACTGCATTGCATTGCAGCATATTGTTTTTATTCAACCGTTAATACAAGCATTTGAACGCAATATAAAAAAATTAATTGCAGCAATATCGCATTGCAACGCAGTTTTTATAAAAGCATTTATAAAAATAAATTGCAATGCAATATTTATTGCAATATGTTGCACCGTGTAAAAACACACTAAGTGTAGTCGGTTAGCATTAGGAGTCAGTCTTTTTCAGTAAATTATTACAATTTATACGCGTGTTGAAAAAAGACCTGTCCCTTAGGTGCTTGATTGAAAATACTCCAAGTACACCAACATTTAATAAATTCGTTTTAACAAAGAAAAATACGTAGATATTTCATTTTTTAGGTAGGTATATGCATCTCGATATAACATATATTATATTCGTAGAAAATACATAAATAGGTACTTACAGTAAGGTCAATACATTGGGTCTTACTCGAAATAAATCGTTTAATCGATTAATTACTAATAATACAGAAAATATTGAGGAATTAGGACCCATTGTATGGCATTTATTTCTAAAAATAATCATGCCTGTATACATTCTTGGTACATTATGAATTTCGTGAACCACCATTTTTATGTTTTTTTTTTAAATAATTTTTTTCTCGTTTAAATAACTAGGTATTTACAAGAAAAACGATGTATTTACAATGTGATGGCACCGTAAATTTATACAAATAGACGTGAAAAATTAGGAATTTTAAATGTTATTATAGATAATTAAAAGTGGTCTCGAGATGGAATAGAATAGAGGTATTTGGTTTAATTTTTTAGGCGAATATCGAAGTTTCTGAAACAGATACCTCCATTATATCGTATCTATAATTACCTATTTTATTATTAATAGACATTTTTACAATAGTATACGCTTTACCTAAATATCTTAAATTTAATATAAACAGTTAATTTAGAATATTTGCTGAACTGCCCCTGTACTGAAAGATTTACAAAAAAATATACTTTGAAAGATTCTGCGGGTTACATGCACGAAATGTACAAAAAAATTGACGCTATTCACTTTTACGCTCATAAATTTCATAAAAACTGATAGAAAAAAATAAAATTTCTAATCCGGTGCTATAATATTCACGTTTCTAGGGAATACTTTTGACTAGAAAAATTCACACGTCCAATCGGAGTACATTTATAATTTTTCTATTATTACGAATGGGATTTTCTGAGGAATAAGTGCACTCGAAAATAAATCATTTACCGTACTTAATCAAATTTTAAAGTCGTACAAAAAAACGAACCGAATCAAGTAAGTACATTTATAGTAAAATTATTTTTTTAATCATTTTCGAACTTGTGAAAAAGGTATTTTACAAAACTACGATAATCGACGTTATAGAATAAATTTGAGGAAGCACGTAAGAGATAGAAGTGTTCTTTTATACTATATACAACTTTTCGAAAAGGGAAAAAGATTTGTCGCACCGCCTTCGGGGATTCTACGGGGGGAAAACGAAATGCTCCATTTGCTCAAATAACATCTGCAGGGCGATTAGATCGAACTACGAGTTTTCAAACTACCACCCTGTATATAGCTCGGTGGCAAATAATTTATTTCAGCAAACCATTTCTTTATACCAGCAATATAGGGAAACACTTTTAGACCAAAGAACATTGACTACATGAAAACTTCGCTAATATAGAAGCTGAGAAAATATGTTTTTTTTTTATACAATCGTTGAGCATACTTCAGGGCTAAAAATTTATTTTACAAAAGCGGCGCGCCGGTAAAAATATTCTCGCTGGTTTAAACGAATCGATTAAATTATTATTGTCTCTTGTACTGAAGTTTTAATAATAATATTGTTTCGGGTTAAATATAAAATAAATTAATTCGATTGTGTCATGTAAACATAAATAAAAATGTGATACCAGCAAATTTATTTCTATCCACAACACCACAGAATTATATAATCATCTTTGCATTATTTCTAGAATATATATTGTTGTCTTATTACTAATAAACCGTGCGTGGACAAACCTTTTTCGCGTATAGGAATTTTACAAATATATTTTTTAAGAAAGATATGATTAATATTTTGCACAGCTAATTGTGCGATATCACAATGGGTTTACAAAAGAAAGAAAGTATAAAATAATAGGAGGAATTAATTGAACGAACATTAGAGGTTGCTTGTTTTCTTCTAAAAAGTGTAATAAACAAAAAGAAAACCTCCAGCATTCGCTCGCCATGTTAGTAGATTTCATCGCTTCATTCAATAAGAGAAACACGACATCCACACCGAAATTTATTGTAATAATTACGATTAAAAGTCTTCGAATAATAAGCCGCGTCTACAGTCTACACCTGCGAATTGGGCGCCGGCATGTAGCCCAAGTTCTTCCGCTGCAGGAAGAGGTGTATCTCGGAGAATCTGGGCCGATCGGCGGCGTTGCGCTTCCAGCACTCCCCCATCAGATCGTAGATCTCCCGCGGACAGGCGGCCGGTCGCGGCAGGTACCTCTGGCACCCGTCGTTCTGGTACCAGTGGTTGCTGTTCTCCACCACCTGCTCGCTGGTCAATTCGGCGTAGGGCTGTTGGGTGCACAGCATCAGGATCTCCCAAAGGGTCACGGCGAACGCCCAGACGTCGCTCTTCGTCGTCTGTCGACCCTAAACGAGGACGAAACGTGGGGCTTTAGTGATTGCTAAGTCTATATTTGGAAGTCTCTAGAGGGGCTTTAAAATGATCGCTGGTCTATAGGTACTTAGGATTAGGAGTGTCTAGTGTCTGTCTTAGTGATTTAGGAATATTGTTAATCTATATTTAGGAGGGTCTAGAGGATTTAATGATTAAGGAATATTGCAGATCATGGTCAAATTGTGGCTAAATATGATCGATTTGGGGCTAAACATGGTCGAATTAAGGCTAAACATGATCAGAATGGTACTAAACATGATCAAATTGAAGCAGAATATGGTTGGAATGGAACTGAACATGATCAAATAGGGACAGAACAAGATCAAATTCGAGCTAAACATGATCGAATTGAGGTTAAACATAATCAAATTGGGACAAAACATGATCATCATGGAACTAGACACGATCAAATTGTAGGAATTAAACATGATGAAATTGATGAATAAGTTAAAAAATACCACACTAATGAAGAATTGGATTTTTTTTTGGTTTTATCGGAAGGCATCTTACCAGTAACAGGGCCTCCCAAGACATCCACCTTAAGGGCAATCTCGCCTTCGTGTCGCTAATGTAATAATCGCTCTCGTAGCGATCGCAGTACATGGCATGGTCAGAAACTTTAACGGTGAAATTCTTATCTATTACGCAGTTCCTGCGAAAAATAAAAGTTTTCAATTATTACCGAAACTTTGGTGTTTTTTTCGTGATAATTTAGTAAAAAATCATTACCTCGCAGCTAAATCCCTGTGCACCAAATCCAACGACTCCAAATACTTCATCCCCGAAGCCACTTGAGTAGCCACGTAAATAAGACATCCGTAACTGCAACAAAAATTCGAGCATTTACACCAGTGTAACATACACCGTTTTTACCACCAACCGCGTTGGAAAAAATCGGGAATTTTTAGATGGAATTAAACGGCCCGAAAGCAATTTACTTCCAGTGTAGGCGCGGGAACGTTCCCGTCTTTATGCGGAGCCATCAAAGGGAAGTAAAACTCTTTTAGAACGAGCAAAAGGAGTTTTCAATTTAATATTCGCGAAATTCGGCGCATTATAAACCATCTCTCTGCGGTGATTCTGCTCCTTTGATTTCGCGTTCGCGACGATTATGAAAAGGGGAAAAATAAGCGGAAATTTAAGAAAATTACATTACATGTTTGTTTAATCATTGAGTATTAATCTGCTGGTAATATAGGCTGGCAAATTAGGTGCGGAAATATATTTATTACAAAGATTGATAGAGTATTTTAATCATAAGGGAATTGGGCACCAAAATATAAATTTATTATTTGATAGTTTAAAAGGGTATTTTAATCGTATAGGTAAATTGGGCGCATGCATATGAAAAGTAAAACTATTTATCTGTGGTCAATTTCCGGTGACTTTGCCATCAATTTACCTATAATCCAATTAAAATCTACAGTCCCTTTGGCGACCAACATTCTTTTGATAGTATCGCATGGATTTATGTAGATAATAAGAATAAAAAATAGAAAATAATCGCAGGAAATCGAACCGTCTTATTTATTTATATCCTTTATTTCCGCAAAGGCCATTAGACAAAAGAAAAACCAGCGAATTAGGTTTAGTATTTCACGTGAAGAATTTCCGAGGTAAGGTATATGTTGTTGCTCGTCTGTTCATCGAAAATTCATGAGACAGAAACGGAACTTTCGAGAGAAAAAAAAATGAGCAAAAATAAGCTGATTTATAATTAACCATCAGCTGTTGTGTTCGGGAAATTTCTTTGTTCCACGCCCATTGAATATTCCATTGGTAATTAGAGGTAATAATTATTACCTAATAAGCTCGGCTTTCGCTGTTACGTTATTAAAACTTGATATTTAGAAAAAATTTCCAAGAACAATAGACAAGAAAATTTGATGGTTTTATAAAATATGTTACTAAATTATTAAAGAATTATTTTGCTTAATTAGTCGATTTTTTAGATGATTTTACAAGTAAATTTTCCAATTTTTATAGAATATCTTACTAAATTAGTCGATTTTTTCAATTGAAACATTCTAAAAAGTCCCCCAAAACTTAACAAAATGGCTAAATAGTCTCGAAAGCGTTCTAAATAGTTCTAAAATCGTCATGAACTGTTTAGAACTGTGTCCAAGTAGCTCCAAGATCATCCCGAAATGTTTCAAATGGTCCTTACAACCAGTTCTACAACGATTCTAAATAATTCTGGACCTCAGTTTACATTTAATAAGAAAATTAATCAACAACAATTAAAACAAGCACTGTACGAGTGTACACGATCACGATAAAATCCTTCGCAAATCCTAATGAAATTAATTAATTCGAAAAAAAAAACTCGTACCCATTAAAACGAAATGAACTTTTATAAAAGCTAATTGGTCGAGCTTTCAGAATAGTTTTCCTGCTCGGTTTTTTTTTCGTCCGACTCCCGTTTTATGACGAAACTTTATATTAAATTCGAAAACTCGCCCAACCTTATCGCAGGACGCTTTTCAACAAAATGCCTCGGCCCAGGAGCTGCGGCAGGATTAAAAAAGATCTACTAGTATTAATAATAGATTTATACAATGTAAAACTCCGTTTTTCGAAGGCCTCATAAGTCGCGTTCGACTCCACGAAAACTAATTGACGTTCGGTTAATTATGAATTTCTTCGCTCTTTTTCCGCTCTATTGTCTAATTCGAAAACTAATTTAATCCGTTTGTACGTAACGAAGGAGATTCAATGGGAGATAATCGAACAAAAGGGTCGAATTTTAATCCTTTTTATGTTTTGTTTGACGACTTTCGCTCAGTGCGGGCACAAAGAAAAGGCCGATAATTTGGTAAGATAAGGAAAAAGATGGGAGTATAAAAATAACTACTCTATTTACTCGAATATCTACGGAATCACGCGATAGAAAAATTAGGAAATTGGTAGTAATGTGATTTTGATCGAATTCGTACTGTGAGATACATTATTTCAGTTAATAGTATATTTCATAGAATTATTTATAGAACAATAAATGTATATTTAGATGTGTTATAGATGTGTTATAGATTATTCTAAAATAAGTTCTGAATAGTCCTGAAAGCGTTGTAAACGGCTCCGGATCGTCCTAAAGCTATTGAATACGTTCTAAGTGATTTTGGGCCGTTAAAAATTGTTCTAAGATCGTCCTGAAGGGTTTCAAATCGTCCTATCCAGTTCTAAAATGATTCTAAATAATTCGGAACAGTTCTAAATGGTTCTAAGATAGCCTGGAACTCCTTCAAATTGCTATAACCAGTTCTAAAACGATTCTGAATAATTCTAAAAGGTTCAAAATGGTTCTAAGATCGTCCTAACTAGTTCCAAAATGATTCTTTATATCCTGTACAATAATAATATCGCAATTAATAATATCTATAAAAACACCCTATTACAGGACAGCTAAATTCAAACGTATAGGGGTATACAAAGAGTGTCCCTGCATATGTTCCAACGAATTTTTATCCTCTCGTGTACTCCATTCCAGGGACACACTGTATCTTGTATAGATAATCTATCCAACACGATGGTTTGTTTTCCTAATAACATTGAGGCGCGATTTCTCGTCTTCACGAGCATCAGACACAAACACACACACACAGAGTGGAGATAATCTGGTGATGCCTAATTTGCAATTAGCAGTTTATAACGTTTAGGGGTAATGAGAACCGGAGGCCCGAAAATGTCGCGTTTCACCCCGTTTGCGTATGTGATGTGTGCTTGCTAAGCCATTTTCGCTCTATCACAAGGATAATGGATTCTCGTGAGACTCGCGAAGAGCGTTCAAGAATTTCGGTAAATCTATAGATATTTTTGTAAACGAAAATAATTATTTTGTCGGGTTTTGGTTGATTTTGTGCAGGTTATTTAATTTTTTTTTATTCTTTGGGTTTTTATACAAGTCAGATTTAATAAAAAGCCGGGCGAAAAAATAAATTTGGACAGTTCTAAATGGCTCTAAGATCGTTCTGAACTATTTCAAATGGTCTTAACCAGTTCTAAGATAGTCCTGATATGTTTAAATAATTCTGCACAATTCTAAATAGTTTCGAACAGTTCTCTATGATACTAAAACTGACCTGAACAGTTCGAAAAGCCGAACAAATTATTAACAGCATTGCATAATCAAGTTCAATTAAAAATTCAATTAAACAACTTTTTAGCTTAATACGTATAATTGACAAACGATATAAAACGCCAATAATAGAATTAATTTAGAGAGAATTGAATCGATAAACTGACCGTATACCGTCGCCATTCGCGCGTAATAAATTTTTGATAAGGGTCTTAACAATAATTTCCTGGCCTTTGCAGGGGGATGATCGAGTGCCGCGCGTATAAGCGTCGCGGCGTCCCCGGCGCTCCGTTTTCTAATATTAAACATATCAAGGGCGGAAATTACTCGACGTGATCTTATAATCCGTTCTGCATTCGCGGGCATCAAAATATATAATTCCCGAATGCCTCTCTATTATATTTTGAATAATTCGCGCTGAGCTCCATTTGCGTTTTCAAAGGCGAAACGCGCGGACTTTCGCTTAATTCCGCCTCTGAACGGTTATTATTCAAATTTTCGAATAATGCTTAATGGAGAAATTTATTATTCATTCGGACGGATATTTCGCTCTCTCTGTGTATTCCCGTTTTTTTTCCTCTACTATGTTGGAAATAACGTTGTCATCGAAGATTACCGTTTTTCTGACGATTCTAATCTCTTTACATGCCGTTCGAGTCATTTTTTTAACGACAAACAGGGAATTTTAGAGGAGGTACTTAGGGAGAGATTAAGAAATTTGTATGTACTTCTAAACGAGATGAATTATTATAGTGCATGATAGATGACAGATAAAGTCTGTATAGAAATTTCTGTATAGAAATTTCATAAAAATATTCGGAGTAATAAGAAAATTATGATAGAAAAGTTATTTTTTATTGTAACACTCTGTAGCTCGAAAACTAAGAGTTTTAGGACATTCACTGACATAAACTTTTTTTCTTAAAATCATCCAAATATTCACATCCTAAAGTATCGCCACTCAATTAATTAACACCCTGTAAACAGATAAGTGCAAAGTTGTACTCATAGACCAACATTAAATTTATTTAGATGTACTTCACAACCCTTAAACGCGAATCTTTCAAAAAAAAACACATAAAACCAGCTATTACACGTACAATTACCAAAAATTCAAACCAAAGGCAAACACATTACTCAAAAGGTATTATTAATAACGAAATACCTTCATCCGGGGTTGCGAAACAAAGGGTCTCTTTTCATCCCCGATCGACCGATTTGATTTCTCCGTTTCCGCCCTTGTCGTATAGAATCCCCGTTTGATATTCAACTGATTGTTACATTATATCGCGAGGTACTTGAAGGGCATTAGAACGTAATAGACGCGATTTACGAGGGCGGGTATTATGCCGTCTGTGTCATGTACGAATACGAATTCCTACTACTATATTCTACTCGTTCTACTCGACCCGGTTTTAAGAGATTAGTGTTGCTTCATCCACCCTGTGTATTATTACGGTGTAAGCCGACTGTTAAATATTGATCTTTTCGATATATACAAGGTGCGCTAAACTCAAAGGGTTTGGAGTATTTTGTATAAAATGCACTAATAACTGATATACTAATATAGAAAATTTACATTGTAGGAAATAAGAGAGTATAAGAGAGTATAAGAGAGCAGAAGAGAGCTGAGTATTAGATTTCAAAAATTTATGTTTATTTTAAAATTTAAATAAACTTCTATACAGGTTGCTCCATTTTTGATCGCAACATAGGTTATATAGGCCATGGGTGCGATAAAGACAACTTCAATTAGACACTTATAAAGGAAAAGGAAAGAGTGACATTTGTGTCATTGCAACTTTTCACTTTGACAACTGTCATTTTAATAATCTTTCTTTGTTCCACTCGTAGAAAAGACTATGTTGCAATCGGAAATGGAGCAAGGTGTATATCTAATTAATTTCAAATTACAACCACCATACACAACACAACACATATTTAAGTAGAACATTTTTTTTAAACTTTCACCTATTTGGCTATTCAAAACTCCATCCTCTTGAGCTTGGGACACCCTGTACGATTGCTCCTCGATGATGTATCTCAGATATTTTTCAAACTCAATAAATTTTACGTCTCTGATAGACTGAGGAAAAGGAAGTATATTCGTCCTTACGATTCCATTTAATTTTACTGCTCCAGTAGTTTTACGAAATGTTAAATAAAAGAAGTTAGACGCGTTTCACGGCAATCTATACGAGCTCGAATGTTTTATTGCCCTTTTGTGCATCTCTATTTTTATCAAAAATAGACTTTTTAATGTTTCATGTTTCGATATTGAAGATATCGTACAAAGTAAAGTCGAGATACAAAAGGGAATACAATTAGATCGTTTGTTTGTTTGCTCGTAATTAAATCAACTCGGATACGAAAAAAAAGAAAAAAAAACATAGCGTTTTTCGATCGTTATCAAACGATGGGATTCTTAATGTTTCCGAGCTTTTAAATAATACAAAACGGAAACCTGATGATACGAATGATACGCTAATATCCTGTAATTTTAGATTAGCTCGGTGCACAATTAGATGGGACTTGAAGAAAGGAGACATGATAATATCATGTGGCACGCAACAATTTCATTAGATAAACGATTAACGTCTTTCGTGCAATTTATTTAATACCCTTTTTCCGGTAGGACTTCGTTTGAATTTTTAAATTGAAATACATTAAACAGAAAATAGGAAATTGTACAAGACAAAGGGTTGAATGTTTGGAGAAGGTGTAGGGGCGGCTTGTTAGAAGAGCATAGAGAGTAGTTAGTAGAGTAGAGTAGAACATATTTAAGTGGATTATTGAAGGAAATTTACGCCTATTGATACATTAAATTAAAACAATCCCTTGTACCCAATTGATTTTATGCTTTAATTTTATCGTATTTGCATCGAATGTAAAATCTAGATAGTAATGGATGTTTTACATAACATTGAATGGATAATAATGATTGAATAAACATAGTATATTTCCAATTATTCCTCTCTCTATTCTAGTATTTATTTTAGATAAATTCAATTAGATAATCCAATATGTTACACTTCATTATAATTAAATTATGCCAGACTACTAATTAATCCATTAGACAAATAATATGTTACAGTAGGTAAAACATTCAGTTCAAATTTAGAGCAAGCAGAGAGCAGAAGAGAGCAAGCAAAGAGCATAAGAGAGCAAGCAGTGAGCAAGTAGAGTGCAAGCAGAGAGCAAGTAAAGAGCATAAGAGAGCAAGCAGAGAGCAGAAGAGAACAGAAGAGAGCAGAAGAGAGAGCAGAGAGAACAGGGAGTAGAGAGTTGAGAGTAGAGAGTAGGGTGTGGAGATATATAACACTGGAGATGTATAACACTTCAAATTTCCGAAAATTCGCCGGCGTTACGAAATTAATTAGATAGCAATACCGCGCATCAACTGGCGAAAATTGCATCGACAAAGCTCAAATTAACCATTGAGCAACGAAACAACGAGTCTATCTTTCACGAACACTTGTTCCTAATTACCCTAATTGAACAGCCGAAGGCGTTTCGGTGGAAAGGCGGCCAGACGACCGATAATCCCGATTGCAGTCGGGACGAAATGTGAGGAAGAATGGAAGAAAAACCTGGCAGTTTTATAGTGGATTTAAATGTTGTATAAATGTGTATTTTTTTAATTAATGTTTCAACTATAGAAAAATAAACCATAAATAGACACATCGACCAATCTTAACTTGAAGTTGAAAAGATAATACGGAAGGGAAATATTTCAATTTTTTTCTTCATTTTTCATCGTCTCGTTTCCCCCGGGATTCCAAGAGACCTTTCCTAATATAAAACGTCTCGTTTCGCGAGAATTAAAATCGTGATTTTAATCCGACATAATCGCCGCTTAATTGTGATTTATGCCATGATAATTACAGGTTATAGGAGCATTCGGCTGGGCCGGAAAAACGCGCGTATTACTTCATTAAATGTCTTAATGAAATTATTGCATGACTCTCTTCGTATACCATTGTCGTAGAACAAAGTAAATTTTAATGTTAAGTCTACTCGAAGGAATTAATTGGATAGTTAAAAAGGCTTCTATGCATTACACATGAGCGAATATATAGATACACGGGATTTTCTGTTGAAAAATTACATTATTCTCTTTATTAAGTCGAAATCTTTAGTTCTAGACAGTTCTAAATTGATTCTGGAGCGTTCTAAACAGTTCTAATTTTTTCTGGAGCGTTCTAAACAGTTCTAAGTGTTTCTGGAGCGTTCTAAACAGTTATAATTGATTCTGAAGCGTTCTAAATGGCTTTAGACAGTTTTAAATTAAATGATACTGGAGCGTTCAATATTACTATGGACCGTTCTAAATGGTTACGAACCCTTTTCAATGGTTCTATACAGTTTTAAACGATTCTAGAGCGTTTTAAATGGTTCTAACCAGTTCTATAATTGATTATGAAATGTTTAAAATGACACGAACCGTTCTAAATGCTTCTGAAGCTTGTCAAATGGTTCTATACAGTTCTAAATGATTCTGACGCTTTCTAAATGGTTCTGAATGTTCTAAATGGTTATGAAGCGTTCTAAATGGTCCTAGGCAGTTTTAAATGATTCTGGACCGTTCAAAATGACTATGGAGCGTTCTCAATGATTCAAGAACGAAGCAATTTCCATTGATAAAAATGCTTGAGTAAATTTTGCACGCCCCTGTGTAAGTCGATTCTTTTGCCCTCTTTGGAGATGCCGCAATTACACATTGGACTAATTACGAATTATAGTAAATTACCCCATCATCAGTATCATTTACGTTTATTATTTACACTGCGCTCGAACGAGGTGGGGCAATAACCTTTCGTTTATGCATGATTTATAGCGCATAAAGCTGCAGAAAGTTTTCGCACAATGCACACAAGCATATAGTGTGCTCGTCAAGATAACTTGTTTACGTTAAATTAGCGCGTTATTATACCGAGAAAATTAGAAAATCCAACTAAAAGAAGGACTCGTTTAAAAAGTTCCGTTTAAAAAAATACACAAAAAGAATAGAAACTCGGAAAGAACAATTCTAATTATTTTAAATGCTCCCTCTTTACTTCTTTTGTTGTCTTGAAGACCTTTTGTTCGCTTTACTTAGCAGCATATCACGCTATTAACTAATTTACGCCATTTATTAAGTTATACGACTCAAAAATAAGGGATCAAGGGCAAAATAAAACTCAAAAGGGGGTTATTTTTATTATTATTTTGCAACTTATAAAATCAGAAAATCAAAGAGTCACAATAACTTCGCAAAAGTCATCAGATCCTTCATAATCCCATATTAATTCTAGCCTATTATGAAGCAAAAGAGCCGAACTACAAACGACATTATGCATACAGAACACATACATGCTCCATCCATTAAAATTAATTATTTAAAATTACGGCGGATGGCGCGGAAAGCATAAAACAAGACCTTTCTAATGTTCCATTAAATTAGGTAAATGGTTCGCGGGTTTTAATTATATCGACCTGGAAAGCTAAACATCAACATGGTAGCGCCCGAATGAATGGAATCCTCTGTACATCCTCCGGTGGAGCGCCCTGAATGCCCTGCTCTAATATTTATTTTATCTTTCGTTCGTTCGCGCTCTCTAATGTGCGCGTGTACGATTCTTAATGGATTATGTGGAATGGGTATCCGTGGTACAAATTAAAACCCGCTAGAATTTACGATGACTATAACTAATAATTAGTAAATTGTGCAATCAACTTAGCTTGTGTCGTTACTTCTTCGCGAGTGTATTAATAGCTATTATTAAACATATACATTGTTTCATCTATGAGGATTTGTACATTTTTAATTTTTACTAATATTAGTAATGAAAGTTATATCAATTTTAAATTGAGGTAAAATTGAGAATAAAAAATATTACATAGATATAATCGCAAGAAATAATTTGGAGATAAAAAGAAAAAATGCATTAAATTGGAAATAATACGGAGTGTCAAAGGGGTGAGTAGGTGATTTAATAAAAATAAAGAATATTTCTAGTTATTAAATTTAACAAACGTAATGTGTAGGTATAAAATAATATTAACCAGTCGTTTAGAAGAGGTTTATTGAGATTTAACTCTTAATTTAATTTTGTTTATTCTCAATATGATATAATTAGTTTTAATTTGGTATTTTTAAGTCTCAATTTGATATTGTTTTTATTCTCAATTTGACATAAATTTTATTACTCTCAATTTGATATTAATTACTCTCATTATGAACTTATTTATCCTCAATTTGACATAAAATACTCTCAATTTGAAACTATTTATTCTTAATTTGAAAGCAAATACTCTCAATTTGAAATTATTTACTCTCAATTACACATTATTTCACCTAAAAACGTAAAATCACGGAAAAAAAAATCTCGAAATTTCACTCACCTAACGGTAGGCCCAATGGAATTGCCGGCGTCCTCGCAGACGCCCCGCTGAACCAGGAACTTCGGCAGGTCTCCGGGTTCGGAATGCTCCATCAGGGCGCACATGGGCTCGTCCGTGCTGCAGAATCCCACCACCCGGGCCAGATTGGGGTCCCTCAGACCCGCCAGCCAGCTGGTCTCTCGCAAAAATTCGTGCCTGCAACACGCCGCAGTGTTATGTATCGTCAATTACTTGCAGGATTTTAACGGGAGGATATCGTAAAGGATTCATTACGATAGCGTGAAACATTCAAATTCCTCACGTTCGCCGGGCGCGGATTAAAAACCGACGCCGGCAATTAGCGAGGGCGTCGCGGCGCCCGCGACGCGCCGTCCCTTCTAAGTTACCGAGATCCGGCGTAATCAGGGGCCGGGGGCCCCTGTAATCCGATATTTCGACGTGAATCATAATCAAAGTCAATAGAGTAGCAAGTGTTGGGCGGAATAGCGAATTGATAAAACCGATCAAATTCGATTTGGGCTCGTCTTGTCGAGAATCGCGAACGTGAGGGGATGAGCAGGGTAGATGATACACGTACGGATAACTGGGATTGCAGGAAATCACGTTTAGTTGTAGTTGATTTGTTTAAAGTAATTTGATGTTGCTTATACAAATATGTAGGATAAAACAAACAGAACAGGAAAGACTTTTTCATCTCAGAAGAAGAACCAAAAACAAAACAAGTGTTGCTTCTTCTCCTTCTTCTTTTTCTTCATAATTAAAAAACGTATTTAGAGTACCCGTTGCTTATTTTTTCATAAAAATGTCTAATTTTTCACTCTCATTCAATCTCCTTTCGCCATGTTTATAATGTTTGCATCACAATGCTTATTTTTTTATCACTCCTGCAAGATGTGTTGCCTAATTTTCAAAGGCTACAAGAAGTCACCGTAATAAATATATATAAAATATATATAATAAATTTAATTTTTTTACCTTTTGGCATCACCGCATCCTCTCCATAAGCTCTTGACGATCACCAGTTGCTTCTTGTGGAACGAAGAGGCCCCGTTGAAGTCCGGTAATCCTTCGGCCTCGCAAAGATGGACCTGCGGCGAATAAATAATATTATTTTAAACAATAAAAATTGCACTTAAATAGCAAATTTGACATTAGGAGTAAAAAAAAATTGCTAGTCCTTGGCCCGCTTTCTTAATCGAGCGTCTCCATTTTCGAATGATTCAATTTACTTCGCCAGAAAAACAAACTATAAGAGAGCGAAGGGAGAGAAAAAAAATCTCTATACTGTTTTATATCTTTTTATATTATCTTCTGCACGACATTCGGGCCGTCCCGACAGTCGGGCGATATTAATAATAGTACAAATTGCCGCATACCGACAGCCATTTTCGTTACAGAAAAAAAAAGGGCAAAATGATATTCCGCCTTTTCCCGTCGACTCTATAAGTCCCTATATTGGTTCCATTTGGTCGCCCAAAGGGCCCATATAACATTGACATTTCAACCTCTTTTTCTACTCAGTCAATATTTACGTGCCGAGATGTTTGTATACCGGATGGGTCTCTTTTGCCTTCTTCCATTGAAATCGAATTTGCGATACAATGAGATTAAATCACTACCGAAATTTAGCCAGCTTTCAATAGATGTTGATTTAAAATCAATCAGTTTTTTCTTTGAAGTTTCTTTTTTGTTTTATCCATGAGTTTTCATTTAAGCTTCTTTAAGTTTTGTCTCCTCGTTAAAGCTTCTTTTATAAGATTCTGCTTTTTAAATTTCTTCTTCAAGCTTCTTTTTTAAGCTTCTCCATAAATCGTCTTTTTTCAATTTCTTTATTAAGCTTCTCTTTCAAAATTCGATTTTAAGCTTCTCCTTCGAGCTTCTTTTCGAAGCTTCTCCTTCAAGCATCATCTTTACTCTTCACTTCCGAATATCTCTTTTTACCATCATCCCCAAACGCCTTTCTGAAATTTCTTCTCTATATAAGTTCTTCCTCCAATTTCTTCACAACATTCCACTATGTGGAACATTCTGTATAAACTTCTTATGTAGTTTGCCGAGGGTAAATAAAGCCGCTGTGGGAGGGTAAGTGCAGCAATAGCTAGTGAATTGTGATTTTTATAAAGGGGTAGTTTGTAAGTAGCTAATGGACATTGGGGATGCCGGGGGGTGACATGTGAGTAAATTTGACGTTACGAAGGAGATTAGAGAAATCGTTTCACTAGCAGCTGCAATAACAGCGGTTAAATTGTATAAGGGGTTTGTTGGAGAAGTATTTGGATAATACCAAATTTTACACGAACATATTTTGTCTACTTCATGCGGAACACTTTGCATAAAAAGCTCGAAATTTCAGATAAAAATCAACTAGATTTTAGTTAATATCACGAAAATGTTCTACCTGTACGTGCCTAATAAGTTTACACGGAATCTAATTTAATATTCCATTTCGTTCGTCCAATAAAAAGCGCTTTAGGGCGCCGTTGAATAGCCGAAATTAAATTTTTTAATCGTCAACCGACCCTTTTTACTACTAAATACACCGGAATAATATATTTCCGGGCACGTAAGGAACTTTTATTGGCCTATCGACCTCGTAAAATCCTCGACCCATTTAACTATAATAATCCAATTATATTTCGAATAAGAAAATTGTAACGAGCAAAAAAATAAAGTGAATTTAAAAAAGAAGGAAGGAAAATATCCAGTACACTTTGGAAGTTGTCGAGCGCACAAAGCGAAAGCAAACTCGCTCTATTCAGTCTCGTCGACAATGGAAGCATAGAGGTTCAACTATGAGGCTCCCATATCCGATTAAATGATTAGAAGAAAAATCAAAGCGGTTTGCGTTCACTCCAACTTAAATTAAATTTACTAATCTCGCTTACGGACCAAAGGAAATGGCTGGAGCCCCAAGATGCGTTCAACTGTCAATTCTACTATGATTAAATCAATTTAATAATTCAGTCAAAAGGATGTGGTTTGCGTTTAATTCAATTTAAATAAAATAGCTAAAGCACCAAGGTACGTTCAAGTGTCAATTACATTATTATTACATTAATAATGATTTCGCACAATACTTGTTATTATTCAATTAAAATTTCAGTCAAAAAGATATTTTGCGTTAACTTCAATTTATATTAAATTTTCTAAACTCACTTACAGACCGACGTAAATAGCTAAAGCCACAAGATGCGTTCAAGTGTCAATTTAATTATTATTAAATCAATTAAACTATTAACGATTAATAATAGTAAATAAAATTACAGTTAAAGGGATATAGGCAAATGTCGTGTTACTCCAGCTATTCAATTCGATCTGTACATACAAAATAACTGCTCCCGTATGAATGCAATTTTTCTAATGGCATTTTATGTAAAGCGAGTCCCATTTCAATGAATTTGTTATTCTGTTACGAGCGATACTATTTTTTTCACAGGCAGGGACTTGGCGCCCCTCTCTATCCAGGTAATCATCCAGATGGAATATGGTTACGTAAAATTCGAGATCCCGAAACTGGAATAGTCGTAATGCGAAGGCACGAGCGAAGCGAGCAAAGGGAAAACGGGATATTTTGAAATATTTATACAGTGTATATGATCAGATGAAAATTGTGAATGTAAATCCGCAAGGACGGCGTTGCCAAGTCGCAAAATGTCAATAGGCAGCTTTAAAAAGTACAAAATTTTTTTAAGAATTTGAAGTTAGATTCGTCTAAAGTCGCTATAGGTTATTGTTGATAAATTACTTAATCTAGTGAACCCAGTTAACTTGGTTTATACCTTGTGAATCCAAGTAAACCTAGTGAAAGTTCACTATATCTGGCAACCTTGGTAAATAATAGAAAAAATCATTACGAAAGCTTTAAAAAGACACAATAGGTTATTGATAAATTACCCAGTGAAACTACTGAACCTCGTAAGTCTAGTGAATCTAGTGAGCCTATTAAACCTAATGAAAGTTTAATACATGTGGCAACGTTGGCAATATAAAATCTTAAAGTAGAACATGTAAAATTAGAAAAATCAATGTGATAGCAATAAGTAGAGCACAAACATAAATTTACAAGAAAAAGTCGAGTGTGTAATAAATCCGTTTAGAACCCCGTAATAAAAGATCGAGATTAAAGAGGCGCCACTGGAGTAATAACATCGGATGTAATAAACTCGGTTGGCGGTGCATTATTGGAAAGGTGTAGCTTGGTGACGGGGCTTCGCCCCGTTTTACAGCCCCTTCAGGAACGTACAGTTCGTATTTCGTGGCGCATAAAACCGCCCGAGCGACTCCTATTTCTTATGCAATCCAGAAATTGTAAGAGGACGTAAATTTCGCCGGTAATACTTGGTAAACAAACCAAACATTTATTGAGGGGATTAGCTACAGTTAGAGAATACGGGGAGAAATATGCCGGCCGTGATTGTGGAAGATGGTAATTTCGGTATTTTACGTTCGGAAAATATGGAAATTTTCAATGGAGGAGGAGGAGAAATATTAGGATCTAGTCTTAAGTTTTTAAAGTGTTTAAAAGATAAAGTTAAAAAAAATACATGATTCCATTAAAGAGTTAATTCAGCAGGAAGATTTCTTCTTCTAGAGCTCTTCTTCTTTTCAATACACCTTACACAGAATAATCATCTACCCAACCTCCTCGTGAGCAGTGAAGAAATTGAAGAAATAGAAGGAGGTGTTAACCTTAGAGCTCCAAACTTTCTATTTTCTCCAAAAAATTCGTTTTCGCACCGACTCTTTTATAGTGGTAGGTAGAGTTAAAGTGGTGGTCAGTCCTCTTAGAACTGAGTAGGGATGATGTTATCGCGGGATGATGTTATTTGGTAGATATTAAGACAATACATAAAACAAGTTTTGTTTAAAATTTCGCATCCCTAGGTTGTGAATTACCAATTTTATAGGGCTATAAAAAAGTGTGTGAAAAATTATGATCTACAATTTCAAATTCTTACATTCTCGATAAATAAATCGATTGTAATATCGAGGGTTACAAGTTACAAATCTCGTTCTGTCTGTTATCGAAGCGAAGGAAAGAGGACTGGATGATAAAAAAACGCAATCACAAGACGTGTTTGTGGCTTTTATGTTTCATATTGGTTCATTAACACTTACAATAAGAATTCTCGATCCGGCGCACAATGGACCCTTTTACTAAGTTTGTTTTTGTCTCTGCGTATTGTTCGCGTTCTAAATAAAGCAATGGAGACCAACTGTTGGAAAAACGTAGAAAAACGATTTCCGATAAACGGAATATTGGGAATAATACGGGTTATTCTCCAAACGGAAATTACTTAAAGTGTTAACAATAATTGCAATATATTCCAACGATTTTTCTTCGCCGAGAAATATGGGCGTTGAATTTAAATTTAAAAAACGCTATAAAACCGATTTATGAGATTTTCATCTTCCAGGTATACGGCAATAATCGCCGTTTTCCATTAAAACGACGCGATAAAAAAGTCCACGTAAATTTTGATCCACCTTCGAGCGTGCGATAAGCCGGATTTCAATCAAAAAAACCGGGCGAACTGCAAACAAATAATTCCAATCAATCGTTTATTGTTCTCGCAAAAAAACTACATTTCCGCGTCGTTTCATTGATTAAATCCATTTTTCATTGGTTCACATAACGATAAGCTCCGCTCCTTGCGAGCCCCCTCCCCCACCGACATTAATCTTCGATCTTCGATATTAATTCTTTCTGTCCTCTTCTGGATGAAAGGATTTCCTCAATGGAACAAAACCCACGGCTCGACTTTCCGCCCATTACATTTATTGCTTTTTTATTACCCGCCGTCTCGATGATACTTGTTAGTTTTTTTTTTTCTATCGATTTTCTATCGACAAACTACATCGGTAGTTTGTAACCTTAGTGCAACGATAGTAATGACTTATAAAATAGATGTTTTTAGGGAAATAGGAAATATTGTGGTTACTTACCATTCCAAAATCACCTTCGCCCAGTTTTTCCAGCAATCTTAATCTATGTCTCGGGAAATCCAACAAATGCGCAACTCCCTCCAACGGCGGTCCTTCTGGTAGTTTTATAGGAGTGAATCTACCAGGTGTGAAATGTTGTTCTCGTCTCTCCCCCTGAAAACAAATAAATGATTATTAAAAACCGCGAATATGAAAGGTGAAAATGCAGACGTAGGGTAAATTTTCACTCTCGGAAAAAATAAATGATATTTTGCTGATATTTTAAATTGGAAAATTAATTTTATTTTTCTGTAAGTTTGTATTAGAAAATTTTGTGTATTACCGCATTTTTACCGCATTTCTACTGGCACATTTACCGCAGTTACTTTTTTAATTCCCCTATTATTTAGTTCCCCAAAACTTTAAATTAAAAATTAATATTATTTTCCTGCAACACAAATATTTGTCATACAAAAAATTGCCCAATTTTTAAAAATGACAGAAACTGGTGCGTTTAAAGAGAACTTTTCTCCTTACCCTTGTAATTTTTCTCTTCTCCCTCGTAAAACTAACAACGTAACGGCTACTCTTAGGAAAACTTTCGCCCCGTCAGCACCTGACGAATCAATCCAATAAGATCGCATTAAGAAAGGAAGGCGTCGCGTCGGACGTCGACGGCGTCATCGGTATGGACGGGCGTCGCGACGCCACATGCGAAAACACCGCGTCTGATTGAATGTACACAACATCTGCGAATCGCATATTTGACCACGTCTGAGGGATCCGATTTTTTTTTTCTCCTCGGGGCCCCGCTGTTTGTTTACACTGGACGAGTGGATTTTCTTGTAGGGGATAATTCGACAAGTGACGCCCGAATTTTTATCTCCGGGATTGCTTTATGGGTGATTTTGAACAAGTCAACAGACGGTAGTTTATTGTATAAAAAAGTTGATGATTTTAGATTCTTTAAAATACGATAGAAATGTATCTACACTATACAAGGGTGAGGTAAATTGTTCTCGGATATTGAAAGACCGCGATTTTCAATTGAAGACAGTTTTAAATGATTCTGGAGCGTTCTAAATGAATCTTAGCTTTCTATAAAACAGTTCTCATTGATCCTGGAGTGTTCTAAATAGTTCTGAAGCATTCTATAACTGGATATAAATAGTTCTAATTGATCTTGGAGCGTTCTAGATTGTTCTAGACAGTTTTAAATGCTTCAGGCCGAGAACTTTTCACTTTACCCTTGTAAAATTATCTAAAAAAATCTACTATCACCACGTAATACTCAACGGCTTTGTAATCATATAAGTTTTTCTTTTTTTGGAATTACATAAGAGGCTGTATATCTCATTGTTGCGAAAATCGCATAATATTCTTTGTTTTTCCCACATCCGCTGCGATAATTCATACGCGGTCCTCCCAGACCGCAGGATCCATTTTCATTTTTTTTTAGTATATATAACATAACATTGAAAACACTTTCCCTAAATTATTGCCATCATCTCGACGAGACGACCGCGCCCGTAAAATGTTACCCGCGTTATATAATATAGCTATTCCATCCGGAGGACCATATTTTATGGCGGAATATACGTGCCTAATAGAAGATGAACAATATCATTTCGAGGTATTCAACTTATAACGGTAATAAAGTACGCCGAATATTACGAAAATATACTATCTACCTCTTTTTTCCGGGCTACTTTTTATACAAGTAATTCCGAACGGGATGTACGAATGAAATATTGATTAGGGTCGCTTTGAGTTTCCGAATTTTTTTCATGAATAATTAGTATAAGGCTCGAGAAGTTTCGTCTCCTTTTAGGCAGGTTACCGATTAGCAAGAGGCGGTTTTTCCAAGCGTAAAAATAGCCAATCAATGAACCAGTCAATATCGATCGCAGCTTTATTATAGTAATAAAATTTTTCCTGTTAACCGAACGTATACTGTAGAATGTATTTCTTCTAGACATCATTAATCATATTAAAAAAATGCAAATAATACCTCATCCGTTTGTTGGCCGAATAACGCAATTTTAATAAAGCCATTTTCCGGCATGGAGAGAAAATTTCCTTTTTTTATGTTTTTTCCATGACGTTTCATTCGGGACGAGCTCCGCCTAGCAACAGTAATCACAAACTCCGTAAACTGCAATTTAGAATTTTATTTGATGTGTCTCCATTAATCAAATAAATGAGCGTTTTATAAAAGGGAAAACTTAAACAAAGTGGGATTGCCATGCCGGAGATAAAATAACGAGAATGAAGGAGACGAAAACGCGCAAACTGTCATTGTGCGTTTTCATATTCTCCAATTGGAAATTCGTATTAAAATTTCGTCTCGTTTACTGAAATACGAGGCCATTAAAATTAATGACGTTCACATGACTTCACCGAAGACACTACAAAATAAAATTCCCTGTTAAAACAAAAACGAGAAATTACAACAGTAGGTACATGGCAGAATTAACCTATTTTTATGCCCCGGTGAATAAATACATAAATTCGAGAGGTTTAATAATATTTATACACAGTTTGTTAATACTGCTGCATGGTTTCTTACTACTCTCTTTCTGCTCTCTACTCACTACTCTATACTTTCTGCTCACTATTCTCTACATTCTACTCATTATATACAGTTAGTTATTATTTTACAAGCTTTTCCTGTATAAAATAAACGCATCAGTAGATTTAACCAAAACAGGATTTGATATTATACGAAAGGACCCGCTAATAAAACATTTTAGATAAAATGCCGTTGCTCACACGTATCAAATAAATATTATTCATCCCTTGACGTTTCGGATGTCCCGACCCGAATTTCCAAGACTCAAAGACGCGGCCTTAGAAAAGTAAATATTGTCGATTCTCTCTGCGATATTCTCAGTTGGCTCGGCATTTTGAAATATGAAAGATTAGCTCCCGTTCCCGGTGGAAATGTAGGTTAACTTTCCAGCAGAAATGGGAAGAAACGAGCATTGTTGCCACATTGTACGGCAATATGGCACCCCAAAGGAAATACCCAATTAATCGAACAGTATTTTTGAGTTGTTTATAAACGAACTACGCCGGGATAGATCAAATTTTACAACTCGAAATAAAACCGGATATTTAGCCAAAATTCGAAAAGTGGATTAAAAAAAAAACATTACTACATGGGTAGTAACGGCGCTCTCGCGTTCCGTGATCCTCTGTGTCGATAAAACCCGCCGGAGATAACACCTATGTAAAATTACGAATGCAGATGAAATTGCTGTACAAGTTGAAACTCAATTACATTTAATTGCAGAACTGCATTTCGTCGTTGCCACGTCGGCGTTTTGTTCCGATCTGGATCCTGGATTCGGGATTCTGGATGGGATCACGGTTAGCAACGTTGCCAAAAAAACTTTTAATGGGTGTTATTTTAATTTATCGATATTAATTATGATTTTATCTAGCTACCTGCGCGAGGTTTTAGATTGACAAATTGGAAATTTAAAAAAAGCAAATTAACGGCAACTTAAAAGAAACTCGAAAATATAAATTTCAACCTAGCAGAAGATATAAAGAGTCTACATATTAACAGACTTGTAATGGAAGCAATTATAATACACTATACAGCCTCGTGTAATTACTTTTTACTCATTACACGCTCTTGATGAAATATATGACACAAACTGATTCGAGTGGATACGAATTTTACGGTCCAATTAACCACCGGTAAAAGGTCTTTCTAAATGAAAGAAAGAATGCGGGTTGTTCATTAAAATGCACCGCGTCCTCTCAATAATAAACATGTTCACCTAGTCCCTGTATAAAGAGAACGCGATGCATCCTCGCTCGGGCGGGATTATTTGTATGCATAAGAAATTCGTAATGATAGTCAAACAGAGAGAACAGATTTTATCTTATTGCCTAATGAATTGTACGAGCACGCCATTCCCAATTCAAATTATCCAAATAAAGTTCGACAAGCATTCTCTTTGCTCACCGCATTGTAAGAAATAAATTATCGGGTAATAAGTCCTTTTTATGGTCTCGGGAAAACCGTTCGAGTGTTTTTATCTTCGACATCTCGGACGCTAATTAAAGTTTGTACGTTGTAGATTTTGAAATTTCTCAAACAACGGTTCTTCTACACTGTGTCCCTAAAAATGCAAAACACCAGGGAAATAATTACAAGAGATGTAGCGGTTGGTTAATGGGAAAAAAGTTGGCATATGCGAGAATTAAATTCACAAAAAGTAAGTTTTTGTTTTGTTTCGTGCTTATTTTAATAAGCTTAATAGTGAGGTATTAATATTTCTGCTCCAACGTTTCGTTTTTGTAGAACCATCATCAGATAATTTTTTTTAAAAACATCATTCTGGGATATTCTTCTACTGATTTTGGAAGATTTTTTTAAAGGCCTTAAGAGGGACAAACTGTATACGATCTCCTTTCCTTTTATACTTAATGTACCTACTTATATTTAAATGTTAATGTCCCGAAGAATTACGACTTTATGTAATGTGTAATGTACCTTACTTATAACATTCAAGCCTTTATATTGTACACGTATAGGTAATTTATCTACGAACCTTGATTATATCCGTTGCAGCGTAGTAGTTTTCGGTGATGATGCCGCCATTTTGCGGCAGGGCGCCATTTTGTCCATCGTAGTTCGGGGGCGGGCGCGTAGAGGGCGGCGGCGGCGGCGTCATGTTGTAAAACGCGGCCGGCGCTTGCGTGGAATACTTCATGTCTTCGGGAAAACTGTTTACGCTCGTAAAATCTGCAATTAACACTTCAATTCAACGATAATGCGTCGAGATAATATTGTAAAATAATGCGCCGGGGATTCCCAGTTCCCATTTTCGCGCGTGTTTTGTTACCTTTATATTTCTCGGGTTACGATATACCTACGTTGTTTCGTTGTAGATTTTTTTTTGTTGTTTGGGTTTAATTTGGAAGGGAGGTTTCCGATATCATCTGCAGATATTTTTGTTTTTGTTTCTTTGGAATACAAAAAACTGTTTTGCGCGGTGAAAAAAGCGAGCGAATTTGATATGAGGCTCGGCGATTTTTTCCTGGCGAATATTCTAAAGAAAAACCCGATGAAATATGCAATATTTTTTTTAGCAACCAAGCAGGCAAGACAAGATATTTTCGATTTGAAATTGCTTAGTACCATATCGAAATACTTCATTTTTAATATAAAATATTATATTTTTAATAACTGCAAATTGTTCATTCACAATTTAATATTTTCCAATCTCAACTCTGAACTCAAAAGTGAAAAATACGCAGAATAATACGCGAATAATACATAATTCATAATTTAACTTTGAAATTGATAATTAGCATAGCACCCACTGGAGTTATCATAAGAGATCCGAGCGTCGCAAGAGGTGAATAAAACGTCCTAGTTGAAAATGGCTGCAGCTTTTACACTTGACACCCTCGAGTAACACTCGAGAACATCCGTAGAAATGTCACAGTAAACCAGTTAGGAGTAAATTAAATGCATTTCCACTTCGTATTCCGGAATATGACTTCTCGTTTCTCGGAGCCCAGGAAAAGCGCATTTTCGGTGCTTATAAACAATTTTTTCGAGTCGTCCCACAATAAATCCTGCTACTTTTTTTCTGTATAAACCTACAGTTTCACCTGCAGCACGAAAACGCGTAAAAAAAGGGCAAAAGAAACCGCCCAAAGCCCCGCTCAAATTACCTTTTCCTGCTGCTTGCTTAGCGTCGCAGGAACCTTTTGAGCGATGGCTGGCATTTTTCCCGGCTCATCTAACATCTTACGCGAATTCCCATTAAACCCGAACATCCCGCTCGCAACGTACACCACACATGAATCTCTTATGATTTACATTCCCCCGGAACACGTAAATAGACGCAAACATTGTTTATAAAGCTGAAAATAATTTATTGCTCGAGTTGGATTCCGCAAAAAAATAATTCTCCCGCAGGATTGTTCGTTAAAGAATTTTAAATGGTGTTGTAAAATCGTATTTCTTACTGTATTGTAAAGATTCACTGATTGTGAAAAGTGTTTTTGCTATTCGGCTATCTATCTAAACAATTTTAATGTAATAGGAGATATTTCAGAGATTCAAATGAAGCATTTAATTAAATATCGCATTTGGTACAATGAGAGAGCACATCAAAGCGCATTCGACCGAAAATATGTACCTGTCTACGAAATAAAACGCCGAGTTTCTTCATAAATTACCGTCTGTACGTTACCCGGCACACATTCTAAAGTCATTATCCGGTTATTTAGTGAAATAAAAGCCATCGTAAAGCCATTTCGGACGCTTTCCAAAGGCGAAGATCCTTACGGGCGTGCGACATATTTCGAAAATAACGATCGTCTAATTCTTTCCAAATATTCGGAGAATCTGGTTTTTGACATTTTCACGGGTAATGCTCTCCTTTCATCGTTAAATTCCCCGAATGCGTTAATAATTCCACGCCTTTCGCGTCGCGGAGTATCTCTAATTAAAATTTAATTTTTCATCACCACAAATAAAATCCATTCAAATGAAATTTGTATTCAGAATTTTTTTCGTATATTTCGCAATTAAATATCATAATTATTGAAGTTATTAATGGCTTATAGAATCCAAATTTATCCGCTCAACTTTACGTAAAATTCCTAAAAGTTACTGCGACACGGGCCGTAAATATTTCGAGAAAACGTTTAAGTAAAGGTTAAATAGCTTTTTCATTTCGAAATAATTGCCGCGTACACATGAAGAGCATTACTGTCTTTTGTACACGAAATTTACTTGTTCCAGATGCCGCTCGGGCGAATTGGAAGAATGAGAAACGAATTACCCACAGTAAACAGATTTAACTTGTTGAATTTTTTTTGGTTCGTTACGGGTCAAAGAAATGGTTATATTTTGGGGCAAATAAATGGCTGTTTTAGTTGAATAATCGATTTTATTGGGTTCAAAAATGAATTTATTAGGTACATATAAGTGCTGCTTTTAAGCAGATAATAGGCCTTTTTGGTTACAGTTTTACTCATTTGCATCAGTTGAGTAACTGCGCCCGGTCCCAAACGGATCTAGGGATTTTGACTTAAATTAATCGTATATTCTTTAATTCTTTAAGTGCAATCTCTTATAACTAACTTAGAATTGCACCTTGTAACTTGAATTTCACCTTGTAATTTAAAATTCCTTCGTGTAACCCACAATTCCCCTTTACAACCGAAAATACCCAAAACCCCTTTAAAAAAATATAACATTACCTGTATATTCACCGCTCTTGCTGGTCGCCATCCCCTCGGTTTTGAGCAAACAGCCGTACTCCTGCTTGGCGTTGGGCAGTAGCTTGTAGGGCTCGTGGTACACCGACGAATTCTCGCTGTCCGATTCCTCGCCGTTGACGTTCCCGTACAAATTGCACTTTTTGTTCTTCTTCGAGGCCACACTGCCGATGGTGTTGTCCTTGCTCTTCACCGACAACCTGGAGCGCGACAGGCCGTTGTTGATGATCGGCGTCGACATGTTGTTCTTGAGGTCCTTCATGTTGATGGTGGTGGGCTTGGTGCTGCTGGACACCAGGGCGGTGTGCTTGTGCAACAGGGCCACCTTCGTTGGGAGCGAGGGGTTAGTTAGGGCGGTGCTACAGAGGAGGGTGCGGTGGTGGTTTACCTTCTTTCGTCCGCGTCTGATCATCAGGAAGACGGTGCAGGCGAGCAGCAACACCACCATTGCCAGGGCGCCCGTGATCAGCCCTATGTAGGCTTGGGTGCTGGAAGTTGGGCGGGTGGCAGGAGTTACTTCCTTTCGAGCGTGGGTCGTTTCTCCGTTGGGTACCCCAGGCGATGTCGTGGAAATGGGTACGTCGGGGATGAGGTAGTACCTCTGCAAATCGTCCTCGGTGAGGTTGTTCGTTAATTCGACTGTAACAAAAATTCTAGTTCATTATTCTAGTTCAGTATTCAGTACTCAGTAGTAATGAGTTCTATATGATTCTGGGAGCGTTCTAAATGAGTACGGACCATTCTAAATGGTTCTGGTGCGTTCTATAAATGGTTTTGAAGCGTTCTAAATGATTTTAAACAAAACTTTTCAGCCTACCATTGTATCTCGTTTAATGTACATTGTTCTACTGTGAAGAGTAGCCTTAGCATTAATCCTACAACTACCAAAATTCGTTTAAATTTCTTACGACTCAATTAAACCTCTTCTACACAACGACTCAAAATTACTAGAGCCAATCATCTCTTCTCTCAGCCTCCATTACTTTCAGCGATCATCTAAAATTCATTCGGGAATCCACCGACATCTTGTCGTGCGATTATTACAGCGTACCGGGGCTCGCACCTTTCACGCGCCGAACTTATTTATAAGCGGGGCTGGTAACAAGTGAGTGGCACGTTGGCAACTCTTTGTTTTTCGGGCCCGACGTGCCGCATCGTGTAACTAATTAACGGAAGTTACACGTCGCAACATCTCATTTGCGAGGACGCTCCTCGAGAGTTTTCGAAGACGCTTGATTTATGCGCCAGAGATGGGACGTCGTGTTTTCGCAATTAGCTTATGGATTTGTTGTTTTTGGATTTTTTTGGATTTTTTTGGGTTTTTTTTGCGCGCGAAACGACGCCGGTGGGTTGATTTATTCGAAAGAAGTTGTCATAATAATGGAGGCCTGTCCGCTTTTCTAATATGTAGACTGATAACTGAATCGGAAGAGACCACACAATTGCTGTAAAAATTACATTGTTCTTCTATTAAGTCAAAATCTTTAGTTCTAAAGAGTTCTAAATGATTCTGGAGCGTTCTAAATAGTTTTAGACAGTTCTACATGATTCTGGAGCATTCTAGATTGTTCTAGACAGTTCTAAATGATTTTGTAGCGTTATAAATGTATCTGGACAGTTCTAGAATTAATTACAAATGTACCAAAGAGGAAACAGGTATTTTTGACCATACAGGTCAGGTACAGGAAACAGGTATTAAAGACAACTTCCATAAGTCTCTCCGACTCACTGAATCAGTCAATGTTGGTTCAAACATTATTACTACGGTGATACATCTTGTAGGGTTTTATTTTTCCTGCTGTTTTCCGTGCGAGGGAAATTTCCCGCGCCGCAGGAATACACACTCGAGCAACAGTTATTCAACTTTTTCGCACTTGATAAACGGAACGAGATATTCATAAAATATAAGGATGCCGTTAGATGTGACACTCCTTTTTCTTTTTAAAAATGTCCTTTTTTGCTCTTCCCGTCTTATCAGCGTTGGGGGTTTCAACCCCCGCGGGGAAATGGTTTATTGGAGGGCATAAAAAAAGAAGAAGAATTTTTTTATGGTTTTATAGGACCTGCTAAGAAGTAGATTTCTTTGTGTAAAATAACGAATTTTTTTCTTTAATTCTGCGACCTTACAATTTCATAATAACTAATAAAAATCTCTGAATCGTGCATAAACTATTGTAATACACTCTATACATTCTACAATCATTAATTTCGTCAGGTAGCTATGACCATTATAGTATAAAGTTTATACTATAAACAATCACATATTAATAAATAATTCAACATACACTAGCAGGCGTAAATTAAAAATTGAAAAAAAAAATCTCGGAGTGATTTTTTATGCCGTGACCAGGATTCGAACCTGGGTTACCACGGCCACAACGTGGGGTCCTAACCACTAGACGATCACGGCTGTCCGAGATTGTGTTTAATCATCTCTTCGGATACAAAATCAATTCGATAGTGCTCTACTTTCTAACGTTACGCCTTGCGGTCTTAAAATGTATTCGAGATACGTTTAAATTCAAAGGCGCACCTTCCGCAACGGTGTTACCGGCTCCGTCGAGAATCAAGTTTAGATAGTTCGCCTGGTGAGGGTCTTCGGAAAGAAAACACATTTTTATTCTATTTTTCCAACAATTTAATTTTCCGTTACAGCGCAAAAGGGGAAAGCAAAAAGGCGAAAAACCATCTCCAACAAACCGAGAACGTGTCAGATGCAAGAGATGAGATTAAAAGCAAACTCTGTACAAGGCACGATCTATCTTTTGATTCCTTAAAACTGCAGAAAGATCAACGCCGACATGCTATAGATAAGGGCCCTGAGAAACGGCCCCCCGCTGTTCCCGCCAGCGGCGCGTCGGGCGGGTTTCCCTCGGGATCGCCCCGATTTTCGGCTCTCGCCAGCCACTGGAATTTCCCGGCTCGGAACTCTCGGAAAAGCGTAACAAGTAAAAAAGTTGTTGAACTTATCTCGAGCGGGTTTAGCGTGCGCTGTTTTATCGCCCTGGAATTTTTTCCGGCTATTTATCAACTGGCTAGGTGGGCGCGCTTAAATACCTATCCAGGGGCTTTAAACAAAATGTAAAGAATGGGATAATGCTATTATAAATTGATCGGGTATTGAGGGTAAGGTGAAATGTTCTCAGCCTGAATCATTTAGAAATGTCTAGAACCATTTATAACGCTTTAAAATCACTTAGAACTAAGAAAATTTCCACTTAATAAGGAGAATAATGTAATTTTTCAACTAATAATCGCGGTCTCAAATCAGCCCTAAATAAATACCGCGCGAAAACGCGTTTAGTTTTCGGTAATTTCCTCCGCATGAATCAAAATCAATCTAACATGAAAAACTCGCCTCAATTCTCGCGCGATAACGCTCATAAATATCATTTCGGATCCATTTAACGTGACATCGATCACGTCGAAAAGTTTTATTTTTTCCAACGATCGAGCGAAAGAAAAAATCGGGAAAATCTTCAAATCGACAGTAACAGAAAATTCCTCCCCCTTATCGCCCACGTAAATTATATTTCTGGGCCTCGACAGAAATAAAAAAAATAATAATAAAATTCATTCACGCCATCCGATCGTTATATTTCAAAGTCGTCCCTCCTGCGCCTTAATTATTAAACGAGCGGTATTTCAAAGTAGAGAATTTCGGGATGATGCATCGCCTCAACCTGTTTCGTGAATGGCTGCGCATCGCCTCTAAATATCTCGTCTTGTTCGCTCCCGCGTCGAGATAAAGCCGTTTTGTGCTCTATAATGTTTTGATAAATTTCTTTGACCCGCTTGCCAGTGACGGGGGCCCCCATCGAGAATCTAATGCGGCATTGGATTTTTATCAACGCGATTCAAATTATAACTTGACATGTATAATGAAATAGATACAGGCGATATTATAGATGGGTAATGATATGAGAATTCCTTCATTTAACAACCCAAAATTCCCTCATCGCATGATATCTCCTTGTAACTCAGAAATCCACCATTTCAACTTAAAAATTCTCACTTTTAACCCCACGAAACCGAAATTTCAAATAAAAGAAACCTTCCAAACTCCAGTAATTTTTTTACTCGACTTTTTCAAAATTTATTCATCGCTTTACGCCTCTGTTCTGTCGCTCGGGCCAAAGTAACAAGATAAATTTCTCCTGTTGCCTGACGATATTTATACCGAAATGACGCAGCCCCTGCGACTCTGCCATTAATTTACACATTAACTCCGCGAAGATAACGCCCGACTTTACAGGGGATTGTTCCCAATTCGTTCGTCTTCCGCTAATTGACCGGGTAATTTTTCACGACCGAATATTTTTATTTATTATCCTTCGTAATTTCGTCGATTTTAATACAAGTATAGCCGAGGATTGTTCACAGCGCGCGCTTACCATTGTAATGGAAACAAATATTTGACCGTTAATTTTCGGTATATACAAAGTACAAAGCAAATCGATCGTGGGTGGGAAATTCGGGGTGGATTATGCGATTGTTGTGATAGCGCCTTTTGAAGGGGTCAGTGTGTTTTCGCAGGAAAGTGCACACCTCCCTAAAGCAATATCCAGGACCTCGCCCTTACCATAACAAAACCATCCCCCATCTAACTTTCAATGTTGTTGTAGAAACTATTAATAACTTTACATTTACTAGAATATTAACGCCAATATTCGCCAAGTTTCGTCTGTAATCAATTGCTTTTGTAACCTAATGATTATATATTACCGACCGTTATATTTCAATCGGTATAAAAAAGGTCCATATAACACCTTGGTTACAAAACCGGTGTGTAAACATAGTAACACAGCTTTGAATCGTTTGAACCGACAGAACTGTCAAATATAAGGTAAAAAACACATTACCGGTTGGTTAAATTTGGTTATATTATATTTCAAACTTATGAATATGAGCATTAAGTGAGTTACATTCAAACAGGAGTGTATCAGGAAACTTATACAATATTTTCTACTTTATGAAGAAAAAATAAATAAAAAAATAAAATACGAGTATTACGAGTACAACCTTTATTAATTATTAACGCGATCTACATTAGTCGAAAGCGTGCGTAGAATGTTTTATTCATACTCCGCGCGCGACGAAAAATGCAAATGGTATCGCGTTAATTTCGCGTTAGGAATATCGCGAAATTACCTCTCGTTCGGCGGAAAATTTCATAAAATCCCATCGAAAAAAGAGAAAAAAAATAACGGGAAACTTCCGAAATAAATTGAGTAAGAGTCGTAACGGGGCAATGTTTTATTCATGCTCATCCTATCTAGCGGAAGCCGCGGGGACATATTTTGTTTCAGAAATGTCCATTAAAAAGTATAGCAGTGCTTCCACGTCTCCGAGACTAAGTGAAATTTTAATAAAACAATCTAGAGATGAGGTTGTTTTGTTAGAGTAATGGGAACTGTTCCGTGAGTTTCTTTTTTCACTCGCTTATTGCTCTATTTAATGGCCAATTTAATAATATAGTGCACTGCTACTGAGCAAGATAATTGGTATAAAAGTAACAGGAGATTCATCCCCTATTTCATGATAGCTTCGTTTATTTTCTTTCCTATCATATCGTCACAATTTTAATATTTTTATTTAAAGGAATAGTTTTGTAATGTTGAATGGAGAATTCACTTCCGACTTGTAACACACTTGTAATTTAGAATTCCGAATTAAAACCCAGCACAATTCTGAATTCCGAACCCAGAAGGTAACCTCAAAATTCTGCATTGTGACCCAGAATTCTTTTATATACCTACAATATTTCATACCTGAACAGTCAGTGCAAAACAAAATATTAATAACACTAAAAGTGTTAAATGGCAAAATGACAAGAACAAATTGAAAATTAGGGGTACCTGTTTCACGTTTCTAAATGACATCCGCCGTTATTTGCACCGACAATACCTTTAATTGTACATAAATAATAACAATTACAGCCATCTGGAATAAATAAATTTCCTCATTATATTTGGCATATTTTCGCTTTTCCGAATATAATCGACCGAAACGATTTTCCTTGTATCCCATCCAAAATGGGTGAGGACGGGAACGAGTAAAGTGTATCACAAAGTATCCGGTTGACAGCGAGACAACATAAATTCCGAAAATATTCGGAATATTATTCGGAAAAATCCGAATAATGCGTCTGGCATCCTAATATGAGTGTACACAACGCGAACGGGAAGGGAAAGCTGGCGGGAAAAGTGATTATATACATTTTTTTTCGGGTTTCCGAGATCGTTGCATAACCGGTTTTGCGAGCGAAAAAAATACGTTGTCGGGAAATTGTATTAATCGCGAAAAAGGTTTTCACCTGATTGAAATTTGAAACACATCGGGGATTTTATAGGGGAAAATGGTAAATTTTTTAGGCTTTTATGAAAGGTATAATTGCATTGAAGTAATTTTACAGATTAGGTGTATTTTATTTGCAGTTACTATAGGAGATTAAACATTTTTTTTGAGTAAATTAGTTGATTTTCAAATTACATGGTGATGAAAAGTTCTCGGTCCGTCAATAGATACTAATAATAATTTAATTGTTCATCTTGCAAACCCTCGAAAAAATTCTTTTATTCAATTTTTTTTAATATCGCTAAAGAAATATTTTACTATATCATTCCGTTGCATTTACGAGTAGTATCTCTTAAAATTACACAAAATTTGATAGATCTTCTCGAGTCCTAAAATTCCGGTACAATGTTAACAATTCCGAGAGAACTCGGCGATAAACATAAAACAAAAAGACTTTTTGATGTAATTTTTAGAGATTGTTTGGCCCGTTTTCAACTCAACATGGCAATACATTTTAAGACGGCATAAAATAGAAGCCGAAGCGCGATCGATTCGGCCCTAAATAACCGAACGATACGCGACCCCGTTCGCCCCTATAAATTCCCCGTTTTACGCCGCGAATTTCAAGTTTTTGATTTATTAAAATCGAAAACTTTAATGAGGACGAGGAGTTGAAAGTTTTCGAGGTTACGGGCCGGTTTTTACCGCCTCCTTAATGCATATAACTAAGTTTCCTTTTTTTATCCGTCCTTGTTGTTTCGCAAAAACAACGGCGCTGTGGGGAAGTTGAAGCTGTTTTTAATGATGAAGGATGCCTCGATGTCCCCGTTTTCCGAGATTAAAAGTTTACGAAATAGAGCCCATTTGGGTTTTCGCTTTATGTTTTCTGACGTATTCTTGAAATGCTTAAAAAACTCTTTGAATAATGTCCCATATACAGAAAGTCGCAAAAAGGTTTTGAGAAGCAAATAAGACGATTTAACCTAATTTAAAGGGGGGTCTAGCTCCCTTAAGGGAGCTTTAAAGCCTTGATTGTTCCGCCATTCGAAAAATGGACACCCTGTATATTTCTAAGCTTCTCGATTGAGCAGGTAAAAAAGCCAAATTAATGAGAACTTTCCGCGTGATTTGTAAAATATTCCATTCGCTGTATGTTTTTTATAAGAATAATAAAATTCACGTAAATGAGTAAATAAAATATTTCGCTCGGGAATTTTTCAATCATTCAAAGTAAAATCAACATTCATCAATAATTGCTTTTCATGCAGAATTCGCTCTATTTTTTTTGTGTTATTCCGTCGGTTTATGAATATCTAGCCGAGCTCTATGTTTATGTATTGATATTCGTTTTGAATAGCCCTTTTTTGCACTATAAACGATCCGTTTTGATTGGATTTAACCATAGAAAAAATACTATAATCAAATATTTGTATATACTACCTATAACCTACAGGGAATGTACAAAAAAAAGTAAAATGTAGCTTATAAAAGTATCACAAATAAAGCACGATAAATTTAATTCTTTCTCTTAAATACTCTTCTAAAATCACGTTCGATTTAATTGAAATTAATCGATACATCGACCCATAAACATGTATATTTAATTCCAGAAACCACATTTGGGGCTAACAAAATTTATTAACTACAAAAAATCGAACCCTAAAGGAATTAAAAAAACACCGGGCTCCGAAGTAGATCCAATTCCAACTAACATACAGGGTGTCCCTTTGAAAAGGGAACAGAGTGGATTCATTTTATAATATTTCAAAAAAGAATCAACATTGCAGAATCAGGAAAAAACACCTTTCTAATGATCTACATACCTACCTATTACACGACCCATATTCCCTATTCAATTTTTAATGGTTGAGGTTGGTAAGCAAAGGGATGTAATAATATAAAAATGTTTCTTTAGCTCATAAAATGCCTCCCCATCTCGATATAAAATTTTTCCAAAAACCTATTTTTTCTACCCGAAAACACCTCTGTTTACTTTTGATTGTAACACCCTGTATACCGAGTATCCATGTAAAGGGAGGCGTTATTTAACAGTCCCCCATAAATTAGGTAGGAAATAGACCTTCATTAACCGCAGCACCACGTACTTAGGAAGAATACGTGCACACCTGAGCTCCCGACGCTTGCATAGAGACGACGCCTTCGCCGAAGCGTCGCGACGCCCTCTTAGGATCTATATTGTTTATTTAAACGAGCAGGGCTATTGTGAATTGAAGATCGATATTTGAATTGTTGTAATTGATAAATTGTTAGTGCTTTTATTCAATTATGCAGTGCAGAATATTGAATAAAATTAAATTATTATACCATATTTAATTGATATTGGAAAGATCGTACATTACTATAGAATAGGCATATATCTAATATTTAAACAATTTATTACGAGTGATTGAAGCAAGCATCGGTGGTTCAGTGGTAGAATGCTCGCCTGCCACGCGGGCGGCCCGGGTTCGATTCCCGGCCGATGCAAAGCTTTTTTATATTTTTTTAAGAAAAAAGAACATTTTTTTATTTTCAAAAATTTAATATGAATAATTAGAATAATTATGCATTCGGGGATTCAGTTGTAGAATGCTCGGCAACAGCGCGAAGGCCTGGGTTTGATTCTCGAGCGATGCAGTTACCTTTCTATTTTTTTTCTCAAAAAAATCAATGGTGCAATTTTTTTTTGAACAAATCACAGTATTTACATTCTTCCTCTATATTCACCACCTACACAATTCTTCCTACCTTTCTATAATATTTATAGAGCAGCTCGAACGCGCGTTAAATTCCACAATCGGTTTAATCCTTTTCGACTAATATCTCCGCCCTCGTAATGGTCGAACCCTGCAGCCCCCGAGCAAGATGTAATTCGCGCCGCCTCCGGCATATAAACTACTGGAAATTATGTTATTGCACAGCCGGTTATTCACTTACTTTGCTTCGTTTTGTTCCCGTACGTAATTTTCGGATTTCCGCTCTCGGCGCGATTCCATCTATTCTCGATTCGATTTGTTCGTTTTCTTTAATTACGAAACTCATTTGTTACCAGGAAAAATCATATAATCGAATCCGTTCTGTTTCCCATTTATTCCCCGAATTTACCCATTAAAATGATATAGAATTGGAATTTAGGCTATACTACAATACATTGTGTCCTGATGCATAAAGATGAACAGGAAATTATTAGAGATATTGTAGTGGTTAAATGAGAAAAAAGTTAAAGCAATTAGAAGGGGAAGGTTGGGGAAGGTTGGGGAAGGTTGGGGAAGGTTGGGGAAGGTTGGAGAAGATTGGGGAAGGTTGGGGAAGATTGGGGAAGGTTGAGGAAGGTTAGGGAAGGTTGAGGAAGGTTGGGGAAGGTTGGAAATGTTGTAGAAGTATAGGGAAGCATGAGAAAGGATAAGAAAGCATGCAAAAAAAGGTTGAGGAATGTTGGGGAATGTTGGGGGACGATGGCGAAGGATGTGGAAGGATAGGAAAGGATAAAAAAGCGTGGTAAATGATGGTTGGTGAAGGATTGGGAAGACTAGGGAAGGATGAGGACCCTGTGTCCCATTCATTGATCCTTATACGTGACACAATATATTGCTCATTAAGACCAAATAGTACACGTACTTGTGACTTCATATATCGCTTTGTCATCGACATGAAAGTAAATTTGGCACTAACAAAAACCCTATTATTAGACAGCATGTGGTGGAAAATTGCGGCTGCTCTTACTCGATTTCAATTCGCAACGCAAACATCGAACGTCTGCCTGGACGTCCGTCCACATCAACAACGCGCGACGCTCTCGGCTGTTTACACGCAGCAGACAACCGTTCGCTCGAATGATTTTCTCATAAACAATACGTCAGCCATACGATCCCTATTAAAATCTAGTTTTACTGTCTTCTACCAATCTACCAACCATTCTAGATAGTTGTAAATCAGTCGGAACCGTCCGAGGTAATCTAAAGATTCTGAACAGTTGTAGACCATTCAAGGCAATTGTAATTCATTCTGGATAGTCCAAAATGATTCTGGACAAATCTGATTCGTCCTGAAGCTATCTAAACGATTCATGATAGTGACGACATCGAGACATCACATCGTTGAAGTAGGTATTTGGTACTCACCGGAATCGAACACGATCTCGCTGATCAGCAGCCACTTATCGGAGAAGGAAAGCCGGATTCTGACGAATCTGGCGGGTCTACCGCGCAGCTTGATTGTTACGTTGCGGGCGGCTTCGCGCCGGCGATCCGGAGGGATGATGGCCTGGATACCGGCGGGTTGGTAGCGATCTCCATCGATGCTGAACCAAATGTCCGCCGAGGACATCAGCTGGAACAGATGGAAAGATGTTAGTATAGAACACAGACGGATTCAAGAGAGGATTCGAGATGGGAAGAGGGGGTTGAAGAGGGGATTCAAGAGGGGTAAAGGGGATTGAATAGGGGATTTAAGAGGGGATTTAAGAGGGGATTCGAGAGGAAAAGAGGGGGTTGAAGAGGGGATTCAGGAGGAGATGCAAGAGAGGATTGAAGAGAGGATTCATGAAGGTATTCAAGAAAGGATTCGAGTGGGGGTTAAAGAGGGGATTCGAGAGGGGTAAAGGGGATTGAATAGGGGATTCGAGAGGGGTACAGTGGTTTGAATAGGGGATTCAGGAGGGGGCGCAAGAGAGAATTGAAGAGGGGATTCGACATGGGATTCTTGAGGGGATTCAAGAAAGGATTCGAGTGGGGATTCGGGGGGGGTTAAATAGGAGATTGAAGAGGGGATTCGAGAGGGGGCATGAAGTTTTTTTTAAGCCGCGTCCTACCCCTTTTGCGACGCTTTGTATGCAGCTGTTTAAAAAAAAACACCTTAAACGTTCGTTTTCATCTCTCAAAAACGGAATTAATGGATCATGAAAAAAATCCACTCATAAATTCATTTGTTATGTAAATTTTTGCGTCCCGGCTAATGCCGTTTCGAACCCCGAATACAATGTGACGTTTTCATTACCGAAACGGATATTAGACCGCACCGCAAAAACATATTTCACTGATGACTGTATATATTCCCGATGAACGTGAATTATTTATAATATAAATCGGCAAAAAGTTTTCCCGGAACGGATCGCGAAACGATTTCGACCGCAAAATGTAAATGCAAATCGAACGGTTAGTTAGCCGGTGGTTTTCAATTAATGAAAAACTGTTTTTAATCCCTCATTTGGTAATTATCGGGGGTAAATTGAGCGTAAACACAGTTCAACTACCTAGTACTTGTTAGTGATTAATTTGATTTCATAGGTATATAAGTTGGGTAAAATGTAGAATCAGATCTCTGATTCTCTGATTCTCCTACTCTTCTTTGACTCTCCTTATTTGACTCTCCTCTCACTCTTCTTTCTCCTCTTGCTCTCCTCTCGCTCTCCTCTCGCTCTCCTCTCGCTCTCCTCTCGCTCTCCTCTCGCTCTCCTCTCGCTCTCCTCTCGCTCTCCTCTCGCTCTCCTCTCGCTCTCCTCTCGCTCTCCTCTCGCATTCATAACGACAGATTCGGATATGTTAACGACAAATCGAGGCATCGAACGTCTGCAATCTCGACGACTTCCCGGCCCAATTAAAAGACATATCGACTCGCCGGTAAATATCCCCAATGCAAATAGACGGGGCGAAAGGTCCCGGCGAGTCGAAGTTCGCAGCCGAACTTTCACCCCGTAATATCTGATTGCGACGTTATTTACTTTTCCGAGCGAGTTTACGGGTCGCCGGTGCGGTGGCACGACTAAAAAGGAGGCGAATCGGGGGGCTAAAGGGGGCCGGTTTGGCTCTAATCCTTCGCTGGAGTCCCGATAAAAGGGGAATCTTCTTAGAGGGGATTACCTGCGAATTCGAGACGTCCTGTAGCTAGCCGGGACAGGCGATAAGTTGCTGGATGGGCATGTTTATGTATAACTTGAAAATTACTATGGAAAAGTTTTGAATTTTCGTTCGACCCCGCTACAAGTGAGTTAGATCAAACTGCGCATTTCGAGGAAATTACTCTCTAAGAGAGTACGAATAAGAACGTTTCTTGTAAAATTTTTGTACGACCCCGGTACACGTGAGTGGGCTTCGCATTTCGACTTCTTAACGAGGATTACCGGAAAACTGGAAAACGCGGAGCTCGAACTACTATACTTGACGCGTTTGGAAGACGGAGTAATAAACACATTAATCAGCCGAAGTCCACCCGGGGTGTAAACGAGTCGCCGATATCACTCACTCCCCATTGGCCAGCCTAAAAGTTGATACTCTGTGAATGGTTTTGAGTAATTGTAGGCGATGTGCGAAATTTCTATCGATCGAATCGATCATTGTACAGGATTTTGCCGTACAGGGGTAGGGATATTTTGGAACCGCCTGACATTTTTATTACTCCGTCTTCCAAACGCGCCGAGTATAGTATATCGGACGAGTGCTTTCAGGACTTTCGCAAAGTTATATACCCAAAGGTCAATACTTCAGCGGGCACCTGCAGAAGTAGGGAAGTTTTAGGTGGTTGTAGCTAAGCGACACGTTTGCTCCGGTAAACTTCTACGAGTTTCGGTTCTTTTTTTGATACCGACGATTGTGCCGTGCTGGGGTTCCAGTTAATTTTCTGCTGCTTTTAACCTTTGTGTGTATTCTCAAACGGTGACTCAAATAGTCCGTTCGCTATCAGGAGATACAGGGTTTTAATTAATTGAGTGCCGATACTTCAGGATGTGAATATTTGGGTGATTTTATAAAGAAAAGTTTATATCAATGTATGTCCTAAACTTCTAAGTTTTAGAGCTACACGGTGTCACAGTTTAAAAAAAACTTTTCTATCAAAATTATGCCTTGTTACTATATCCAGATAGCGAACGGAGTATATCCGATTTTTTTTCGCTGGTACAGAAACTTTAACACGAAAACTCTTTAATACATACACTTCAGAAAGTATAATTAATAATTTAAGTACCTTTAGTAGTTCCGGTAAATTCAGGAAACTCGTTAAGCATGTATTTTATTTTCGAACTAAAATCTAAAACTCTAAAAATCCGTTGAGCTCGCCCCGGGAATATTAAAAAGTTCATTTCCGTCGGAACATCTTTTATCTTGCGGATAATGTAAAAAGTAAAAGCGTAACGGGAGAAAAACGAACAAATTCGAAGTTCCTAAAGGCAAACCTCATCTTTTGCTGTCTTGAACAATAACTCAGGAATGAAATTTTGCTTATGCCTTACAATATCGCGTATCCCGGAATCACCGCACAAAGTATTCCATTACCTAGTGGTCCGAAGAGCCGATGTAAAGGGTAGAAAATTATAATAATAATTCCTTTAAAAACCAAGTCGGTTTTATACGATATCTACAGAAAACAATTCGTAATATCGCAATGGAATTCTGATAATTTTCATGTTTAATCGAGCAGAATTCGGGACTATATTAAATTAATGCCACTGTGCACAAGGCCCGCGAGCCACGCGAAGAATTCGATCGAGAGAAATCTCCATTCTCTTTCAATTTAAATACCTGAGAGCTCTGGTCCGATTCTCCCCGCATTCGCCCCGTTTTCAAAACAAATAGTTTTAATTCGAAATAGGTACCTATGCACTTTTTCCTTACCTTCGCCCGTTTTTCATTCGACCGAGACCCAAATGTAGCGCGAATGGCGGAAAATAAAAGAGCAAAACGCCTCCCGGGCTCGAAATGTTTTCAACGAATCGTTTTCAAATTCAAACAAAAAAAAATCCGTAATTAAATGCTGGTACTTGAAAAAGGATCGCTGAGCGGAAGGTCCTTTTAATTGCTAAAATCTCCGGACGAATGAATGCCAGTAAATAACTGCATATGTACGAATAATACATGCAATCGAGGCCACTAATTACTTAACAAGAAGATGAACCACCCGCCTAAAGAAGTATTAATAATTATTATACTCCGTTCGTCATAAGGAGGTAAACAGTAAAATAAACAATACTATTACACAGTAATAAATAACTTTTATTGTTTCATTGAGTCCTATTATTAAATCCTGATTGTGAACAGAGTATAAAATGAATGTTGCCTTGCAATTTTCGTCTTTAAAATTTTCACGCGACCGGAGTAATTTCCACTTGTTCGAGAGAAAAAAACTTTCCTTTTTATAGCGATTAGTCCGACTGGGAACATCCGAAACAAAGTTGATCGTGACGCTAATCTGCATCAATCTTCATTCGACGCGAAAGATTCGAGTGGGGACGGAAAATTATCGATTGTAAAACACATTCGGAGCGAGGGAAGCGAGTGATTGATGCGAACGAATGGCCAGGAGTAGAAAATTCCTTCGAAAATCACTATGAAAATTAAAATTCTGTTAAATGAAGAATTTGCACAAGCGAGTTATAATTACTAGAAGCGGTGTAATTTGGGCATAGGTGCCTAAAAGAAGCGCAGAGCTTAAAAGGGTATTTAGAGAGCTGAAGAGAGCAGAAAAGAGCAGAAGAGAGCAGAGAAAGCAAAAGAGAGTACTCGTGGAGTAGAGTAGGTTAATGGTAGAGAATTCTAATTTATATAATTATTATATTGAAAGAGAATATGTGCACGAAAATACATTCCTCCCGAGAAAAATATCCTGCCTACCCGATGAAATTTATGGGATAAGTTGGGTTTCTCGGGAAATTATACTTTCATAAATACCAATTTAGCCCAACTATTTACTGGAAAATCCTGCAGTTACTCCTTATTATCAATTTATAGGATTTAAGTTTAAAATTTTTGCTGAATTGAACAAGTCAATAGGAAAATATTATTCACTAATTTAAAAACACTCAGTATAAATAATAAACCGGTTTTTTACAACAAAGTTTCAAACGTATTCCTTTAAAAAAGTTGGTAACAAAATCATCTAAAATGCGAAACTGACACACTCAGAAGTTCTCATTTCGCAAGTAATTCGAAGTTTATCGAAAAAAAGAGGAAATTTTCGCGAATTCCTCTTTTTCTATATTTTCATTTCGTACGCAGTAGGGGAAAAAGAACGTCGGCTACACAAAACAACTTTTAAATAAGCTTTCAAAGTTTCTGGCTCGACTTGTTCCGATTCAAAGGCAAAACAAACTATATTAAAATAAAGGGCCGAAATGAAACAAACGATATTCTTTTATCCCGCGACACCGAGACATATGTACATACATAAATGCATAAAACCCGGCAGAAATTTCAACGTATAAACCGGCCTGCTTCGGACAGTTTACATTCAAAAGAGTCCTCAAAAAGATAATATAACAATTGCAAATACAAAAAAAATGTTACACAAAGAATTGTACTCTAAAATTAAACGCTTTTTACCTGCACTCCTCTGGTGAACATGTTGTTGCAATGCAGATGCACCGCAGAAAATTCCCTAATGGCGTCAAATTCGAAGGTGAGATTGATTGGTAAATGATTGTGCGTATCGGAATTCCAGCCCACCCATCTGCTGCCTGAAACAATCAAAATACAATCCTGTTAATAAACTAAATTAAATGTTAATTCTCTATTCCAAAAAATTCTTGTTTTTTACATTATAGAAAAATTAAGGTTAATAATAGTTAAGAAAAACGTTTTTTTTTTAGGTTATTCCTGCAGAAGAGTAGGAAAGAGAAGGGAAGAGAATGGCGGAGAATGGAGGAGAATGGAAAAGAAGAGAGGATAAGGGAAGAGAAGGTAAGAGAAGGGAAGAGTAGGGAAGAGAATTCAAATTGTTCTAACAAAAAAAATCGCCATACCTCGCAAGATATCAATTTTTCTAAAAAACAAAAAGGTGAAAATGATTTAAGCATGAAGCATGAAGCATGAAGGATTAATTTATGGCCTCCTTTTTTTGTTACACCCTGAATAATAAATATCGACGCCATCGCAAAATCTGCTCGTAATATCTATCTGAAATATCTGTTGACTTGCACTAAAATGGCTCAAACAAAATTACGAACGGTTTTCCTGCGATAAGCCGCGTTTAATTTTCTCTAAAAAAAAAAAAATATGGCCCGACACCTGTGTAAAAACAGCCGCTTAAAATTCATGTATTCGACAATGGGAGCAGATAAACGTTCCGTCCTGGTCGACGGCGATAAGCCCCAGTTTTGCCGTTCCTTATCTGTCTTTCGAAATTCATCGTCGGCATGTGTAGACACGTTCGAACCGGCTCGCACGCGTGCTAATCTCGCTCGCAAATAGGCCGGAACGGCCCCGGCTAGGGCCAATAAAAGATTCCGCTCCGGCGGTCGTGAGATTTGCTTTGGTGTTTTTTGCGCCCTTGTGACCTAATTTTTAAGGGTTTTTTTTAGCGCTGCGCCAAGTCGATTCATATCGGATCGGCGCGACACGCTTTCCGGCATGGTACGATTGATTCGATAATTTGTTCAGAGTATAAGAGAGTATAAGAGAGTAAAAGTGCAAAAGAGAAGTATAAGAGTGCAAAAAGGATGTATAAGAGTGCAAAAGAGAAATATAAGAGTGCAAAAAGGAAGTATAAGAGTACAAAAGAGAAGTATAAGAGTGCAGAAAAGAAGTATAAGAGTGCAGAAGAGAAGTATGCATAAGAGGGTAAAAGATTAATAAGAGAGTATAAGAGAGTACTCCTACCGTTCAATGTCAATTTTCTTCAACGAATTTCAACGCAAATAAATACTAACTTATCGCGGCGCCTTCGTAGTTCAAACTAATACCGCGCGTACGGGTGGAATAAGATTAGTTCCTGTCTGAATTAACCAACGAAATGTATTCGAATATCAAAATCCACCCGGCATGTATAGAATAATTTCAGAACAGGAAGAATCCCAGCTAATCCGGCTAATAAAATACCCGTTTTTACGCCCTCCGTTCAAACAGGTTTTTTTTTCTGTACGCGCTCCGGTCTGGCTTCTGGATATTTGTGGCTCCCTAAACTTGTAGATGCACGCTGTAAAATCTTTACAATACAGCCCCGATCGATGTAACTAAACGTATTCGCGAGTTGTCAGCGAATACGTATCCGATTTTGCGACTGATAAACTCGCGAGGAATAATAAAATCTGGTTATACGGTGAAAATACCGCCTAGTCGTCGTCCAAGTTTCCTTAAAATATTTATTTGTTTGATATGCAAATGCGAATATCTCGTTGAACGTCGTTACTTGATCGGAATTAACATAAAGTACCCGGTTTGTTGGTTACAATAGGAATAAATTAGTTATTGGTAATTGCGTAGGATGGGAGACTTTTTTGGTTTTTTTCTAAAAAATTGCATTTTTGGGTTAAAAAACATTTGGGTTATGCTTTAATATACTTCAGTTATGAAATAATTATTTTTTTTGTGTACAGGGTGTAGTAAAAAGGTTGTGACGTGCCATAACGTGAAAATAAAAATATTTAAAAAATATGTTACCAAACGGAAACATTAAAAAGAACTTCGAAAATTTATTATATACCACAAAGCTTTTTCAAAATTTGAAACATCTATAATTAAACAATTAATCAACGTTTCAGTTATACGTCGGATTAACTTGTGCAATTCTTTCGGAAACAAATTCGAATTGGTATTAATTTATTATTAACGTTTAATTATGCGGGTCGATTTATATTAGTAACGATTAATCATCAGCAATCGTGACCGTTAATAAATAATTATATTTACAAAATCATCAATTTCTCCATTTCTGCGCGAATTATTCGCAAAACGAAAATAGAAACGTCACACAAACAAGCTTCCATTAAAACGCACGATGCTATCACATTAAATTCGATATTAAAGTTCAAGTCTTATTTGCCATTCGATTTGCCAGCGGATTTTCTATTTTATTCGAAATAGGCTTTTTTCTGTAAAAAAAGTTCGCAGTTTTCCTTGAAGATGTCGGGTACTGTTCCGTAACGTCGCCTCCGGCTCAACTCCAACTCGCAGATTCAATACTTATATTTCGCTTTGACTATTTATTAGGCCAGTATATCTACTTCTATTTGCGAAATTTATTCGATAAAAATAAAGTTTACAATAAATGTAAAGATCGATGTAAATATATGGAGACGCGAGAGAACGATGCGCAATGGTTGTACCCAATTATTTGAAAGTCACGCAAGTCTTGTCTCTAGCTATCTCTGTCGCATTGTAGTTGTTTTTTAAACTTTACATTCTAATATAAACATTTAGATTTGTTTGGTAAAGGGTGCATATAGTAACTGGCCTAAGATCGTAAAACATTTTCCTGTAAAGCGAATATAGCTTTTCCAGAGCTTTCCAGGAAAATCGAATGTTCACCTGTTGCCCCGAAGAATGAAAAATGAAACGAGCTTTTCGGTCAGATATTCTTTGTACCGTTGAGTTTCTCGTTTCACCAAAACGAGGACAAACAATATTATTTGCTAAACGGATTGCTTGCGAAAATTTTAAAGCGTTTCTTGTTTAACTTAACCCTAAAAGCAGGGACTTTGTTCAGATGTAGTCGTTAAGTCGCCAATAAATAAAGTAATCTAATAAAAAAAGGAGACTCGCGCCCGGAACATTGATTAATCGTTCCGGAGCTTTTACCGTGAAAGTTTACTAAATGAGTTTTTCAAACCTTGAACGTAATGAAAAACTTCCCGGGGGGCTTTTTTTTCTTACATTTTATTATGTATCTTATAAAGCATTACGGGATTCGTTTTATTAAAGATCGTATGAAGGGAAATACGGGTCACTGGCGATTTATGGCTTTAAGGTAACAGCGAAAAGGGAATGTTAGGGGCCGTATGAATTTTTAATTTTTTTTTTGTCCGCCGGCGGTATTTTCTGAGCGCGATACGAGCAGGTCGTTATTTTCATTAAAAAAATGTATAAGATTAATCTTATTTTGTTAATTATATTTCGTGTTATACAGAGGGTCGCTTATCGCTCGTTTCTTTTGGACAAATGACAGAATAGCAAGAGGCCGCGGTTTTGACATTGCAAAATTTATTTTTACAAAAAACTACATATTTCGTACATCTTTGCACTTATCTGTAGATACTTTTCTAAATAAACAGGCACTGTTTGTTGTATAAGGAATGCCTGTAATTACTATGTAAATATTCAACTTACCAGATTGTTCGCCTTGTAACTGTTTTTGATAGTCATCATCCCCATAAAGCCCGTCTACTAATTGACCGAGACCTCCTCGCATCATTTTACCATCTAAAGTACCATCGTAACTGATGTCTTCCAAGTCTATGTCCGGTTCTCTGACTTCTCCTCGAGGAGCCTCGTATTTCAACACGTTCTCTGCAACAGAAAAAGATTTGTGTTTTTATATATACCAACATTATTATTTTCGTGTGTATATCCTATTAAATTAAAAATACAACTGTCGAAATGGCGTGTTTCTAAGTTTATTGGTTTGAAATTTATATATGCCGTGAAACTGGAAAAAATCTGGAGTAAGTAAGTGGTTTTATTGCCAGGCTAATTTTTAATTTATAGTGTGGCGAAAATAGAACTCTTATCCATTATATTTTCGGACCAATGTAAATTGGGCGCCAGAAAATAATAAAAAATAATTCTTTTGGTGATTGAGTATTTTTATTTTAAGTATTTTCATACAGATATTCTGTTTTATGCTCTCTTCTGTTCTCTTCTGCTCTCTTCTGCTCTCTTCTGCTCTCTTCTACTCTTTTATACTCTCGTCTACTCTCTTGTAGGATTTAAATACTCTTTTAAGCCTTCAGGTAATAAATATATTTCTTCCAAAGTTTTTTTATGGTGATGTTGGAATTTAAAATTTTTATTGCCGAAATATCGACTCTGCTCATATTTCTACACGAACTTTTCTATTTTTGCGATACTCCACCGATATTTACAACGCGATCAAAATGTGCATAATAATATAAAGAGCGCTCTAAATCACTTTTTCGGTCGTATAATGTATCCAGAACAAAAATGCTTAATCCATATTATACGGAACTTTTTTCTACTCGATATAATGAAGCACGCTTGATAACTTTCTACATCGCCAACTTTTATAGATAAAACTTTTTTTGTTTTTGGACCGTCAAAAGGAGCTTTTTTTCAACGATACAAAACCGCTGGATGAACTTTCGGTAATATTTCGCCGGAGAGCCCATAATTTTTAGGCAGCAGACGAAACCGATTTACGTAAATAAGCCCAAACTGCAATTTCTCATGTCCTCGTCTAGACAAAAAAACCGTATCAGATTTTACTAGTTTAGATAGATCTGTTTTAACTAATATTAATTACCAGCTTGTTATTTATAGCTCGTTACATCAGAAAATTCTTCTTTTGTATATTAAAAAGTTTATTGGAATGTTAAAAATGAATTTAGTATTTAGTTCAGCAACGGTTGTTTGTCATAAAAATGAATATTAATTAGCTTATGTGCTTCCTTTTATGTTTATTAGGTATTTAAGCAGATAATCGAATAGTAAAAGACCAGATTTTTTAACTTGTATTACCTATAGCAAGCATAATTTGATGAACAATCTAGATAGAATCATTTACGATTTCGTACTCTAAAATATATAACAACTAAATAATGAATCAACTAGTCAATCAATGTCAGTTGCAGCTTTATAATATGCACCATCAGGTATTTTTTCCCGAATTTAGGTAGAAATAGACGAGCAACAGGGGGGTTGAGCCTCGCATTTCACGCTCCTCCAGAGTCTCTGGAAACCTTATCTTATCATCGGCCCTAATATATTCCTCGGAGAAATTTCCAGCCAGCTTTCCACTCCATAATTACAACGTGGAGATATTACATCACGAAATTATCTAATCCTCACCGTAGCACTACTAATGTATGTATATAAAATTAGCGCAAATCTCGAAGTGCGACAATTTCATAAAGCGTTTTATAAATATATTTCACCGTTCGCGGAATATTCCCTTTATCCTTTATACGGAAACGGGGCGAGGCCGGCGGGGGCGAATACTAGCGGATAATTTTCTATATTCGTTCCTTCGGCGCCCTTTCAACCCTTTTAGCGACCCTTTCACCTGATACCTCTCCCTCGTACAGGCGTCCGACGTCCAGACGGTTCCATAACCAGCCCTGGAATGCTTTTGTGCGGCCGGAACTCAATCAATAAAATGATATGTGTACGCATACTTAACATTTTTATTCTTTAGTAATTTATACTAGAGATTTTTTACTGGACGTTTGGAGTAGACAAATATCGTTAACGATTATTTGCATGATATTTTACGTATTTTTCTCACATACTTTTTGCGAATATTACCTAGAGACAGATAAGAATAGCTAACAACGTGATTTTACATATTGCGCATGTGACGTCTCCAGTTATTGCACCCTAACTGTACCGAATAGGCAAATACAGGGTTCTTTAATCAACGGGAGGGTTTAATGCCCGATAATCTCCGATAGGCATATATTAGGAGAGGAACATGTGTCGTGGGTTTCCTTCCGGGCAATAGTCGACTTTTCCTGCATTAATATCGTTTTTCCTGAGCACGTGTCGTGCAACACCCCTTCCCAGTTGAACAAACTTCTCGCTCCGCAACGAATTTTTCACTTGTAACTTGTAACAATAAAGCTGGAAGCGACATTGAGTCAGTCACTGATTTTGGGCATTTTTTATATGAGTAGGTTCATTGGTATTCAGCGAGTTCTAATTATATTTCAGAGGGAATAAAACAGATTTTCACCGATAGATTTTCCTAAATCGGGCATTGTCTGATGTCGCAGGTTATTTCGCAATCCCGCAAATTTCCATTTAAGGGTAGACCTCTAACCCTACGCGAAAGGGAAACCAATTTTCGAGCAATTTGAGGTTACGGCACATGCTGTGGTGGTCTATTCAAAGGTCGGTTTAATAAATTCTCCCTTCGAGGCCGAATTTTATTAATTATATCGCATTTTCCAACGGAAAAAATCGATAAAACTGTGGATGCAATCACCTATTCAAAGCGGGGCTATCAAAGTTATTAAATAGAATAAAAAAACTCATTACTTTCTTAATGGCATTCCGAGGGCGCTTTTTGATAGTGTTGGATTTGAAAAATGACTAGTTGTATCAAATAGAATTAATGACGCATGCTGATTAAAAAATGGGGTGTTGAATAATTTTCATACAGATACCATTCATTACCCTTACGAAGATGGTAGAGATAAAAATGTCATATGTTTCCCTTCAACCCTGGTCCCAGTGGCGTCGATTATAAGGGTAAAAAATAAGCAAAAATAATCCTGTACCCACATTATTATTTATTATCTAGTATTATACTCTGTTCGCTATCAGGAGATAGTAATAAAATCTAATTTTGTATGCAATTACAGCGGGAACCTATGGTTTATTGATTCAAGATTTTATTGCCTGATCCGAACGGAGCAAAATTCGTTGTAATTTTCCTACTTCTATTTAAACAATTATTTATATTATCCCTTTTGAAATTTTTCATTAATCCGCCGATGAGCTATCATCATCATCAACCCCCGTTAGTTTCCTCTTACAAATGAGATGCTGGTGGGAGGTCTAAGTAAAAAATAATTTATCTGGATCGAATTAAAACGCTCCCCGTTCGATAAATAATAAATAAATTAATTTTATCTTTGATCTTCGCTGTTTGGAAAAAATCTTCCTATTGTGCCGATGTAAATGAAACGAGTCTAAGAAAATAAGGGTGAAAATGAGGGTAGCTAATATTGAATATTAATAATAATATTGTTGCGCTATAGTTTAATGCTTTAGTCTCCTGTTCGCGAAGAGACTATTAAAACGATGTAAATGAAACGAATTTAAGAAAATAAGGGTGTAAAGAGGGTAGCTAATGTTGAATAAAAAAATAAATATTATGAACTCTATTTAGATTCACTCTTTACGCGCATTTATCATTCACTTTCCTATACCGCGCGACAATAGATAGATAACATGCCGGCCGGGGGATGAAGAAAAAGTTAAAACCCTTCATTTGTCTGGGAAAAAAACGGTCTTGTAGTCGCCATTTTTTATTTTATCTCCTCCTTAAATCAAATTCGAATCTGTTCGAGGGTCGGGCCCGATCTTCCCCCGAAAGAAAAGTTTTATTACTATCGAGCAACTTTTTTACGATCCCTAAAGAATTAATAGTTGCAATTTTACGTCTAGACCGCGATCTATCGGATCATCTATCCCAGATGGGCCGGCTATGGGAACACAAAAAAAGGGATTTTCTCCTTATCCTTTCCCGAAGAATAAAAAACTAGTAGGTAGGACTATTTTTTTAAATTAATGAACCGACTACACGCACTATATTTTCGAATTAAAGTTTGTATTGCAATGTACGCCCTTTAGAGATTGCAGGAAAAGTGGAGTTTCGGTTAACAAATCATCTGCTAATAACTAATATGTAATTCCAGAAATTTCGGACTAAAAAGGGCTTCCTGAAAATAACGGTACATCTCCATTACGTTCCTCCAGGGAAAATAACTTGGAGTAGTTAGCGAACATAGGCCCCGGTAATGCAGATTAAGTCCCCCCCGAAAGTAAATGAATATGTGTGGCTGGCAGGGGACACACATCCTGCGGAGTGTTCTACTGCTCGCTGTATATATAACACGCCCGCAACCGCTTGGCTCACTAATCCTTCTGGAAGCCTAATGGATTAGTCTTCGCGTATTAATCATTTCGCATATTCCTGCTGCGGTGTATGTGTAACAAATTACAAGGAAGGAACGAGACGCGTTTATGATTTATTCGATGTATCTTCGAAAATCCTTTCTGCATGTGATATGTCCCGCATATTGTGTATGAAATTCCCAAAAAAGAAAAAACCACTAATAGCCTCTAATTTATTTGGTGCAATAGTCCCATATTTATTTAATAACGTTCGGTTTATTTGAAAGCTCCTCTATTACAGAACAAAGGGTCATTATGTCTTCTAATTAGTAACACTTAGTCAATATTTGATCGCGCCAAATTGAAAACACAACAACCGAAATTCATCTCTCCGGCAAACATTCCGTCCATTGTTCGTCTGAATGGGTCCCAGTTCCTAGCGCAGGACCACTTCAAAAAGAAAGGAAACCACCGTAAAATGAATATTTAACTTGTCATAACAGATGTGTGGCGCAGCGAAAGGTCTTTATCTGTTGCGACGACGTCGTTCTTCGGGGGATGAAAAGCGCGCGCCCCCATTGTTGCCTGTTTATATTTAATTAGGCGCTGTTTACCCCCGAAATGTGTATTACTACAAAAGATGATGCTCGGGGCTCGATAAAAACCCCTGAAATTAATACGGTCTATGTCCCGATAAAGCCCACATAAAACATTCAACCCAGCCAGTAAGCTGTTGTATTCAGACTAATTAGAATTTCTGTAATGCTTCTAATATTACATTTGTTTTCCAACATTCATTAGAATTGGGATATTTAAAATTGGAGAAAAACAAATATTTTAAAGAATATATACTACCTACTCTGTTTCGTACAGTTCGAGTGCAATAACTGTAGACGTGACCTGCGCAATATATTCTCAAGTTGTTAATTACACGCATCGGTCTGTACCCAACATACAAATTATCAATTTAAATTCCAACTCTCGTTTACGGGGGTGTTAACATCATTGAAGCTTATCTGGACATTCCGCGAGTTCAACTGACGCTGAATGAATTACGAACACTTGAAAAAAAAATGCACGAACAAAAACGAATGAACTACAAGCGGAACAAACGGCCAGTTCCACAGCGACTCCCCGTCAAAAACTTCCACTCTTTGATCTCATTTTCCGAGCCAATAATTCATCTGAAACTCCGGAATAAATAACTGATCAGATAAAAACGGCAAACATAAACACGTAACAAAAGCTGCGAGCGAATTTAAAAAAAAATGGAATTCGTTTCTCCTGCTGAACAAAAAAAAAATAGCGCCGTGTCAAAAACTATTTGCTCTGCAAGTTGCCGTTAAATGAAAATATAAAACATTTTATATACAACAATACAACAATCAAACAAAACTCGCAAACTGAAACAAAAAGGAAAAGCACCATTCTCAAATAATTAAGGAGTAGCGCTTCGAGCATTGCAGCTTTTCGCAATCTATATAAAAATATTGATTATAAGAATTGAAAAAAATGTAACAAAATCTAATAATTTTACTACACGTTTCCCAACAACACGATCAAACAAAACTCACAAAAAGGTAAAGAACAATTCACGAATAATTAAGAAGCAGAAAAAAAGGACCTTAGAGCGTCCATTGCGGCGGCCGTCAATACGGAACAGGAGCGCATGTTTATTTAAAACTAATGTACCAAACGGCAGTTTGTGCTCCGGGCCCGCACCATGAATAAATAAATTCAATTTCGAAACGTGCAGTCCGACCGGGGCGCTTTTATGTTCCACCATATACGCTCGCAACACACGGTATGGTATGATCCGATCAATTTTGAATGCCCGGCCTCTCCCCGTTCCCGAAATTCCGTCAAATTACGTTTTATTTCTCTATGTATGTGCGTATGTGGACGATGGAGATGTTTATAAGATCGAACGCAGGAATATTTGTTCGAAAAAGGCTCTTCAGATATTTCGGGCGTAATTACTTCTTTGTATTACCTCTTGTTTTATGTACAAGAGTGTTATGTTTTGTTTTATACAATTTACTCATTTGATTTATTTTTAATGTTCTATCATCATAAAATCTCCTTTGCAAACACCATTTATACTAATTAATTTGCATTTTAAACGGACGACTTCGAGTTAGACAACCCATTTCTGCTCTAATAGTTCGAGTATTCCAAAAATCTAAACTCCAATTCGGATCCGTACCTGCTTTTACAGACATTAAACACTCCACAGTGTGTATTTAAGCTGCGTTCATCAGTCAAAATGCTTTTAAATTAATTACATCTCTCTTATTCGGCAGAATTTTCAATTAGTCTGAAAGTTATCTCGCTAGACTTACCCGAGCGCATCGATTCGCTCTTGCGTTTCTCTATTTGCGATTTTCTTCCCGCTATTAATATATATAGCAGAAATGAGCTTTTATTCTCTCATTTCTTTAATTCCTGCAACGATCGAACGCCGTAATTAAATATGCAAATTAGATATAACTATGTTATTTACAGTACCTAATTATAGAGCTACTGTCTAATTAATAGACGAATCTCAATTTAATGATCTTGACAACACCGCCTTGATTAGGATCGAACGGCTTCTTAATTAATAACGTTTCAATTAGACCCTAAGACGTCAACGTAAACGTTAAAGCCGATACGCGTGCAATGTATAGGTTTGCAGGCCAATCTGGACTTCGTTTGTATATCTGTATTAACACTAATATCGTTTGCTTTGACCGCACGATTTCCTCGAACAATCGTTTAAAATATTTGAATAGGTAAAAAAAACGTGTCTTCGCATTAATTGAGTTTGGAATTTCTCACAATGTGCTGTCGTATTAACTGTTTTTTTAGAAATGCCCCGTTTGAGGCATTCGTGAGGAGATGCATGGGATTAAATACATTTTCACTCCATACAATAAGAGAATTTAAAGACTTTCTTTATATTCCTTTTGCCTTCAGATTCACATTCCTTCTTCACCACACATTTGCTCTATTTCTTTCTATTATCGGCTAGATTCTTCGTTTCGCTTGGTGTTATTAACTCCTTCCTTCTTACAATCTCTTATTCTCCAGTTTTCTAATTCTTCTTTTTCTGCATCATCAATTAACATTTGCTTTTTATCATTATTGGTTCTTGTTTGGTAATTTCTCCATTTCTCATTTTCCCCACTTTATTTTTTCTGCTAATTTTCTTAGATTTCCATCTCCTCTACATTCATTTCTGCCCCACATATTTAGAGTCAAAGAAACTATACATATTCCTCAACAACATGGAACGAGTGTTAGAATTAGGCGAATTTGCAATACCAAAATTACTAGCAGATGCACTTAAACGATAAGAAAATCCAATCCTGCAGTCGGAAAACCGGGAAACTCTTTAGACATCGCTTCACTCGAAACATTCCCAATTTCCAATTTGCACCAGTTATTCCATAGAGCTCAGCAATAAGGTAGCTCTCCGGCTTACTGTTCGGAACATCTGTTTGCAATTTTCCTGCGATACATTTGTTCCTAGAGTAGCGAAAAGGGGGAGGGCACTCAGCTGAATTGGTGCCTATTTTGATTTATAGCGGGCCCATCGAAACTTGCGGCTGCGTTGCGTGGGGTAATCACGGAACGCGGGATTAAAGTGATATACGATGTCCGAACGTACGGGCTCGAATAAGTTGATAGAGCTCGAAACGAATCCGGAACGTGGCCCAGAAAACGGACGGCTCCGGATTTACTGGAGCGAAAACGTGTACCAGCAAAAATGATATGGTGGTTTCTATTCCATGGGGAATGTTGAAGAAATGTTCAAAGAAGAATGGTTGTGGGCTTTATGTAAAAATGATGTATCAGTTTATGTAGGAAGAGATTAGTAATTGATTTTTACTGTTTTTATTATTAATTTTGTCAAATTCTTCTGCATCATACTTAATTCTTTTGAATATTACTGGGTACTAATACTTTAACGATTGATTTCGAAATTTATTAATACTTACGTTCCCAAGGGCATCCGTACAATTCCACTCTCATGCAAACAGTCCTAGGGTATTCGCTGTAAGGGATGAATCGCACTTTGCTGGCGATAAAAGGCAATTCCAACCTCTGCCTAACCACCAAGTACGTGTTGCTGTTCCCAGTCAAAACCTGCAACAAAACCATCCGAATTTAATTTTAATCAATCAAATAACATTTTCATCTACTATGTTTTAATTATTAACAATACAATTGAGCGTATATTTGCAAAATGATATGTTAATTGAATTAAAAGAGCCACGGCGAATCTACAATATTTCACAGCGTGAAAATACAAAATATCGCGAAAAAAACACGTAGGTAAATACGTCGAAATGGAATCGAAATATTTATCCGCCGTATTTGATCGATGCACGCAATAACTTTAATTTATTGAACAATGAAAATGCACTACGCAAATATTTTGCTTGCAGTTCACAGTCGAAACTAATGTGCAATATTTTACGCACGCCGATAACGTCAAATACTATCCAGATACGTAACAGGAATTTTTTACATATTTGCGTTTATCTCCCATTTAAATTTAAGTAAGTTTCGATATATCCAGAGGGCACTACATTTTCTAATCCTTCATAAAAGATTACGCAGTACGAATTAAATAAGTAGCAACAAACTGATCAATTGCCGTAATCATCTACTTGTTATACACCCCCCAAATTAAAGGGGGTAAACGATATTCTATCCACACCACCCATCTACCCACTATTTGTTCTTATGAAAGCCGGTACGTACATAAATAATGAATTTTTTTGTCACGACAACTCGAATCCCCGTTTTAATTCTTCATTCGAGGCGATAAACATCGCCGGCCCGGCCGCAGGGACTCGAAAACCTGGTCGAGATAACGCTGACAAATGACGTTAAGTATGACGAATGCCGGGCGAACGTTAGATGGCGCTCTTCGGCAGATGAAGACCCGCAGAGGGTTGGGAATTTTGCGTTTCGCCCTTGTTCCTCGGGCCCGTTGACACGTGTCGTTCCGGGCGAGGATTGCGGAAAAAATGGAGTCCGGAGGAATACATGGAAATTTAGTAGGTGGTATGAAAAGGGATGTGTATAAGCTGACAGATGCTCGAAATAATGGCGAGGGTTCGCGATGGCGTGAAAGGGATCTTTTAACTGATGAATCTCGTTTTCCGAAATGCTCTAACCGTTTGCCCCGGTGGGTTTCAAGAGGTCGAAGTGCAAATTGGAGTATGAATTTTTGAAAGCTATTAGGCAGTTATTAATTTTAAAATCCAATTTTTTTTATTTGTGGAGTAAAAGAGTAATGTAAAAATTGGTAGACAAATTAGGAGTACGCGTAAAATGGTTTTTCAAATATAAAATATAAAATTTATTTTCCAATGGAATCCGCTGGAAAATTTGTACGAAATTTGATTCATTGATTTAAAAAATAGTGATTTTATTCAAATATTTCAACAATTCCATCATCGGAATTCGAATTAATTTCGCTGGCAAATTTTCGTATAAAAATAACCCATCGCGATATCGAACATTAAAGTGCATTTTATTATTAAAACTAACGAACAAAAAAATCGCCAAAAAAAAACGCTCGAATAACGCAAATGGAAGCGAAATTAATTAAGAGAAAAACGGATCAAATGTTTCGAATTCCCCGAAAACAAATGGATACAGAAGAAGTTTCTTTTTTGCGTAAAGTTTTTCGCCTCCCCCATCAGTCACAGTCGCGATGTCGCGAGAAGAACGATTATCCGAACCCCATCAGCTATAATTATTTCCTTTTAATTAAAAAAGCTCGCGAAATTAACAATCCCTCCCTTTTTTTCTCTCTCTCCCTTCTCTTCTCGCTAATTTTCTTACGTCGTATATTTAAAGCTTACAGTCGTCCCTTCCAATTCGAGAATATTTAATTTTTCTGATAAGGGGGTGTATACACTTTGTCCCGGATGAGGATGAGATCTTGGGGATCTGGGAAATTGTGAGAGATTAGGTAAAGTTTAAATGGGGAAATGAACAGATTCAATTTTTTGAGTTTCAAATCGAGCAACCAATCTTTCATATTTATCCTAATTCGAGATGCGCTGTACATACTGTAAACGAGCATAAAGACGTTGTAAATATCTTAATCTTCCCGTTTTGATGTAGCGGATTGAGCATTTTGAAGGACTTATTCGTCGGGATTAAGTTAGTTTACAATGGCGAAGACAACGCTTATTTATTCCGACCGATCCTTCTTATTAGATATCTCCGCATTGTCAAGGCGCAAAGCGGAAAGAGAAACGCCGAGACGTCTGTTAACAACGTTACAATAAAAAAAAAACGCAAGTTTCCTAATCGCATTTACGGGATTAAGCGGACTGAATCCGCGAGGACTTGTCGCCGGGCCGACAAGTTGATTAAAAAGTTTAAAACTAATTTGTCGTCTTGGAGCAATTGATACGTCCTTATAAACTGTCATAAATCTATTTATTCCAGTTATATATTTCGCCGTCGGAAGTTGGCAACTTTTAATTGAATTCGCGCGCGCTCTTTCCCGCGTCCTTAACGCTACTTTTGCGGTCTTAACGGTTCGAATTCGCCGCCCGGCCGGCGCTCGACTGTTATTGACGAATTTATTGCGCCGCCTGAGTGTTCCTGACGGATTTCTAATTTGCTTGGGGTGCGCGGGGGCGGCCCGAAACGAAGGTGAAACTTTTACATCCAAAAAGGAATTTTTTCGCAACTTATTCAAAGCGCCACTCGTACGAAAATCCATTCGAGCCTTCATTTTTTATAAGGAAAATCCTTTGTGGTCCAAACATATGCGGTCTACCGCCCTTGCGATGGTCTAATATAAACTCTACTGCCTTAATTATGGTGTAATACCGCTCTAATTCTAGTCAAACAATTCTGGTCTAAACGACGATCTATACCTTATTCTAAAATAAGGTAAAATAAATATTATTACATTTTAAAAACATTTATTTTGCTTTCATACCGTTATTTTATTAATGAAGAAATCGCGGCGGTTGGAGACCAGAATGTCTCGACGCAAAAATACAGATACATCTGCTTCCATTCATTCGTTGGTCGGGAGCAACTGAGTAAAAAATAATCGCTTTTGTTCTTATTCAGACGTCCCGGCTCGGTGGCGGAGTTTACCAAGATGGAATTTTAATCGTCGGCCCCGCAGGAATTTTTAGCGCGGCCTTTGTCTTCGCGGTTTTTGTCGATCGAGCATAATACGCTCGTCGAGATTCGATTCGGCTCTCCTGATTCATTCATAAATGCGGTGGGTGTATGAATGAATGTAAATTCTTTGAAGGTATTGTAATTAACTTTAAGGATGTTGAAATTCATTACGAATTTTCTTCGATATTTCTCTCCGGAAGTATCTAATGAGCGATAAAACTTGATTTAGAATATAACGAACAGTTAAAAGTCAAAGCCAGTCATAGCCAAAGTGAAGGTCAAAGTTATGTTGCAGCCAAATGCCTTATCATCTAATTAGTGAAGTGCATGGAAGGATTAATAAGATTTTTTTAACCTGAGCATATCTTGCTTTGAATTTACCTATAATATTAAATTACCCATTAGAAAACTCAGTAGAGATATATCGTGTATATTCAGGTTATTGTTCTAATGGAATTAGGTCTATGGCGAGGAAGTTAATTCAATTAAACAAGTTATTAATTAATATTGACCCAAGTCGTCGTCGTGTAAATAGAGCGAGCTTTCGAAATTTTCAATTGTCGGAGATATTTGCTCGCCAGACAAATATTTATTTAAACTCCCTATATCAACTATCCGCTAACTGTACGCTATAGTTTCTGACGGTTGCATCTCCAAAACAAGAAGGATATAGTATATTATAGTATATAGTCCGGGAACCGGGAGTATCCCCAGCGGGCATCGGCCAAATATAATCGACCGCGGAGGGTTCCAGTTCACCAACTTCTCTATAAACGGCCGTTAACAATTAGTATCCTCGCTTTATTAACGTGCCAGTTGCCCGTCGGGCGCGCCTCGCATGAAAATTGATGTTTTAAGTTTTCGGCGGAACGGGCTCCGCCGGAGTTTCCCAAGTCGTGATCTTTATTGCTCGTGTGAATACGAAGACCGATGATTAAAACGGATCCGATTTCCCGGTTTAAAAGATGGTTATTCAAAGTTTCCAACGGCGTCTGTTCTTTTATCTTTCCGCATCATTACTCTCGCGTTTCTTTCGCTGAAAGTTTGTTCTCGTACATTTTATACCTAGCTTGATTTACATATGGAACAAATACGGTATCGTCTACATAAGAGCTTCTGCTCTATTCTGCTTCAATTGGTGAAGATATTTTAATTAGGAGTGTATCAAATTGGTGCATACAGTTTCCAAAATCCCCATAATGTTCATGCTTGTTCATAACAGAATTTATACATGCTGGATTTAAACCGTTCGAAGACAATTTAAGCTAATCCGAATAAAATGAATCCTCCCGTCAGTCAAATTGGCATCGACAGATGTTGCTATCGAGAGGACGGGCGACCCTGCAATGCGGCGCTTTCTAGAGCGGTTTCTACCGATGTTTTTGCATAAAATGCACTTTCGGAGCACCTGCCATTTTTTCCAGTTTTACTGTTTTCCATACAATGCAGGAGCCTACATTTTATATTAGATTCTTCGGCTACACGTGCGGTCAAAACGGTAATCGAATATTCCATAAACCGGCGGGGAGTGGAAATCAAATGTTTGTTGCACGGCGGAGGGCTCGAATGCATAAAAATTGATTTAAGGGCAGTAATAATTTCAATTGCACTATATTTGAATTTATTGTCGTTATTAATTCTTGTATATAACGGACGGTATTAAATGCGTTCGATTGTCATTAAAATTACCACAATATTGTTATTATTCGTTAAGCACGCTAAATTCCCTACTTTTATTATTGATAATTATTATAATAAATAAAAAGGAGCAATTATCTATTTACTATAGTCATTTATCTACCTAGAAGTGTATCCAATTAATTTTATGAGAGTACATTATGCATTATTAACAATATAAACCGTACGCCACTGGCGTTGCAACAAAATACCGGCACATATTACCGTTTCATCATAGCCGGCTCTAACACCCCGCGTCCTCGAGGGAAATTTACCGTATGATGCTGCGGATAACGCTGCCGCCTCCGCCACCGCCGCCGCCGCCGCCGCTGCGACGCTTCATCCCTTGCTTACAAGCTTTAGTTCGACGATATAGGAAGAGTATTTGCGCATTGTTTTTTTTCTGTTATACTTTAACAGGAAGACACCGCACACGAACCGCTTTATTTACCGTGGAGGAAATTAAGGGGGTGAAGTATTAAATTTTTCAATCTCGATTTATGCACGGATTTGTATCGAGTCGTAAAAAAGTATAAGGAAATTTCGTAGTGTGTATTTAGTTATTCCTGCTGCACTGGTAGGATTGACGAATTTTCTAAACAAACAGTATTCGAAATGGGTATTTTTATCCCTTGAATCATTTATGAGGTTATAAACATCGTAATGGCCCGGATTAGGTTGATAATTGAAAATTGTGTAACATTGTGTTTTTGTTTTCCATTTCCCGCGAGTAGAGCGGATTTGCGGAACGCGGAAATAATGGAGGAATTACAGGGGAAATGTGTCGCAGTAAAAGTAAAGAAAACAGCGGTGGGTTTTCAGGAATTTTAATGTTTTTCGAAATGGCCACCGGTTTTCCGGCGGATTTGATCTATCGGGGTTTGTTAATAATAATAAAACAGACGGGTTTTATGCGTTTTTTACGATTTTATTACTTCCGGCTTGCCTATGGGGCTCTCTTTCAACCCCTCAGGATACTTAAACACATAAGTTAGAGGACATATTTTTAGTATTATATCATCAGAGAGTTGCAAAGAAACAGAATAATAACTATTCGATAAACAATTTAGATACATATAGTAACTTTGTCACCTAGGAACAATAAAATCTATTTTGGTGGTGCTTCTCACATGGAATTCAACACTTTTCCCCATCAAAAACAACAAATTATAGCACCAAAAAAACCCCATTCAATGTCGATTCCAGCTCTATAATAATAATACGAAAATAAGTGACTTACTTTTTCTCCTCGCGAGTCCTTATAAGTAATCCATTGATTCAGCGACGGTCTCCAATATTCCACCAAAAAAGCTTCGGCGAATTCCTGCCCCTGGCCGTTACCGAAACGACCCTGAGTCTCGGTCCACGTCATCAGATGATTTTTCTGCAAATCCACCTCCAAATACTCCTTTATGTCGCTGCTAATCTGCGCCTTGGGACACCAAGCACCTCCGTTCTTCTCCTGCCGTATCCTGCAACAAACCCGCAACGTTCATTATTCCGCTAATTCATACTATAGTAGGCAATATAATTGAAAATGTAGAGGCGCCATAATCGTTAAAAATTCAACGATATATTTATTATCCTGCTACGCTATCCTGCTAATTCATTTCAGGGAAACTAGACGAATAAAGCATCGTGGTCGTTAAAAATTCAACCCCACCTAATCTCCCATCGTCCATTTTTTTTGTGCAACGCCGTTCACCCCCTCGAGCAGGATGTATCCACTGCTACGTTCTTCCTGCAAAAAGAAACAAAAACCCAAGGTGTGAGACGAATGGTCAGCTAATTGGAGTCGTTTGTTTCGCTATCTCGACATCCTAAATGGCATCATTTCTCCTCGCTCTCCCGTTTTTAGCCCCCCCAACATGCCAGATGAGTTTGTCTGAACATCTACGTGATGGAATCGTCCAGGGACGGATTTTCAGTTATTGACATTTTTTAATTATTTTTTAATTTTGGAATATGCTCTAGACTATTCTAATTCGTTCAGAAACGTTCTAAATCAGTCTAGACAGTTCCAAATGATTCTGGGCAATTCTAACTTGCTTCAGGCAGTTTAGAAGCGTTCTAAAAGATTCTGAACAGTTGCAAATCATTTAAGATAGTTCTAAATGGTTCTCGACAATTCTGTTTCGTCCTGAAGCAATCTAAACGATTCTGTATAGTTATGATATTGTGCTACATCATCTAGCATGATTTTCAGATTAATTCTAGGTGAGAACTGTAATTTGTCACCATAATTTGATAAAAAATGGCTCGGAGACGGTTCTGTAAAGTGAACAGTCTTTGCACTTCCCGAGAAAAAAAATAGAGCTATTAGTTCATGGTCATTTGGGTAAGGCGTTTTCCGCTGGACAAAAATCAAATTGGTCGGAGTGTTTTCGAGCGTTTTCTACCCGCTTCTCCCTTGACAATGCGGATTTTTGTAACCGGCCGGTTAAATCAATTAGAGCCGGTTTTATTGCTTATTACTTAAAGAACGCGAGTTAATAGTTCGTGTTGTGTGTTTCGTTTATCGCGTCTGGTTTTTATTTTTGCCGCTACTCCTGTGGGTGAACCATTCTTTAATGATCCTTTAATGATTCTTTAATGATTCTTTAATACGGGGTGTTCTCGAATTTTTTTATACATTATACCCGGTGACTGAATGTATAGAAGCACTTAATGGTATTATCAAAAAATATTAGAAGTTGCATTGACTTCTTCTTAAGGAAAATACAGGAAGAGTAATGAATCTTCTTGGTACCTATACACCCAACATTATTAATCTTTAAATTATCAATTTTATCCTCATATATCAGTGCACTTTTGTATTAAATCTAGACCAGATCAGAGAGCTCTGTGCTTGTTAGTGTGGCGTCGATACGCGCTGCGTCGCGTTTTTGTGTAGTGCACCAATTTCGCATATCTGTAACAGTCTCTCACTTTTACTATTGTTGAAAGCGAATTGTTATTTACACAAATTCTGCATGTATATGTTTAATATTTATTTAAATCGGTAATGATGAACAAAAAACAATTTAACGTTCAAAGCGCGCGCGTATTTTTTCAGCTGCAGAGCAAATATTAACATTGAACTCCGTTATCGAACAATCAAAATACCGCGTTATTTATTTTGTTTTTTCGATATGAAACAGCAGCAGGGTAGGCGAAATGACATTTTCGACAAGCCGCAGCCGCGCCGAGCGGGTAGGTAAATCTAAACAAATGTCAGGGAAGCGGGCGCGAGCGAGAATTCGCATTCCCATAAATTCCGGGAAACTTTATATATGAATTTATGGCAGAGAATGAGACCGATAGTGGATTTTAAAATGTCATACTACAAACCTGGAACATCGATGGTATTTTTCATACTTTCTTGTGACAATCGCACGCGTTCTTTTCGGGAGGAAAATAAAAGAGTTTTCCGATAAAATGTACGTCTGCTCGATGGGAAATCGATGGAAATTGGACGCAGATACTATAATAAAGTTCAAGTGTATAGTTTATAGATAAATTGGGCACCCTGAGGTCTATAGGCCATTTTAATCTATTGTAAATTTGTATAATTTGGGTACATATTTGCTTCTAGACTTAGCAATTTGGTGCCTTATTAAAAATATATTACAAATTTCATATATGTAGAACAATCAACAACTCTAAGTTTGTTCTAATTTGTTGTTACTTTCATTCCAACTTTATTGTACTCTACTTGGTACTTAATTCGCTTCCAATTCATTCTACTCTACTTAATTTCGATTCAATTCATTCTATTCTACTCTACTTAATTCTGTCCCAATTAATTCTACTCTATTCTACTTAATTCTGTTCCAATTTATTCCACCTCTATACTCTAATCGTAATATTTATTCCCGCACCAATTTCCCACGACCTGCACTTGTGATATAGCCACATATTTTGGCATAATTGGAACACAAGAAAATTAATATGAAAGTACCCCGAAATCGCGAAATGGCAATGGACGGGGTCGATTTATGACCCGATCGAAATAATTAGGGTAAATTCGGTATTTACGACCTCCGCGCATTTTACCAACGGATAGGTAATGAGATTTATTACACCTACACCAACGCGGGTCAAGTATCCGTCTCGCGTATATATTTTCATTTGGGCCTCTAATGACGCCTGAAATATACTCTAAAACGGCGCGCGATGCGCATTTTACTCCGCGTTATGTGTTATTAAAGGGTAATTTTTTCGAATAATTTCGACCGGCGAATGTGATATATGGCCGGTGCAGGACCACCCATGCCACAAATTCGCGTCGATTTCGGACGAGTATTAACGAAATTCGTGATTTTTTATAAACAAAAAAACCAACATCGAAACATATCTCGCTAATTTGTACTACATGAAATTAATTAGCGCGTTTACCTGTACATGTCAATACCTCAGGCATAAATTAACGTTAGGTACCTAATTCATAAACATAAGTCTAATAAGAGGGATATTAGTTTAAATCAAGTTGCTTAATTAGAGGATTAAATTACCTTCACGAATTCTATAAACGACTAAAGCGCAATTAACTGATTAAATTCAGTACAGGGATTTCGATAGAGAAATTTCGAATATACGGTTACTCATTTGTCTAACAAATACCTAAAATATATTAAATAATTCGAGTGGATCCGCTTCGGAGAGAATGATTCAATTGAATTCTTTGTGTATACACCGAATGAAACGCAATAACGCCTGTATATAAAGGCATTCTGAAACATTCCTCATTTAAAAGCGTGTATGTAGATACTATAGCATTTGCAACGTCGAATAATTTGTCAAAGGAAAATGATATAAAGGGACTTTTAGAGGACGGTTGGAATCGCTTCCTTTCGATATGCGAGAGACCTTTTTAATCTCCGGGCCCTTGTCAGGAATCGTTTAAAACAAACCGTAAATAAAAATGTTGCTTGTTGCTCTATTGTTACAGCGATTCGTCTGATAGACCTTTCACATGCAGAAGCGATCGTAAATCGCTTTTCCGATATCCTTCGGGTCGTTATTTTACCGGAAAAATTCACTTTTCCGTATGTTTTTTTGCTAGAACGAGCGTGTAATAATACAGCAAAATTTAATCGCAAAATTAATGCTAGTAACAGTACTATCAGATTCAGTTACAACAATATGGATCTAAAGTGGCAAATAGTTGAAAATCCGGAAAATTTCAACCTATTTCCCTAATATCGATCAAGTGATTTGAATGAATAATTACACATTGGAAGCGATGTGAAAAACCAATTTAAGTTTCACATTGGAATAATTACCTGCCAATCACCCGGTTTTCCGGATCATTAGTCTTGTATTTGTTTTTGTGAAAGGAAGAGGGCGCCACCGATGCGAATCTATAACGAGATCTAGCAGAACCGATCGCCGTCCGATCGGGTGATTGATTTTCCTTTTTCCTTTCTCGAAGATTTTCCTTTTACCTACCGCTTAAAAATCCGTTCTTATAAGCGTTCGCTCAGATGAATAACTGTTTGTGCGAAATTATCGAAACAGTCGTCGATAAATTACCGAAGACGAACGTGGAAAGCCGGAAAAATCGACGTCCCGGAGCATCTGGATTCCTCCGGAAAATAAAATAAAAATATGCAGGTGGATTTTCGCGAGTCACGGCTCGGCGTCGATTTATCTAATTGAAAGTAATTTCGAGCGTCGAACGAGAAAAAGCGATCGCATTAGTCCAGGTAAACAAATTCCAAAAAGCGAAGAAAACGGGGGGAAATTTAAACGTGCGGAAACTCAAACTACATGGCAACGAAATGAAGAGGGCCGCGCGCGTGATTTCTACAGATTAAGTTTCATTTTCCGATTCCCCGATAATTTTTTAACGAAATAAAGAAAACTCCATTACTTTTCGCGACACCTCCGATCGAGGAAATTCTCCCGCTTAAATATGAAATCCCCTTCGCAAGCAATTTCCGGTTTTCGTCCCATACAGAAAAAATATAATCACTTAACATTCTATCGCCCTCGGTTGATTCTCCAACAATACGGATTCAGGGAAAACTCCCGTATCGCTTTCGACTTCTCCGGGCACATAATAGCCAGATTTGAATTCCAAGTAGGAGGAGAGAACACCTGAAAGTGCATCTGAAACCCCCTCGAATGGAATATCAATGCAATAAATGTATACAAGGGGCGAAAAATATACCACAAGACGTTATGACGAAAAATAAAATATATTATATTCGAGCTATTCGACGAAAACGTCTTTGCTTATAATTACTTACGGTCTACTACTGTAATGGCTGGTGTTTATGTCACTATTTTAATTAATTAATCTGGAAAGAGTGTAGGAAGGAGTAGGAAGAAGTAGGAAGGAGTAGGAAGGAGTAGGAAGGAGTAGGAAGGAGTAGGAAGGAGTAGGAAGGAGTAGGAAGGAGTAGGAAGGAGTAGGAAGGAGTAGAAATGAGTAGGAAGGAGTAGGAAGGAGTAGAAATGAGTAGGAAGGAGTAGGAAGGAGTAGGAAGGAGTAGAAAGGAGTAGGAAGGAGTAAGAAGGAGTAGGAAGGATTATGAAGGAGAAGGAAGGTGTAGGAAAGAGTAGGAAGGAGTATAAAAGTGGAGTAGAAGAAGCAGGATCTGCAATAAATTGGGCATTCGTAAACCATCCGAATCGGCATCGATGCAGGACAAAAAATGAAATATAACACCGCAATATGTTTAGGGGGAAAACGGGAAAATACCAACGGATAAACTCGATTCGCGTTAATTCCATTCAATTCGAGCGTTCCCAATTCGGATGAGGATTTTAAAACGTCCGTCCTTTTAAAAGCGCCGCGTAATGGACGTTGCTTAATTCTGATGGACGCCGAACGGATTTTCCGGATTTTCCGGATTACTCCGATTACCAGCCGGATTTTCCATAGTGCCGGCGACAATTACGCCATTACGGCGTCAACTATCGCGTCGAAATAAAACGCGGGCGCGAATTTATCAACTCCCAGTTCTCTTCGGGGCGGAGGGGCCCAGTCAGGAGCTATTGCGATACCTGCCCGGTGTACAAATTGAAAATTTTTCATCATTAGTAGGAGAGCTGCCGTAAGGGCTGTTTTTATCTATTATTCCGGTAATCTGGAAGACTCGCATCCAGAGGGAATACGAGCACCGAAGCACCAGCACCACTGGCGTGCTCACCTTCTAAAAACGCCAACTTCAATCAACCTAAATAGACTTCTACGCAACTTTTTTTCACCAATTTATCTACCTAATTCTCCAACTGTCGTTACAAAAACTCAACGCGAGATCCGGATTGACAATTGAGCGTACGAGAATTTTCCGGAGCGGGATTTTCCACGGCTATGCGCTGGAGACACGACAGCTTGAGCGACGAGGAAAATTCGGTCCCGCCAGGTAAGGAACTCGTTGAACTCGGGCTAATTTATCACGGACGAGTCCGGAGATCAAGAGGAATGGCCGCGTCGCGTTCGAGCCGAATGGAAAATCTTCGGCGAAGAACGGTAAATTCGGAAAAGGGCGCGCGGCGGCGCCACCAAATGAAAATTCGTCCGCAACGAGCAAATTGCGAAACACAAAAACCGGTTATATGAAAAAATAATTACAATACAGCCATTATACGGTCCCTAAAAACACATATTTTTAATGCGAGTTTCCCCCGCAGGATCAAAACCGAAATTGCTTTTGATGTTTTTCCATAGCTCGGGATACCTTTTTTACGACCCTCTTTATGCAATATTAAATTCGTCAGGAATGTTTCCGGAATCGAAAATGCGTATCGCGACCGAGATAATTCATTACAAGACGATATACGCGAATATATCATCATCATCAACATCATCATCGGGGGCGTATACTCCGCCAATATCGGCAATTGCTAAGTATATTATCGAAGTGGATCGTGTTCCGCGGCTTCGCGTACGAAAGGGTTGCGGCCGTGTATCGCGTACGAGGGTCTAATTAGACTGGAGATCGCGAATTCGAGACACGTAAGACTCGGTACCTAACAACGCAAACTGATGCTCACCCGGGACAATGTATACCTACGCAATATTGTACACATCCGCCAAATTGCGCTGTTATACGCGGGCCTTTGTAATAATATGAATGTATATTCAACAAAAACATATTTGCTTATTATTACTTAGTACTCGGTTGCTCTATTGGCTGGCTTTTATGCTACTCTCTAATTAGAATTTGCCGGATTTCCATTGTTTTCTGCTGAATTCACTAACATTCTACGGGTTAATCGAATTTTCGTCTATATGTAGGAATTTGGAAGGTGTAGGAAGCAGTAGGAAAGTGAAGAAAGGTGTAGGAAGGAGCAGGATGGGGCGAGGAAGGAGTAGGGAAGGAATTTTGAAGAATTTGCTTGTAATTATTCCATTATTCAATATTATTCACAACTCATTCCACCAATCTTAATTTCCCTTCATTTAAATCATCTAACTTTTTGATAAACCAGCAGTAAATTGGACAATTAAACGATCCGAATCTGCATCGATGCATTTCGATAAAATAAATATTTACACTTTCAACTTTCAATTGACTTTCTGCTGGTTAGCAAAACACATAGACAAAGAGAATAACTGACCAGCGGGAGGTTGCAGTATCTGCAACATTTTTATTCGTAACGGGTTGTCGGGGCGGCAATTTATGTAATAAATGTGCACCTGAATTGCACTCCAGACGCCATGAATAGGAAAATAGAAGTAGTTTAGGCGATACTCGAGCAATCTCTGCTGAAAAAAGATACGAATAACGCTCCCATATCAATTCAAACGATTAATTCAGAACACATCGAATCGTCCTCGTAACTGGTTATTCATGTTTGTATAATAAGGGTTGTTTATTTTTCATCTCCATTATAAACCCAATTCGATACGGTGTCGTTTATTTTATTTTTTTTTTTTAATAACTCGGGTCAAATTGAAACCGTGTTCTTCATATCGAAAACGGTCGAAAAACGAAATTTATGATGGCGAATTTAAATAAATATTGCCATTCATCCCGGTGATTCATCAGAGGGTATTATCCCTTTATGCCCCGGGGAAATCTGAAATTTAGCGTCTGAAAATGGGTTTATCCAATTAGAATATTTTCAGTAAACATCGTAAATTAGCTTAGGAACGCGCTTCGGTATCGAATCGTAAATGTATACTTTTTCCAATTTGTATTTGTTGAAACAATTATTTTTTAATTATAATCGTTTTAATTAATATTGAAAATTATTTGGGTTGAATCCAAACGAAACGAAATGTTGAAATTCCCGTGAAAAATTTCCTGCTCGATCACGGCGAAACTGAGCCTAATGAGATGTTAAATTTTCTCCTTAATATCCTTTTATTTTCGATCGAAATTTCTAGAAAATTCGGCGCGAATTTTTAACGATACGCGCCTTTCAATCGAACTCTCTTTCATCATTC